GAGAGAGAGAGAGAGGATGGCCAGAATCTTCTACTGGGAGAAAACTACTGAGGAAATAGAGTCCTTTACGAGTTGAAATTTAAAACAATTGCTATTGTGGGATTCAATTGGGGAAGGCCATATTCTTCTGTAGCCATGGAATTTCGCCCCTTCTACCTCTGCGCGCTCTTTGATAGTTTTGGAACCGGGGTCCGTCCATAGTACACCAATATCATATAGGTAGCATTACCTGGTCAAAGCTACACTGAACAATTTCTAAGTTTGCAGATGAGCAGCAGCGCTGCTTGTAATTTATGGACCGTCTAACACTGTACAGGAAAACATACATATATACGGTAAACGATCGGCGGGAAGTTAAACATGGATTCAAATGGTGATCATTTACACACATAGGGTTATGGGGTCAAATATCTCAGTTTTGTAATGAGGATCTCAATCGTATTTTGTTAATAGGCACAGACATGATTCTCAGATATCAATCAGGATACAGTGTTGCGATCATTGGGTGAACCTCACGCACAGCCCACTCTCTTGAGTCTTTCTCTTAGACCCCGCCAAACCTGCATACATGGGCATATCAGGGCGCCACTATAGGATATCAAATGGTAACAATGGGAATTTGTATTCATCTATATGATTGAGTTTGCGGCATGAAGAGCGCTCTTCACCATAGTTCATATAAAAATTTGTGAACCAAGCAATCCTCTGTGAATCAGACATCTGAATGCGGTGGTTACAGATGGTAAATGTGTTTCTGCTGATTACAGTTGGAATCAGGTTGGGACGGTGGCATAAGGCCAAAGATGGAGCTTAGAACCTCCAAAGTCCCAAAAACGACTGAACCCGTAGCAAATCTAATCCACATTAGTTTTGATTAAAATCATTAGACGGCGGTAAATAAAAGATCCGCCGTGCGAGTCGCCTTCAAGGTCTGAATATTGGGCTTCATACGGAGGTGCTTAGCGAAGCTTAACATTTATTCGTGGGTCATGATCGATCTTTAATTATCTCTCGGTGCTTACTTCTTCGCTCGACACTTGCTGGAAGGGTTCAGCTTGGCGCAAGACTTCCAATCTTTCAACTTAGTCCTTAACCGAATATCATGACTTCGGTCCAGAAGCAAGATTTGAGACTGTTCGACGATCATTCAGTTCTATCCCAATCGCTCTTTCGCCCAGAAAACCACCATGCCTTATTTGTGACACATAAGCTGGGAACATCTCCTGCATGGCTGATAAATGCACTTTTAGAAACGCATATCCTTGGGGCTCCGCTCACGTTGAATGAATCTCAAGCGAGTGCCATAAACACTGCCAACAGACGTCTCGCGAATGCTGTAACAAGAAGCACAAAAAATACAGCCATCGCTTCTTGGGTTCATAATAGCGAGTTTTTCCATTCCGCACTAGGAAAACTGAAGATCGATCCCTCGAGATATAAAGTTCACGATTATCTGAGTGACTTTGTGCTGAAATATCACGGAAAGACAGGACAGAAAATTCTGAAAAACCTGGTCCAAGAGTTGACAGCTGAGCCAAAGCCGGATTTCCTGATCTTGGAGCAACCTGAATTACTTTTGCATTTGTTGAACATATCTAGCGATGAACTCCATTTGGACTTCATAAACCAGCTGACGAAAATCATCCCGCTGATTGTCATAGTGAGCTACACAGAAGCCTACGATAATCCCGGCACAGACACCTCCGAGCGAATTTCCGCAAACATGATTGAGCAGATTCGTTTTTCAAATGGTTGCGTGTTTAAAAGCATTGCTGTGTTGGGTATCAGACCGCTTAAGACTGGGCGAGCCAAAGACGTGACAGGAACTTTGACCATCACGAGGGGCGGAGCATCACTCTCACACTTACCAATTGAAGTTGCGGAAAACGAGTACCTGTTTCAAACACAAAAAGATACCACGAAGTTGTTCTACCGCTAATGCTGTTTTGCTCTGTCAAAAACTTTTCTTGGCTTTGATAATCTCGTCAAGGCCAAATTCCACGGCGCAGCGTGTTTTTATGAGAGCTAGTACTGGCCAGCAGCTTTGCTCTCCACATTTGATCCAATATGGAATATTATCCAGTTGGCCTTCAATTACTCTACTGAACGATAGACTTTTCAAGTTTGGAACAATCGTGATCTCAGTCGCCGACCTAGGAGTTTTCTCATCAATTGCAAGTCTTTTTATCCAATGGCTCAATAACCCCAGGTTATCCAATACTTCAACTCTGTGGCGGAATTCCATAGTTATAAGGTGTTTTAATTTTCGCTCCAAGTGGTATCGGAATTTAAAACCCAGTGGTTCCACTTCATTCATGTTCGATAGCTGCAAGGGAGTAAAATTACTCATATCGGTGGTTGGGTAGTGTTTATAATAATAGTATTTTGAAGTTTTGATCTCATGCTTCAAGTCGTTTATCACTAAGGGTGCCAAATAAGGTCTTGCCAGAGAAACAATGAAGTTATTTACATTGAAAAGCTCGGTTAGCCTCGTATATGGACTTTCTGTCAAGCCACTTTCGCTTGCGTTCTGTGGAGTCAAAAATATTAAGCGAGAATCCCCTGTGTCTGGAATATATTCGACAATCTCATTTTTAAGATTCTTGCAAAGTAATTTGGTACCACTGGACACTACTTCAGATCCTAGACTGCAGTCGATGGCAGAAGCTATAAGAACGTTGGGCGTAGTGACGTAGTTAAGTAATGAAGGACACCGATTTCTATCTGTTGGATGAACAATTATATTGATAATTTTCCCCGTTCGCTGAAAAGCTTCTTCAAACGTCAAGTCCTTGATGACAACCTTGTTCACAAAATTGATGAATAGGAAAACGTCCTTCGAATATCCGCGATGTATGACATTTTGCAATAAGGAGCCTAAATTCAAGTCTTGGTCAATATTCCCGTATCCACATTTTTTCAGCAGCTCTAAATCAGACTTGATTGCATTCAAAAGATTGTCACCAGAGAGAAGAGCAAAAAGTTCATCATTGGTGAGTACAGAACACAAACTCCCAATGCAAGCACCCATAGAGCTGCCACTTATGATATTTGGCAGTAACTTTTGATCGAGGAGGCCCCGAATAACACCTAGATGGAAAAGACCAAAAAGAGAACCACCTTGCAAAATGAACGCTGTTGTACCCAACGAGAGCTTACATCTCTGAAAAAAAGAGGTTGTGGCCATAGCTGGGGTTTCACATAAAAATTGCAAACATTCCAGGACTTTATCAAGGTACTGCTCGATAAGGAGTTTGGTACCAATTAGAGATTTGGTAAATAGTCTTTTGTCAACAATTCCTGCGAAGTTTCGAAGCATCGATGGGCCGGTAGTACTGAACCGATGAATGATCGTGTGGGCATCATTCTCCTCAAGTGCCTGGTCCAGAACAGCATATTGCTCGAGAACCGAATTTACGTCGTAGCGCTGCGAATAAAAATTGCGCCTCCACAGGTCAGCTCCGGTGATCTCATCAACGATAGCTGCTTTGTTGTACCAATCTTCGTAATTGCTGCATTGTTCAAGTTCCTGGATTGCACCGTGGTACAAGTTCCTTGACCTGGGACGAAAATAGTTCATCAAGCGCCGCATCCAAAATTGGATGATATCACAAGCCACATGGAAAACAGCCCAAACGAAGGGCGGGATGTGATTTAGAGCGGAGTAGAAGAACGAAAGGAAATACAATTTTATCATTGCGGGGTACTGTGATGTTTGTGGTGTTTCCGGAAGGAGGCAATGACGAGGAGCGACTAACTGTCTGACCTCTCAGAAATAAACTTGACGCAAATCACCCAAATATGCGTTTAGCGAGCTTCGAAGTGGTAAAGAGCTTCTGGTGCGTGTAAGATGGGAGCGGAAAATAACAATGACAAGACTCACTCCGGCTCAATGTTCAGTGACTGGACCCAAAATGCAAAAAAATAGGTACCTTAACACTCTAGATAGTCCAAAAGTGAAAGCACACCCTCTGAGTACAGTCCTGGTCCGAAGAGTCGCCTGCTTTTCGCTGACGTCTATTGTAGTAAATAATATGACCATCTGCGATGAAGCATTAATATAGTGTCAAAGCATCCAAAGTGGGTTATTGAGTACATATATGAGTACAAACCTCCATCATGTACGACGATGTGGACCCGATGCACTGGAACTGTGTGACGGCAAACTACTGGGCCTAATGATAGACAGTAACAGTCTTTTGAACAAGATGGGTATTTGCGCTGAGCAAATCCTAAGCAGGAATGTAATTATGTACTGTTCTTGCTAGATTTGCTATTTTCTGGAAGTTAAATGTGGCCATTGCGATATCCTGGCAGCTATTAGAATGATATCTGTATAGCAACACTATGAAGGAAACATTGACAGCGCAGGAATAATTAGCGAGTACACACTTAAAAGTTCATATTACCCAGAGATCGATGATCACTCTGTACTATTCTGGCAACGGGCAGATTAATGCAGGCGTCCAAAGTGATGCTCCATATATTCGGTGGCAAACCTTAAGAGTAACGTAACCCACTATCACGGTTAGACACTTGATCATACTCTTTAGCGGGCAAGCCTTTACAACTCAATCTTCGGGTTAAGACGATAACAGGCCTGAAAAGATGTTCAGAAATAACTACGATGGCGATTCGGTAACTTTCTCGCCAACCGGCAGACTTTTCCAGGTCGAATATGCTTTGGAGGCCATCAAACAAGGTAGTGTGACGGTTGGCGTCAGGTCCAAGAAGCACGCCGTGCTGGTTGCCCTCAAGCGTAATGCGGACGAGCTGTCCTCTTATCAGAAGAAAATCATCAAGTGTGACGAACACTTGGGTCTGTCATTGGCGGGTTTGGCTCCTGACGGACGTGTGTTGAGTAACTTTCTGAGGCAGCAATGCAATTACTCTAGCTTGGTTTACAACAGGAAGCTGTCACTGGACAAAGCGGGCTATCTGCTCAGTGACAAGGCGCAGAAAAACACACAATCCTACGGCGGAAGACCCTACGGTGTGGGGCTCCTGCTGGCAGGCTACGACAACAGTGGTCCTCATCTGCTTGAGTTTCAGCCTTCGGGAAGTACTCTCGAACTCTACGGCTCTGCAATTGGCGCTCGCTCGCAAGGTGCCAAGACCTACTTAGAAAGGACCTTAAACGAATACTTAGAGATTGAAGCTGCCGATGATTTGATTGCTGTAGCCGTAGACGCCTTAAGGCAGTGCCTGAAAGATGAATCACTCACGACCAAGAACCTGTCAATAGCAGTGGTGGGGGAAGATAAACCATTCACAGTTCTCGATGACGAGGCTGTTGCGCCGTATCTTTGAAGTGAGATAATCGGGCCCACGAAGACCTATGAAAACGCCTTTAGCCAGACGAATGTAAAGTATAGAATTAAATGCATCTTCAAGCACATGTTCATCAGGGACGGGCATTTCGTCGCCTCGGGTCAACTCCCAACCATCTACAGTTGTATATTGTAAGTCACATGTTATGAGGAACACAGGATTACTGCTCAAGTAGCAGATCTTGGGACTTTAATTAAACCTGATAGGAAAGGGAGGACATAGCAGACTGGTCCTGACATATCCTCACTTGTGAACTATATGCGGTTGATGCATGGTGTTTTGTTACGCAATTCCCTTTTGCGAGGTGGTAACTCACTGGCTTTCCAGCTGAAACCCGTTACTAGACTAAATGTCTTAGCGCCAATTGCCCGGAAGCCCTTTTCCACTACCAACCTGGGTGCATTTCACCAAATATGTAGTCAAAGAGCTCCTTCAAAGCCAAGTGTTGGAAGTAAACCCAAAAATGACTCCAAAACCCCCACCGTTTCGGAGCTAAAAATTATGAAAGATCTGTTTAGATACATCTGGCCACGAGGCGACAACAAAGTCAAAACCCGAGTGTTGATCGCACTGGGCCTACTGATTGGATCGAAACTTCTCAATGTTCAAGTGCCATTTTTCTTCAAGGAAATTGTGGACTCAATGAATGTAGAATGGACAGAGGTCACAACAGTGGTACCTCTGACAATAAGCGCCATGATCTTATCGTATGGTGCTGCGAGATTTGGGTCCACGTTATTTGGCGAATTGCGGAATGCTATCTTTGCAACAGTCGCGCAGAATGCCATTACCAAAGTCTCCATACAAACATTTCAACATCTAATGAAATTGGATCTTGGATGGCACCTGAGTAGACAAACAGGTGGACTTACTAGAGCAATGGATAGGGGTACGAAGGGTATCTCATACGTTTTGAGCGCGATGGTATTCCATATCATACCCATCACCGTCGAGATCGGTGCCGTTTGTGGTATACTGACTTATCAGTTCGGAGGTTCTTTCGCCGCAATGACAGTAACGACTATGTTAGTGTACTCCTTATTCACTTTCAAAACGACAGCCTGGAGAACCGAGTTTAGAAGAGCTGCAAACAGGGCAGATAACAAGGGTGCTGCAATTGCGGTCGACTCTTTGATAAACTTTGAGGCTGTCAAGTATTTTAACAACGAGAACTACTTAGCGTCGAAGTACCATAATTCATTAACAAATTACCGGGACTCTCAGATTAAGGTTGCCCAGTCTTTGGCTTTTTTAAATGCGGGCCAAAACTTCATCTTTACGTCGGCCTTAACAGCCATGATGTATATGGGCTGTTCTGGTATTGTCGACGGTTCATTGTCAGTAGGCGACCTGGTCCTAATCAACCAATTGGTGTTTCAGCTGTCAGTGCCCTTGAACTTTCTGGGAAGTGTGTATCGTGAACTAAAGCAATCATTGATAGACATGGAATCCCTATTTCAACTGCAAAGGAATGAAATTAAAGTACAAAACGTAAAAAGGCCATTTTTTTTGCCCGAAAAGAAACCATCTTCGATTGTTTTTGAAAATGTTTCCTTTGGTTATGTTCCGGAGAGGCTAATCTTGAAAAACGCGAGTTTTACCATTCCCGCAGGTTGGAAAACTGCCATTGTTGGTCCTTCCGGAAGTGGGAAATCGACGATATTGAAACTCGTATTTCGTTTCTATGATACTTTAGAAGGGAGGATTCTTATTGATGGAAAGGATGTACGTGAGCTAGACATGGAATCATTGAGGCGATCGATCGGAGTGGTTCCGCAAGACACACCTTTGTTCAATGAGTCTATTTGGGAGAACGTTAGATTTGGCCAGATCAGCGCTACAGAGGGAGAAATCTCCGAAGCTGTTGAGAAGGCTCAATTGCAAGCGCTGATAGACCAATTACCGGAAGGCCGGAATACAGTTGTTGGGGAACGCGGTCTGATGATCAGCGGCGGCGAGAAGCAACGATTGGCAATAGCAAGAGTTTTACTGAAGGACTCACCGATAATGTTTTTTGATGAGGCCACCAGTGCATTAGATACACATACCGAGCAAGCACTGCTGAGTACGATCAAAAGGAATTTTGTCACTGGTTCAAAGACAAGCGTCTACATCGCTCACCGGCTAAGAACAATAGCTGATGCCGACAAGATTATTGTGTTGGATAAGGGTCATGTTAAAGAAGAAGGTAAACACTCAGAGCTATTAGCGCGGCCTGAATCTCTGTACAAAGAGTTGTGGAACATCCAGGAAGATCTCGACATTTTAGAGGAACAGTTGCGCGAGGAGGAAAATGGGGTGGGTGGCTCAGGAACAAACCAAGAACCTGACAATAAGAACAAATTGTGACGCTGTAAATAATAGGAACGATATTCAGTAATTATATTCAAAATACCGCAGTAATTTGGTACTGCTTGATTACCGTACAAATCATGATACTAAAATATTGTGGTAGTAAGGAAGGAAGAATAACTCAAGTTGACAGGGTGAGACAATATTCCGATGAAATATTGAGGTTTAGCCTCAAGACGGAGATTAAGCATAACTGGCATCCATGCAAACTATTCAATACCTTTTAGCTACGAAAAGGAAGTAGAAACCAGGCGTAATGCGACTTGTTAATAGTCTGATAGCATCCTGACAAACATCAACGCAGTGTCAAAATAGTACTAAGTGACATACAGATCTCGGTACAGCGTACGTGCACAAGATGAATAATGAACCAACGGCATCCAAAGGGGCAGAGACTGCAGAGAAATGATCTTACTAGCTCCCAGGTACTTCTTGAAGCTCAAACTACAACCTGGTAGATGAAAATTTTGGGTTGTCAGGTCCTAATTTTACTTAACAGTTCCTGCCAAAATCCTGAGTAGATGACCTGCTGCATGCCTCATAGATGGATTTGGCAGATAATGCAAGACATTGCAGAGAGACAGCTAGCGACTTCTCGGCTCTGACGTTCCCACCAAGTACTCAGTATATAGACTGCGATGTTTCCTAAAGAGTTGAATAAAGAATTTTGGTATATGTCAAAGTTTGGCACCGCATGAACTAAAACATAGCGACAAATCAACGCTGTAACACAGCGTATTTCTGAATATAGCGAAAAGCTTGGATTTGGATCCAAATGTGTCCAAAAACACTTGGTTCACACTAAGCTGTTGATGCCGGCAGTGGCAGCTATACTGTCACACTGTACCCCAAAAAATTTAGATAGTTAGCAAGTATATCATGAAAGGAAGCTACCTCGTCGACTTGATCTCTAATTGATTATGGGGATATTCACAGTAAGCCACTTTTTTGGCTAATTGAGTCACGGTTGAGAGCAGAAAGATCTGACTCCTGTTATAGCTAATCGTATTCAGTGCCAATAATATATCATAAAAAAATTTCATAAAATTCGATGAGATGAGTTTGATTTAAGCAGGCCCAAGATGAGACTTCTTTTCCAACCATACTAATTTCTTAGTGTAATCCTTTTTCACTGGATCCTCTTAGTCCAGGACTAGTGTAGTCGGTGAGACTTTCTCAGTGCTTTAAATTGTTTTCCATAAAATGTGTGGTGTGTTAGGAATAGCTTTAGCAGACCAGTCCAGTGCAGTGGCTCCGGAGCTTCTCGATGGCTGTCTGTTCCTGCAACACAGAGGCCAGGATGCAGCTGGTATTGCAACGTGTGGCCAAAGAGGAAGACTTTACCAGTGCAAGGGCAACGGGCTGGCCCGTGACGTTTTCACGCAACAGAGAATGGCAGGTTTGGTAGGGTCTATGGGTATCGCTCATTTGAGATACCCAACCGCAGGTTCGAGCGCCAATTCGGAGGCGCAACCTTTCTATGTGAACAGCCCTTATGGTATTCTGTTAGGACACAACGGTAACCTGGTTAACACTCTTTCGCTCAGACGTTACATGGATGAAGATGTTCACAGACATATCAATACCGATAGTGACTCAGAATTGTTGTTGAACATATTTGCGGCCGAGCTTGAGAAACACAACAAGTACCGTGTAAACAATGATGATATTTTTCACGCGTTGGAAGGAGTGTACCGACTCTGCCGTGGTGGCTACGCCTGCGTCGGGATGCTAGCCGGATACGGGATGATCGGGTTTAGAGACCCTAACGGTATCAGACCTTTGTTGTTTGGTGAAAGACTGAGGCCAGATGGTACCAAGGATTACATGCTTGCCTCAGAAAGCGTTGTTTTGAAGGCCCACAATTTCACCAAGTTCCGCGACTTGGCCCCTGGTGAGGCTGTGATTGTTCCCAAAGACTGCGGTACAAACCTTCCAGAGTTCAAACAAGTTGTGCCTGTGAACTCATTCAGACCTGATCTGTTTGAATACGTATACTTCGCGAGGCCTGACAGTGTTTTGGATGGTATTTCTGTTTATCATACCAGACTACAGATGGGTGTCAAGCTAGCAGAAAGCGTCTCGAAGGTACTTGGCCCCGGTGACATAGACGTCGTAATTCCGGTGCCGGACACTTCTCGTACGTGTGCGCTAGAATGTGCAAACCGCCTGAGTCTTCCATACCGTGAAGGGTTTGTCAAAAACAGATACGTTGGAAGAACGTTCATCATGCCTAATCAAAAAGAACGTGTTTCCTCTGTGAGAAGAAAGTTGAACGCTATGGATTCTGAGTTCAAAGGAAAGAAAGTTTTGGTGGTGGACGATTCAATTGTAAGAGGTACGACGTCCAAGGAAATCATAAGCATGGCCAAGGAGGCCGGCGCAGAAAAGGTGTATTTTGCTTCTGCCGCTCCTGCTATTCGATACAATCATATTTACGGTATCGACCTAGCTGATACCAAGCAGCTGATCGCATACGACAAAACGACGGAACAAGTGAGTGAGAACTTGGGCTGCGATTTAGTTTTTTATCAGTCCCTAGAAGACCTCATCGACTGCTGTAAGACTGACAAGATCACTAAGTTTGAGGTCGGTGTATTCACCGGGAATTACGTTACGGGAGTTGAGGACGGATATCTCCAGGAGCTCGACAGAGTGCGCGCGTTGAATGCTTCAAAAAAATGCGAAGCCAAGGCCGAATCAGACATCGGTCTTTACAACAGCGCGGACTTTTGATTGGAAGCGAACCTTAGTTAGAAAATTGTAGATATATATTATAAACGAAGGGGTTGAACCACCGGTATCTTTATCTGTCGAGGACCTACTTTTCAAGATAAAAAATCAACATACTACAAAAAAGTCCCGATTTTTCCTCTCGTATAACGAGGACCTATGGCTTCCTCTCCTACTTCCACCGCATGGAATAAGTTGCTACAATTCCACATGGATTCCAGTGATGACTCAGACGATTTAGTGATTGTTTTATCGGCAGAATCGCAGTCTAGTTTACAAGATTTCCTCGTTAGGGTTCTTGAAGTAAAGGACGGAAAATCTAGCCTTGCATCAATTGGCTATTATCACAAGAAGTTTGACATTGGAGGCGAAGAAGAACTTGGCCGGCAAACGCTAGTACACATCTATACAGTTTCATGGCCATTAACGGCCTCAGCCGTGGATTTACTGTCCGTGTTTATAAATTCGGAGGTGGATGCTGTTCGGTGGGTATTTCTTTTAGATTGGATACAAGGCAACCATAAGCTCTGGCTGCGTGGTGTTTGTGACAGCCTCGAGGCATTACGGAACAAGCTCGCACGAAACATAGGAGGTTTGGATTTTTGCACGATAGTTGGGATGCAAGCCCACGTTTGCGGGGACTTGGAACTTGCGTCCTCAGACTGGGATTCAATAAAGATGGAGTTTATGAACCAATCATTGAGGTCATTGGCCCTTTTGAAAAGTGTCTCTCTGTTATCTTTTGAAGACACAACATCGGCCAAGGACACACTTGAAATGCGAAAAGTAGTACTGGGCCTTAAGTCCAAAAAGACCCCAGAGTTTATTGCCATGAATAAGCTCTTTGTGCCTCAAGGGTCAGACTCCGAGGGTAAAATAAAGACGATGGGAGAAGACTTCCCCGTCATGCAGGCCGACCAGCTGTCTTTCATAGAGAAGCAATTCGAGCGCATTATTCCGGGAAGGCGTCAAGGAGAGAGAGTTTCTAAGGATAGATACAACATGAAAGACGCCAAGAAAATTACAGAGATCCCCGACATTGATATTCAGACAGAACTAGCAGAAATTTATCAACTACAAAAGTCTTCTCTATTAAAGTCGATGACCAGTCAAAAATCAACACTCGAGTCTCTCGAACCCAGTAGCACGCCTGATACTTGGCAAAATGATTCCTGACCACAAACAAGGCTACGGTGGCTTGTATGTCTGTGTTCTTCATTCAAGCTAACCGGCGGAAGTCCCACGCGTCTCACGTGATCGAGGTCAACAACGCTAAGGTTCAACCACACACAAATTTTTTGAAGGTCCAACTACCGATGAGAAGCCTGGTTACTTACTGTACACAATAGTGAGGCATAAGATATCTTTAGGCCCTTGCATCCCGACCAGCGCTTAGCAGAGTGTTCTTTATAGATCTGACTGTTATCACTATTTGTTTGTCGTTTTCGCCCGTTAGGAAGCAGAGTAGTGGTTTTAACACGGGAAAGGTGGCATTACTCGGATCTGGTGGTAAATTGTATTTGAAGGACTGGAGGTTTGACCAGTTAGTTTAGAAGAATCTTTATATGGGCCTTCAGATGAGCAAGAGTGTTGACCCACGAACTGAAAGTGTGAGCGATTCTGTTCTGGCGGAAAAGGCAAATACCATAGCTAGCCCTATGGCTCGGGAAGGCCAGGCAAAGTCGCAGGACGAGAGCTCCTTTCAGTCTCGTGTTGCAAGACTTAGTATATGTGAGGATGAAAAGTCTAGAGAAATGATAATGAAATCCGTGCGCCAGCAGAAAAGCTCGGGCAGCTTGAGTGAAGACATCAGCGACGGCTCTTCTCCTTCGGCAAGTGCTATGCAGCAGCAGAGAGCGGGCTCTAAAAGGCGTCGTAGAAGATCTAGCGGGGTCGCAGGTCCAACTCTCGGAAACTTGAGAAAAAAGGCGGAGGAGCTTCATTCGACAACATCAACGAGCAACATCAAGAAGAAGAAAAGGACTTCCAAACCGGCGAGTATTGTGGTTTCCAGGAATGAACAAAAGAAGGTTTCCATCAAGGATTTACGTGATTTGGTGCTTTACATATTTCAGGATACAAACAACTCAACAAGGTGGGTGCAAGTTGAAAATCGTAGTGCCATAACTAAAATGATCGTCTTGTTTGTTCCTGGATTATTGCCTGAAGATTTTAAGTCGGGGCCAATAGACGAAAATGGCAATAGCGACGCTGAAGCAGATTCAAAATCCTTAGCATCAGTCCAAGACTCTGAACTCATTGATTCTTTACAGCGTTTTCCAGTATCATCACCAGGCTCGAAAAATACTCTTTACTCGGCCTACAATTCATTTGTGAATGTAGGGCTTAGCAAGAAGGAAAAGGAGGAGAGGAGGTTACAACTTAGCAAAAGAAAAGTCACTTTGAATGATTTGATAATGACCACTAGCCAACTGCTGGAAAACGAGTATCCTATTCATGAAGGGACTATAGGGCTGAGTGCCGAAGAGATCGAAAGGCTCTCTAATAAACATGCTGAACAACCATTATGGAAAAACACTCAAGCTTTCGACCACGATGGCTCTCATACATTTGCTATGGATTGTGAAATGTGTATGTCTGCGGAGGGATTGGTGCTGACTCGGGTGAGCTTAGTCGATTTCGATTGTAATCTGATATACGATACTCTTGTCAAACCTGACGTGCCCATTACTGATTACCTTACCAAATACAGTGGTATCACCGAAGAGAAGCTACAAGATGTTACCACTACTTTAGAAGATGCCCAAAACGCTATCATTCGCTTAGTTAGCTCGGGTGATGTGCTCATTGGCCACTCGTTACAATCAGACTTAAATGTGCTGAAACTTAGACACCCGCGAATTATCGATACCGCAGTAATATATGAACACAAAGCTGGGCCACCTTTCCGCCCAGCACTGAGATATTTGGCTTCAGAATATTTGAGCCAAGACATTCAAAATAGCGAGGGTCTAGGTCACGATTCTTTTGAGGATGCAAGGGCCTGCATGGAACTTGCAAAACTGAAGGTTCTTAATGGGCTTGCTTTTGGTGTGGGAATAAACACTGAAAATCTTTTTGAGAGGCTAAGCAAAACCGGTGTTAAAAGCATGTGCCTGAACGATTACGCGCCAAAATTGACGGAATTATGTTCAATTGAAGATGCACCACAGGTCAATATGAGGTGTCAAGATGATGAGGAGGTTTTCGATAATATCAACAAATATATGAACAATTTTAATTTGTTTGTGGGGCGCCTTAGAGAACTGGAGTTCGCCCGCAACTTTTCAGTACCTTCGCCGGGTGTTGTCAAAAAGGATGTCCAAGTGGCGAAAGATGACTTTGGTCAGCGTTTGGAAACATTATACCGCGAGTGCCCACCATCTACTGTGTTCCTGATTTGCTCTGGTAGTGGAGATACTCGGCAGTGGACCAAGATTATGGGAGAAATTAACGACCTGGATAGAGATGATAGGAATGATGAAAGGAAGAAGAGAGAAACAGAGATACATGCGGCGGTTTCCCAAGCCAGAGACGCTATAGCACTACTAGCAGTTAAGAAAGAAATTCATTGAACGCATATATTATAGATTAGTTAGGTAATGTGTGATCCTCTGGTAATTCAGTTAGTCTTTATAAGGACGTCAATCAACTTAAATTGATATCTCCCTCAGCATCCGTAGGCACGATCGGGTCCTTTGCTTCCGAAGTCTCCGGCTGCCCCATGCTTGAGTCCACCAAAATTTCTGCATCCTGCTCCGGGACAGACCTTTGAGGAGCGTTACTTTCGGAAGTTACGTCTTGCTGATCAGATTGTCCACTCGACTGACCTTGATTAGCTGCAGCCAATCCTGGAAGTGTTTCCTGGCCACCTACAGCTCCTCTTATATCTTCTGCCGAAAGGCCCTCTGAAGATGGATGGCCATCACTGACTGGCCCCTTGGCTCCGGGGGTTGCTTCATTCGAGCGTGTTCTGTCAAACAGGGTCAAGTCGATGATTTCGTCCGCGTCCGCGTCCAGATCGTGCCATCCCGCTTTTTCACTAGGCTGCCACACTTTGTACTTGAAATTGTATAGCTCTTCTCCCGAAGCGTCGTTCTCATCGGATTTTTCTGTACCGATGACACTTGTTTGTCTGAGTTTTTGGGGTGTACACCAGTCAAATGTCCAAAATTTATGGGTGCTATTGCCAAATGTGAGTACACTGGCATTATTGGCACGCGCTATCAGCGTGTTGGCTTGCATTTTAATATCCAATGGACAGCAGGAACTATATTTGTGTGTTTTCGATTATCAGGTATTCCAAATATTATGTGTAGTTTAGTTTTCTACAGATCGAATTTTAAAGTGACAACTGTTAAAGAGGTTTAACATCAAAGTGCCAAAAGTCTAACTTAGACTTACGACTACTCTTTGCAGGCCATCATGGTCAATAGAAAACAATCTAAACAGGAGAAGGCTTCAAAAGGTGACTTGACCAATGAAGACGATGCCTATGATGCGATTTTTAGCGGACAATTTGGGTCCATGGAGATTGGCAATTATATAGGACCAGCGGACGCCCAAACAGAGCATTTGCCAGATGCAGTGGACTTTGAAGATGAGGATGAGCTAGCCGAAGAAGAATTACCCGAGGAGACAATTTCGAGCAAGAAGCGCGAAGGGGAAGTTGGGGAAGATTATATTGACATGCTAGGTGAGAGTGGGACTATGTTGGATAACAATGCAGGTGATTATGGCCAAAATAACAATGCTCTCTTCATGGGGGTAGACGGGCAAGGATCTGCATATCCAGAAAACGAGCACCACCATGTCTTCGGTGATTTTAGAGATGAACGCCAGGTGGCTCTCGATGAACAGCGAAAGCAGCTCAAGCGTGAACAAGCAGCAGCCGAACAGAAGCAGCTACTTCTATACTATTTCCCCAAGTTTCGCAAGGGGAAAACTCTTAACCTCTTAAGTATCCTTCCCAAGCAACTGGCCCAATACCAATGGCAAAGAGATCTGTACTTGACAAACAGACAATGGAAACCATTTCTACCAAGTAAATTGCGCATTCAAGTTCAGCCAGACTCACGCCGTTTGTTCAAGGCTAAAAGCAAGAGCTGGCAGGCTTTGACCAACCAATCTAAGCGGAAAAAAGCAGGTCTGGTCACAGTGCCATTGGACGAAGTTTACGGTGAGGAATCTTCAGATACAGAGCGCAGCAAAGGCAATGAACCAATTCCAGAGGAGCTCATGATGGTTGCCGATGATTGGGACTACAATAAAATAATTGGGGATTCAGATGGCGAGGAAAACCCACTTCCGTTGACTGTTCTTAGGTCAAAGATACAAGGTAGCAATGACGATTGGAATTGGCATGAAGACGATATCATAGAGGGGAAGATTGGACGAAATAAAGTTAGTTTGGATATGAACGATGAGAAACTTATGTTTGTCAAGGACAAACACCGGGATCATAGGGAATCGAATGGAACAGGAGCTTTGTTCGCATTCAATGAGAAAACTCTTCATCAGAAGTTTAATGTTTCTAATGATAACATGTACAAAATACTGAAAGAGAACTACCAAACAAAAATACGTTCAACAATTTCAAATTTGACCATCGAACACTCCCAACCTGCTCTTCGGTTACAGTCACCATTTTATAAAGTGGTACCACCCAAAGCCCTTATACGAAATTTCCACAGACCCAATTTTGGCTCTTTGGTTAGGCCCGGTACCAATATTGTCTTTAGCAAAATAAAGACCAGAAAGAGAAAGAAGGATAAGGGAAAAGATATTCGTGAGCTTTTTGCAAGCAGTCACGATCTGACAACTGGTGACAGTGCACCTATATTTTTGATGGAGTATTCAGAAGAAGCGCCAGTTGCGTTATCCAAGTTTGGTATGGGGAATAAGTTGATAAATTACTACCGTAAAACGGATGACAAGGATGGCTCTAGACCGAAATTATCTGTAGGAGAAACACATGTCCTGGGTGTTCAAGACAAGTCACCCTTTTGGAATTTTGGGTTTGTGGAACCTGGGAATGTCGTGCCAACACTATACAATAATATGATCAGAGCTCCTGTTTTCAAACATGATGTGTCAGGTACGGACTTTCTTTTAATAAGAAGTACTGGTAATGGGATGGGGAATAGATTTTACTTAAAAAACATCAACCACCTGTTCACTGTGGGTCAAACCTTCCCGGTAGTCGAGGTCCCAGGTCCAAATTCCAGAAGAGTCACCTCCATGGGTAAGAATCGACTGCGCATGATAGTTTATCGTATTTTAAACAAGTCTGCCGAGCATCGACTCCTTGTCAAGCAGGTAGCGAGACATTTTCCAGATCAAAACGATATGCAGAACAGGCAACGATTGAAAGAATTCATGAAGTACCAGCGTGATGGTGATGATCATGGATTTTGGAAACTGAAGGAATCTGAGGTTTTACCGGACAATGAGAACGTCAAAAAGATGATTATTCCGGAAGATGTTTCACTCACTGAATCAATGTATCAAGGCCAGCAATACCAAGAAGATAATGAACTTTACAACTTTGATGAAAAGCTACGAAAGTTGGAGGAAAATCTTATTCCTTGGGCTGCAACTAAAAACTTCTTGAATGCTACTCAGATGCGTGCAATGGTGCAAATCCATGGATCTGGTGATCCAACTGGTTGCGGGGAAGGATTTTCCTTTCTCAAGACATCTATGAAAGGTGGTTTTACAAGGTCTGGTCCAGGACTAGAGCAGCAACAAATCGCAGGGGGTCACAGCTACAACGTTGCTCAACAGCAAAAGGCATATGAGGAAGAAATCAGTAAGACTTGGTACACTCAAGCCAAGAGTTTGCGGATCTCAAACCCTTTTGAAGAGATGGAAAACCCAGATGTTGTTAACAGAACTAACAAGAGGGTAAGAGCGCACCGGGATGACAGAAAGGTGCTGAGGATAATACGAAAGTCAAGAGATGAAAACGGAATCATTCAACGTCAGACTGTTGTTATCAGAGACCCTAGAGTTATCCAAGGGTATATGAGAGCTTACGATCGTAAGCGAGAGGAGGCCGAAGCCAACCTAGGGCTTGAAGAACTAATGAATGATAACATAGATTTGGTGAGTGGTGGTAACACAGAAGAGAAGCAGCTTAAACAAAAGAAGCTCTTGGAAGAACAATTGGCTAAATTACAGAAATCACAGGAACGTAGACAGGCACGCAAGCTTGCGAAGGAGAAGACTAAAGATGGGAAAGTCACAAAATCTCGAAACACTAATCGGAGATGTGCAACCTGTGGTATGATTGGCCATATCAGGACTAACAAATCGTGTCCTATGTACAATGGGGGTACGGGTGCCCAAGTAGCTGGTGCAGGCACCCCTGTTCCGCCATCCACGGATCAAACAGAGCCACCCGAAACGAAGCAAGAGGATGAAGGAGCCGATGCCTAAGATGATTCTGGCCCATGTAATTTTTAGTACGTAAGTATGAAGTAGTCATTTAAAAATGCATAATAGCGGCGTCTTGACATAATTCGCTAATTAAGGCAAACTCGAGGTCATAGGCAGCATATGCCACATAGCCTGGTTGGCCTTTAGGTGTTCCAATCGGGTAGTGTCTTGGTGAGACTTTGTCATTCTCTTTTATACAGAATGAAATGGCGCCTTGGTGAGGCTCGTAGTCAGAAGTGATTTTTTTCATGATAGATTTGAATTCCCCTCGCTTATCGCAGCTGGGGCCACCTACTGCGAAAACCTTGTAAGCAGAACTCCCTGCTGCTAAACTTTCCTTTACTGGGGTGCAATGGAACCAATCATAGTTTACCCGAGTTGAATATTTGAAGAGTTCTACGGCAGCAATCAAGGCAAGGCCCACACAAACATATTCAAACAACCTGAACAATTGCGGCTTTCTTTGAACCATCTTGTAGTGAATTTACTCGCTGGGCCTGTCTAACAAATTGAGTTTGAATGGTTTATTAGAGCCTCAGTTATCTTCATTTAATTGATACATGAAAATGAAAGTCAACGCAAACGAACTAAGAATCAAACAGAAAATTTAGTTATCATACATAGCTACATAGTCTTTCGAGTTGTTAAAAAACACACGTTTTTGACGGGAAGGTGTGAAAGCTTAGCATTAGCATCGTTAAACACATTCGCTAACTTCTCCCCACTCCCCTGTAATAATTACAACAACTTCCTGAAAGTGTGAATTTTGGTGTTAAATGTCTTTTTTTTAGTTGATTTAGATGCTTTTGGCTGTATATGGTGCGTGAAGCACTTGATTCCTTACTCAAAGTTGTAGGAGCCGCTAACCCAGTCGTTGACCATTGCAAGGGCATTTTCTGGAACGTCAAAAGGAACCATATGTCCACCGCCATAAACTCTTAAGAAGGTGAAGTTCTTGTAGTTTTTCACCTTACCAGCCTTCTCACCTGTCGTGCTGGAAATCCAGCTCTTCACTGGTTGGTCTTGGAACTTTTCAGCCTCCTTCCATGGCAGAGCATTTGACCAGGCTTCATTACCCAGCCAGTTGCAGATAAAGTCCTTGTCGCCGGCGTAGATCAAAACAGGTAGTCCTTGGTTCAACAAGTTGGTGACCGCTTGGTGATAAGGTTTCATCCAATCTCCTGCAAACAAGAAGTTTCTGTTGATGTCAAAGTTACAAGATTCGTAATGGTCTACTTCGGCACCAACGGCTTGCTTCACGACATCCAAATTCAAATATTCATCCATGTACTGCATTTCTTCGTAACAAAGTTGACCCTTGCATTCCTTGCGAATGTCGTAAACGTTTTTCCCAGTCTTTTGATATGGGCCCATTTGGGCATTGTTACAGTAGATCGATGCTGGAACACACGTCCAAATGGACTGAGATTCGTAGCACGCTTCAATCAAGCTCAAACAACGGGGCAAAGTGTCCAACATCCCTTCACACTCTTCGGGCTCTAGGACAGAAGGTTCTCCACCCTCACCACAAGCCATGGGTTCGTAGTAAGGATATTGAGTCAACGGATCCGTCAACCCGTTGCCAATCAAAACCGAGGTTAGATTGAAATTTCTCTCTTCCGCAGAATGCGACAAGATTTCTGTGGCAAAAACAGGAATGTAATGGCCTGCATAAGATTCACCAGCAATGTGGAAATCTTGACCAGAAGCGTATTCCGGGAATTGCTTGAAAAATAGTTGCAAGAAAGCGTACACGTCTTTTCCAGCAGCAACGGTGTTTGAAACACCGCCAGATCCGGAATACGAGTAACCCACGTTAACTGGCTGGTCCAAAAAGATCACGGACGCATTGGAGTTCCAGGCGTGGGGATTGTATACGGGCTTCAAGTTCGAGCCGATAGAAGATGGTCCCAGCTCGAAGAAAAGGCCCGTGAGGGAGGAGCAACCGGGTCCCCCGTTAAGCCACAGGATGACGGGGTCATTTTTGGGGTCGTTTCTACTCTCAAAAAACCAGTAGAAGAAATGCTTGTCCTCTTCCTCAACGTCAAGATACCCTGTGTATTGCTTCACGCCCGGGTCAATACCTAGGATCTGAGGGTCCTTAATCTCGTTCACACGCAACTTGTGCTCGGCGTGTTCCTGCACGACGAAGTCCCATTCCGAGTCTGGTTTGGCTCTTGTTTTGGTGCGAGGCTTGGTCACGAACTCTAGCTCCGAGGTCTGCTGGGGGAACAGCATGCCCATTTCGCCCCAGATATTTTGGATTTCCTTGGGCACCGATTTTTGCAGCTCTTGCTTGCTGACGCCTAGAGCGTTCATAGCCTTATCCAGAAGCGTATCCGCCTGGAAAACATTTTGCAGAGAAGTCGCCTGGACCGACGAAGCAGCCACCAAGGCTCCTGCCAGTAGCGTAGCCCCCTTCATGAGGATTCGAATAACGGGTCACGATTGAAAAAGCCCACAAAGACTGCTTGAATGAGTACAAATGAACGATTATCTAAACCAAGACGAGTCTAGAGAAATATCGCTATACTATGTGTGAAGCCTTCAATTGTTAAGCCGCCAACAACGAGAGATGACGGGTCCTTTATCTCGTTCTTGTTCAAAGTTTGGTTCTGTGCTGTCTTATCTTCCGTGATGGCGATGGCCCTTATATAGGTCAATATTCGGCGAAAAAGGGGGGTGACATATCTAACACTTTACTCATCTGAATGGCAATGAGTAAGATTGTAAAAAGGCTAGCGACATTGATGCTATAAGCATTGGGAACTAGCTGTTAGTTTCGAGACCCTGGGAACTTATAAAGGAAGGTCTCTCTAAAGTCATCGAGGCAGCGCCCTTCTGGACTTCTGGAAACTTTCTGTGCTTGTTTTTGCAACTTGTAAGAAACGGCCCTAGCTGCTAGCGGAGCTCGCGCGCTGGGGTTTGTTTACAGGGGGGAGCAGACTTAGTGTTTTGCGAGGTCCATCGATTGTCTATAGTTTTGGTTTAGTTGTAGTATCAGAAGTTGGACGGTTGCCGGCAGGAAAAGCTAGGGGCAGGAAAAAGAAGAGGTTGAGTAGGTCTTCAACAATGCGAGACAGGAGGTCAAGCACGTTTTGTTATTATGTCCGTGCCCTTGCTTTCTTGAAAAGCGAGTAGCTGGTATTCTGCTGGTTTGCATATGCGGTGTGATTCTGTATCGCATGCTCGTAAGGAAGAGCTGGATATCTTGTCTTCTTGGGTGTGGACGTTTACAAGAGGAACGCTGTATGTGGTAGTATACCAATAGACACACAGTTTGGGCGATCTGAGGAGCTGCACGAGGTATCATAAGGGCCAGACCCTGCCCAGGCAAATAAAATGGAGCATCCAACGTATAATAACTACTGGCCAGGGCGAAGTGTGGAAAGGCTCACCACGATGGTCCTAGAAACAAGAAAAATCAGAACCAATCGTCTCTGCCTTTCGGCTAACTAGAAAAATCACTCATTATGCTACGTTCCAATCTTGACGGGTATAGCATCGAGTCGGGAATTTGATGAATTTCAGGTGGCTTCGCTACAATTGCTATCGATAGGGATCCCAACGGTGGATTTCGGACATTCATGTTTTACTGTCATCGCAAATACCCCGTTTCGATCAATGCACATTATACTACTACTCCACGAGATTCAAAAAGTGCTAAATTACTACCATTTGGTAATTGCAAGAAGAGATAGGAAACTAGGCACTATCAACAGCGTCCCTTCCAATATAGTAGGCCAAAATTGAATTTGAGGGATAAAAAACATTGACTCAAATAAGACATTTGAGCATGTGGATTTACCAGCCAAGACCACGGGCAACCAAGTACCCAAATTTACTCCCACCCGAGGCACCCTCTCGATCAATAATCGATCGACCTGTTCTATGTCAGTGACTTCAATGACCTTTTCACCATGTTTTCTCTCGTCGAGGAAGCTAACCATAGTAGAAACACCACCCTACAATCAAAACGAGGTGTCAAATAGTCACTCGCAAGGTCTAGCCATCTAACAAAACCCTACTTGATCTTAACCCCCGACCTATTTGTTATTCATCCTTCTACACCTTAACTATCGGACATCACTACGTACAAAAGTGACATCACATCGGGTGAGCTGTCGAAGACACCCTCGACAGTAACCACTACCATCTGCCACACCTTATATCCGCATAGGAGCCATCTAATAGCCTGTGGCCCGCTCCAGGGGACTCTATTATCACTAGATCTGTAAAAGGCATATACTACTTGAGATACTCTGTCACTACTGACGAATAAAGTAGACGGCTATTTTCATCCTGTATATTTACAGCTTAGTTTACGCTTCACCCAGTCTATAGCGAACGGAAAGGAGCTCCGAACAATTGTAGAAATTGCAGGCGTTTTGAGTTATCGGTCGATACTTAAGGTAATATTCAACTCAGAACTCGATCTCGATGCAACCTCCGGCGGTCTTGCCAAGTTCCATCGTGGTTCCGGATATCATATTGAGGATTTCATCCTATCTGTGGTACTACTGCCAAAACGCTGTCAATGCAATTCCAGGGAGCCATTTTGTGGTGGACTATGTTAAGAGGTCGCACCAGCACGATCCCTATCGCACGATTGTGGAAGTATTTCTGATCATCTACGGAATTGTCTATTTTTTGAGGAAACCTCGCAAACAGGGATTCCAAGATGGGCCCAAACTGTCCAATAAGGAGGTTGAGGCGCTCCTCGATGAATGGCAACCTGAGCCACTCGCAAATGACGCGTCCAAAGTCGAGTGGCGCACTCAAAAAATCGCCGTTGTGCAGAGTTCGACCTCAAGTTCCCATGTTGATGTGGTACGTGACGATGGTAAAGAGCGGTTCACGAGTGTGTTGAATTGCTCGTCGTACAACTTTCTACAACTTTCTGCGGAGCCTAGCGTTGCCAAGGTCGCCAAAGACACAGTTCGCCGGTACGGTGTCGGTGCGTGTGGTCCTGCCGGCTTCTACGGTAACCAAGACGTTCATACCCATCTCGAATATGATTTAGCTCGATTCTTCGGCACAGAAAACGCAGTTTTGTATGGCCAGGACTTTTGCATAGCGGCTTCCGTGATCCCTGCTTTTACTAAGCGTGGCGACGTTATTGTTGCCGACAACAGATGCAGCGTTGCGATACAAAACGCTCTTCAGTTGAGCCGTTCCACCGTTTATTACTTCGAACACAATGACATGGAGGCTCTGGAGGAACTTCTGCAACAACTTCAAGAACGGGAACTCAAAGATAGCCTGCCTGTGCTTCCTCGAAAATTCATTGTCACGGAGGGCTTGTTTCACAATTTGGGTGATATCCCACCGCTTCCAAAACTGGTGGAGTTGAAGCACAGATACAAATATAGACTTCTGGTTGATGAAACCTTTTCTTTGGGTGTGTTGGGCAGTACTGGTCGCGGTATAACGGAATATTTCAACATGCCACGCAAGGAAAGCGTGGATATTACGGTTGGCTCTCTAGCCACTGCATTAGGCTCGTCAGGCGGTTTTGCACTAGGAGACAACGTTATGTCCTTGCATCAAAGAATCGGGTCACACGCATACACATTCTCTGCCTCCCTGCCCTCATTTGCGGTCACTACTGCATCAGAAGTGTTAAAACTACTAGAAAAGGATAGAACAACGGTCGAAAGACTTCACATTATATCTCAGAAGCTGCACAACTTTTTTGTCGGGGACAAGGAGCTCAAAAGTTACATCGACATTCTGTCGGACAAAGATTCAAGCGTGCTTCATCTCACCCTAAAGGAGGATATTAGAAATGAGTTTTTTGGTTACACTGAGGACTCGTTGTTTGATGAAATGTCGGCAATGCACAACAAATACTTATCGGAAAAATACGTTGAGAACTACGAAGTTGAGGAAAAGTTTTTGCAACAAATTGTGGACATCGCATTGGTAGAATTTGGCGTCCTCATCTCCCGTAATACTTTTGTTCTGAAGCACGAAACGTTGCCAATTACACCAGGCTTAAAAATATGTTGTGGCGCCAAGATGAATGACCAGGAGCTTTCGCTTGTGTGCGAAAGTGTGAAGACTGCTATTCTGAAAACTCTAAAGGTATGATGAGCGGGGCGTTGCTAAGTCAAGGCAGAGATGCGAGTATACTCTGCCTTGACTTAGCATTCGCATGTTGCACCATCACAGGCTTCTCATTTCAAATATTGGGGCGAGAAGAATAATGTCATTGCAAAGTCCATTTGGAGAATGCCAAAGAGATCGCCGCTCATGTGTCTCCCACAAGGACCGCTAATACTCTATAAAACTTCCATACTAATACTCTTATAGGCCGTTGTCACTCTGTTTCTGGGTCAAGGAAGTACATTCAGTCTCGACTTTGAACAAGTTTCCCTTGGCAAAGGTGGCCACAAAGAGAAGAGTGACCAGGAACATCGGTACCGCGTCAAATACAAAGATGAACCACTCATGTTCAATAATGTAGCCACTGTAACCTTGAATAAATTCCACCAATCTCACGATCGACCTCACGAGAATGAGTATGCTGCACATGAACAGATTGATGTTCAAAACTTTCCAGTGCCTCGAGATGTAAGGGGTGATCCGAGAAACTTTGTCTGCGAGGAACAAGAACCTCAGTTCCGTGATTACAAACAACCCAAATATGATAACTTGAACAACAAGGCCCGCGATAATAATATTGGACCCCAGTTCATGATTGTCGCTACTGCCTAGGATACCACCACCTGCACCTTGAAGTAAGATACTCAAAACATCGCCTGCAACAAAAATGGTGGTGCTGAATTTAATAGGCACGAAAGAGACTTGTGTAGCATTCAACAGGATCATCAGCCGGCCGAAATTCATGTAAATTGTAGCAGCCATGAAAGCTGCCGCCACCAGAAGCATCACGGTCTGGGCCACGTATGAGCCAAGCGAGTAAACATCGCTCCTCGATGCGATTCGTGCAATGTATCCTCCACACTCGGCAAGTATTCCGATCAGTAGTGGTATGAATTTTGTAACCAGCCGCAAGTTCGAGCACGGCTCAATGGGCTTGATGGTCGTGGCTGTGCCCTTGCCGTCGGATTCAAATACATTTTCTTTGTCTAGAACGAGAGATCTAACGTCTGAGGGCTGTTTGAAAGCTGCTTCTCTTTCCATCGCCTTCCTCTTTCTGCAATACCATCCGATTTGCACAACCAAGGCTATGAACGTGAGGCCAAACAGTATCGCAAACGCTACAGCTCCACCTAATGACGGCATATACGCGTAATACGAGTATGCCTTGTACATTTCCACGCTTCCGGCACTGTTGGTGAACGAGCCATAAGCCACCGTGGTAGTATGTGAGCCGCTGGTGATCGTGGTAGTAGAGTATGTCATCACCACTTCGCAAGAATTTCCACGTACTGCCCTGTCTCCCGTCTGGACCCTTTGAGAGCTTATTTCGAACCTCCTTCGTCTTATATTCGTAGAGGCCCGAACAGTGTTTACTTTAAGACTAAAAATACTCCAAGACGCTGCTACACGGCCACCAGCGAGACTAGAAACCATCAAGATTCCACAACTCACCGTTACCAGGGGCTCATTCGCGTGGTGGCTTTTTTTTCTGAGTAACCACCGGCTGAGTTGAGCTAAGCACCGATATCTACGATTCTTCTGCGGCCGAATGACCGTGGCATTCTTGTGACTTGGTTGTCATTCGAAATAGGCCGAGTTTACTATGGTGATTCACATCATGTTGTACTAACACTCAGAAAGTATGGCAGGCTAACCGTGGACGTGATAATGTGGACGATGGGCATGTCGCAGTTGCAGGGACGGCAAAATGAAGATCATTGTAACAAATATCGCAGCAGTCGTGGCTGTGCGCAACTGTCCAAAACCTCTGCGTAAATCCGCGGGTGAACACATCATTTTTTTAGAAGCAGTCCAATCGGCGATCGTGGCTGTGAAACTAGCGAGGGGCCTCCTCCGCTGTCGAGTCACATATCGAAGTTCCTGTGAGATGGTTCTGATAGTTGTTGGTTGGCAAACGAACTTTCGAATAAATGCATCAAAATTTTCGATCACTTCATCACATTGTGACGCGAGCGATGCTCAGCTCTCGTAGAAAGCTACAGCAACTAGAAAATCGACTTGGGGTCCGCCTCGAGAACTGACTCGAAAACATATATAAGTAATGTTATACGATATCTTTTGCCAAGCCTCCAAAGTAATATAATCGGCAGCTCCACGTATCAGAGTGTAGTCGTTGTTAACACACAGCTTCTTTCTTGCTCCATCGCCACAATAGCTTTTAGGGTGCTGAAATTCCTGCCTTTTTGAGCTACAAGCACAGTACTTTCACTCCTTTTCCCGTGCAAGAAAATGGGTATCTTCAGCAAGAACAATGATACTTTGTCCGTGCCACAGGCGCACGCTCCCGACGTGAAGCTCACCAAAGATGATCAGTTCAAATTTAGATCCACCTCCATTCACGACCCCGTTTTGGAAGCAGTGCAAGAGGCTCAACCGTTTGAGCAGGCCGCAGACACGTCTCAGGATGATCCAAACCGACAATCGTACTACTCCGGGGAACACGAAGGTGACCACCCCAGAGATGTTTTTGGCCAGCCCATCCACCAGCCTGACGTCTCCAACCCTACGCGGGCCAGAGACGAAAGACCGCTTGACACCATCCGTGGTTTCGAGTATGCCATCTCAGGCGACCCTTCGTGGGGTCAGAGACTCGAGACCCACCAGTACGGGTTTCGCGTAAGGCCTGATTTCCCGCAGTTTGGCAACGTGGATCCACACGCGATGAATGCCTCCCAGCAAGGCTACTTGCAAGACCAGGCGGTTTACACGGCGCCGGCGCCTAACGCCATGTCTGAAGGTGGCAAGAAGAAGAAGAGAGGTCTTTTTGGCCGTAAGAAAAAATGATTCTTCTTTTTACCTTACGTCACTGCGCGATATAGCTGAACATGCACCTTTCTCCGTGTGCGATTGATACCCTAAATGCTTTATATACGATACTTTTAATGTTTGTTCTATTACGTTACGACTAAAGTTCAATTCAGGTTCATAACTTACTGCAATGCCCCACTTTTGCTACAATTATGAGAGAAGACGCCTTGGGGAAACACTAGATAGATGTTTTGTTCACCCAATTCATGGCAGTTTACTTTCCCGTGGTTAAGTTTTCAAGGTGTTGATGCCGAGGGCCTCATCTATGCTGAAAAATTTCAATGGTAATGACGGGAAGCCAGCTCATCGCCCCGATAAAAGTGAGGTAAAAGGTTCAGCACCAGTGTGTCGATATGGATACAAAGCACAGGAGAAAACCCTCTAGACCGTCAGGAAAGTCTATTCAACTGGCACACGTCTTAGGTTCTGGCTCCAATAAAATCAAGAAGAAAATCCGGGACATTGAAAGACTGCTGCAACGCAAAAAAGATGTCCTTCCAGATACAGTTTTGATTGAGAAAGAAAGAGCTTTGGATGCTCTGAGGCTAGAACTACAAAATGCCGAAATGCGGGTCAAAGTACAGAATAATGCCAAAAAATACCATATGGTACGCTTCTTTGAGCGCAAGAAAGCACTCAGAAGGTATAATCAGGCTGTTAAAAATGCCAACAAGAAAGACATACGAGAAAGGGCCATAGACCTCTGCTATGTTGTGAACTTTCCCAAGACAGAGAAGTACATTGCTTTGTACCCCGCCGAAGAGAATGAGGGTTTCACAGAATCCAAGACAGGTATTGAAAAGACGGACGCTCGGCGGTCGACCTATCGTGATTTGGTTGCATCTAAAATGGACTCTGATGACCTTCCCGTGTCCTTATCCGGTATACTCAAGGGTGACAAACTTTCAAGAGAGCATAACGGCCTGCAGTTGAAGTCGCCCCAGAGCTCCAGCTCTGATGCTGGGCCCAGTAGCCGTGGGCCCTCTCACATGCAAGAAGAAGATGAAGACGAGGAAGAAGACGACTTTTTCGAGAGTTGAGTTGGAAAGCCTTAAACTACACACTTTGTATAATATTATAACAGGTAGGCTCCTTGAAAACTTTGATCATAATATTTGTCTTATTACCTATTGCATTATTGCAAATACAAGTTAGAGTTCCTTCAGAGTATGTTGTAGCTCGTATTTGATGTCCAAAGCATCGTTGATGATGGTAAATTGTAGTGTTTGACCTTGCAACTCTTCGGCGACCACAAAATCACAACTAATGATTACATTGTTGCCCTTTTTTCTTGGCTGGCATCTCTTCAACATTAGAAGCTCTGAACCTTGATACCCAATTACAAACCAAAGTTCTTTCTGCGTTTTAGGAAACTTATCACAGTAAACTTCGAAATTTTTATTCGTTTTAGTATTAGCGTGTTTTGCCGAAATTGTAACCGAACCAGCACTAGTTTGAGGTTCAACTTTAACGTCTGCAAGAACAGGCAGCCGAGTGGACTCCTTTACAAATGCTTTCATTTGCTCCTCAGTAACGTTGAGCTTACGCGCCAATACTTCAAGTCGTTTATACCCAAGTCTGCCAATCTCGTCCAGATTCTTAGTTCCTGTGGATCCAGTCAAAGAGCATTGCTCATTGAAACTGTTTTCAGGAAGTCTTCTTAATTCTGCACCAGGAAGTAGGCTGATAGGGTCATCTTCGTACCAGCAACCTTGCTTAACACATTGCATCATCTTAATGATTGTCAATACGGTCGAACAATACCCTAACTCGCCTGCCACATCTGCATATGCCTGCAAAATACGTAAGGCTTGGTCTAAAATTGAAATGGTATCTTGATGATAATCTGCAATTGGTAGGTCAACACGACTGAAGTAAGCTTGCAATAGCAAAAAAGCCTTTAAGTGGGGATCCCACATTGGAAGTTCATCTTCCCCTACAAAAGCAACATCTACTGGGTAGCGTGATTGTGCCGACATCTCAGTATTCATGATAATTTCCCCATTTCTAACAGGAAGCTCATTATATTCGACAGCAAGTGACAGCCACTTCAAAACGTCTTTGAAAGATGCGTTGTCGTGAACTCTTTTCAAAAGTTGGCGAATTGTTTTGTGCGAAATATAGTAGTAAGAGGAAATACTGAGGAATGGTAAAGCCACGATCTTATTTCCTTTCAGAGCCACACAGTTAGATTCTGCCAAATTCTCAATTGTCTGATCAATTAGTTCACTCAAGTACTTATTAATGCCGGCAGCAGAAGTATCCTCCATTATGCCGTAGTACGTTGGATTATGATGAGATCTTCTAAAGAAAAACGTCCAGCTAATAAAGTCCATCGCTTCTTGTTTATTTGTAATGGAACCTGAAGCAATTTCAGCACCCAAGTGATCATCCAAGGCCTTGTGGAGCGAAGATTCTACAGGGAAACCAATGTTCAAAAAGTGCTTATAGAACATCTTTTTGGCCTGCTTCGTGTACACTATGGCAGTACCAGAAGTGTCAAATGCAGGCCTACCAGCTCTCCCCATCATCTGCAGAATATCAGTGAGATCCATATCACGGTAACCTTCAATTTTTGCATCAAAGAATTGAGTACCTTTGATGATGACAAGGTGCGCCGGCAAGTTTACGCCCCAGGCCAATGTGGATGTAGCCACAAGAACTTGTATCTTATTTCTTTGAAAAAGTTCATGGGAAATATATCGGTCCTTCTCTACTAGACCTGCATGATGCAATCCAATCCCAAATTGTAAAGCCAGTTTTAATGTATCGTCAGAAACCTGTGATAGATAATATTGAAGCTCATCGTCATCATCAATCTTTAAGAACCTCCTAGGGTTACTTTCCATACCACACAGGTGAATTAAGTCCAAGGCAGTTAGTCTTGTCTGTCTCCTGGAAGCAACAAAGATCAAAACTGGCTTTTCTGGAGAGTGTCGTTTGATAGCCATGAAGGCAGGCTTATTCATTGTTTTCATCAGAGGACAAAATGCTAAGTTATCAGGAAATCCATCGATGTACATTTTCAGAGGAACTGGTCTGACACTAGACGGAAAGTTGTATAACCCATTATCTCTTACACCAAGCCAGCCGCCCATATCATATGCATTTGAAACGGCTGTCGACATTCCAAGAAGCCTGACAGGTCTTTTGGTTTGTGAAGCAACATAGTTCATACGACTCACAATCATTTCAAGGATTGGACCACGGTCACTTGCCAATAAATGGATTTCATCCATGATGATAAGTGAGACCTCTTGTACAAACTTACGAGTTTGCCAATTACGGGATATACCGTCAAATTTTTCGGGAGTTGTAATAATAATAGTTGCATCACGAACATCTTTTGGATCTGGGAGAGAATCACCTGTTAGTTCAATAACTTTATCGCCGGTTATAGGAGTAATTCTTTTTCTCCAATCGGTGACTCGTTCTCTGACTAAAGCTTTCATGGGCGCGATATAAACAATTTTATTACCAGGGAATTCCTTAAGCGCGTGCCACATTGCTAGCTCCGCCACAACGGTTTTTCCAGAGCCGGTTGGAGAACCCACAAAAACATTGTCATTAGTATTGTACAGCGTGTGAAACGTCATTGTCTGCATTGGATTAAAGTAATTGAAAGGATATATTTCCTCCAAAAGCCTATTTTGCAAAGCAGTCACAGGTAATGGTCTCAGTCTCTGTAGTTTCGTTTGCAAAGTTTCATTATGCGGCCGAATTAAGTGCTGAAACGAAATTACTTGGGACGATTCACTACCTATCCACACGTCCGACACAACTTTCGCAACCACTTGAGGTGGTAAGGGATCGGAAAGAGGGATCATGAAATCTAATTCATGTGGATTTTTCATTTGACGTTTGGAAATGATAACTTTCTCTACATGTAAAATTTGAGACCTGTCAGATTCCTCCACAAATAACCAAAAGAATTGAGCATTTCCATGCACTTTGACATCCCACAAAAAAGAAGGAGTTAATGTTATGTGAATCCTCATTACGTTGGTAGTAATTGGAAATATGTCAGCAGCAATGTCAACCTTAGGGAAACGGTCTAAAATCGCGTTGAGCTTGTGACCCATCTTTTTATTGTGTACCAAGTCTCCCAACTCTTCTGGCTCAAGGTCTAAGAGATTATCCAAAGACGGCTTCTTCTCTCTAAGCCTCCTGACTACCTGTTCCGGTAGTTCAAATTGGCACAAGGGATGATCAAAGGCCCACATCCGCTTTTCTATGGACTTGCAAATGTCTAGCATTACTTTGGAAAAGGTACCCCATCTTCTGTTTACTCCCACCAGAAATAGAGCACGACAGATTCTGATAGAGTTCTGGGCAACATAATTTGAGTCTGAAGAGAGTGCAGAATCAAATATGCGCGCTCTGGAAATGTAAGACTGTAGAAGCACATTGGTTTTACCCTGTGAGGATTCAACCTCACCGCCGATTTGACACTCCGCTGAACTGTCCATGAGCCTCGAAAGTTCTGTAGCCTCTTCTTCTCTGAATTTCAAATTATCAAACTCGCTGCTCATACTGATCATGGACAAGATATCTGCCTCGGTTGCACTGGGGTTGCATAGGGAGTTGAAAATTTCGACAGATTCATTAAGCAAGTAAAAGTCTGATGATATGCGACCTAAGTCCTTGGGAACGAAGTGCATCGAGGCTTCATCAAAGACTATCATCTGAAGTGTGTGTAAACGCCTTGCCGCCGTTACTATCATTTTCCTCCTCCTTTCATAAAGTTGAGGATCTTCCTTCAGCTCGTCCCAATTTATACCATAACTGAACGGATTCTTTTTCATTCGCACAAAGAGGTAGGTGTATCCAAGCCATTGAACACCTTCTTCCACATTGGTGACGCTGCCAAGAGATATTTCAGCATTTAAGTTGTCAACGATTTTTGAACCTAGCTTAGATTCTATAGGATGTTGTTGTGTGATGAGGGAAACATAATCATCCAGCGAATCGCTAGTTGTACAAAGTATGCCTGTACCATGAGAAGAGCCAAAGCCTGGCCGGCCCGCTCTGCCGAAAATTTGTATAACGTCTGATATACCCAGATCCGTAAATCCGCCCTTCTTAGAATCGTATACCTGGGTTCCCTTGATGATGACACAGTCTGCTGGCAGATTCACACCCCATGCTAAGGTGGCTGTGCAAATCAAAACATTAATGGCACCATCTTTGAACATTTTTTCAGATAAATTTCGATCAGATCTTGACATACCCGCATGATGCACTCCAAAACCACTTTGGAAGAGCTCCTTAATATCTTTGTCTTTGTTATTGGTCATCTCCTTGGAGTAAAGATCCCGTATGGTTGAATTATCTGTAAATATGTCAAGTTCATGGTGCGCCTGGGCCATAGATATAAAGGTCCTGGCGCTTTTTACAGTATCCTTCCTAGAATGAACGAAAACCATGACCTGATGACCTCGCTGCAGCATCTCCGTCATCTTCTCGTATGCAGAGTTATCAATATTTTCTCTAGCTTGCTTACTTCCTGCTTTCCCACGTACACCTAGAAGCTGTTGCTCCAGAGGCTTCGGACGAAAAGACTGATCAAAGTAAAACATGCCAGCTTGCCTATTAACGCCCAGAAAGTCAGCAACATCAATGAAGTTGGGAAGTGTCGCCGACAACCCTAAAATTCTTATCATCGATTGTGATCTTTCTACTTGGCGCAGTGTCCTAGCAATCAACGTCTCAACCACTGAACCTCTTTCCTCGTGTAGTAAATGAACCTCATCTATTATCAAAAGCTTTATCTTTGAAACCAAGTCATTGTCTCCATTCGCTTTTCTGGTGACCACATCCCATTTTTCCGGAGTTGTAACAATCACTTGGGTCTCCAAAATTTCAGCTTTTGTTAACTGCATGTCACCGGTCAGTTCTCGTACCTTTATTTCAAAAACAGAAAGTTTCTTGGAGAATTTTTCTACAATTTCAGCTGCCAAAGCTTTCAACGGAGCCACATAAACTACCTTGAAGGAATCATAACTAATGTCAATATTACTTTGCTCATCAATTTCCGAAAATTGTCTTATAGTGTTGAGAATGGTCATCAATGCAATATCAGTCTTACCGGCACCAGTAGGAGCGCAGATAAGCATGTTTTCGTTAGTTTCGTATGCAACAGGATATACTAGAGTCTGGATAGCGTTCAAATGCTCATAGGAAAAAACTGAACGGCAAAATATGTCTAAATTGTCAACTCTAATATTTTTGAATTTTAAGGATCTTTGAAACCCTCCGTCAGCACAAGGTATGATTATCTCCTCGCGCGAAGCATATGATTGCCTTGTAGTCCCAACAGGTAGTGCGAACTTCTGACCTGTGAACGATAGTGTGAAACTTGAACCTGCTTCGGCTTTGCGAAAAACATGAGGATACTGTTGTTCTTTTTGCAGTGGATTCAACTGGAGATTTTTGATGTCCTGAGCCGTTTTGAGAACACTCTCACGGATCTCTTTCTCCGACATAAACCTCTCCGAATCAGGGGTTTCTTCAAGAACCTCGGAAAGCTCGTCGCTCTCCATAGAGAGAAGCAACGATCGGTTTTGCACCAGAAAGGAAATAAGTTCCAAGTTTTCGTGGCCGAGCAAATCAAATAAATCGCCTTGCAGAGAATCTAAATCTTCATTTTTTAGCAGCAGCAGCAAAGAGTCCATGAGAGACTTTTTGTCCACATAGAATTCTTGTTTATTTAGCAGATTTCGCAGTTCTCTAAGCTCTGAGCCAGAGTCACTCGTTCCTTCGAGGTTTTTCAAAACTTCCTCGGGGGAAAAATCTCCGTAGCTGTCAAAGATGTCATCCCACTCGTTTCGATCTTGCGAGAGTGTTGTCAGAGGAACTGAATATTTATGTTGCGGCCTCTTGATCTCGTTGTCAATTTCGGGTGGAGCGCCCACACTATTTAAGTCCTGCACTGCTGCAACCATGGATTCCATGGCTTGCATGTAGGATTTAACAGAATCAATTGAGTACTGGATAGACATAACGGAATAAATTATTGTCAATCAATGGTGACTTCTTGGTAACTCTTCGAGCTCAAGTTCTTTGGCTTTGGTAGCGTATAAGCTGCTTCAGGTGTCAATATCAATTGCAGTCGATCCATATCACTGAAGACGTAGAGGTGATGAAGAGCAGTTATTGAATGTTGTTGATTCTTTCTTCAGCATTTCTCAGTCGCTCTGACATTCGTTGCATATTTTCTTTGGACTTCTGCTCCGAATCATCAAGCTTTTTGTCCACCTCCTTCAACATGTGCTGCCATTCTGTAGTTTGCTCAGATATCCAGCTGATGGAATTATGTAGCGCATTGACAGTACCAATAGAATCTCCTGTATTTAAATAGAGAGAATTGAGCGTCTTCATTCGTAGCAAAAGGTGCGGGAGTGCTTGATCATACATGCTCAGTTCCTTGTAAGAATCATAGAGACTCCTAAGTTTGAATTCATTTGGAGTCATATCATCTTGAATCTGCTTTTGTAGCAACGCACTACTGGACGCTTTCCTCGCAAGCAGAGTATTCTCGTAGCGTTCACTTACCAGCGTAAGTTCGCTCTGAAATTTCTTTAATTTGCTCTCGTCTCCTTTTAAAAGCTTTATTTCACGGTAAACTTCGTTCATTAAGGTGATTAGAGGTTGGTGATTCCCTGAAGCAGGCACACCTAGCTTTCTTTCTATATCGGTCACCTGGGCCTCTAATTGCATAATACGTTGAGCATCATTGTAATCCAGTGATATATTTGGGAGTTTTACCGTAGAGTGCTTTTTAGTATCATGACTGCTTTGCTGCACTAGTTTTGCTGCAACGCTCTGAGCTTGGTTTCCTAGTTTTTGGTCTAAGCGTGTCAGAAGTTTTTGTAATGCGTCAAATTCTGGCTTATATGCCGATATTCCATCACCTAAATATTCTAACTCTTGGAGTTCTCGCTTAATCTGTGCTAACCTTACGGGTATATCTTCCACACAAATGCCTGGTTTCAGGCCTGTCTTGTCCAACTTGTCTCCTCTGCCCGAAAAATCGTCTCTCACAATGCCAATGACTTCGTTTTCAAAAACCTGTCTTGATTGATCATAGTCAAGAGCGCTTGTTAAAACGCTGGCATTGTTACTGTCTGGCATTTCTCTCTCAGGGCACTTGTCATCGTCGCCGCAGTCGAACTCGTGGTCGCGCGATTCATAAATCACTTGGGTGTCCTGTCTGGACAAGTCCTCGGGACCATTAGTTAGGAGATCATCGTCCAACTCAATGATTTCGGTGGTCATGAAAGTTCTGGGATCTTTTATTTCTTTAGCCTTTTATCTGCCTTGACAGATATTAAATATCAAGGTGTTATCAACGTTGATATTAACACACGACTCTAATCTTCAAGACGGAAAAAGTAGCCGTAGTCCTCATGAGCTTGGCCCAAAATGTCATTCAAAGCTGCAATTAGTCGTTTAAATCGGCTGCCCCTAATTCAAAAGGAATACAATTTTTTAACTAGCGTCAACCACAATGCCGAGCGACAATTGAATGAGAGCTCTAAAAGCGCTGTTCACTATCCTCTTAAAAATTTGTTGTGCGCCATTAAAGATAACATTGCCACATCAGACTTACCAACAACCTGTGCCTCCAAGGTTTTAGAGAACTACACATCACCATTTAATGCTACCATCGTCGATCTGCTGAAGACAGCAGGAGCAGTAAGCATAGGCAAAACGAATCTTGACGAGTTTGGTATGGGCTCTGGAGGTACTAATTCGCATTTTGGGGCGACCCGAAATCCACTGTTTCCACAGCAAGATTTTATTGTAGGAGGTTCGTCATCAGGATCTGCCGCTGCAGTGGCGGCAGATGTCGTTGATTTTTCAATCGGAACTGACACTGGGGGATCTGTGAGGCTTCCTGCAGCCTTTACATCTATATATGGCTTTAAGCCATCATACGGCAGGATATCAAGATACGGAGTAGTTGCGTACGCGCAAAGTCTCGATACCGTTGGCATTATGTCCAAAAGCCTCGATACCATAGAAAAAGTATTCGAGGTGCTAAATAAAAGCGACCAAAAAGATCCTACATGTCTAGATGACGGAATCCGCTCAAGGTTACACACGTCAAGTAAACTCAAAGGTAAACTCAGGGTAGGATTACCTTTGGAATTTACCCCCAATGGGATACCAAAGGAATTACAAGTCAAATTATTAAAAGTCTTGGAAAACATTCAAGAGCGAGGGCATGAAATATTTCCTGTTTCAATTCCAGATATCAAGAATTCACTTCCAATTTATTATACCTTAGCTACTGCTGAAGCTGCCTCCAACTTATCCCGATACGATGGCGTAAGGTATGGAATGAGGGAATTAGGGAGTGACATTATTGAGGATATACTGTACGCACCCACTCGAGCACATTTGGGGCAAGAGGTGAAGAATAGGATCGTTTTGGGCAATCACAATTTATCGTCCGAATCCTTCAATAACCACTATATCAAAGCTCAAAAATTGAGAGTCAAGCTCATAGACGAGTTTGACCATATTTTCAAATGCTCTAATGTGCTAACTGGTTCAGAGGGAAACGAACAGGGGGTCGACGTTCTTTTGTGCCTGTCCTCTATCGGTAAACCTATCCCCATCACGAAATATAATAATGCCACTTCTAAAGACCCAATAAACTGCTATATCAATGATATTTTTACCACTCCAATATCGCTTGCTGGTTTACCGGCTATATCTATACCTACAGGCCCATCTGAAACCGTTGGTGTGCAGTTAGTTGGACAATTCGGAGATGACTTCACTGTATTAAGGGCGGCGAGAGAGATCTCTAAAAACATAATTACTACTTAATATAACTCATGAATTATGTACCTCTTCCTCCATTCTCCTAACGGCCAATGATTTATCCCATGATAACCTTTCTTCCCATATAATATTCAGAAGGGAAGAGTACCGCTCTTGGAGCTGCTCAGTAGTACATTCATTTGTCGCAGCCCCGAGGTCTTTCAAAACTTCTTGAAGCCTGGCATCATTGAGAATAAGTGGGGGGGTAGGATTATTATTTTCCTTTGCAGTTCTCTCACATAAGTCACCTGGAGATTCAGCGCTATCAGAAGCATCAGCGGCTACAGAGGTTTTTGCGATTGATTTTTCTTGGTCGCCAGTAGCCGGCAAGATGTTTAAACTCGACTCCTTATCAGTAGACGTTGAATATTTATCCTCAGACGACATTTCATCAGCTGTTTTAGCCCGACTATTTGCATTCTCCGTAATATCCGTTCCGTTGTGATCAATAAGGGCTTGACATTGTAGTTGGCTTCCTGAACCAACGTTGACCATTTCCAAGGGCTCAATATCACCCGATTTGTGAGTATCAAATTCCGCAGGAGCGAATGGTACATCAGATGCTTTGTGGATGTCGTCTATCGACGGTTGACGGTCAGTTTCATTGTCCTTGGGACAATTTTCGACCCCACCGGAATCCCTACTAGCATCCTCTTTTTCTAGCGCGCTGCGTTTAGCGTCATCTCGACTTTTCATTTCAAGATACAATTGTTGACGAGTAAGCTCTCTTTGCCGGGCTGTTTTGCATTCCTTCACGAATTCAGGTTGCGAAATTTCTTCGATTCCCATTTGAGCATTGACAAACATTTCAGAAGCTTTGATGATGCGGTCGCGATCACAACTAACATGAGCGTCTCGATAAATTAGCTCGATATCCTTCAGAAATTGGCGTGGTTCTGAATAAAATCCGTTCCACAGCCTTTCTTCTACGATATCCAAATCCATGTTATAGTACTTTCTCCCAGTAAGACATTCAAGGATCATGTTGTCTTCTTTAACGTAGGCAGGCTGATAATCAGGATTTCCCTGTAAGCCAATATTGGGCTCGAATAAGTGGACAAGAGCAGCATCATCAATAGGTGGCTTCCTAAATCTTTTGTAGCGATTTTTAAACAAGTCCATCAATCCAGATAATTTAATTTTCAAGGTGTTCTTTAGCTTCATATCGTGAGCTTGATGCGCCTTCAAGGACCTTATTAATTTTTCCTCATTCGTCAATGGCTTGCCTTCATGATCAAGGTCATCTGAACTGGTAACAGTTGTGGCTTTTGGGAGAGGAGGAAGTTGTTTGGTTCTTTTTCTTTCAGATTTGAAGCTGGTAGGCTTCATCCTAATAAGTTCTGTAAGAGTACTGAAATACCTCATTCTCTGCGGAGCGCTTGGCTTCCTTATCTTACAGACTGTCTTGCTGAAGTCTAAAGGTGATAAGATTCCCTCGCTAAAATCACGTTCTTCTAAGTCGCTGGCAATTGCTAGCAGCAAGACCTTTTCATCGCTGCTAAGGCTACCCAATAAACTTGCCAAAGTTAAAATGGCATTTTCGGGCACTGTTTGAACCCAAATATCGATATTTGGGATATATAGGACCGATGGTTGCCTTCTTCTCGCTTCTGAAAATACTTGCACGACAGCAGCTTCAATACTTCTCGTACTTTCACTAACCAAATTAGCGATGTCAAGCATCTGGATATTGATATCTTCGAGACTATGCAAAATCGCAGCACCGATATACTGCTGTCCATTTCCCCTGATGCCCGTAACTACAAGACGAGGCTTACACGTTCTTGCTTTTTCAACATTCCTCAAAAATTCGGCTTTCAAAAACCCATCTTCGTTATCGTCGGACTCTTCTTCTTCATATTCCATGTAATGTTTAATAATTGAGTTGTTTTTGCCTTGCATCGATGGGTTAGAGGGGAGTACTTCCTTCAGTTTTTTCTTGATATCGTCAAGTTGCTCGTCTAATAAAAAACTCACGGTCTCTGGTAAAGGCTGGGCGGATTTACCCATTGCTCTCGCTGATGAAGGAATGATCTTTTCTATTGCTGCCATGAAGTCGCGTGCTCTCACGTTAACCGTCGAAGGATCTACTATTAGTTTTGTATCTGAATGGTAAATTTGAGGCAATTTTCGCTGTATGCTCAGCAAAGCAGCCTCGGTGCAAAGAGCCCTTAGATCCGCTCCACCGTAACCTTTGGTCAACGATGCCAACTTATCGATGAAATGTTGTGGTAGAGGCGGATCCCACTTTTTTGTGTGGATGCGAAGGATTTTGGAGCGAGCTGTCATGTCTGGTAATGGAAAAAAGAACTCTCGATCAAATCGGCCCGGTCTTCTAAGTGCAGGATCAACTGCATCAGGTCTATTCGTAGCGCCAATTATAATTACTTGGCCCCTGTTATCCATACCGTCCATTAAAGCTAACATGGTAGATACGATACTTGCATGGATTTGTTCTTGCTTTGAACTTCTAACCGGAGCCAAGCCGTCAATTTCATCAAAAAAAATGATTGCAGGCTGATGCTTCTTAGCTTCTTCAAATAGAAGTCGTAGCTGTCTTTCTGCTTCACCAACCCACTTGGATAAAATGTCAGCGCCTTTACGCATGAAGAAAGTTATTTTTTGCTGTTCTGTAGAGCAGCTTGCTGCAAGTGCCCTGGCCATTAAGGTTTTACCGGTCCCAGGTGGACCATGGAACAAAACACCCCGTGGGGGCGTGATTCCAAACTTTTGATAGAGTTCTGGGTACAATAATGGCAGAGCAACCATTTCTTTCAGCTGGTCAATGTAGTTATCCAGCCCACCAACGTCTTCAAATTTAACATTCATATCGACGCCAAGTGGATCGAGGTCTGCTATTTCGGACTTTTTTTTCTTAACATTCTGTTTTTTGTTTTGAGTTGGCGAAGCGCCTAAAGGCAGAATCTCATCCTCAGATGAATCTGAGTCGAGCAAAAGTTTGCTACCATTTGCATGGCTAGTAGTAGTGTCATAATAATTAGTATTAGTTCCAAAAATGGCCGTTACATCGTTACCACCAAAAGGACCTCCCGTCGGGAACAGTCTCCTGAGGGGTCCAAAGCTCTGACCCGAAGGTAGTTTTCGTCGACCTCGCGGCGAAGGATAAGAGAGTGGATTGTTGACACTAGTCATCCTTGTATAGTCGTCGACTGTATTGTCTGGCAGAGGCGGGGGAAGTGTGTAGTTCACAGGTTTTGTCCGTTCTCTTAAGGACCTTTTCTCCCGAATGGGGCTATCATCTCTAAGCTCTCGAAGCTCATCAGCCAAAGTGAGTCGCTCTGCCCTGGATAGCTCATCATCTCCTGAAAATTCGCCCCTACCTCTACGCCTCAATTTACGTGGAGGAGAGTCCTCCTCATACTGCCTTCTCCGAGCTCTAATTGTCGAGCTCCTAAAATTTCGACCTGTTCTCAGCTGCTCGTCGTCGTCAGTATCGACATTCGACAAGTTTCTCGAACTGCGGTGACTACGGTTCCTCGTACGATGAATCTGTCCTTCATCGCCGTTCTCATCATCGTCATCCTCGTCGCTTACAATAAAGTTCCGATCCGCTCTTCGACGGTTTCTCTTGATCGATTCCTCTGAATAATATTCTTCGGCAGAACCATCGTCTTCATCATCCTCTGGCGCCTCAGCATCATCTTCGTCGTGAAAACTTTCATCTTCATCACCGTTACTGCTATTCTTGGACTTATTGTGAATGGGGAGGTCTATAGCAGGATACTCTTCCAGCGGAGCTGTAGTCAGATCGGCATTTTCTGCGGCCTCTTCTTTTGGATGATCTTCCCCTTTAATATCATGATCAAATCCTTCCTCAAAGTCAGTCTCCACTTTACTGTGGTGGCGTTTTCCTGCCATTCTCACGTCGCTGTCCTTATCTTCTTCTTCGTCGTCATCCATAAAATCGTAATTGTTCTCAACTTCAGCGTAGTTTACTTTCCGCAAACTACGAGTTGTGGTGTGAATGATACCATTTTCATCTCTATACTCAGCGTCCGGCTCCTCCTGAGAACTGGAATTCAATGTTCTTGATGTTCTAGATCTATGAGGACGAGTCATCTCGATCTTACCTGCTCTACGAGGCAATCGAGGCTAATAACTCGATGAATTGCGGTATGAGGCTTGCCTTTATCTTCCAGAGCAACAATTGAGATGCCTCGATAAGTTAGATGTTACGCCGGTAGCTCACCAGCTGTTCTTGGCAGTAGCTTTTCAGTTAAAGGTCCTTGCGACAGTTGTATTGTAGCTTCAATAAGTAATATTGAATGTATAATCATAATATACGGGAAGAATAGTAGATTTGAAGCCTAAAAACGAAATAGCGCCAGCGGTCCACGATCATCAGCGATAGTCCTCCACATTCCTTATCCGTAATCAGTCTATCTTAACACTGAACAAAGTTTATGTCTCTCTTTGCTGGACATATTACGTTTTCCAAACTAGTTTCTTATGCGCGAAGTATAATGTTGACGTTGCATCAAATACTTTAGAATTAGATGCCAAAAGTAAACACTCTTCGTTTTGAACTGGAGCAGATGGACGAAATTAAAAGACTAAACGGGAATTTTGCATGCTCATTTGAATTGAAAAGTTGAACACCACCCAATATGATAAGAGATCTAAAAAGTTTAGCTACGTTCAACAAACCGTCAGCCTCCTATCCAGTTAATGACGTGCACGCAAGGACTCCCAATATGCCCTACGCTTTCTAAGCCGAATGCTTTTTATTCGGGTTTCTAATTTCAATTTGCCGATGATAAGCCCCCAACCTGCCACAGATTAAGCTGGGACTTTAAATACTGCTGTAAAAGACTATCAAGTAATTCGGCATTAGTTGACCTCCGTCTTCAGGTCTGTTTGTTCATTATAGCTCAAAAACTCCGATGCTATACTGATCGTGTAATACGTTTGTTCTCAGAATGGAGGTTTCCCTGCATCGATAGCGGCCTGTCATGGAAGGTTAACTTCTCCGACGTTCCAATCCAGAGACTTTTGTGCATATAGTCTCTATTTATTAGTTAGTGCTTCGAGTCTACTGACTCAGCGCTTTTTGAGTTTATTCTGCCGTGCCGAAACCCAGTCACTTCGGTGTCCCCTCCTTGAAGCTGGCGTTGCGAAGTTGCCTTTGCAAATCAGCTCATCCGGGAACTCACACGTACATACCACCTTGCAAAGCTATTGTTAATGCATAAGAAAGAAATGGCTCGCTAGAATTTAGCTGAGTTTCTGTATCACACATACGCGGGTTTACAACATATAGAATAGGAAGGAGAAGGTTGATGATCGAATCCTGTTGAGTTACTGTTTCGTACCTTTATTGATTCATCTTGACCATCTTAATTTGTGAGCAAGTCTATTCCAATGTGAACGTTCCTTATATTACACAAGACGTCCGCCCCACCACTCTATCTGACCTGATATTGGCCTAGGGTTTCCGTTTGACATTAGTCTATCGTATGTATACGCTAATTTGCAAAAGCACTTTATCTCTCAACGGAATCTCTACACGGGCAACACACGAACACCCGCAATTTTATCGACCCATGGCGCTATTGCAGGGTGAGAAAGGACAGGTCCAATGATAGGTAGCGATCTTAGGAATTGTACTATCACAGCAAAGAAGTCACCAAACAGCCCCACAATACCCAGACACTCAATTAAAAACCCTAAGAAAGTCCATTTCATCAATATCATGAGGATACCGAGCACAAAGAAAAAGGACCCCCGTCTCTTATTCGGCCTCGAAAAGAACGTATAAGTCTTTTGAGAGCCTATGATTAACAGAAGGCCAATCAAAAACAAAATGTTCCCTAGGGCGAGCAATGCACGATCAAAGAATGTCACCACGCCAAAAGCGAAAAACAAGCATCCACCAAAAGTGAACGCTACGCCAAACTCTTTTTCAACTAAAGTTAGTAATCAGCTTTTTGGTTTATCAGACTTCCAAATGGCACGTACTTTGAGATTCTGAAAGCCACATGTTGATCTCCTTTGTTATTCTGGTGTTTTTCTAGTACTGATGTGAATGTCTATGTGATGATCTCGAAAATCATAATATAATAATATTGTGAACCTGGTGAAGAAGTGTAATAAGACAAGCATTGAGGACATTGGCATACGTATTCGTGGATGGATATTCTAGAGTTTAAGTTAGCTACAAGTACTGTTCTCGACTGGCTCTTGGGCGATCGGTGTGTCCCTTCCGCTATTTGATATCTCCGGCAATTATCAAGCTACATGGGCGGTTAACCCGTACCTGGCAATGTGAGTGCAGCAACAATAGTTTGGCTTTGAAGGCGACAGGTGGAAATTTTTCGAAGCTATGCTACAATATCTAATTCTCTATTTTAAGCACCAAAAGACTTTTATCGTTGTTTTGTGGAGATGAGCTACAGCGACATGGGTGTATAAGCGCGTGGAATGCATCGTGATGATTACAAGGCTATGCTTGGGAGCTTTGGAAAACAAAGTAGTTGTAGGCAAACAGAATCTGGTTTTCCTTGTCCAAAAAATGAGAACGTTTTTTCTTGCACTTTGAACAAAGATAGCACCTGAAAAATATCCTAGAGCAAGCAAACCGGTCGAGTTTTTCCTCATGCCGATCTAAGCATGCTCTTATGTTGATTGCCTTTGGGTTTTCTTCTGTTTAATCTCTGCGATCATGTTAGAGGAGCGACCACAGAGCTCGGGCAATGAGACGTATATGGAAAAAGATTAGCTTTTGTTCAGTTGCCACTTCTAATAGAATATTCGTCGAGAGCGCAGGACCTCACTTTACTGGAGGAGGGAACATGCCGTCAAAAATGTTGAAATCAAAATACCACACTATACGGAAAAAGCTTACATCGGACTTCATTCACTGCCCCAAAGAAGACAATATATCTGCCCGCTTTTGATTCACTCATCAGTTGGACCCTAAACTTCCTATTGTCTGTTAGGATTGACTCAGCCGCTGTCACAAATTTACCTTGCTGTGCCATGCCACCCTCATCGGAACACAATTTACCACCACCTTCCTACGAGGAAGTCATGAGCCAAACTTCCACAGGCTATTCCTCTCCCAATTCATTGCCCGTTGGTCACGCGCAAAACGCAGCATATAACTCTCCCCCTCAGAGACCCCCTCAAAGACCGCCACGGCCCTCGAGCTCCTCCCAAATTGACCATGCCAGCTCTAGCAGTGTATCTACCGCTAACAAGCTGCCTTGGACCTATCCCAGAGGATACTATTGCACTAAGTGTGGGAACTCAGGCTACAAAATCAAGAACGGGCAGTCATGCAAGCGATGTTGGCGTAAGTTTGCCATCCCTATGCCCAGTGAACACGTCCAAGTGCAATATGTTGAACCTATTTACAGACCTAGTCCGATCTTTCCCCCATCACAAGGTTATTCTACATATGGCTCCTACTACCCATCAAATCGTCCACTTTCCTATTCGTCGCAGCCGTCAGCTCCGCCGGGGGTCGTGTTTCCACCTGGAGACCCTAGAATTGGGGGGTTTCTATGCGGAGAATGTCGCGGTAAAGGCAGAGTAAGATTTCTATTGGATAAAGAAATATGTCCCACTTGTCGTGGAGTTGGTAGAGTATTTTAAGCTCCTCAAGGCTTTTAAAGATCCCGTTGATCATTTTTTGAACCATGGCTTCATCTCATCGCCTGATCATTTATAGCACGTGAGAAGATAGGTTTGGGTATTCGTCGAAGTTCACCACTTTTACAATGGCTCCCGGACCTAGCTTTTCTAAAGACCGTTTAAGATCATTTCATCGAGTGTGAAGGTACTCTGAAAAATTTTTATAAGGGCCCACATTAGCAGCGGATCCACCGGTCTGATTGTGCTTTGACCAAATCGTGTGCGTGTGTGGTTAGATTGCTAGCCGTTCGGTAACAAACCAAGGATGGAACATAAGCAGGTTTCACAACTTATTGGCAGAGAGGGTACGCCTTTGAACACCAGACCTGCATCTCCTTACACGCTGAACCCACCAGTCGAAGCAGACGGTCTGTCTTGGCCATCACAAGGCTCTAGGTTGCGGTCTGAAGAGACGACGGAGGAAACTCAGCAGAGAACAGACCGCATTGCAGCAGCCATGAAAGTGATTTTGAAGGAGCTAGGTGAAGATGTAGAGCGCGAGGGGCTTTTGGATACACCTCAACGGTATGCTAAAGCCATGATGTATTTCACCAAAGGTTACCAGCACAATATCGTCGACGATGTGATCAAAAACGCTGTATTTGAAGAAGACCACGACGAAATGGTCATTGTCAGAGATATTGAAATCTATTCTTTGTGTGAACATCATCTGGTGCCTTTCTTTGGCAAAGTTCACATTGGCTATATTCCCAACAAAAAAGTACTAGGGCTCAGTAAATTGGCTCGTTTGGCTGAGATGTATGCTCGGAGGTTACAGGTGCAAGAACGTTTGACTAAACAAATTGCGATGGCTCTCAGTGAAATTTTGAAGCCGAGGGGAGTGGCTGTGGTGATCGAAGCCACACACATGTGCATGGTATCGAGAGGTATTCAAAAGACTGGATCTTCGACTGTCACATCGTGTATGTTAGGATGTTTTAGAGGTGCTCACAAGACGCGTGAAGAATTTCTTAACTTACTCAACAAAAAAAGCATATAGTGCTTTCGCATTGTTAAATGCTACTGACCTAACGATAAAATAACGGGATACTGGTTTATCTCTGTCTGTTCAACCACACCGCAATCGCACTAATTGACGTTATCGCACGTTTCTTAATCCTTCCCTGCATTTTAAATATCTCTTCCTGTTTTCCCCGTACCCATAGTATTGTTATTATACTGCCGCACTCCGCTTCCGGCGGTAGTAAAGCCATGTATTCAACTTCATGAAATATAATAAATTTTAAATCGTAATAACACTTTTGTTTGTCTACCGCTATTCTAAACCATCAATTCAACTTTCGAAGAAAGCGGAACACCGAGTTTCAATGCCTTGAACGCTTCGGCCATTCACAAATCAAACCTTGCACCTGCATTGCGAAAGTAGGATCCTTTATCACCACCGCTGAGTAAATCTGTGTTAGGGGTGGTACTTTGGCCTGTCACTGCTGTACCGCTGGATTCTGGGGCGGACATAAGCCGGCTCAGGTCGTTGGAAGACGGGTTATTTGAGATGTTTGGTGATGTTGTGAAATTTGACGTGCACTCTGGCGTTAGAGAAAAACTGCCATTCATTAATGAACTACTGGGTGGTAAAGGTTCCAATCTAAAGGTTGAGTTTTCCTTATTTTGCCTAGCTTTACTCATAGAACCAATTCTAGGTGAAGTGATCGAAGCCATCGATAGAGTTTTCTTGAGCGTTTCTCTTATTCTACTAAGTTCTTGGTCTCGAGAGCCACCAGTTTGGTTAGTAGTTAAATCAATATGTCCCAAGTGCGCCAAGTTTGAAAAAGTCGATGATCGAGAAGGAGTCCCTAATTTGTGAATAGAAGATGAAGAAAACGTCTTGCGCAAAGCAATTTTGTCAGCGAGAGGTTTCGACTCGTCGTCGCTATGGAAAAATTCCTGCACAAATGGATGTTTCCGAAGTTCATGGGCTGATGGTCGCTCTCCAGAATCTACTGTAAAACACAAGTGAACAAAGTTCCAAAAACAGCTGTTCTTCAGAGCCTCATCTTCTCGTAAAGCATCCTCCACGTAGTAATCACCTTCAGAAATGCATTTTCTAGTTTCGTCATCGGTATCGCAATCGAATGGCATATAACCGGTCATCATGAAGTAAGTTAGTACGCCCAACGCCCAAACGTCGATCAGTGCACCATAAGGTTTAATCTTCTTAGAGTCAGATGGAGCAAGCCTGGAAATACCTCTGCATTTGACGACTTCGGGTGCCAGGTATGATATAGTTCCGACGCATTCTTTGAGTTCATCATCGGAGCTATCCAGTTTCGTAGCAAGGCCAAAATCAGCCAAGACCAAGTCATGAGACATGTAGTCGTAGTTTGATCCACGACGGGCAAATTCGTCGAGCTCAGTGATTCGCAAACGAAATATCACATTTTCCGCTTTGACATCTCTGTGCATAACGCCATTAGAGTGTAAAAAATGAATGGCACTCAAAAGGCATGCAGTGTACGGTTTGACTTGCTTGGAAAGATCCAGTGATCCAGCCTCGATGATCTTTTCATACAAGTCGCCATGGTCGCACAATTGGCTGACCAGCACAATATTTTGCGGGGTTTCGAAATAGTCAAATAACTGTAAAACATGATGATGGCCTTCAAAACTGTCCAAGCATTGGTTACCAGAGCTTTCCAACTCCCTAATCCGACTGCTGACCTCTTTCAACAATTTAACCTCTCGCTGGATGAGCCACAACTTACCTTTAACTGTTTTTCGACTAATGAGTTTCATTGCGTATCGCTCTTGAGTTTGAACATTCATGCACTCTTTCACAACGCTGAAACACCCATCACCAAGTTGTGTGTTCTTTGTAACATACTTACACCGGATAGCTTCATCGGAGGCGGAGCTTCGTTGGTCTTGAGGCCACATTAGTTCGGAGGCCATGGCGTACAGTCACACTAATAGCAACACCCAGAAAAGTTTCCACGCACCGGCTTATCTTGATGGTAATTACTTGACAACTCGAGAGCCCCAGGGTTCTCACGAAGTAGTTTGATTTTGTTCCAAAATACTCATTGTTACGATCAGGAGACGAGTTTCCCTTATTGCTTGCGCCAGTCGATTAATTTGACTAAAAAAAGCACAAGATAAACAAGTAGAAGGCATCGTGGTAAAGATCTTGTGACAGCAGCACAACTTTTGCCGTAAACTCAATTCCATGAAACTATGGACATGTACCTAACAAGTTGAAGGCAGAAATTATTCCATTTCCTATAGATTTATTATACGAGGTGGTAGATTCTCATCATATCTTTTACATGCCAGGACCGAGATGTTTGATACCCTCATGTGACAAGCTCGTGGCTACTGTCTGTAGTTCAGGAACCACCACAGCGTAGGCTTCAGATAGTGACTTTTTGTTGAAGCTGTCTTTTTCCACATGAATTGCACAAATCAAGCCCCGGGCAGTGACAGGATATGTGACAGCCTGCTTGTCTCCAGCTCGCGGCGGAGCACCACCTCTCGCTTTTTCAAGTCCCATATCCCCGACGATTCCAGGGTAACAGAGATCGCCCTCTTTAATTTGGTAGAGTTGGCGGAGATAATCACTTTTCATTATGTTCTGAACAGGTATCAAATCTGACCAGTTTCTACGATTCATAAAAGAGAAACTCTTTCTATGGGACAAGTCGACTTCGGTACGGAATAGTGGTACTGTATCCTCGTCAGTGTTCTTGTCAAAATGGTGGATGCCAGACCGCTTTTGCAGAAGTACAGCCATGGGAGTAGGAGGGGGGGTGTTGACCACAGCGCTCGAAATTATATTGAACATCAACCTTACGTCCTTTTCAGGCTCAGCTAAGATTTTTTGCACTTGCTGTTCCTTTGCACCTGTGATATGATGTGAATGAAGCTTGGAACGGAAGCGGCCGACAGCAGCCAGGTGAACATCGCCGGATAAAATAGTTATGCGCGTCCCGTGCTTGGCTCCAAAATCCTGAAGCTTCGCGACCAAGTAGTTCCTTTCGGGCTTGTGGTGGCGAGTACACCAATGATCATTCAGATCATCAAGTAGTTCAACGTCTCCGTTAAAAGAATTGATGAGCCCTGGCGCAATCAAGCCTTTTTTGGCCAGGTACTTCATTGGCTTGAGGAACCTGGATGAGAAAATCAACTCCAGCCACACTAGCCTGGGATACGCTATTGGAACCCCTAGCATTACCATCAGGTGGTCTATTTTGCCATGAGAAACCTCTTTTTCCAATCGCTTGAAGACAAGATCGTAAGTGTCCCATGTAACTATTTGTTTAAGTCTTCTTTCAGTCCTACAATCCAGACCGAGCAAAGCATTATTAGGACCGAGTCTTGTGAAGATTGAATGGGACTTCTCACCGATGTAGTCACCGCCTTTTGCACCCAATAACCAAGAAGGATCTTCCAAGTAAGCCTCTGGTTCTTGTATCGAGACGTGGTGCTGGAAAAGCATGTAATACTTGTACGCAGCTTTTCCTACTCCGCTGAATACCTCGTTTCTCTGAAAGGAGTCTGCGTAAGAACCAAACCCGTCAATAATATCATGGTCGTCCCAGATGTTCACCGAAGGAATAGTGGCCATAGCAATGGGAAAACACCTCTGCGTAGTCTTCGACTTTGGAGTACTTCCTTTCCAGTATCCAAAGCCATACCACTCGAGATATTCTTTAAAGTAAAAAGCTTCGATTTCAGCACGCAATTCGGGCGTGAGCTTTGCACTGAATTTCTTAACCGAGTTTTTCTCTTTCAGCCATTTTTGGAAACCTTTACAGAAGACGTTGATGCCATCGGAATAAATTTGATCTCCGCCGCCAAGCATGACATGATAATGTGTCTTTGCGTGTTTGTTTAATATGTCGAACCACATAGAACCCTGAAATGAAGTGGTATCGACATTAAGAGAGAACCCGTTGCAGGAGTAGGAGATGGTGTTAAAATCCTGAGTGCTACTAGGGATGAAAAATCGGTAATGGGGCTCGTGAACGTCATTCACGGAATATTTCACAATTTGCTCGTACAGAGCCATTTTGAACTCAATTGTAAACCTGTAGAACCTAATACCTTGTTCTTCGTAAAACATTGTACTTGGGAATACTCCCTGCTCGAGGGAGTCAGGATTTCCCTCTCGACCATCGGTGGGACCGCGGACGAATTGGACCTCAGGCGTTGGTGCCTTGCGGCAGACCAAAAGCATACTTGCACGATAAACATTAGAGGTATATTCTACACCAATCAGGCGTAGGGTAGGCCCACATAGGATGCCATTTTCGGGCACTGGACTCTCGTCTGCGCAGGAATTGCAATTGTTTACTTCATCTTGATAGAGAGTTTCTGTATCCCAACTATTGTGCAAATCTAGCATCGATATAAAAGCCCAATCCAATGGCCTTGGTGTTGGGTGACGTTGAGTTTGTGGCTCGAAGGGCTGGGTGAGAGATGTGAGACATAGGGTCAACTAGTTCTTGCAACTGCAGGGCCCTGAGAATGTTACGTCTACAATGATACTTTACGAAGATCATAAGAGCAGGTGTCACATGGTCCATCGAATGGGCTTCCTCTCAACGCTCGACAGTCAAAGGCGATAGCGTTTAAGTGGTCAAACTACATCGTCATGTAGCATCTTCTATCGTCTTTACCTGTGTCAGGCATAATTTTAAGCAAAATGAATAAGAAGCCTTTCCTTTGTTAAACAAGAGAAGTAAAATGGAGACTTAATCTGGTATTCTGGGTGTACCAATCAACGGGAATGGTGTAGCATTTATTTGAAAAACAGAGGTGTAGTACTGATGGTAGCACTTGAGTTTTTTGATTTTTTACATTTTCATGAGCAAAGTGAACTTTGGCCCGTATTATGAAAGATTCCTAATTCTCAGTGAGGAGTGCAGTCTGGTAGTGATACTCATGTATTTCAGCGTCTACTCGTTTAGCAGACCGTTGTTTCGACTAAAAGCAGAACTTTTATCTCTTCAGCCTTTTATTGAGGCGAATCTGATTCATCAGTAGAAAGCTTACTAAATTTGTCTTGTAAGTCGGACATAGTCATTATAAGATGAGTAACTTGGATCTAGGGAATTCTATTTATCTCTCCGTGATTATTTTAGGCATTAGGGTTGGTTCAGTTATCTGAACAAAAGCCTGGTATTTATACAATTCTCACTCGGTGACTCTGGTCAACACATTTATTAATCACCAATTCTAGATCATTCTATTGCCCAAGGATTACGGCTTCAATGCCGTACACTACCGATAACTTATCAATGGCCAATCCCATTGGACAACAGTTGTTCTCTTCGGTTTGTCTTAGCTTGTAACTCTATTTGTATGGCTCTGTTGTGTACTATCATTCTGTACCACTGTGTCACATATTTACTGACGCTGATTATGCGATTAGACGCACATCACCATCAGTTTATTCACATTATTCCCAACACCTTTAACTTTTATTGGGATGGGATGCGTTCGATCATTTTCACGGTGAAGGGTCTCATTATAAAATTCACATACCGATCTTGAAGTCAATTAGGATAGGTCAAGTCTCGCATGGAAGAAACTCCGGTTTTAAAGGTCTGAAAAATAGATCCTTTCTCTGGGGGTGAATAACGAGTGACCTTAGTGTACGTGAGTTCCTCTGACAAAACAGGTTGAGGTGTGCGTGTATGCTATCAACTCACGGGGGGCGCTCGAAACCAAACATTTGAAAAGATGATATCCTCCAGTCATTTTGAGGTCTTTTGCCGTTCACAACAGATCCTGTATATGAGCCGATCCTAATTAAATTGACTTAGGCCAGTTCGAAAATTCTGAGATCCAGCGGGACTTAATAAGGGCAGCTGCATATGTGTTTACTACAGCGTCTACTAGCGAATGTCGGCTTCTGCTGCCCACGTCACGCTCTTCATTGATTTTAGTGACACTTAAGTTATCACCCTGTACAATAATGGCATAACTTGCATTTTCCTGCTGTGACAATAACAAACCTGAATCTCGAGTTTTGGATAGGCAGAGCGTGCGAGGTCAAGCGAGAGCCTACCGTTCACAATTCCAGTCTCCACCAGCTCTTACTGTCTAGGTGAATCCGAAGGTATCAAGGTCACATGAAAAACACCTGACAAAGTTATATGGCATTTGTAACGACACGATGCTTTAGGCTGAAAAACTTTCAAAGCTCATCTCATCGGTAAAGAGCAGCTCATCGCATCAAAAGTTACCAGAACGACTTCCCCTGCAGCCAGGAATCTGTCTCTCATATATCACATTCACTATGGCGAAGGAAGCAGTCTCAGCAGCAGCAGCTCGCTCCAAGAAGCATAGTAGAGACGAATCGGAAGAGGAGCTCTCCGATACCAAGACGGTAAGCACGAGCGACAGCTCTTCTAGCACCGAGTATAAGGAAAATTTCAACGAACTTAACCTTTCGCCCGCGACTATAAAGGCGGTTGAGAAGCTAGGGTTTACCAAGATGACTCAAGTGCAGTCACGTACTATTCCTCCACTGCTGGCTGGTCGTGATGTATTGGGAGCGGCAAAGACCGGGTCTGGTAAGACGTTAGCTTTTTTGCTTCCTGCCATTGAGATGCTGCACTCACTGAAGTTCAAACCCAGAAATGGTACTGGTGTTGTTGTGATCACACCAACGCGTGAGCTGGCGTTGCAGATTTTCGGTGTTGCCAAACAACTTCTGGAATTCCACTCGCAAACGTTTGGGATCGTTATTGGAGGTGCCAACCGTCGTCAAGAGGCAGATAAGCTTGCTAAGGGTGTAAACTTGCTTATTGCCACTCCAGGAAGACTTCTGGATCACCTTCAAAACACTCAAGGGTTTGTGTTCACTAATCTGCGTGCGTTAATCATTGATGAGGCCGACCGTATCCTTGAAATTGGTTTTGAAGATGAAATGCGTCAGATTGTCAAGATTTTGCCTAATGAAGACCGTCAAACAATGCTTTTCTCTGCAACACAAACCACTAAAGTGGAGGATCTGGCCAGGATCTCTTTGAGACCAGGGCCGCTTTTCATCAATGTTGATTCTGAAAAAGAAACTTCCACCGCGGATGGCTTAGAGCAAGGGTACGTTGTTTGCGAGAGTGATAAGCGGTTCTTGCTTCTATTCTCTTTCCTCAAGCGTAACCAAAAGAAGAAGGTGATTGTCTTCTTGTCTTCTTGCAATTCCGTCAAATATTACGCTGAACTTCTTAACTATATCGACCTTCCTGTATTGGAACTGCACGGTAAGCAAAAACAACAGAAGCGTACAAACACATTTTTCGAGTTTTGCAATGCCGAGAGAGGTACTCTGGTGTGTACTGATGTGGCTGCAAGAGGCTTGGATATTCCAGCTGTGGACTGGATTATCCAGTTCGATCCTCCTGATGATCCCAGAGATTACATTCACAGAGTGGGGAGAACCGCAAGAGGCTCCAAAGGCAAGGGTAAGTCATTGATGTTTTTGACTCCTAATGAACTCGGCTTCTTGCGCTACTTGAAGGCCGCCAGGGTACCTTTGAATGAGTTCGAATTTCCAACCAATAAAATTGCAAATGTGCAGTCGCAACTAGAGAAATTGATTAAGTCCAACTATCACCTCCACCAAATTGCCAAGGACGGCTACCGGTCCTACTTACAAGCATATGCATCTCATTCGCTGAAGACTGTTTATCAGATTGATAAATTGGATTTGGCTAAGGTGGCAAAATCCTACGGTTTCCCAATTCCTCCTAAGGTGAACATCACTATCGGCGCTTCCGGTAAAACACCAACCATTAAGAAGCGTAAGTTGAAAAATTAATTGTCAAAGAATAGTGCTCCCATTGCTCCCAGTGTCACAATAAATCATGTATAATAAATATATTACGGTTGGATAAACATACCTCTATCAAGTCAAAATATATATAATAATTTTGACCATGGTAAGGCCAGCTCAATTTGGTATAGCTTGAAGATAGTGGATTGTAAGTCAATTCTAATCAAGTCAGTACGAGTCATACCAACTTGGCTTTTTATGAATTCTGAACCTGTGCTCGGAGTAATAATGTCAGGATTATAATACTTTTAACGAATGGCTGTTAAAAAAAAAGATTCACTAAAGTTGAACTCACTACAGAATTACCTGACTCATCTGTTCTAAAGCAGCGAAACAAAACCATGGCTTTAACCTTATCCTTTGACAAGGCTAAATGCTCCAATGATGCTCTCAAGCTTGCCAATAATTTGAAACTGGCTTTTGCCAAAAAATTGGCCAAGGATGAAATCATTGTCGATGATGATGCCAATTCGGTTGAGCTGACCGTTGCAGGCTCAGATTTTCGCTTGTTTAACACTAATGCCATCCTAAGGTATGTTCTAGGAGACTTTGACGGTTTAGATTCACCAGAAACCCACTATGCTGTTTCCTCATTGGAGGCCGTGTTATACCACCCTAGTGCTCCAAGGGAACATGTTGACGAAACTGTGGTAAAGGCATTGGAAAATTATTTGACAACTTTGAATGAACCATTGACTGCCACGAGACTAATTACTTTTTCCAACGCCTATGCTTTAAGTCCTGCCTTGGTGGAGACTAAACTCGGAGAACTTCCTGAGCTCTTTGCATCTGTCATTGCAGTTGCCAAGTCTGCTTCACCTCGTACTTCTTATAGCGTTGAGCATACAGGCAGTGTCAATGTCAATACAAATCTTGCTGTAAAGGAGCAGGGCCCTGAGATTTTGCCCAAGGAAGGAGAACGGAATATACTCATTACATCGGCTCTGCCATATGTGAACAATGTTCCTCACTTGGGAAATATTGTGGGTAGTGTTTTATCTGCGGATATCTATGCTCGTTATTGTAAGGCCAAGAACTATAATACCCTTTTCATCTGCGGTACTGATGAGTATGGTACCGCAACGGAAACTAAGGCTCTTGAAGAGAACTGCACTCCTCGCGAATTGTGCGACAAGTACCACAAAATCCATAAGGAAGTTTACGACTGGTTTCAAATTGGGTTCGACCACTTTGGTAGAACGACCACAGTTGAACAAACTGAAATTGCCCAAGGGATCTTCAAAGATCTGGAAAAGAATGGCCTTTTGGAAGAGCGCTCTATGAAGCAGCTCTATTGTTCTGTTCACAAAGCTTATTTGGCAGACAGATACGTTGAAGGTATTTGTCCCAAATGTGGATATGAGGATGCTCGTGGTGATCAGTGCGACAAATGCGGCGCTCTACTAGACCCATTTGAACTTATTGAACCCCGCTGTAAACTGGACGGTAGCACGCCCGAACCTCGTTTCTCTGACCATGTTTTCCTTTCTTTAGACAAGCTAGAATCTAGAATCAACAAATGGGTGGAAAAATCTTCAACCGAAGGTGGATGGAGCAAAAACTCCAAAACCATCACTAATTCATGGCTGAAAGAAGGGTTGCAACCCCGTTGTATCACAAGGGACCTTGTCTGGGGAACGCCTGTGCCCATGGAGAAGTACAAGGATAAGGTTTTGTACGTTTGGTTTGATGCTCCAATAGGTTACGTCTCAATAACTGCTGGATACACTAAGAGCTGGGAAAAATGGTGGAAAAATCCGGAGAAAGTCGACCTGTATCAGTTTATGGGCAAAGACAATGTTCCTTTCCACACTGTTATCTTCCCGGGCTCCCAGTTGGGTACTGGCGAAGAATGGACCATGCTACACCATTTGAGCACCACAGAATACTTGCAATATGAAGGTGGTAAATTTTCAAAGAGCAGAGGAGTGGGTGTGTTTGGAAACAACGCCAAAGAAACTGGCATTTCACCTAGCGTATGGAGGTATTACTTGGCGTCGGTTAGACCGGAATCTAGTGACTCTCACTTCTCCTGGAACGATTTTGTTGCAAGAAATAACAGTGAGCTTTTGGCGAACTTAGGGAATTTCGTAAACAGATTGATAAAGTTCATCAACGCAAGGTATAACGGCGTCATTCCTGACTTTGACACGAAGGCGCTGAACGATTTTAGCACACTGAAGGAAGACCTAGAATCAGTTTTGAAGAATTACAGCACCGAAATGGAGCAATCCCACGAAAGACGTGGTTTAGAATTGGCTATGGCCTTGAGCGCACGCGGTAACCTATTCTTGCAAGAAAACAAGCTCGATAACACGTTGTTTGCGGAGTTTCCAGCGAAGTCTGATGCTGTTGTAGGCGTCGGTATCAACATTGTTTACGCTGTGGCCTCAGTTATCTACCCTTTCATGCCGGAAACCTCTGAAGGAATCTACAGGATGCTGAATGCCCCACCTCTCCGGATTGACGAGACTTTCCATCTTGCTATAGGTGGCGGACACAACATTAACAAGGCTGAGTACTTATTCAAACGTATTGATGAAAAGAACATTGATAAGTGGAGAGGCAAGTACGGTGGACAGAACAATTAAATGCCATGAGCCACTAGGCCCTCTATAATTGTATTCGTCATAAGCAATGCAAATGAAGATTTTACCGGTTGACCACAATCAAGAGATATTTTAGTGACCCAGATTCTTTTCATATTGTATAGACATACATTTACACCATAACTATCCGAGATAGACAAGTGAGTATGCTCTGGGGAAGACACTACTTAGCACCCTGTGGAACTAAGAGCTCGTAAATAATGCTTACGTGAATTAAGTTACAAAGAAGTTCATGTCGATACTGCCATGTCCATTACGACACCGACGTGTGGTTCACTAGCATCTCAAAATGTCCCAAGAGGTAATTGACCAAATCGTAAAATACCTGACACCGCAGGTTCCAATTACACCCATTTCCCAGGGTGCGGAGGCCGTCGTGTTCCTTACCAATGTTCATCCATATGATATTGGCAGATCATATCCAGATGCTAAGTACATTATCAAGTATAGACCGCCCAAAAAGTACAGACATCCATCAATAGATAGAGCTCTTACTAAGCACAGAACTTTAAGTGAATCCAGAATTCTAGCCAAGTTATCGCAAATCCCGGAACTACATGTACCTCGCCTCATCGCCTGTGATCCTTATAACGGATGTATATGGATCGAGTACCTGGGGGAAAATTTGCCGAATAATTGCGGGTTTAGCAATCTCAAAAACTACCTCTGGATGAATGCGGATGATCCGTATAATGCAGATGTTGAAAAGACACTCGTTAAAGTAGGTCAACAGATTGGACAGCTACATTGGCAGGATTATTGCCACGGTGACCTTACGACCTCTAATGTCGTGCTTTCGCGTCGTGGCGGCGAATGGGAGCCATTTTTGATCGATTTTGGTCTAGGATCTGCTTCAACGCTTGTAGAGGACAAAGGGGTTGATTTATACGTCTTAGAGAGAGCGATTATCAGCACTCATTCGCGGTTTGCAGACAAATACAATATGTGGATCATGCAAGGATTCAAAGATGTTTTTGGTCAACACGGTAAGGTCGGGGACAAAAAGTTGAAAGACACACTAAAAAGGTTCGAGGAAGTCAGATTACGAGGAAGGAAAAGGAGTATGCTGGGATGAAAACAGAATAGTGCAGGTTTACCAGTGTATTCAATCAGCTACTCAAGGGAGTTACGGACAACGCCTCTCACACAGCCCATGACACCATTAAATAGAAGAAGATGATCTCCAACTTTTAATTGTCGAACATCTATGCTGCCCTCATTGATCAGCTTCTTTTTCAATAAATAATATCTCATAACACCACACAAGCAGCCAGTAGACAGATAAGGAGTTTGATAGTAAAAGCTTGATTCACTATTACCTGAACGCAAAACCGCTACATTTGTGATGGATCCCTCCATAAGTTCGAAAGTGTTATTGTAAATTAAGATCTCGGCCTTGGCTGCCGGCTTTTCTATGACCGCTCGCATTTCCTCCATGCGAGCCCTCGCATCATTGTAGTGTCCTCTGCGCGTGGTTTTAAAGGTGGTAAAAGGGGACGCTGTCGTTGTTTGAGAATCGATGAAAACGTCCCATATTTCTTCGGGGCTGGCCAGAAACCCATTGAGAACTGTGCTAATGAAATACTGTGTCGGGGTTGAAAAATAATCCAATGCCTGTGGGATTTCATGTGCTTCTATTCGCAATACCCCCGCATGGGACACTAGAACGCGCATCTTGTATTTCGTGTTGGCGTAAAACAAACTCTTCATTCTGGTATGCAAATTTGTGGCCGCATCCATAGGACACGGTATTCCTAAAATCAGTTTCTCGAGCAGCAACGGAAGGGAAATGTCAAATCCCCAACCAAAGAATCTCAAACCCAATCTGAGACGTTGAATGTGTTCGCCCAGGAGAAGGAATCGGTTATAGAAGACCTCTAACAATTCGTCTTCCGATTTATCACAGGTAGGTTCGTCCTCTGGTTCTGGAGGTGGTGACATGGGGGGTATACCCCTCTGCAAACCTTGAAATGATTCTAGCAACGACCTGCCATTATCGATTGGCGAATCGCCTGCGAAAGAACCTTGCAGATCTAGATCAGACAGCTGGGGATCAACAACTGCGTCTAATTGAAGCCCAAACCTTGTAAAGTCACCGCTTGTTTCATTGCGAATCGTTGAACTGTTGGCTGTCGTGAACCCTGGGTCGTAGCGCAGCGTTGACAAAAGTTCGAATTCCGCATTACTGAATGTAAAATTTGGATCTATTACTCCATGCTGCACAATTTCTGAAATCTGCTGCTGCATTTCAGTCAGTCCAGACTCCTCGTGGATGATCGGCGCCATAGGAGAATATTGTATAAATAGCGATTTGTTGACAACGATGCTCTAATAATCAGTTGATCTTCTCAATAGTCCTAAAAGCATATAAAAGATGCTAGATTCCGTGTTCACAGAAACAATTACTGCTAATAAACGTCGATGCTCGACGAAACGGTCCTCATGCCACTTGCCCCATCCGCACCACACTCTTGATGAGGCACCTTTACGAATGTGAAAAGGATGGGTGGTCTCGATACAAAGCATGACTAATTGTCGTGAGTATATTCCACTCTTCATCACCAAGAATCTAACAAATGAGAGCCTTGTTGGCGCAATCGGTAGCGCGTATGACTCTTAATCATAAGGTTAGGGGTTCGAGCCCCCTACAGGGCTTAATTTTTATAGTGGCCGATCTACATTTCGTGCTCTGTGACCTCTAATAGAGGTTGTTAGTTGTGCACGCATTAACCGGCAAGTAAACTACAATAGCTGGCTATACTGAGCTATTGTATCGGTTCCATAGATAATACTTAGTCCTCAGTTTCAAAAATGGTGGACTCTATATCACGTATTACTTCTGCACTTGAATCAGCCCGTGAATTGACCCTTGATGCTGCGGCAGTGGCCAGTTCGCGGTTGGGTGAAACGTCGTACCACAGATACTCTCAGAAGATTACCCCAGAAGGACTGCGGTCTTTACTCAGCTCACGCAATGCTCGGGAGGTGCGCGATGGAATGAAAAGAGTGGCGTCTTTGATGGCTTCGGATGATCCTAACGTGGATCTGGAGCTGTATTTTGCAGATGTGGTCAAGAATATTGGTTCATCTACAGATATCAAAGACAAGCGGCTGGTCGCAGTGTACCTGCTGCGTTTCGCTGAAAGACAACCCTCCTTAGCTCTGCTGGCTGTCAATTCGATCCAAAAATCACTGGCTGATCCGGACTCGCAAACGAGAGCTTTAGCGCTAAAGATGCTGTCCGATATAAAAATCGCGTCTTTATACCCAATTGTGCTACATTCAGTGAAAAAGGCCGTGACTGACAGTGCTCCAGAAGTACGCAGCGCAGTATGTTTTGCATGTCTCAAGCTTTTCCGCGAGCAACGCGATTCTTATGCCGATGATATCTATCCGCTTTTGAAAGGTCTGTTGGCCGACTCAGATCCTGCGGTTGTTTCGTCTGCACTTGTTCTTCTGAAGGAAGCATTTCCTCAACATTTGGAGCTCCTTCATGGTCATTTTCGTCGCTACTGTGAGATCTTGCCTCAACTTACTCAATGGTCACAAGCTTATTTGATTGATTTACTTATCGATTACTGCAAAACTTACGTCGCAAGGCCGGTCTTGACAGATGCCAGTGACCAATCTCAATCGACGGTTCTCCCAGAGGTATTGAATCCTCTCCCTTATGCGAAATTCAACGTCTCAATAGATCCAGACCTCAACCTGTTTCTCAATTCAATAACAAAAATGCTCTACTCTCCGAATTCGGCAGTCATTATCTCCATAAGCAAGGCTCTTTTCGAATTAAGTACGCCAACGGCTTTGAGGGACTCAAAAACTGCAGATGTTTTAGCAAGGCTGATTAGCTCACCTGGATTGGCTAATGACCAGGGTGCCATCTTACAGTGCATCTTAGTATATTGTACAGCGGATCCTACCACATTTTCTCCTTTTTTAAAGAAATTTTTCCTCTTTCCTAGTGATGATACGGATACGGCTGTTTACAAGCTTAAAATCATAGCAGCCTTGGTCAGTGAACTCAACATCAAACAGATTGTGTCAGAGTTGAAGTATTACATCACCGTCGATAAGAGGTCGAGGGTGGTCCAAGAGGCCCTAAATGCTTTAGCTGTGTGCGGTCAATTTTCACAGAGCTTGTCCCTGCACATTACAAAATGGCTTCTGGACGGTCTAGAAAACCCGCTCTCACCGAGCGCAATGAATTCGTATGTCAGTGTTGTAAGGTTCCTGATTCAAGAAAATCCTTCCCAGCACCTGGGCGCTATGATTCAATTGGCCAAGACATTACAGACGAGAAATAACTTATCTGGAAACGCAAAAGCAGGGATAATCTGGCTATTTGGTGAATTCGCCACTACGAATTTCTCCGTATGCCCCGACCTATTGAGAGTTTTTCTACCCAGGTTTTCTTATGAAGCTAAGGAGACTAGACTTCAAATCGTTTTGTTTGCAGCCAAGATACTTTCCTGTGAGCATGACCTAATGATTAATAAAAACAAAAGCTCTGAAGGTATTCACGATATAGCCGAATCCAGAATTGGACAAATGGCCCAGTCAATTTTCTACCTAGCCAAATTTGATGACGATTTCGATATCCGAGACCGCGCAAGGCTCTTCCATTCCTTGTTTGACAAAGAAAGGTTCGAGATTGCCTCTTTGCTTCTGCAAGCCCCCAAGCCCCCTTCTGTTACTTCATATTCCTTTAACACCCCGCATGCTCTCAATACAGATTTACTTGCAAAGATGGGCCTGGATCATGATATGGAAGAATATCTCACTTGTTTACCGTGGAGCGAAGAAGATGTAGTCGATAAGAGCTCAACACTACGGACACCTTGCGACGTGAAAGACTACAATAGGCTGAAAACCAGTTTCTCCTCGGCATCTTTCTTCCATGGTGACGATGATCGACATTCTACCCGTGGTAAATCCGAGAACGCAAAGACCATGACGGACACATCACATCGCGTTTTCACTTCAGCGCAAGGCAGAAAATATCAGCTTCAAAGCCTGGATGAATTCTTTTCGGACCTGCCAACCACAGAACGCAAGAACGGCCGCAAAGCTCAAGTTCAAGAAGAATCAGACGAAGAAAGTGGGGACAGTTCTCAGGAAAGCTTTGAAAGTGACGAATATGGAAGCTCTGAATCAAGTGATAATGAGCAGACAGATGAGGAAACAGATTCGGATCATGAAGAAGACAATTTAAATAAGGCCTAGTGACCTTATCATTATATAGCTGCATACAATAGGCTTACAGAACTAGTTCCATTTCTTCTATCTCAAAAGTTGGGTTCATTTCTGTTCTGGGGTAGTAGGCTACTAAGCTGTCTGGTCCCTGAATATACGCGTTGTTGTATAAGGTCCAAAAAGCCTTTCGGACTTTTTTTGCTGGGTGAAAAAGACCTGCCCAAATGTAGTTGGATAAAATACCCACTCCAAGGGCTATTCCTAGAGCCTCTACGCCTTCTAGTACTCGTACTATCACATGTGGCGAAGTTTCAAAGATGTTAGGCATAAGCAAATTCAACAAATGCAAAAAAGCATCTTCGTAGCCTTTTCCCATACAGTTCAGAGCTAAATGTTTTGAAACACTGGCTGCCGTTTGTCTATGCACCAGATCTCGATCTGTAAACGCGTCTTGGAGCAGCGGCAAAGTTGCATATATGAAGTCTTTTGAGATTGGGCCAATGTACTCAAACATAAATGTCATGGCTTTCAAAACACCATTTTGAACATTTGTGTCAGGGGTTTTATACTCGTTCATTATCGCTGGCAGAACTGTTACCGGGCCACATCTTTCAGCAACAATTCCAATGGCTACAGCTGTACAAACACGAAGTTGCCTCTCTTGAACCTTCAAGTTATTGAGAAGTGCAACAAGCACATCTTGCGGCCCTATGGTATTTGCAATGCTGCCAAACGAATTATTGGCAGCTCTTCGTATAAGCTTATTCGGACTCTTAAGCATTTCTAAAAGCTCAAAGCATATTCTCATCCACTCCTTAGGTGGAACACTCTCAGGCCCCTTATCTGCAATTCGCCCTATCAAAACGATGCTGTTTTGCTGAACCTTTCTGTGCCGATTGCGTAAAATAGGTGTCAAATTCGGTAAAATTTGGTTGGCAGGAGGCTGAAGTACAGTAAAGTCCACTCGTGCTACAGCCTGGCTCATAGCCCCAATAATAGACCCTAAAACTTCTGGAAAAACCTCTCCTAATTGTTCATACAATATAATGTTGATCTTGTTCAACATAGCTTGTTCCCCGCAGTTACTGATGGCGGGAATTAGGGAGGCACATAGGTCAGCAGCGTGTTGTCGAATGGTTGGCGATTTATGCTTTAACCTTTGTAGTATCGTACTAACTATAGGTGAAAGATAAGGATGCATCCTAACATCTAAAGACTCTATCACCGCTCCGAATCCAGCGACCACTACGCGATCATCGCTCACTTGTTCCTGGAATGCAATAAGAAGAGCGTCTACTAGTCTCCTTTCTAAATTTCGATCAATATCCTGGGATCCAATATGCTTGATTATTCGACTTACAGCACGCACGGCCATAACCCTCAGTGGTTCTGACTCGTCTCTTAACGGATTTAACAAATTTTCGACTGTAAACCCACCTCCACCTTTTTCTGACAAAACTAAAGTGGTATACACGACAGATTTGTTTATTTGGCGATCTAAAGCCGTGCGGCGACTCCAGAAGTAGCGGAAAAAATCGGGCATTATGTCTTCCCTTACCTGCTTTTGTACTAGACCATCTGCCGCACAGCACTTCTGTAACACCAACAAAACTGCCTTCTTCATTTCGTCATCAGGCGATTGGAACTCTCTTTTCACTACGCGCATAACTTCTTGGGTGTAATAACCTGCATATTCTTTGTCCATTAGCGGAATCAAAAAACCTAACGCGCGCAGAAAAGAAGCGAGTGCCTTACCCCTGTGCGTTCTTATTCCTTTCCAAAGTGGTTCAAGAACAGGGTTAAAAATCTCAATTCCATATGGGTAAGTACTCTGCGCTAATGACGCGATGCACTGAGCCGTTGTAATACGTACCACGAGCTGTTCGTCATTGAGACCGTCACATATACATTCCATCAGGGATTGGAGGTAAGGGAGAACTCCAATTCCGAGAATTCTAGCAATCCCTTGAATAGTTTTGACACCAGTATGCCGGGCCCGCCACGATTTGTGGGAGTGGCATACGGCATTGAGAAAAGCAAACATGTGAGACACACCTAGAGCTTTAGCTACCACCGCCATTACACGGGAGGTAATGTTTCGCACGTATTCGTCCTGGTGATCGATGTCTTTCCGAACTGCAGTAATAATTGTGGCCAGCCCTACAGCATGTGCTAGCTGAGAAATAATCTCTCTGCCAATATCCCTTGTTAGATCGTCTTCATCAATCAGCGTAGGAGCAATTACTACCAAAATGCGGTGTGTATAAGGCTTTACGAGGTCTTGTAAGCGGTTCAAAATACGATCCACAACTTTTATCATCAAGTGGCGTTCTTGATCTTCTAAACTTCGGTCCATCAAGATTGGTAGAACTCTGTTGAATATTCGGGGGGCTCCGAATACAGCTGCCCGATCTCTTAGGGCCCGCATGGCTACTTTTCTCATCTGGGGCTTGCCGTTCTTAATCCTCAAAAGAAGACGCAAAAACTGATGATCTTTTTCTTCGTCTTCCGTTAATTCCTCTTTTTGGTTCAGTAACTCTCCAAAATGGCTTTTATCAGACGGCTTAAAGAATTGAAGGTCCTTCACTCCCGGCAATTCTGTGATCAGTTCTTTTGACAGCTGTTCCACAGAAGTTTTATTTACTTCAGGAATTTGATAAGGTTTATCAGCATCCCATCTAGATCTTTGCGGAGCGGAGGTTAAAGATGAGTTTACAGAATCCCGTTGTAAGCTTGCAGTTGGTTCCGTAATGTCCCATCGTGATTTCTTGTGAACCTCCCTTGTAGCCTCGGCTGGTTCATCAAGGGGTCTTTTCAATGTATTGTCCCCTTCCTCTTTTAGCTCTAGACTGAACCTCTTCCGTTGGTAGCTGGTTTCTTTGGCGTAAACTGACTTCGAGCTCACTCTATCTCTCAGCGGATCTTCCCTTTGTGGTGCCTCTTCAAGTTCTTGCTTTACGTCATTGGGCATTGAATAAGCTGCCACCAGACTTCTTTTACCACTCTCTCCGTTGGCATTACCTACGCTAGAGCTTGGCATGACGCATCGAACCGTTTTGCTAGGTATCCCATCGGTGCTCTTCAAGTTCAGGATGTTGAATTCATTAAAAGGTATGGGCATGTCATACGACACAGCGCCATTTGCCGGAGTAATAGAAGGTGATCAGTTTTTACTCGCAAACCGGCTAAAGAACCTTCCTATTCACCGCCTAAATAGTGGGACTCCAAGGTTATTGTCAGGCTGCAATTTATGCGAGTTCTGAAAATGAGAATCCTAACTTCTGAGACCATTTTGCAAAAGTACATGTGGGAGCCCCCTTTACTGTAATATCAAGCTAGAAGTGAGCCTTCTTCTCGGCATGCTACAGAGACGCCATTCCAAAAGAAGAGGAATGATCCTTAAGTTCTTGCTCCAATCTAGTAGAGATTTGGCGATTTATGCGAAGGCAGCCTAATTTACTCATTGAAACGAGGATTTTGAGTTTATGATTTACGCACGCTACACTAGCTCTTGTTTACAATCCAAATCCGCTGGAAGCTGTGCTGGGGAAGGTCCTTTGGCACGTTGACAGCTTTTTAACAGCTGTAATCACTTTTTACCATACTGTCGCTTTTTGTTGAAAAGTTATATTTTAAGATGATCACGACGATACTTAAAAATGGCAAAAGACATCGAGCCTCAGAACACTATTCCCATTTAAACTACACTATAGAGGCCTTGAAACTACTATAGGAAACATCCACCGCCTATCATTGAACAGGAGTACAAAACCTTACCCAGAAGGTGAGCAGTTGTGTCGCGATTTCATCGCTATTTAGATAGACATGTAATTTGTACAACAATTGATTACTTCAAAGCCTATAAAGCTGTTAGCGAATGCAAATTGACTCTGCTGCAGCCCTGGTCTGCGGCTGTCGCCTGAAGAGAAGCATTGATACCGTAGAGCGTGATTATTGTTTTTAATCTATTGTATTACATTTTTTGGTCATGATGAGCTAACGGAAGCCAGGTTCAAGACCAAAGCAGACTCCGAAATCTGGGATGAGAAGCCTTGCGGGAGCATTTTTCTGGATTGTCCTGTTTTGTGCTGTAATAACAGCTACAACATCTATAGATGAAGATCTGAATATCCCAAATGAAGCAGAGACGGCTGGTAATGCATATCAAACGTGCTCGGCGGAATGCTTATCTTCTGCCTCCGAGGAAATCAGTACAGATGGTCTCGAATTAACGGATGAAGAAATCAAGGTAGCCTCGATGGGGAACACGTCTGATAGTTTATCTCTATATGAGAGTTCTGAATCAATCAAGTACCCATTTCACGAACAACTGACGTTGAGGCCCCTACCGCGGAGTTTCATGTTTGCCTCATTTGAATTTCTTATGCGTTCCAATAATTTCACGGTCGGTGAAAAGGAATCAGACTTCAACGCATACCGGCACTACACAGTTTTTCCTAAGTCTTTGAGCCCTCTTCTGGAATATACTCAAACGCGACAGCTACATCTACGATTTACGCATGGGCGGTGGGATTCAGAGTCTTGGGGCCAGCTTCCTCATGAAGGTCGTAAATCAGGCGGTACTGGTGTTGAGCTTTGGGCCGTCATTGAGGCTGGCTCTAAAGACGATGCATTCCACAACTGGATATCCTTGGCAAACTCTTTAAGCGGACTCTTTTGCTCTTCCATCAACTTTATCACGGCTGAAAAGACAACGTATCCTACTTCATACTCTCCACTATCGGATGAAAGTTCGCTGCCCATATTCAATACTTCAAACAGCCTTTTCCTGATACGAGCTGCCCTGGCCAATGAACCTATTTGTACAGAAAACCTGACACCTTTTTTGAAACTGTTGCCTACTAGAGGTCGGACGGGAATTTCTTCCCTACTAGACGGACATAAACTTTTTGACTCTAATTGGCAAAGCTTGTCATTGGACGTTGAAACACATTGCAATGCTGGAAAATGTCAATACCACATGGAGCAGTTCATTGAAATGGTTTTTAACGTTCCTAACTCATTAGCACGAGCTGATACACCAATCCCCAAACCCGTACAGGAATCTGAATTAAGGTGCGATCCGACCAAGCCTCATGATGCATGGCAGTGCTTTCCCCTGCCACAAAGTAGGGATACCAAATTTAGGCTTTCAAAATTATTTGGAAGGAAAATTATTGGTTCAAGCCTTATTTCCGAGTATCCTTCTAAGGTCTGTGCTAACGTCACGGACAGTTGGAAAGTTTTCATTGACGTCAACGACGCCCTATTCTCAACTGAAGATAATTGCTTTACTATAAAGTATGACAACGAACATGATCTACACATTGAATCAACTGACACTTCAAACGTGGTAGAACCTGAACCAATTCCCTTGTTTGTAAGCAGATCGCTTACAGGGTACGGTCAAGACAGCGGTGGGCTACGGACGGTATTCAGGAATCCAAGCAACGAGACTGTTGAGGCGTCATATTTCGAGACTTTGCCGTGGTACATGAGAATTTACTTATCCTCGTTAACCATGGAGAGTGTGGATGGCCTAGAAATTGAGGATGTCATCCAAAATACTTATTATTTACCAGCCGTTGACCGTCAGCGCCCAACTCATTTGAACTTCAAGCTCTTAATACCACCAAACACGTCCTTAGCGCTATCGTATCAGTTCGACAAAGCACTTTTGAAATATGCAGAGTATCCTCCCGATGCCAACCATGGGTTCGAGATCGAGTCTGCCGTTGTGACAGTAACCCGTCCAATTAGCTATGAGTTGAGAACCTCAACACTACTACTTTCTTTATCGACGCCAGATTTCAGCATGCCTTATAATGTCATCATTCTCACATCAACGGTTATGGGCTTAGCATTTGGCACTTTATTCAACCTCATGGTTAAAAAATTGATTACCGTAGAAGAAGCTGATTCAAGGAGTTCTTCTAGTACAAGCCTTAAAGCAAAGCTGGCTGGTATTTTGGGCAAAATTATGCGAACCTCGCGTAAGGTAGATGTGGAAAAGAAGCACCAATAGCTCACGTCACATACACTAATGCAATCTCAACAAATTTTTAAACGGACACGATAAAAGTTCATTTAGCATTGTAAATATATTGTACAACGAAAGGAAAACACTTTGTTTGAGATCGCAACTTGTTCGTTATCGGAAAAGGTGATTCGGATCCAGTACCCTCCTTGGATAGGAAGAAGCCCTAAAATGGATCTTCATATGGATCCTCCTCATCATAATCATCATCCTTCTCGAATTCGTAAACGATTGCACCTCCTGTGTTGAAGCTTTGGGCTTCCAGAAAAGGTAAAGCAACCTGCTCTTTCGCCACTCTCTGCTTGTTAGACGTGTTCAAATTGAAAGTGGTCAAACCTTCGAGCGCTTCAGTCCCTTCCTGAGCTTCCGCTTGTGAAATATCTTCTTGAATTGGCGTGAATGTATGAGCTGTAGAGTCGCATTTGAAAGTGTATCTCAAGGCCCTACCCGATTTTCTGCGATTCGTTAAGGTTAACTTGTAAGTGGGAGAATTGAGGCCCCTGGGAATTTCCAATCTCTGCAATTGGGATTCGAGCTCTTGTTCAGCGGTATCATCTACTGTTGCGGGAAATAATTCCAAAATCGAGGACGCCATGAACTGCAAAAGTTGAAGAGACGAGGGATAATTTTCTAGTTCAGCAGGTCTATATTCGGGGTGATTTTTGTGGGCAACAGCTACTAGGGCAACTGAGGGAGATACCAATTGCGTAATCAACTGTACTGTGTTGGGTGCCGTGACGAAGTTAATGCAGTCAATCATGATCAAATATTTTCCCTTGGACAGTTTCGATTGCTCTGGCGAGGGAAGAAACGGCTGAATCGAATCCAGCAGTCTGGATACCGTCGAACAGCCTTCTATAAAATATGTCGCATAATCTGGCTTTCTTGTAGATTCAAAGGAAACGTATATGACAGTCGTAGAACTTTCTGCTTCCCTGGCAACTTCATCTAAAATGCAGTGTCCTGAGCGGCCGATAGAATCCAGCACTAGAATAAAAGGGGTACTTTCCTTCAAAGAGAGGATTCTTTGTAATATCACTGAAGGGTTCTGTGACGATAAGCTAGCCATTTTCTGGTCAACTGTGACTGTAAGCGCATCTCATCGCTTGTCATACACCTTGCAATTTCATCAAAATTGATTGTGCACTATTTACGAGACATGTCCCTCTTTCAGAAAAACCTAGCAATAGAAACAGTTTTTGGAAGCTAAGTCAGTAGTATTTCGTGCGCGGCTCGAGTTCTAGGACCACGCTTAGTCGAGACCTCTCATATTCACCTGTCATTTGTTTTATTAACCATATTATATCATTATGTACAATAATGTCGCAGCATCGATTTCCAATTAGATAATTCGGTACTGTAAGTCCGGATGGCGCGTAAGTCGTTATGTTATGTCTTTCCGACCAAAAGTAGGCTCTGTGCTATATCATGTATGTCCCAAATTTGATATTTAGAATTACCACCTACCAAATTGTGGGAAACCATAGCGCCAGTGCTCATGGATCTGCCATCATTCATATGGTGGTCGACTATCACAGATTTAAAATAAAAAAAATTGGCTATAAGCTACTAGATAAATTTACCTCATTCGCGTGTACTATTAGCGTACTTTTTTACACTCGCAATTGCTATCCCCTCCTAGTCCACAGACCTTCTTTATATTATAAGTTGATCCAGCTTGACGTGTAGTGAGTGTTGGGCTTAATATATAATAAATATGAAAAACAAAGAGCTAGCTATGTCTGTCTACCTACGTTAGCCACCAACTAATAAGTATTTATGTTAGCTCTACGCATATTTCAATTCTGTCTTGAGGATTCATTTCTTAGTATGATACTCCTTGCAGTCATGTCGCATTAACGCACGGTCTACAGGTTCAGGATGTCTTAATATTCTGAATCTGGCTTAAGTAGGTTGACTTATGCTATTATTACAATCCCAATTATTACATAGACCTGTCTTTAGGCAGTTGACAGTACAGTGGTGTCACGTTGTATTCTATTGGGTGTTAGAAGAGAGAGAGAGAGAGAGAGAGACCTAAGTCCACTCGAGGTTTAATTGCCCTCCTACCTAGTCTAGCTCTGTTTGCCACAAGTGAATGTAAAAATTACCATATACAACAAGACGCCTAAATCGATCTACTTCTAAGGCGGTTTTGCATTAATATATTCTAACTTGACTACCATGTTGTAGTGGATGTGCTATTGAAGGTCTGGTGCTCTTTGGCTCCCAAGAATTTTTTTCGCTCTACATGACGTATGGAACACTTTGAAGCGCTTCTACTAACCACGTCTCATCGACGAGCTCTCTAAAAAATTATATTATTTCCCCGCCACTCACGGTGTGAACAAATGCAGTGCTCATTACGCGATTATATGCTTCACTACTGACCGATATGTTGCTAATACACATAATCTGGTCTTCCGTCATGACATTCATAGACGTTTATGCTAGTGCTATGTGAGTTAGTGGCAGCCAAAATCATCTCATGAGGGTGCAAAGCCATCGTCGAGATAAAGGAGCCTGATACTCTCGAGTTACCAATCCCAGTTGCAAGTGTACCAGCCACACCGCCAGCGTGCGTTTGCGGATTATTTTTGAAACTCGATAGAATATCCCCAGAGGTCGTCCATATTTTAAGCTGTCTCGTGCCTGTTGCGATAATCGGAGCATGTTCATGTACTTGCATTGAAGTCATCGTAGTCATCCGAGATCCAGTCGAGCTTGTTTTTTCCCCTTGATCCTTAAATCTGCTAATTGGGTTGGAGCTTCTCAAATCCCAAAGTTCAATCAGCCCATCATCTGTTCCACTAACTAGCTCCCTGTATCCGCCTCTTTGCAGATGAACGTTGTTTATACCGGAATTGGACAACCCGTCTTGAGATCGCCAACAATTCACCATTGAATCTCTAGGATCCAGACGTCGGTCATACGCCCTCAATGAACCGTCTGAAAATCCAGTGATAAACATATTTCCAGACAGTTGGTCGGATGTGATTGAACTAATCAGCGAAGATGACTTGGCAGGGATATCCACATCAACTGTCTCGGTAAGTGCATCCCAAATTCTAATAATTTTGGCATCTCCTGTTACAAGCAAAGAGCCCCTACTCTGTTGCCATTCAGTCAGTAATCCAGTGGATCTAGGTGTTAAGAGTAAGTCGGTAAGGCCCCTCCAAGAAGACACAAGCTCGAGATCATGTATGTCGCTGAACTTATTGTAAATCTTCACTATCCCATCCGAGGAGCCAGTTAGTAATAAAGGTATGTCGTCCTCATTCAGAAACTTAATATCCGTAATTTTTGTACCAAAAGGATTTCCGTTTGAAAAAGTCGCGAGTTTAGACTTATCTACCCAGTCAAACACTGCAATGTTATCCCTATCATCAGCAGACACAACATAGTTTTCGAACTGGCAGAACTTTAGAATTTTTGGTTGCGTTTTATTCTCTAAGACGGCTATGTTGTTCGACCAATCTCCATAAAGAGACAGTTTTTTTTGCGCTTGCGTTCTTTGGATAATCGTTTCATTTCTATTTTTACGCCAGAGCCTTGCGGTGTGCTCCGTGCTGCCGGGTTCATCTGCTTCCTGCTTTTTCATTTGTGGTTCCTGAAAATACTCCCGGGAATAGTCCAAGAACGTTGATTTGAGAGGTACTTCCGTAGATCCACTGTCTTTATTGAACCTAGGGGTGGATGGCGTTGGTTCGGTGCCATGTGGTAAGCTCATAAGATTAGAGCCCTGGAGCTTTTCGAAAGCCCTTTTAGCAGGCGCTTCTTTTCCGGATTCATTCTCCCCATTTTCCCATCCCAGCGCCTTGAATAGCCCGGTCAAAGAATAAACCCGCCTAGAAAAGTTTTGTTTCGATTCTGAAGACTCTGTTCTGCTATCCTCCTTATCGCCTAAGGCCAAGCTTGTTGGCCGCTTTGCAGTGGGTAAAGTTGAAACTATAGTTGGCCCGAAATTCGAAGCATTGCTATTGCCACCCGTATGCCTCATTAGGTAAAGCTCCATCAGAACAACAACCTCATTTAATTGCTGGTGATCGCTTAGTTTGATAAAGATATAGTCCACAACTTGTTGGGCAAGTGCTTTATTCTCAAGAAAAGGATCTTCGGTCAAAATTAATAGTGACTTCCAGACCGTGTTGAAAATTGATCCATGGGCCATTGATTGCTTACTGTCAAAACCACCTCCTTCCCATGAAGATTCCAGTTGGGAAATCTCATCGCAAATTTCATTGAAGGCAATTACGAAGAAGAAATTTGTGTATCGATGGACGAGATGAGACAAGCAAACTATCAATTCTTTTCGAACTAAAGGCGACCCATCGTTCACCAGCCCCAAGGCGGTAATGGTCATTTTGATCTCTTCTTGCTTTACTTTCCTAAAGTCCAAATTTTTCAACAACGAAAGATGTGTTTGAAGTTGTTGCAATTGGTGCTCTGCCTGCGCTTGTTGCCTTTGGACCTGTCCAGAGGATTGCAATGACTGAAGCTGCATCTGCAGCTGTTGAAATTGTTGCTGCATCTCGTGCTGCAGCTGTACGGCAACTTCTGCCTCGCCTTTTTCTGATAAAAACATATTGATGGCAACTAAAGCTGCACAACGAACTTCAGGGACTGGGTCTTTCAAAGAGGTGAAAATTATGTCCAGAAACCCACAGGTCATGCAAATGTACTTGTTCAGCGGATTTTTGAAGTACAGTTGTCCCAAAAGAATGATACACCATTGCCTCAAAAGCGGCACCTCAGAAGTTTCAACATAGAAACTCAGTTTCCCAAGTAGCTCTAAGGAGAAGATACACTTTTGACCCAAAGGGAAGTCTCTGACAAACGATGACAAAACAAACATGGCCATCGCTTTTTGCTCATCGGTCGTATTGTTATCTAAAACAGCACCATTATTTTGTGAGTTCTGCAAACTTTGATATTTTTGATACCTTTGAGTTCCAACGCTAGCATTAGCGTGCATCGTTAAGCCCCCACCACTAACTGCGCGTTGTAATGGTGGTGGTGCGAGAACGGTCGTACCCCATTCGGGCACCAGCATTTTCACGAAGTAAATATAGCCCTTTTCTTTGATCAGCTCAGCCTGAGTGTTTTTGTAATCGATGGACATTATTCGAGCCCAAATGAAGACAAGAATTGGCCGCAGTTCAGGGGCCGGACTCTGTAGAAGCTTTAAAACATAAGGGAATATTCCTATCGAGAGGGAGAGATAAACGGCCCAGGGACCCAAATCCAAGAAGCGCGACAAGAGAACCAAGGCTCTTACTCGGTGCACTTGGGAGAGAAGTACTTGTAAAACTATCGGCAATTGCTCTGGTGGTGTTCGAGTGTTCGAACCATATTTTAACCAAAGTTCGAATGCAGTCAGATTTTGCTCGAAAAAACCTGTGAACTGCTGCTGTTGTAACTGAAGCTGAGCGTTCGGTGGCAGTTGTTGAGCCAGTTGGTGGGGAACTTGAGTAGCGCTACCCAATCGCTGGTTGACCAAAGACATTGTGCTCAAAGTTCCGGCAGAAGCTTTTGATAAAAGCCCTTCCTCACGACCCACATTCACCTGTTGCTCTTGTAAGGCGTATTGTGTTTCGAAATCATTCGGAGTAGACGGAGCAGCCTGTAATTCGCTGATAAGTTTACTTAGCACTTCATCGATGGCCAAGTCCCACGACTTCCACATAGGGTGGTCCGAAATAGAGTCAGGAAGCTCGGGGTCAGAAACAGGATGACAATTGAACCACGGCATGACTCTCTTCGCCAAAAGGAAATTTCGGAAGAGTGCTGCAACCATCAAATCGTGACGAAACAACTTTTTGAACAGTGGGCGAGGAAGTGAGGTCCAAGCAATTGTATCAGTAATGGCAGTAAATATCCAATTTAGCTCCCCAAGGGGTGTCCGTCTGTCTGAGAGCTTACCGGGAATTGTTACATTCGGTTTTGAGGACGAGAGCTTCTCGCCATTTCTTTGTGTCCTTTCATCATTGTTTTGGAATAATAGTGCATACTTTGTTTCACGCAGCGGGGATTGCATCAGAAAAATGTCGACGCTAATTTCAATTGGACAGGTTAGACAGCAAGTGAACAAATCAGCCGGTAGTTCAGGTTTCATAGGTAAAAGTTCATTCGCTCGACATGATGCCAATTGGATACATTCTGTGTAGGCTTGCGTGGAAGAAGGTGCTGATGCATCATGGTTACCGTCTTCGTCGTCTTTTATTCTTTTTTGCACAAAAGTTCGAAAGTTGGTGACAATATTCCCCGCACTATTGCAGTCGTAGACATAAATACAAGGAGCGCCTAACCAGGTCTGAAGGTCATAAAGTGATACAGGAATATATTGTGTATAGCCTCGATTGAAAACCCACATCTCTCCTGAAGTCGTAGGCTGTGGCACACCGTGCCCATTGTAATGAAACAATATTCGCTCATCCTTTGATGCTCGCCGAAGGGAGTTGCAAAACCTTTTCACGTCTTCTACACAAGGATCAAGGGACTGCTTGTAGCGAGTTCTGAGCGATAGTGTTTCATACTGCGCCTGTAAGTTTTTACCTATCTGTTCGATGGCCTTCTTGGAATCTTGAAAATTGAGCGGATCAACCCAAGATTCGAGTCGGGCACAGGGATTGGTCTTGGCCACATCCGGTGGATCCACGCCTAGGTTCAGACACAGTAAAAGGGCAGCAGAAACAGTCTTTTGACGTTCTTTTAGGATTTTCCAGTCTTTAATGGGTTGATAGTAGCGTTTCGAGTCTCTCTTCTTTTCCTCGCGAGAAGTTGGGTTTCCACTCGTTTTGTGCCGCTTATCGTCAAAATAAAACATGAAATCATTAGCGAGTGACTCTAGGAATTGCTCGGAGGAGTATTGATCACCGAACCCATGTCTAGTCTCTGTATTAAGCTTCTGCAATGGTTGAGGCCCATACGTCACTGGCATATTCGAGAGGCCTATAATTCCAATTGGTATCAGTTAGACCTTACCGGATATAGCTGAGCCACAGTGGGTTAGTGTATCACAGGCCTAACCGTTCCTAACTTTCATTACTAGGCAGGTTTTGTTATATTATAGTGTTTTTCTTTATATCGTGAGGAATATCCGTCGTAGACGACAGGTGAGGTCGTCGCCGTAATATCAGCTTAGCTATGTAGTTCAGCTGCATTCATACAGCGAATCTGCCCACAAAGCATACGCTAACATGATTCACAGATCATGAGACGAAGATGATAGTAGGGACCCCACTCAAAGTGACTACAATATGAATCGATGTTTTTCAATATTTGTTATTTAATTCATCCTACCCAACTCTAATGGCAAAAGTATCGCCCCAGCAGTATCATTTGACTATTGGAGAGAGCGAGCAACGTTCTCTGATCTCTTCTTCTTACTACTCTACCTTTTGCGGCAAAGCGAGCGGGAATGCAATAAAATTTTGCTTTTATAGCTTGAAAACCCCTCATCAAAGATATAGACCCAAAGAACAGATGACTGAAAGCAGAGTATTTGCTAGAGCAACCAGGTGGCAGTGGTCTAGTACAGTCTGGATACAATCGAGTTGCATAGTGGTAATTACCAATCTAGTGTCAGTATAGTACAAAGTGATTCTGACGACGTCAGTAAAACAGGAATGTTCAGGGTGCATAATCGACCAATGGGATCCTGAGGGGAGGCAAGTACACAGAAGCTCTCTGGCCAGCCGACTCACTCATGCATCACACTAAATTCATTTATTGGATGGAATTGTCGGATTTTCCAGCTTGACCTGCACCCAAATTATTGCTGCCAGAATCTTATGTGAATACCGGCCATACGTCCCAGATATGAGCCAGACCTGAAGCTCAAATAACCACGTAGATACAGCCAGAAACCCCGTCTTAAGCTGCAGACCTATTATCAAGTACTCAAAATTTTGAGCACGATGTCTGTTGTCTATCCACAAATTGAGCGATTAATTCAGCTAATTCAAAGCTTCCGAGGATACCTTGCTCCGATGAATCTTCTACTGGTCAGACCCCCTTTAATAGATTTTGCACCCTTGTTAATTATTTGCCTGATATCAGCATAACCACTCTGTGCAACACAGTCCCTGGGTCTTATTACAATTTGGTGCCAGAACAAACTTTGGCACCTGCCCTGTAGCCAGTCATTTGGCAAAAACATGAAGAATGTATTTCAGGACAAGTGACGGTAGGAAATACAGAAAGAGAGAAACTCGCGAAAATATAGGGTCTGGCGATGTCATAGCACTATGACTTTAAAGTTTTGATAGTTGCTCACGACAAGGAATGGCTGTTGCTGTAGAACTAGTTCGATTTAGGTTTTTGTCTATCAGTGTCAAGAATAGATTCTGACTAAATGAATACTTGTGCTCAAGATATTCATAAGATTAGTCGAGGTTGTGAGGCAATTTGGGAACCTCACAAACTACACTTGTTAGCCACGGATCAAGGTATAAATATCATACCTTGCTACTCGAGATGGGCCCTCAAATTGCTAACATGCCAGGGCAGGATGATAAGGAGAACTGAGTAAAATTCTAAGAAGGATTGAGAGATCGATATGCAGGGTATGAAAACTGAAATTAAACGCCCTCTCTTGATAGGACATACAATATTGAATACCATAATGCTGTAAGAAAGGTCCGTAATGCTTTCCCTGATCTTAGATGTAGGAATAGCGCAAATCATTCCGTAAATTGTAGTTCCGATAGTGTAGTGGTTATCACGTAACCTTCACACGGTTAAGGTCCTGGGTTCGACCCCCAGTCGGAACATTTTTATTTTTTGACATAATTTAAGAATCTCTTATATTGCTCAAGACTTAAAGGTACAACATATTAGCTTACATCTAGACATTGACTTCATTTTCGACTGGTAAGCTTCGACATGGGTGTTCACTCGCTTTGGGATATAGTTGGGCCTACGGCCAAACCTGTTCGCCTAGAATCGCTCACCAACAAGCGTTTGGCTGTCGATGCATCTATCTGGATATACCAATTTATGAAGGCTGTTAGGGATAAAGAAGGTAATGCTATGCGATACTCCCATGTCGTTGGTTTCTATAGAAGAATCTGCAAGCTTCTTTATTTTGGTGTCAAGCCTGTGTTCGTTTTCGACGGTGGGGCGCCAACCCTGAAGAGACGCACCATCCAACAACGAAAAGAGCGGCGGCAAGGTCGCAGAGATAATGCTGCAAATACTGCCCGCAAGCTTTTAGCGCGCCAATTACAAAAGGAAAAATTGCCCATTGCGGGGAAAGACATGTCTTCTTCTTCACAGACACATATTCATAAGTTGAATGATGAATACGATCTACCTAAAATCCCGGGTTTTAAGTACGAAGCAAGCGATGCAAGAATCAATGCTGACGACTTCAAAACAATTATGGACAATATTGACGAGCTTGATGGGGTGGACCTCGATTCTATAAATCCGGCCTCGAAGGAATTTGATGAGCTGCCGAAATCAACACAATACATGTTGCTGTCGGCCCTCCGACTGAAGTCTAGACTGAGAATGGGTTACTCCAGAGAGCAATTGCAGAGCATATTTCCAGATAGTATGGACTTTTCGAAGTTTCAAATAGATATGGTTAAGCGGCGCAACTTTTTCACTCAGAAGCTAATGAACGCTACTAATACACACGATGGTGGAGCCTCTAAATTGGATCGGGAGCCTAATAAAAGAGTTGCGGGGCAGCGTCATAAGGAATATGAGTTGATACGTACAGACAATGGATGGACGTTAAGTTTGACAGGCGATGATGGGTCGGAGGTCAGTAAAGCCATTGTAGTTGACGAACGACCTCAAAAAGCGAGTACTCAAGATCTCAACAGCAACAATGGTGAGGACGACTCCGAGGATATTGACTGGGAGGACATTGATTTAGATACCAAAGAAAGCAATGAAAACTTAGACTACTCTGTAAAAGCTTCGCTGCTACCAATTAAAGCAGCAACACTTCAGACGGGTGGAGGCCAGTCTTTCCTGGATAAAAGACATTTGGAAACAGGGCCAGAAATTTCGCGAAAGATTATTCACATACCAGATGAGACTGTGGAAGGTAACTCTGGAGTAAGTAGTTCAATTCATGGTGGCCAGGATGCGAACGATGAAGATGATGAATACGCTGACCTAACGAGGGACTTGCAAATAATGCAGAGCATAGCAAGAAATAATAGCCCGAAGATAAATTCCAACCCTACTACACAATTGCATCAGACTGTAAATCGATCAGATCCTTCGAATAACAGCAAAATTCAGCGGGACACTGGCGCCGTATCTGAGTACGATAATGCTGCCACAGGAAACTCACAGGCAATGGAGCCCAGTTCTGGCAGTAATGAAGGGTCTGGGAGGAGCGAAAATGAAAATAATCGTTTTTACGAGCCAGCTAGGGTCCCAACAGAATCAGAACAAAATTTGCAATTCGTGATTGATAAACTGGAGGTACCGGGGGACCGATCCGGTAAACAGGAAGTTGAAAAGGTTGACAATCAAGCTCCAGAATCAACCGAGACTCAGATTCCGGAAATTCCAGACTGGTTTAAGTCAAATGGCCCCTCCGACTTCAATCCTCACCTTGGGAGCTCTTTTCTCACAAATGACAGCAGCAATGGGACTGCTTTTCGGAATGATGATGAGCGAATTGGTTTATTCTCTGGATCTGCCGCATCTGACTTCATTTCTGTAAGACGTGTCGAACAGGATGACCATGAGAGGAGAAAGGAACCTAACGAAGATGACGTGTTGGAAGTTTTTCCCAAGTCTCCCAATTCAATTTCCGGGAGTCCCTCCGAAGTTAAGGATCCAAAAGTTGTAGCGGTAGAGGAAGAATTGCAGAACACACCGGCACCTGTTGTAGATTACGACTTTTCTGAAGACGAGGAAGACGCGCTAATTCATCAATTAAGGGAGGAAGAACAAGACTATCATCTGTTTAAAACAGCTCTCAACCCTACAAGCGCCAGCACAACTTTCATGGATGAAGTGCTCACAGAGGAGCAGCTACGTGATAAGAGAGATTCCGATGAAGTCACCGCAGCTATGGTGGCTGAGGTTCAAGATCTTTTAACCAGATTTGGAATTCCTTACATGACAGCACCGATGGAAGCTGAAGCGCAGTGCGCCGAGCTCCTAATACTCAAGCTAGTTGACGGAATTATTACGGACGACAGTGATATTTTTCTTTTTGGAGGAGATAAGGTTTACAAAAATATGTTCCACGAAAAGAACTATGTCGAATTTTATCAAAGTGCCATGATTTCCAGAGAGTTGGGCTTGGACAGGGAAAAGTTTATTGAACTAGCTCAACTGCTTGGCAGTGACTATACAACCGGCGTAAAGGGCATAGGTCCTGTATCTGCTATGGAGATCTTGGCTGAATTTGGAGACTTGACAGCTTTCAGAGATTGGTATAATGAAGGACAATTCAGTAAGCGTGTTCAAGAGAAAGAACCAGATTTTGAAAAAAAGCTTCGCAGAAAACTCGCAAACGGCGAGGTGATGTTGAACTCCGATTTTCCTAGCGATTTGGTGAAGGAGGCCTATATAAGACCTGAGGTAGACCACGATACGACTAAATTTTCTTGGGGTGTCCCCGATTTAGACAGACTAAGGAGCTTTTTCGGGTCCACGGTTGGATGGCCACAGGAGAAAACAGATGAAGTTATGATTCCATTGATCAGAGAGGTCAATAATCGTAAGAAAACAGGCATTCAGAATAGTTTGTCCAACTTTTTTCCCACGGAGTATATAAAGGCTGGTAAGGATCTCAAATTGGGTAAAAGGATCAAGAACGCCAGTGGTAAACTCAAGTTGAAAAAACGCCGTACTGAATAATGGCCAGTTTTTTCTTGATTAAGGTGCTCCTCGGTCTGTTAACCTTCTTGATACAAACGGCGGTTTCTTTTTTCTGACAATTTTGCGTCAGTGACACTAAAATAGAATCCCTGTTTTCCAAACACCCTTTTGCCAAAGGTGAGCAGAGAACTGTAGGTTCCCAACCAACTAAAAAACCTACCGATAACTTTTTTCGCCCAGTTACATTGTCAGGTCTTGAGATTTTGGGTGTATGATGCCACAAAGAAACTATCACAAAAGTTCAAGAGCGTTAGTCGCCAATGGAAGCATAATGAATATTGAGTATTCACCCAACCCTTCCACGGGAAAAGCTGCCTATGACAGGTCGCCAAAGAAAAGAGATAGCTTCAAAATTCAAAAAGCTAAGCGTCTCGATGTTAGCGATACGCACTCTCCACTGATTACAGAGACCTCTGATGTGTCACAATGCTTTGCCACAAACTATCAGGCTGATGGTAGCGCTGTGTTGAGGAGCTCGGTCTATATGGGTCGAGGTTATCCTGCTGCGGGAGGAACTATGGCCCAGTACACACTTATGAACCACAAGGCAAACGACTCCAACGACAAAAGCAACAATGGCCTAGATCGGCCAAGTAAAATGACATCTGGTCTAGTCAATAGAGCGCGACAGGAGTCAACCGACAACCGTGTAGATCATCGATTCACTGATTTTGAACAATTTGGTTTTCAGACGTTCCCGTCGTATTTCAACCCCCGCGCGGCCACAAACATGCCACACCAAGAAAAAGTTAACAAATGGATTGAGAATGTTCCCGTCATCAACCTGGGCGACGGTAATTGGCGTTCCGACTGCTTCAACGTGGATAATGAACTCGACTGGGAAGAGCGAGAATTTGATCTTGCGTACCATGAGTGTATGTCTCTCTCTCTTACGACTGCCGATGAAGTTTTACATCTCCAAGCCAAACGACTTGATACTCTAGTTCGCAGAATTTACGATCTCACACCGGAGGTGCCTCTCAACGCCACGGGCAAATATACTACTTGAATGGTGGCCCAGGGGTTGATTTTTACACAGTTTATACTGAGTAGTTCAGTGTGTTTACGACCACATTTCACCTTCCATCGGGCGAGGACGAGAGTTTTTAACATCATCACTACATTGTACTACTGACATTGACTTTTTCTGTGCGCCAGGAAGATCTAAAATCTAATAAAATTACATAAAGTACTCATGATCACTTAACCGTATTAACAATCTACAAAATTGCGGTCGAGCTGATTGTCGAACGAAATTGCTCATAGCCAGCTTATTGTCCTTCCCTTCATCTGTCTATTCAGTTCTTTCTGTGCTATCTGCCAAATTGTGATGAGCAATGAAGTGAAATCTACTATCGGTGTAAAAGAGCGACTGTTAAGCGCTGTGGCAGGTTCGTTTCTAACTTCGCTGATACTCACACCTATGGATGTGGTCAGAATACGACTCCAACAGCAGCAGATGCTTTCAGACTGTGTTTGTGAAGTTGGTAGCGATTCGCTGGTGAAGGTTGAAACCGCTAAAGGCGTGTTCTGGCAGGATGCTTGCTTCCAGGACGTTCAATGTAAGAGCGGGCCAGTACGATATACTGGAACGCTGGACGCTTTTGGAAAAATAGCTCAAGTCGAAGGTGTCACCAGCTTGTGGCGGGGAATGTCTATTACCCTTCTCATGGCTGCACCTGCAAATATGGTCTATTTCATAGGATACGAGACTCTCAGAGACAAAACGCAACTACAAGAAACACACCCTGTCGTCAACCCTCTTTTATGTGGAGGCGTGGCACGAGTTCTAGCTGCGACAACAGTAGCACCCTTGGAGCTATTAAGAACCCGCCTTCAAAGTATACCGCGATCTAGCCCCAATTCCACGGCTACCATGATGTTCAAAGATCTGATGAAGGAATCTCGCCTCGAATTCTCTAAGATCGGATATCGGGCATTTTTCAAAGGTCTAGAAATCACGCTATGGAGGGACGTCCCTTTCAGTGCCATATATTGGGGTACCTATGAATTCTATAAGCATAGGGTTGCTAATGATCCTGATAAAACAATCATCAACTCCTCCAGCCAAAAATGGAATCAATTTATCAACAGCTTTGTAGGAGGCACTATTGGCGGTACTATAGCAGCTATTTTTACTCATCCTTTTGACGTTGGTAAGACGAGAATGCAGATTTCCTTTTCGATGAGTACTTCCAACCCTTCAGAAAACGCATCTAAGAATATGTTCAAATATTTGAACGATATCCGTACAAGGGAGGGCCTCCGAGCACTTTATACTGGGATGTTACCACGGCTTGTTAAGGTGGCCCCTAGTTGCGCCATCATGATATCCACCTACGAAGTTTGCAAGCTTTTTTTCAGTGCCTAACATGTTGCTTGTAAATATGCCCTAGTCAACTACAATGAGTTTGACCTTATTTCTGTAAATGAGTTACGAACACCTAATAAATGAATCACTTACACTGACCTGCTTTAATGTCAGAACCCAGTCACGTTCCACCCGGAGATTCTATCCACTTGTTACGATTCAGCTCTTGTTCAGGCTCATAGGTGTAGCCCTGAAAATCGTCATTGCCCGGAGAAAGATCCAGTATAGTTCCACCATCGTTGTGTGCGGAGAGCTTTAAGCCAAATTCTGTATTAGAGTCGCGAAGACCGCTTCTCAAGTTTTCGATATGGGCCCTTATTGTTTCCGAAGTATCTGGATAGGGCAACCGAGAGCGCCTACGATAATCAATGGCGCGATTGACACCTTCACATCTCAGAGTGCGATTTGAATCGAGCGATAGTGGTTGAAGGTTTCGTTTGGAGGCACACTTTTTACCATAGTCTGACCTCTTTGAACAAGTGTCTTCGAGATCACTTCTGATGTTGCTTTCACTAGCTAACTGTGATGAATCTTCCAAGCCGGTCTTGAACTCTAATTTCAACTCGCGTTGAGAACTCGGTTGAGGTTGATTCTCTTTGTCGGCCACAAAATTTAATTTGGCGGGGCTTTTGGAAAGAGGTTTTCTATTGATGCAGCACATCAGAGAATCCTGGCCATTATACATATCACTCATTATTTCTACCAGCCTATTGGGATCATCTCTTTCTTGTGGAGTCAATTTTGACCAGTGCTTATCGGCTCGCTTTCTCCTCAGGTCGTCGATATGTTGCTCAATATTTCCTGCGTTGGTGTCTCTCAAGTAGTTGACAGAATTTTGAAAGAAGTCCTTGCTAGTTGATTTAATATCTGAGGCAGTCTCGAAGTATTCTACGCTGGCATTCACAAATAGTTCCCGGGCCGTTGTTGAGAGTGATTGTTGATAATGTCCCGTAATTACCATGAGTGAATTCTGTCTTGTGACAACCCTCTCCTTCAAGAAATGTGCTTCTTCGCTGTGATTGCCCCTCTTACACTTTATTTGACCATATTTTTTCATGGTATGCTGCACTTCTTTACGTTCTTGTAGCATTTCCTCCTCTCGCATCTTGGTGAATTCCAAAGCTTTGGATACCTCTTTGAGTTTGTTTGAGAGTCTCTGCTCGAAGACCAAGTCCTCGTGAAATAACTTCTGAAGATCACATATTAATTCCATACTTTCCTCCGCCTCAATAGTGTCCTGCCACCACTCGCTAAGCTCTTTAAGTAGTTTCTGGTAGCTCTTTGCTACTTCTTGCTTCCGCGCAGAAATCTGGAGCAGTCGCTTTTGAATGGTTTGCAGAGTAGTCGAGCCTTTAAACGTGGATTTAACGTGGATTTTGTCCCATGGCGAGATCGGCGTGTCTGTATTACCATCATTTTCAAACCCGATAAAATCTGTTATTCCAGTGTTGGCAAACGGTGAGCCACTCAAAGGTACACTACAACCTGTATCGCGCTTACTGGGTGAGTTGCTGTTTCTTTCATAATTTTGGTTGTTAACTGTGAGGAACGTGTTGGCACTTTCCAAGACCGGATCGCTTTGACCGGGTATATTCGTGTGACTCCTGGCTACAAAATCGTTGTCAAGAACCAGTTTTATGGGCTTGCACTTGATTGCGTTCCACAATTGAGCTTGTCGAGTTAGGGAGGAACTCTTAGCAATGGAGGAATCGCTACCATCATCTTCGTCACCTCTAAAGATATTCAACTTGGATTTCATGCGGTCGAAAAATCCATGAGAGTCGGACAAGAAGTTTTTAGAACGATACATTGGGCGAATGTCGGTCGCACCATATTGTGAGTCAAATTCAACAATGTCATTTCCGTAAGAGTGCTTAGAGTAAAGCCGATCTTGTTCCCTGTAATAATCACCCATTCTCAATGAGCTCGGAACTAGTTAGAGGGCAGTTGAAGAGTAAGGTGGCCAAGTTACGAATATTGCGAGTGTTCCTTAATGTCCTTGGTCAAGACCGATTTATTATGTTTTGTGCACTGACGCTGACACTAACTCTGAAAAACATAAAGTATGTGTAACTATGGTACATAAAATCCAGAAAAAAGACAGAAGAGGATTCAGCTTACGAAACGCTGGCGCGCGCTCCACGACACTAAAATTATAGAACCTTCTCAATTGTAAAATATAAGAATGTAATGTGTGTTTTAAATACAACTAAACATATCATTACTCTTCATCATCGTTATCATCACCACACAAGAAAACTCTTGGTACTTATTTAAGTGTTATAGTTGTTTCAACTCGGAGTGGGTTTTGTATTGCTGTTTATCTGTGAGGTTTGTTCGTATTTGTCCCTGCTTAAATTCATCTATTTTATATTATTTCAACCTTTACTTACAGTCTTCACAACTGTCTTAAGCTTGGTAAGTGGAAGCAGAGATGTTACCACCTCTACCAGTCCAGTTGACATGGATGTCCTTACCTTCTGGGAATTCTTCAGAAGCAGCTTCTGGCAAAATTCTGAAAGTGTGAGCACCAAAGTAATCACGCTGGGCCTGTAGCAAGTTGGCTGGCAATCTCTCGGATCTGTAACCGTCGTAGAAGGACAAAGCGGTGGAGAAAGCAGGAGTTGGGATACCTTGGGTGGTGGCCAAAGCAATGGTGCTTCTCCATCCGGATTGGGCCTTGGTGATGGCGTCGGTGAAAAACTTGTTGAACAACAAGTTCTCCAACTCAGGCTCGTCTCTGTAAGCCTTGGTGATTTCGGCCAAGAAGACAGATCTGATGATACAACCACCTCTCCACATCAAAGCAATGGCAGGGTTGTTCAACTTCCAGTTGTAAGTCTTACCGGCTTCACGGATCAACATGAAACCTTGGGCGTAGGAGATGATCTTGGAGGCGTACAAGGCCTGTTCCAAGTCGTCGACGAATTTCTGCTTGTCCTTGACGGCGTCCTTGGCCACTTGAGGACCAGGCAAGATCTTGGAGGCGGTTCTTCTCTCGTCCTTCAAGGAGGAGAGACAACGGGCAAAAACGGCCTCGCCGATCAAGGTGACAGGCATACCCAGGTCCAAGGCGTTGATGGCGGTCCACTTACCGGTACCCTTCTGACCGGCAGAGTCGAGGATCTTCTCGACAAGAGGGGTGCCGTCCTTGTCGTCGTACTTCAAAATGTCACGGGTGATTTCGATCAAAAAGGAGTCTAGAACACCGGTGTTCCACTTGGCAAACACATCGCCAATCTCCTTGTCGGTGAAGCCACCGACACGCTTCATAATGTCGTAGGCCTCGGTGATCAGCTGCATGTCACCGTATTCAATACCGTTGTGCACCATCTTGACGTAGTGGCCGGCACCGGCGGTACCAACCCAGTCGCAGCATGGCTCGCCGTCGGACTTGGCAGCGATGGACTGGAAAATGTCCTTGATGTGTGGCCAGGCCTCCTCGGCACCACCTGGCATGAGCGAAGGCCCGTAACGGGCACCTTCCTCACCGCCCGAGACACCGGAGCCCACAAAGTGGATGCCCTTGGTCTTGAGCTCGTCGTAGCGACGGTTGGAGTCAGGGAAGTGCGAGTTACCGCCGTCGATGATGATGTCGCCCTTCTCGAGGTATGGCAGCAGTTGCTCGATGAACGCGTCCACGGCGGCACCGGCCTTGACCAGCAGCACGATTCTGCGGGGTCTCTTTAGGTTGTCGACGAGCTCCTGGATGGAGTGGGCGCCGATGATGGACTTGCCCTTGGCCTCGTTGGCCATAAAGTGGTCCACCTTGGCGACCGTTCTGTTGTACGCCACCACGGTGAAGCCGTGGTCCGCGGCGTTAAGGATCAGGTTCTGGCCCATGACGGCTAGACCGATCAGGCCAATGTCTCCGGTAGCTTCAACCATTGGGGGGTGTGTGGGTGTGTGGGTACGGGTGTACGGGTGTACGGGTGTTGCGCGGCGAGAGTGGTTAGTCTAACGCTGGCTCGGCTGACGTGCAATTGGCTGTGGTGGGCGAATTGCGTGTGCGTGTGATGAAAGAAGGCCGGACTAGAGCGTGAGCTGCCTTTCTATAACGGTCTATTCTCGGTGGCAAGTACGAAAAAAGTGATAATAAGCCTACGTCCCCTCCGATCCCCTGCCTGTGAAAATGCCGCCCTTTATATAGCTGTGCTTGCGTAGTAATACAGGAGAAAAAAAAGTGTGTGTTGTGTGACATGGCCTTGTACACCCTACACCTTTTTTGGGCCACCACAGGCGTTCACGCGCACGCGAGAGAAGCGGACAGAAAAAACACTGTGGGAAAAATTGCTCCCGCCCAACGGTGGCAAAAAGAGACGTCAGGCGTATGGGGCCTCGTGGATAGTGATGGGAGGGAGCCGCTGGACTGTCACGTGGCCATAGCTGTTTGCGGCGAGCGGGTTGCTGGGCGGGAAGGATCGCTGGGACGGGCCGAAGTGAGCGTGCGGTTGTTGTGGGTGTTGTTGCGGTGGTTGTTGTGGGTGTTGTTGTCTTCGTATGGTCGTTTGGCACTCGCAGTGTGCTTGGATCGGGTGTGAGGAAATGGCAGGGGCGCGCGCGCGCGGGGTCACGTGGGCGGCAGGAACGGACGGAGCGGGCCAAAGGAACACGTTGATAGTGATGTTGCGAATGGAGTCATGCCATACGGTGCTTGTGCTGTCACCTTGCACGTGGAGAGGCAAGGGCGGGGGTTGGGTATAGGTTCGAGTAGATGAAACGAGTAGAGGATTTTCGGCGCCGTAGAAAATGCAGGTGGCTGTCACGTGATGGGAAGGTGGGAGAGGATACCAGAGGAGATTATAGAGCGGACCCTGCGCACACATTATATACCAGATCAGAAAATTGGTTTCCATTTATTTCTCCGTGATTATTTAAGGCACTATAATTGGTTCAGTTGCCTGAACAGACGCCTGGTATTTCTCGCTCGGTGACTCTGGCCAACACAATTATTAATCTTCCGTTCTAGATTGGATTGCGGCTCAACGCCAATAGCTTATCAATCGCCAACCCCATTGGACAACAGCTGTTGTCTTCAGCTTGTCTTAGCTTGTAACTCGATGTGTATGGCTCTGTTATGTACTATCAATCTGTACCACTGTGTCACATATTCACTGACGCTGATTATGCGATTAGGCGCACGTCACCATCAGTTTCCTCACATTATTCCCAACATCTAAAATCTTCATGGCCTTCTAATCGTCCATTGTGTGGGGAAAACGCTATTAACGCTAAAATTCAGAATTCAATGCAAAAGATATAAATTGAAAACTCTGAAGTCTGAAGGCTCATTACGCTAACTCCATCCGCACTAGGGGCTTGAAAGAGCTCAGTATGATCAGCTGAATTTGCAAGCAGTAAGAAATTTTAACAACCAGAGCGTGAACTTATAGTGGAGAGGACACGAGAGCCGATTATGCCTACAATCAAGCCAGAGGTCCGCCTAGTCTATCTTTACTAGCATTGGTAACATAGAAGGTGCCAATACACACTAGCTTGGATTTTATTCGGACTTCAAAAAGATGTACATAAACCCGAAGTTCATCGGCCGAATTACGTCTCTAAAAAGCCGTATCAGATAGAGCCGGCGGCTCAGGACAAATAACGAAAGCGGACTTTGGTAGAGCTAAAGGGTAGCTTGAAGGCCCATAGTAACAAAAAGAACCAAGCTGTACCCTTTAGTAGTTGTGGAAGTTGAACAGACCAAACCTTGTCGTGCAACGACGGAAATACAAATAATGACATAAATAATAATAATGACACGATGTCAGTCAGAGGCTAGGAGACATATTCACACAGTCACGAGACGCTCACAAGATAGTTTGACGCAATTAACGTATGCTTTCCTTGAGACAACAAGATAGCTCGACGCCCGAGTGTCGAAGTTGAAGAGGATCGAGGGAACTATATCAAAAGACTGCAGGGGTTCAAAAAAGATAAGAGACTTCAACTGGAAGAAAAATAAGCCGATGGTGAATATTATTTTGATCTGTCAACATTAGATGGTTCAATATGAACAGTAGGAGGCCCTCTGACTTATCACATTCCGTATGTACCTCCATTTTCAGGGTCTTTTCAAAAAATGCTTGCGTGGCGTAATGGCAACGCGTCTGACTTCTAATCAGAAGATTGTGGGTTCGACCCCCACCGTGAGTGCTCTTAATTTTTTTGGCTGTCTATGTTGACGATTAACGTTGCCAAACTAACTGTAAACGAGTACAATTCGAACGCAGCATGCCTCTCCTTCGATTTACAAGTTTAAGGGAAACTTCTATCACGCTTTATCTTATGCGTGAACTCATCAAGGTAGTTACTAGCCATCGCCATTCGATTTTCTATCTATTTGCATATACAATACCTTTGGCGCTCCATCGACGTTCTCGATCATAGCCTGTGTCCAGGTACACAGCTAAATATCACGGTGAAAATGGCAGTACCAGCTACAATCAAAAACAAACACCATAAGCCCCGCCTCTTTAACATAGTGTGAATTAAAGGATGCCTCACCCTTACCAAACGACTCGAGCCTCCAAGGACATGGAAAAAAAAGGGTGCATTATGCCCTAACCGGTGATTAATGGAGTTTCGGTTGAGCCCAATTTCCAGGTCTCTAGGTGAAACCAGCTCATTTGAAACCAAGATTTGAGTCACGCCGCACAATGCATACAACACGTCAACTCTATAAATTCCGCACCACAGAAAATAAAATCCTAAAAAGAATGGGACAATCGTAGTGGCCCGTATGCCTCGACTGTAATCCAAAAAGACCAACACATAACCCAGCCACAATGCAAGCCATAAAAACACCAAGCCCAATGCTATTCGAGCCAAAGAGGTATATTGAGAAAAAGGGTTTGATTTCCTTCTCAGAATGTTATATTTTTCCGAATTCGTCTTGATTGTGGTTGTCGTTATATCGTCGTGCAGGTTGTGTAATGCCACTTCAGTCAAAAATTTGGGGAAGCAGTCCATCTCCAAAAACTGGAATGCAATTGATTTCAATTGCTCGAAGACATCGGGGTCATGTCTTTTCTCGATTTGAACAAGTTGTACAGCAGAATCGCGCATGTGATCGGGCAGGTTGATCAAATAACGGGGACTCTCCAGCGGTGATCTCAAGTACGTGTTGATGAGGTTCTGAGCATTGTTAAGCAATTGTTTGGAGGTGATTTGGGCTTTACGATTGCCCTGAGCATGGGTCTTAAGGAATTCGTCCACGAGTCCAGTTAAAGGACTTCTGAAGTTGACATCTGGTTCCGCCTGTTGTTGCCAATTCTCTAGTAATCTTGTGAGCCTTGGAGAGTCTGTCTGTCCTTGCAAAAATTGAGAAACACGTTGACTGTCTTCAAAGTCTAGGAAGCCGTCATTCATCAAGGCTTCTAATAGCAGTGAACTCGACAGAGAGCCCTTGCTGTCGCGATTCTGGCTGTCGATCTGTGAGTCTCTGGTTTTTTCATGTGACTCTTCCCATTCAACTACACTTTCCCGAATTCCGCGAATGTAGTCCTTACAGAGCCGCAGGTGGGCCATTGTGTCAATCCAGAAGTCTAGATAATGTATCGCGTAGGGATATTGTGTGAGGTATGTGTAAAAAGACCACAAGTCCACAGGAGCCGACGTTTGACGGTTCAGAACCTCGTATAACGTCGGCAGTCGCTCGGATTGAATTGCATTCATGCTGGAGAGGGCCCGGATGTACCGCTAGTGGGTCGCTCAACTATGATCTTCATCGAAGGCCAGGACCAATTTTCCATAAATTCTTGTTGTTAAAGTAAACATCACTAAGAACGGCTTAGTCTGACATCAACTTAAATAATTGTCACGGCGGGGCAAGGCAGCGGCACAATTGAATGACTTTTGTGTGTTTGAAATGCCAAGGTCGGAATCTTGTTTATACTCGGGCTCGAATTAACTGAACCGATGGTATCGTTGGTCTTGGACTGTATTGGTATGAGAATGTGTTTGGATTGGGACGGTAAAACCAGTGAGTGCTCTATTGTTTGTTAGAGCTATGTGCAACATAAACGCGACCTCTGCCTGAATGGAAAATCTAATCACTGCATAAAAAATGGTAGGTTTACTCTTAGTTATTACTTACGCCTTTCTGGCGCTCCAACCCATAGATTGCACCAGTAACAGTATAACTGCTCGTAAAACTAAAGCCATCACTGCGCGTAGGGTGGCGAGCGCGCGGAGAGCTGCTGCTCATCGATACCCACCACTGGTGATTCAGTTTATTCCAGCTAGACATTCTTTCCGCTTTGATTCCACAATTTCTGCGTGAGCGACACTGCCGTCAGAGACAAGAGATTGGAGGGGAGTGAAGATTTATCGATGGCAAAGAAACGTACACCTATGCTGCACAGTCGTCGCCTTTCCACCACGCCAATTTTCTAAAGTCAGCCACGCTTACAGTTTAGATATTAATGAATTATTATACATGTACTCAAAAGTCAAAAGTTCGAAGTTCAAAATTGCCAGCTGGAAACGCCGAGTTTCTTTCTCGATGTCCCAGACCTCGAGTCCCAAGTTTTCCGTCCATAGTTCCACAAGATTTAAATTAGTTTAGAGGTTCAACCACAACTTCTGGTCCTGTTCATTCTCAGCTTTGATCCTCAGCAATCCACCACATGCACGAGTTGCGACGTGCTTGTCGAGCCATTCGTTGTTAGAAGAAAATTCCTGATAGCACGCAGCACAACGACCCTTTGAATTGTTGCGCTGGTTCTTCACTACGCCGACTGGGTAGACGAAATGGATAGATTTGAGATGGGTCTTGTAAGTATCTTTACGAGAAAACTCGCCCGTTGGATGACACCGGCAATCGTTGGACCAAAATGGACAGCGAAATTCCTTGTTGACCAAGTGCTTCTTCATGTGGCGGGTCAAGTAGCCCTTAACTTTAAAAGATGCAGAGCACATCCCGCACCGAAAATGCGGGTGTTCCAAGCTCGAGGCTGGGGCACCCGGTCCGACAGGAGTGATTTTGGCAAGGGAAGAGTCTGGCGTCACCTCGGCGATCATGTCTGTGGCCAGCTTAGAGGGCGCAGCGACGGAACGCATCGAAGCTGGAGTGGTGGCAGCTGATGTAGTAGCGGTAGGCCAAGTCAGCGCAATTGCCTGGTGCTGTTGGGTGTGGTGATGAGGAGCCGAGTGCGACGCCGAGGAAGGGCTGACCGAAGTCGCCGAGCAAGGCGAAAGATCCTCTAGTTCAGTGAAAGGAACAGAGCAGAAACGCAATCCACACAATTCCTCGTCCAGCGAAGGCTTGTTGGTGGAGTTGTTTGAGGTAGAAGAGGTACGAGAGCTGCCGGAGTCGATAGGGCCGTTGAGCTGCTTGCCATGGTCTGCACCAGCATCATCGGAGTTCATCCACGAGGCCCACTGTGCGAGGGCCTCAGAGTTGGGCGACAACACTGTCTCCATAGATTCCGCCCAGTTCCCGTACGAGCTCCCTGGCGACGACGCATCCGAGCCGTTGAGCCTGGTGCCCTGGGTCGAAGTTTCGGTGGGCTTGCTGCTGTTATGGTTCGAGGTGAAGCCCTGCACAGAGCCCGACTCCGCTAAATAATGCGAGCTCCAGCCCTGAAGTAGGCCCTGAAGCCCGTTCAGCTGTTGCTGTTTCTGCAGCTGCCGATTCAGCAACCCGAGCGACACAACGTTGTCCTCGGGCACTGCGACCTTGTCAAATTGAATGTAACCCATCGAGCCAAGAAGGACAGGTCCGAGGATACCTTAGAGAATTATTTTACAAAATACGCCGAGAATGCAATACAATACTCCAGATCGCCCTTCTCTAGTCAGTTAGCCAACAACAACGGAGAAGAATTTTTTTTGAGTATGGTAGAATACTCACCACTTTGGAAACGGCGAGAGCGTGTGTGAATGGCAGAGAACGAGAAACCGCAAATAATGAGTATGGGGAGTCTCTAAAGTTCGAATTTCCAATTTTTGACCTTTCGCACGCTCGCTTGAACGTGCGGCTCTGAATTAACCTCTGGCTTCTTATAGCAAATACGAGAGTCGAAAAGAAGAACCAACTGAGTGGCCAAAAAAAAAAAGACACAACAAAGCTCGCCATCTCCATCATCTCCACGACCCAACCTTCACTGGCCAACTCGCCTCTACGCATGTGTCAAGGCCGAAGAATCTGGCAGCACACAACAGCAGTGTCTTTCGAGATACCGACCGAGAGAGATAGCGGGACCACCACAGCACACAGGTAAGCACTGCAGCGCCGGGATCGGGGCACATAATAGACACACACAGACAGAAAGATTAAAAGACAGACAGATAGACAGACAAACAGGGAGATAGGCAGACAAACAGAGAGATAGACAGATAGACAGATAGACAGCTAAACTACACCTGCCCACAACGCGGCACAACAGTGCACGAGGTGCAAACCCCTCTTAAGTTTTTCGCTGTGAAAAAAACTTCGCGAGTGTTTCTGTGTCTGGCGCTTGACATGCCTTGGCCCTCTCTGTCTTAACCTGGAACTCTTCTGCATGAAAAAGTGCTCTTACATGCGCAGTAACATCGTGGCTACTTACAGTGCCAGCGAGCTTAGCAGTATGGGAACTCAATCGAGAGACCTTGGCAAAACGATCTGATAGCGTGAGCTTTGCGGCGGAGTCTGGGTAAAAACGTTGAGCGTGATGTCGTCCTTTCTCGGTTGTGCGAACAGGACTTGCAAGGGTGAGAATCTGCAGGAATGTGAGCGGATTGGTGAACTGCAGTCCAAGCGCTATTGTGTGCCAAGTATGAGCCATGGAGCTCTAAAATGAGATAGCGGATCGGACCGCAGCACGTGATCATCTTCGAGGGCTGCATGTGCATGCATAGTGCATAAATGACGTGTGCACGTGGTTTTGCTCGTTCACAATGAGAGCTCTTATCGGCAGCGACAAGCGACAAACCGGAAGGCCCGATCGGAGATCCAAACCGCGCGGCACCGAGCCCACGTGTATGGCACGTGGTGTCAAGAGCACAGACCACACGATGGCAGCGACGGCTCAGGTCTGGCTTAGGGTTTAAGTGCTCTTGTCCAATCGTGGGCGCTGGTGCTCATACCATCGGACAAGTCTGGCGGCCCTCGGTGCTCTTGAGAGTCATTTCGTGCCGCTGGCGGCTTGTCGTTAATTTCAGTCCGCTGGAAGGTTTGGTAGGCCCCGTTATATAGGAATGGTGCACGCGGGATGAACCCAGTTCTTCGCCACGGGGGTTAGCTGGCGTTGGGTGCGACCGAGTGTTTCACCTGCGCCCCTCGTGTCCGTGTGTTTCACAAGTTTTGTGCTTGCAATGGTGTTACAGGTGTATCCTTTACCTTGCTTGTCATAGAAATGCACCCGAATAGATGGACGCGGGCCCATCGCGCAGGTGTGTTAAAGCAAACAAGGATGAAACAGGTATCTGGCTGTGTCTCTAGAGAACCTTTAGAAGCCACTTGGTCGTTTTACGTGGCCCCAGATTGCCTACTGGAAACTACAATGAAGTGTCACTTAGGTACATAATGATATTAGAAACTGTAGAGTCCTTACTGGGTGGCCGAGACGTGCCGAAATTTACGCAGGCTACCGTTAGCGCCACTGCTTCTTTGTCCAACGTCAGAACGAACATTCGTATATGACCGGTGGCCCACTTGCCTTTAATACAGCCCTTGTAAGTGGCCTAACAGCAAAGTAAGTGAAGGTATTTGGCTGTGCTGGAGCAATACTTTGGTTGAAACTACCAGATGGTAGTGGTCTAGTGTTATTCGAATAGCGTTGAGTTGACTGAGTATGACCGCCAGCATGGTGTCAGAACAGTACGAAGTGATATTTAAGAAATAATGTGCAAGGTGAGTGTTTCACCAATGGGGTCCAGGGGGACAAGAATTGGGTAGAAATACCCTCACCAGCCATTTCAACCATCCAATGTCCCAACAATTTTTTTTTGTAGGGTGCAATCCTAGGATTATTTAGCTCTTGCTGCATCCAGTTTATTCCTATCAGACTTTCATATGAACACCCGCTGTACGTCTCACAAATGGAAAAAGTTTCTCGTCCGAAACCTTACCGATCAGCTACTATGTAATCAAGATACGTCTTTATCCAAATTACCCCGAAGATACAACAAAGCGGTCATTATGTAGTCTAGATCCGTCATCACTCATTTCGAAGCCATGTTACGATGTCGATCGAAGGTTTGAACGACCAATCCAGTAATTGAAGGAGCTGTCTACGCTGGTTCTTTCAAAAGGTTCAGATCACACAGTGCTCGTCTCAATTGAGATTTTTCATGCACTAATGTTAAGCATGTAGTATACCCCGGCCTCGAAAAGTTGCAAACCGTAAGATGGAATGATCTAGCGCCTCTTGAAAACTTCTCCAGTCCCTACCTTCTATATACGGTGAAGATCTCGGTTTCGAGACGCCGCCTTTCAGGTCTCCCTTCAACGGCATGCCTTCAATAGCAGTAAATTTCCCCCTCCCGTCGTGTTTATGCTTCAATTCTTCAAAAAGACTCCTCAACAATTAGCTTACACTTCCATAATGGCTGATGCCCATTGTAACGTCTGTCCGAACGCTGAACTACTACTTTCTCCTGTCCCGTATGTCATTACTCCGTCCAGAAGTCCGAGTTAATTTATATTGTCTGTTAAACTGATCTAAACCACATATTGCTTCATCACTGTCCAGCTGCCGTAATCATCGATGTCAGAGCAGCTTCGGCGTGTCTTGCGTGAAAAAATGGAGGCTGCAGAGCCTTCTCTCCAATTGCTTTCTGAGCAGGAAAGTTCCAAGGACGCTATTCCAAGCACGTTGGCCACTTGGAAAGGCTACTTCCAAACCAACGCGCAGACAGTTGTCAATGGTTTCAACTTTAATATGTTTTATTCGCTACCATCTATTACACCGGGCTGTCCAGCCCAAACGATTCCCGTATTTATTTTCCATCACGGTGCTGGATCCTCAGCGCTGACCTTTGCTCCCCTGGCTCTTTCTTTGCAGGAAAAACTCGGCGGATTATGTGGAACTTTTGCATTTGACGCCCGTGGCCATGGTCTCACACAACCTAACGGTGAGATATCGAACTCTACTAAATACAACCTTGACGAGTTTGTATCCGATTTTCAGCAAGTTTTACAAGCTTTTCATGACGAACACCTTGAGAATATAAGCCCCAAATTACAGGTGTCAATTATCTTAGTAGGCCATAGTCTCGGCGGCAGTATATGCGCTAGTGTTCTAAATAAAATACATGGTGCTTTACGGACGAAAATTGTGGGCGTGGCCATGTTGGATATTGTGGAAGAAGCAGCAATTCAGGCGTTAAACACCGTCGATTCGTTTCTCACCATCACCCCAAATGTGTTTGCGGATTACGGGAGCGCCATTGATTGGCACATCAAGAAGGGCCTGTCTAGTCTCCGGTCAAGTGCTGAAATTTCCATACCGAGCCTATTTTATGCTTCTTCATCCGGTAAAGTAGTACGAAGAACGAATCTCCAAACTTTTCGGTCTTTTTGGGACACTTGGTTTAAAAACCTCTCCAGCAAGTTTGTCTCGCTGAATACCAGTAAGCTGCTTATTCTTGCTGGCGACGATAACTTGGATCGCGAATTGATTATAGGACAAATGCAAGGCAAATTTCAACTCGTGGTGTTCCAGGAGTCGGGCCACTTCATTCAAGAAGACTGCCCCGACAAAACGGCTGTAACCCTTATAGACTTTTGGAGACGCAATGACAACAAAACGGTGGTCATTAAGACAAACTGGACCCAAAAGGCTACTTCACAGTGATGATACAAAACTAAAGTCAATATACACCTGCTAGGCACTCTCAATCAACAGACATTACATCGAGCTCTTTAATATCTTTACCCTCACATTGAGCCACAATTTGGTCAATTTTCTTAGATGCCCAAGCAAACCTAGGGTTTATCAAGAATGGTCTCAGATCAAACCGGTTGTCATCCGGAGAATATTGTTCAGCGTGATAACTTGGAGTTATCACAGTTTGCTTGTGTCTATTGATGGCATAGAAAAAGAAAAATTTCTTGACCTTTTCAGCGACCTGGGCAGGCGTCAGTCTTGGAGTCCATTCGTGTAAAAGCTTCAGAAACATAGAATAAGGCCCACATTTTTCGACTTTTCTCAAGTAGCCAAAGATGCTCAACTCTTCATATGTCATCCCCATGTCAATTTCGTCGGACTGCACGTAATCCTTAGTAATTGGTTCAAGTTCTGCTGTCGGTGTAGCTGTCAAGAACTCTTCCAGAATTGGCATGTCAAATGTCTTGGCGGCATACGCGATGAATCTCTTTAGGTCAGTTTTGGAGATACCGCCGATGGGATTAATGTCAGCAGAGGAGCAGTCATATTTTGTCAAATATCCGCGTAAACATTCGTCGACATTTGCACTCCCGAGAACAAGTAGACTACCTCCATTGGGAATTCGACGAACCCAAGGTAATAGTTGGGCAAACAAGTATGCCAGAACCATACGCAGACGGGCTTGGATGTTTTGCAAGGCTAAATTCTCAGTTTGAGAGCCTCCAAATATCTTGAAAATTGGTCTTTTGCCTGTGGTTACCTCAAACAGAGCAACAACACTCCCAACTAGTGAGTCCATGTTGAAGTCAACATGATAAGAAGAGATTACTTTCGCCAGCTCACGGCTCCTTGACCTGGTGTCCTTGGATGAATTCTCCGTTCCCATAAAGCATGTATGGAAGAGACAGCTAGCAAGGTCTTGTGGAACTTGTGGTACCCAACTTTCACCCTTGCGGGAAAGCTTTCTCGCATCTGCTAAAACCTGTTGATTACCTTCATGGCATTCTTTCACAACTAACCTGCACATGGAGTGGACGATAACAGCCGTTGCACAAGAATCGATACCCCCTGATAAAGGTAAGAAAAACCCTGTGCCGTTGCAACGCCTCAAATAATCCCACATCCAACAAGCTGGACCAAGAGCAATTTCTTCTTCGGCGCTGTGGTAGAAGATGGGACGCTCTTTCGAAGGAGCAATCTTGGGATTAAATCTACTCTCTATAGGAGCTAACTCTTCATTGACGTCGATTCTCTCAAATTTGACATTGGAATTCACTGCTTGTAGACCACGGGACAAAAACGAAGCCCTTTGTGTTCTAACTTCTTCTAAATCAACTGTTGCAGTGACAACTTCAACGTCTTTCAAACAAAATTGACTGCCTTGGGCGACTACCTTCCCATTGACAGCGATTAACGCACAACCATCATAGTATAAACGATCACCATCACAACCACGTTGGTTGGCATATAAATAGACGCCTCCACATCTTCTGGTTGCACTAGTGATAAGCTCTAACCTGCGGTTTAGTTTCCGCAGTTCATGATGAGATCCGGATGAATTTGTGATGATCTCGACTCCATCTAACGACATCGCAATGTGAGGGGATTGCGGAGTGAATAGCTCCTCGCATGTCTCAGCGCCAATGCACGTATCAAGAGTGCGGATTACTGCATCTCCAAAAGGCACAAAGCGCTGATTCGTGATTTTTTGAATTAACGGGGGCAACAGAAACTGTTCAACTTGGGCAGTTTTCATCCAAGGCGTAAAGAACCTCATCTCCCGGTAGTTTCCATCATTTGCCAGCCATATTTTGGGCCGAATGAAGAGAATCTGGCCGTCCAGAGACAGCAGACGGCAATTATATCTTACATTCTTATGCAAGACTGGCATCCCGATGTCCAGCAATAAACCGTGAGTTTCCGGCGATCTGATAATTTGCGCGTACATTTCCCAAGAGTGAATATATAAATCATTTTCCAAGAAATGATCCAAACATCCGTAACCTGTAATTTCCAACTCCGGTCCAACTCTTAACCTCGCACCTTCTGCTTTGGCCAATTTAATGGATTCTAAGATACGGTCGCGGTTTCCTTCAAAATCAAGAGCCCATTGATTCAAATTGCAGGTAGCTAGCGTGATAAGGTGAGACATTGACGCTACACAATTATCCTTCGGGTGATCAGCTTGGTTAGACTTAGGGAGATGAGATGAATATTACTGTAACAATGTTGATAAACTATTTAGTACATAGTGATAATTTAAAGCTCGGGGGCCGTTGGGTCGCTGGTCACCTTGTAAAACACGAGTTCTGCGCTCTGAAGGATCTTCTTTACCCTTTAAGGACTCAAGAACTGTAGGTAGCCTCAAGTCTCTTCTGTAAGTGTTCAGCCGCGGTGATAGTAGGCGGTGTTAATCCGCTGGCGTGATCGGCGACTAGCCTGCTGGGTACTGGGGTGAGTTCAGTGGCGTGTTCTGGGTGCACGAAGAACACTATCGAATACCTATCTTTTGTACGAGTTTCGCCTGGTGTAAATTTGACACGGTGGTAAGTGCTTTTGAGTACTCCGTTAGTCCAATATGATAGAAGATCACCGAAATTTACCACCAAGGGAGGTGCTTTGCCGTCATGCTGAGATTCCACGAATGGAACCTCCGCCCATTCCTCAGTAGGTTCGTTACCTGGGCCTTCAGTTTGTAGCTGTAGCCCCTGTTGTCCTCGACGTTGAAAAAGAAGGGTCAATGACCCGTAATCCGTATGGGCACCAGCCCTTATTGTAGCATCGTAATCCTGAATGCTAGAATGGTCTTCTCTCACCAACGGGTATCTTAGCATACGGAAAACGCAGCCGCTGGGTTGGTCGGGTCTGTGTTTCTTCGCAAAAAACTCGCGATCCTCCACTTCTAAGCCCTCGCATAAAATGTTCAGTATCCGCATGGCTGTCTGATGCAATTTCTGAATTGTATTTGATATCATCGCTCGGTGTTGTTCCAAGATTGGCGGAACAACGTTGTCGTTATCTCCGTGACCGTTGAAGTCGAGATCGCTTTGATTGAAAGTGCCAGTCTTGAAGTTGATATTTCCAAAGTTATAGGCTTCCTTGAAGTCCCGGGCTTTGCTCGGATCGAGTTGCTCGTTGGTAAAGTGGGTATAGCCAATGTTGTTGGACTTTATGGCGTACTGTCCCTTGACATCGTCGGGAGTTTGAGTAAAGAAGTCTTGAGAAACCTGGAATAAAGCGTCTACTTCATCCTGAGTAAAATTATGTCCGTCTACGAATAAAAAGCCTTGCTGTTGGGCTGCCTCTAGCAACGACGAACTGATAGTCTTGGTGGGTTGCGAAATATCGATAATCTTAAGCGGGTTTGACATTTTCAGCACTTGGTCGTAACAATGACTATATCTTAATCCTCCAATGTAGTGCCTTCCTGAGACTGCTGGCAATGAAAATCTAGGGCGGCGATCTTAGAATACTACTACCTTTATTGTCATATCAGATAGAATTATTTTGGCAAGATATTAATAGTTGACATTTTATAATAAACACGCATGATATACCTCGCAACTACCGTTTCTAAATTCACTAGACTTGCTCAGTTGGCAGTGTGAACACTTATACAACGATGCTTTTGTTCAGCCACCGTAGGCGCCTTTGAATACTTCTCGAATCTCAGACAGACCAAACTTCTCAAATAGACATAACTGCAGAAGAATTCTGCTCTTTTCTGGGTTTAGAAATCCAGAAGCAATGATATTAGACCTTTTGCCTGATTTTTGTTTCGGCAAGTTCGCTGTGGGGACCATTCCGTCCATGGATCTTTTTGAATATACGATCGGTATGGACAGCTCTAAAACCACGTCGTTCACCGCAGATGGCAAAGACCCGGCGCCCATTGTGGCAATGACGAGACCTTCGCAACTTTGAGCCACTAATCGCACCAACTCGGGCGACAGCGTTTGGTGGCCATACAACACATGAACTGTGGGGAAGCTTGTGGCGGTAAATTTTGTAGCATCCTTGTCATCAGTTGGCAGGAGAGCGAGTTTGAATTTGTGACAAACTTCTGGTTTGACTGGGGGCCAGTAATAGTGCACTTCGTTGTTGACAAAATTGCCCAAATAGCCTTGCCTTACATTAAAAGAGTCCAGTGAGTTAGCATTCGTCTTGGTGATGTAGTAGCCGGCAGAAATTTGGTCATTGAGCGAAACGAGTACTCCGCGTCCGCGTGACTGCTTGTCGGCTGCAATGCAAATGGCTTGGTAAAGGTTCATGGGACCATCCGCAGAAACACTTGTCGAAGGTCTCATAGATCCCACAAAGACTATAGGAACGTCTCCGGAGTCAATGGTGCTCTCAATGAAGAATGTAGTTTCGGCCATCGTGTCGGTACCGTGGGTAATCACAATACCATCGAAGTTTTGCAACGCTGACGAGACCCCAGCATATATCTTGAGCAAGGAATCTTCATCAATTTCTTTGGAGTCAACATTGCAAATCTGTTCGTAATCAATGTCGCAAACGCCTGATATGTCTGGAATAGACTCCAACAGCTCCTGGATGGTCAAGTCTACATGGTATCCGGCAGTGTGCGACGAAGACGCTCCTTTGGAGGCAATGGTGCCACCAGTTCCGAAAATTTTGATTTTGGGAAGCTTTCTGGCCACATGTCTGTCGGACTGAGCTCGCTCATTGTGGTCGTGAGCGGAAGATAATAAAGTGAATTTGGAAGATTCTAAATCCGAGCAGATAGTATTGATCTCGATATCGTTATTTGGCATCTAGAAGGATTTACTAAGTACTCTTGATGTTTTAGTGATCTCTCCCTTTCTTATTCTTGAGAAGAATACTGAGAGAGATGAGCGATGAGCTTTCCAATTTTTTGTCAACAGAGCGGTACCGCTTGTAAATTAAAGAAAATAATCATATACAGGAATCGTAACTCATTTAAAACTTCAGTTGTATCCTTGGTAAGAACAAAAGATTCGATGATTCAATATCATGGGCTTCGTCTGGCCAGAGTAGATGACAACTGTTCTGCTAAATTTCTCTATTTGTACTAAAAACATGCGCTAGTTTCTTCTCGAAGTTCAGCGCCTGCTATGTGCCACCATAAGGGGAGAATCGCCTTGACGCTTGTTTGACGTTTCCAACTGATAGAAGCTGTTACCATAAGGAATCCACGTTTTTCCAATCATTATGCCTTCTCCTCTCCCAGTAGCCCTCACGGCCCGTAATAACTGCCCAGTGGTTGTCGGAAACCCGCTGGAAGTATTGAGGCCTGACGTCGTTATTTTCCGAACGTCTGACACGCTGCTGCTGCTCGAGCTCAAGTTTGAGTTTTTCTGCTTCGCTGATTTTTCCTTCTTCATACATCCGTAAGTCTGGCCTTAGTCGAGAGTCTGTCGAAGGAAGTTGACCTTTCTCAATGTCAGTTATTTGATTTAAATTCGCTGCAAATTGAGTAAAGCCGTATTTTCTCTCGTGGTTAGGAACCAGCCTCCCGATTTCCCAAATTGTGGAGCCCTCTTTGGCATTCACGATCTCCTTCGTCCAGTTACCTTTCAAGGATTCAACGTGTTGGGAACCGCGGTGGATGGCAATTGTTAAATCCTCAGAACGACCACTAAACATTCCTCCCGCTTTGAAAGCCACACGGGCCTTAACATTGTGAGAGGATATAACCTCCATATGATTTTGCGGCTCTACATACCTTTCGCCAGCAAAAATGTTTTTGAGAATCGTAATAGGTTGTGACCATTCATAGCGCTCTCCTGATGACTTGATGGTCAGCCTGAGCTCTCCTTCGTTAACAAATTCAATAGATTTACCCCAGAACTTTTGGACGGGTGAGACAGAGTACGAAATGTCCCACTCTGCATGGTCGACATGAAATGCGAAAATTTGAGGCTTGTGGGACACCTTCTCAGCAACAAGCCGGATGCCTTTGTCTTCGCGTACGAGCTCGAAAGTTTCGCCGAGTAACGGATTAAATGGTTTGCGAAGTGCCCTGGTCTTACTGCGGTGCATAGAAAGATAGGAGCATGCGAACGCAGCAACCAAAGCTATTCTTTGAACATCGTCGGCAGTTTTAGCAGCTTTTGTCAACAATTCGGAATATTCAAAGGTCTCCGAGAGCATTTGTAGAATCGTTATTGGCTCATTAGACGTTATTGGCATAGATATCGATGTCAAATCTTTTCCAACATTCTTACGCAAAAATGAAAGTAAGCTTGGTGGAGTGGAAGCTGCTTCTGGAATGTCATTTCGCCTCGTAACTTTAATATCACTTGGAAGAGGATATAAGTCCCCACCAGGCGCAGCAGGGACACTTTTTTGGACAAACTTTGCATCATACCTGGAGGAGTTGTCATCATCATTGTCTTCCGTTTTTTCAATATTTTTTTTTTGGGATAGGAGAAGGGCGTTGACACCTTCTTCATCATTCAGCATAATGACGCCTTCTCCTGCTTCCGATTCGTCTATTTCATTATCCAGGTTATCATCTTGTGCATCGTAAAATTCGTCGCTAAAGATTGAAAGGCTCTCCGTGGGTGCATTTTTATGAATTGCATTGGTGCTGTAGGCTAGCCATTGACGTACGAGATCTTCAACCTCTCCTAAACTTTTGTAAAGTTTGTGTTCGTAAGGTAGAATACCTAGGGCATCAGGAGAATCTTGGAGCTCCGGTAGTCTTTCCCTTGAAACACTCTTACTCCCACTGTGGGGCGGAGCTCCTGATTGGGCAGAGTTTGTGGGGGAGACGGAGCTCGTAAGGCCACTAATTTTGAGATCCGTAATCTCGTGAGAGGGTGGAGAGTAGCTTAACGACTTGATCCGACAGAACTCCAATTTCTGTTCGATCAGTTTAAGACCGGATATAAGACTAGATGGTGCAGCTTCATCCACCATGCTATTTTGATTGCGGGTAGGTTTCTTTTCCTCTTTCTTGAAACAGTCCTGTAGAGCTTGGATCCACTCACTCCACGTTGCTTCGTCCTTCGCTTTCAAAACCCAGATTTCCATCCCAGAGTCTATTATGATGAGTCTAGTCATCTTATTGGCGCTCACAGTTGCCAGTGGAATCAGGATCTCGCCCCGGCAAACATTATTATACTCGTTCAGATAGTATGAGAAGGCCTTGTACTTAAGGTCAAGCTTGAAAAATCGCTTTGTGAAGCCCTGAAGCTTCTTTCTCCTTTTCTTCAGCATATATCCTTGAAGAATGCGGCCCTGTTTGACACGTAGGAGCTGGGAACGGGATCTGTGCACGGGCATGTTCTCAGGCCCCTTTGTCTTGTTTTCCACACCAAGTAAAATTTTCTTCTTGGCAGTCTTTGAGGAAGTGTTGTCCAGTACAAATGCATAATACCCGTCCTCATCAGCTTGTACACTACCCTCGACATATTTATTCCCTGGGATGGTCCCCAACCACTGCACTTGGGTGAAGCCCTGTGCGACGAGCTTCTTGTTGAGCGGTATGTCTTGCGTAGATTGCTGGACAGCAGAAATTGATTTTGAACGGTTGCGCTGCACGAACTCTTCCGATGAAGAATTGCTGCGATTCAAAGCGTAGTCTAGTAAGGTTTTGGTATCTGGAGCAATATGGACGCTTCCTATGCTATCGCCATTGACATTCACATTGTTCGAACTGCCTCTCCGTTTTGAAATACCACCATTTCTTTGGAAGGCCTCATTGTTGATCGTCGTCTGCCGTTTGTATATGCCAGCTTCCACTGATCGTTTCAACGGCTTCAGTTGAAACGTTACCGTGTCGCCCTTTGAAACCTTCAGCCAGCGGACTACAAACGACCGATTCTGGACGTCTATCGTCTCCATGGCAGGGACTCTATCTAGTATATGGACGATCTAATTCGGAGTTGGTCGGTTCAAGTTCGTGGTCCCAAATCTTTTCAAAGTTTAAAATCAATATTTAAACAACATAAAGGCCAACCCTCACGTGGAGATCAATAACTTCGCAAGCCCTGCTCAATTCCAAAGCTAAAGACTTGCTCGTATCTGCTGGTCAGGTTAACGTTTGTGCTAAACTTCCAAAGGTACCTGAAGCTGAACAAAGCAGCGTGTTTATGCACAATATCGGCTGCAGATCCAACGACATAATACTGGTAGATAATGGAGAATCCATACGAGCAAGTACATCAAAGCATCTTGTCGCGTATAATCAACAACGTGGAACGGCTGAACGAAAGTGTTGTAACGTTGAACCAAGAGTTAGAACACATAAACGCTCGAAACAAGAATTTGCAACTGATGGGCCAAATGTGCGAGAATTACCATAAGAGTGTCCAATTCAATATGACCGCCACAAATAGCAAGAGGGGCCCTTTATGAACTATGGCTGTCGCAGCTCTGTGGAGAAGCCGAGATAGGACCGAAGGATAACCCCACCCATCTCAACTGCTGTCTACTTAACCACAAGAGGGAGAGCCGAAATGCCGCCGCAGCAGCATCATGCTGAGCTACGTCTATCGCCTACCCGACAGCATGCCCTACTTGCTCTCGCGGATTCTAAACACACATTTTTTTAATTCCGTTAAACTAATATAATATACAACAAATGCTATGTTCTGGTGTGATGTCTGGCTTCTCCATGCTTTAGTCTTGAATCTAGTTTGGCACAAGCCCGAACCTCTTCTTCAACGTCACTCTTTGTCTGGAGTACTTGTCGTCTGGCGAGAACCTAGCTGGATGGGCAGACTTGGTGATCTCGCCTTCTTCAGTGGACTTCTTCAAAGTGTAAACACGCTTGCCATCTGGGCCCAAAGTGTACATCAAATGCATAGCGACGATATTAGAGTGGAGCCAGAAGATCTGAAATTGTTTCTTGAAGATTTGTGTCAGCAGTAAGTTGGCGATGGCATTCAAAATTTTTTAAAGTTTGGTAAAGTGAAAATTAGTGATGGCATTATATACGAGATAGGTTTAAGTAGTTCCATTTAGCAGTACCTTAGAAATCAGAGCTTGTAAGCCGTTGAGTTGGCTTGGGGAGACCAAATAGACCTTCCTCATGGCTGATCCCTTTGCAAACCTGTTCACCAGTTTCAAGGGTGGCAAGAACGAAGCTCAGAAAAACAGTAAACCTCGAGAAAGCGATGTGCCGAGGTCTCCAACACCGACTACGCCAGGCAGAGAACAGGGCTCAAAGCAAAGCTGTGATATAGACCTCCTCTTCTCTCCTGGTCAAGGTGATGAATTGGTAAAAAATGATCATTCAGGAAGCAGTGTGAAGAGACCCTCGGGGCCTACCGTGTCCCGCACAGGATTGGACCCAAACATCGGAGTCAATATGGATATGTTTTCACCAACCCCACCGCCACAGGAAGCTACCAAAGACCCTAGAGATGATTTTGATGATGTATTTGAGACCTTCAACTCAACGCCGCTGCAAAGCGTGCCAGAAACGGCAGCTTCAACTCCCAAAGATGATAATGTAGGAAATGTGCTCATCGATGAAGTAAAGGATATGGAGATTGCTAAACTCATGTCACTGGGCTTGGATGTAGAAAACGCCAGCCAGTATTACGATCGTGGCTTTCTTTATGAGCATGTGTTGGAGAAAGACAGACAACCAATTAGCAGAAAACTGAGTTCTAAAGAGAAGCCTTCAGATGAACCAGACCTGTTTTCAATGGCCTCAAGTTGGATTGGCAAGGGACGAACTTTTTTGGACTCCACTTTCAAGCAGAAAGCGCCCGGTCTCGAAACAGGATTTTTGACTGAGTATGTTAGTACCCGCTCTGGCTCCCCAAACACCACCTCATCACAAAGGTTGGGGCCACAGAATCATAATGATTTGGTCGACGCACAAAGGTCAGCTAATCAAAATAAGTTCGCGTTTGACGAACACGATTCAATCGTGTCCAGACCAGCATCGGCACCTGGCATGCCTGCCACTAAAACGGCCGCCACACTTGGTCATGCTGCTTCTGAGCCCAACTCGCCGCCGCATTTTGGATCTCATGGGGAACCACAAGAGGTTTTGTTAGACTTTGATGCACCCATGCCGTCTCATACGCTCCAAAAGGCAACGACAATTAAACTATCACAGATCGAACGTCACGGGTTTGAAGAATACAAGGCTAAAGCGTCTGAAAGCTTCACCGCTGGTGATTACCCCACTGCATACCAAAACTATGAAAAATCACTCAACAATTTACAACAAAACCATCCTTGGAGAATAGTTTCTTATTCTAATATGATAGTCTGTCAATTGAAATTGGGAGATTATCGCCAAGTTCTCAAGAATGCCTCTTCAGCCCTCGACCTGATTCCACCAAATATTGATGAAAATATTCCAGATCTGAGCCCGCCCAAGACATTTAAAACTATATGGTCGAAGATAGTCTGCAACAAAGCAGAGGCGCTGGAAAGGTTAGAAGACTACGCTAATGCCCTGCTGACTTATCAGCAGCTTATCGAGAAAGGAATCGTTTCATCGAAAATCTTAGATGCCAGGCGGCGATGCCAAAAAATAGTAGAGCCCGAAAAATTTACCGTAGCCAAGAAATCCAAGAGGCCTCCGACACCAAGTCAGCCACCGGTTTCAGGGCAGTCTGATTTGGAAACGAAAAGGGCGCGGGCCTTACAGAACCAAAACAGACAGGCTCGTGAGGAGGATGAAAAACGCTTCATTTTTAAGGATGATGTTGAACGCAAAATATCCCAGTGGTGTAATGGTAATCAAAGTAACCTAAGAGAATTACTAGCTCGTCTTCATCTCATCCTCGATTGGTGTGGATGGAAGGAAGTGGCGCCAACGGCACTAGTGATGCCGAAGAAGGTTAAAGTTTATTACTTGAAGGCCGCAGCTAAAACACATCCTGATAAAGTACAGGAGTCATGGCCTTTAGAAAGAAAGATGATCGCCGAAAACGTCTTTGTCATACTTAGCAAAGCCTGGGAAAGCTTCAAGGAGGAAAATGACATGACCTGAAATGAAGTTCAACGAAGCCATCAAAAGCAATTGCATTTTATAAGCATAAATTACACTGTGTAGCATATAGTAACACATTTTCTAAGTCTCTTGCACGTCGAGCAAGTGTTATTTTTCGTATTTCATGGCATATAGCCCTAATGCTTTGATAGGAAAAAGAAATCGATAGCTGGCGTATTCGATTGCGCAGGAATGGTTGAAAACGCCCTCTGGTGCTTCAAAATCCCATTTTCCATTAGCTTTTTGTCTCTGCTTCAAAAAATCAACACCTTTCTTGATGACAGTTTTCTCCGGAAATTCCGCGAGCAACAAACCGATCAACGCCCAAGACGTTTGAACCACTAGAGAATGATTATCTTCCACATATGAATGGAGTTCTGACGACTTCATAGACTCACTCCAGCCACCGTCGGGTCTCTGTTTGGAGACCAAGAATCCGCATGCTTTTCTAACATACTCCGAATTTGAATAAGATTCTCCAACTGTACTGAAAGCTTCTAAAGCAAACATACCAGCGTATGTAAAGCAAATACCCCAAGATCCATACCAGCTACCATCTGGCCTTTGAGCTCTCTTGATGTATTTTATAGCAATTTCGATAGCCTTCTGAATTTCTTGTTTACGATAGGAGTAGTATTTAGTGTAGTAGGTGAGCCCCAAAATGGAAGAATCGGTACACTCCACGTAAGGAAATTCTACCATAATGTTACCGAACACCTCAGCTGGATTCAGTTTTTCCATTGCCGTTGTTGCTCTTATCTTTTCGTAGGTTGCAAAGGAACCATATTCGAACGCATCCACATTTTGGAGCGACAGAAGGACATCGATGGAGTTTTCTAGCCTCTTATCGGATATCTCGTATTTTATATGAGAGTAAGCTGAAGAATTCTTGACCATTATGATTGCTTTGAGAGCCTCTGCTGTACAATCAGACACTGTGTAACCTTGCGTCTTCGTGGAGAATGGCCACCCACCTATCCTTTTGTCACGGAAGCTTCCAGGAGCGCACTCAGTATCGAATTGACTACGACAAAGAAACTTATAGGCATTTTCGATAGTTGACTTAAACTCAGGTCTCTCTGCCAGACCTGCAATAAAGTAGTATTGGATGGCAAAGGCACAGTCCCAAGTTTGAGCACCATTTGTACCCATGACCGTAATTCCTTTTGGGCCCATAAATAAAACCTCGTTAAATCCATCAACAAAACGTTGGAACTGATATGAATCGCGACCCTCCTCTATCAATGCTACAAGAGCACAAAAGGCCATACTGACAGGAGCTATGCACAGGTAATCGGTGTTTTGTATTTCTTTTTTGATTAGTTCATAAGTCTTCGCGGTACTGTATTTCAAAAGCCAGTTTGGTCTCAAATACCTTTCGTAAAATGTCAGTGCTGTATTGGCGGCATTCAGAAACCGAGTATGGGGGTAATAAAGATCAACATTGCACACCGTGTTCCTGTGTTTGCTAAAATCTATAGTTTCGAAATCTTGACGATAAAGCTCCGCTCTGATCTCCGTGAGCAGTGGAGTTAGCGTGCATGAATACTTGATGGCAGATAGATAACCAAGCGCCTGATATACGGCTCTGGTATGAACCCACCATCTACCAGGATGGATAGGTAGCGCATAAGGCAGTAGCCAAAGTTCAGGTGGGGCTGGATTTACTCCCTCCCACTTGTACAAACTCAAGATTGAGAGCCAACACTTACCCCAGTGCGGAACACCAATGGCACCACCAAGTCGATGAAGCGTCCGGCGTGCTCTTTGACACACGGTATGGCTGGCAGGAAGTCCTAAAAGTCTCAGTAGCGTATAATTGATGGCTGTGCCAAAAGCGGTAGATTTATCTACCTCGTGGAGTCCCCATCCTCCATCTACAGGATGCGCGGAGTTCACTAAGAATCGCACCAGTTCGATACGAACAGGCTCGGGCACTGCAATGCCAGCGCAGTACAAGACTCCAACATAACCTATAGTCAGAAACATTGGGCCCTTGTACTGGCATGGGAAAATCCCTGAATCTGGATCCTGTAGTAAAGAAAAATAGCGAGCGCCTTGTAATGCAGCGTCAAAAGCACTCAATTCCTCCGTATTTTGTTTCCCCTTGGACAGAGGCTTGGGGCCCAAAAAACCGGGACTTTCTAAAAGATGTTTCTCATATGGCGATTGTTGGTCCGACTTAGCTGCTTCTGCAGTGATGTACTCCCATCGTTCACTGCCCAATGCACTACAACGCAACCTCCAAAGCGTATGGTCAGTTTTAGGGATTTTCAACTGATCCGAATAAAGCTCCGCCATACCCTGACAGCTTCAGCGTTTATAGGTGTTATTCACGAGTTTACTTGTCTCCTACGGTTAAATTCATTCTTGTGATTAGTTCGTTAAACGAGTCATTTATATACCCAACAGTTGCAGGATACAGACGAAAAGTGATGAACAAGTTCGTCCAACGAGGACTATTCCTCCACATTTATCCATGCATTTTGGTGGTGGGAATGGTGGTAAATATGATAGTGGATCGTTCTCAGTTGGACCATCAACGAGAAACGTATTATCTTTTATCTTCGAAAAACTGGGCCAACCAAATATTCGCGTATCGTGGGAACTTAATTTGGACCGCTTTGTATATATTCCTAGCATGCTTTCAGCTGTACATTCGCCTTTCTAGAGCAGATTCGCTACCCGTTGACGTTCGATCTGCTCAGGAAAGACATCTCGCTAAAACGGTAAAGCCTTATATAGTGAAGCTGGGTCTGAAAAACCTGATATTGATGGTGATTTTCCTTTTCATCGACAGGGTGTTTGTGTGGACCGGTGGCTCCTGTTCTACCAGTGACACCAAATCCGCGGAAACGTGTCGACGCCAGCATGGACAATGGGCCCACGGATTTGATATTAGCGGCCACTTTTGTTTTCTGACCACCGTAAGCTTATTGCTATGGCTCGAGTTACGTGCGGCCTACCGCTACATGGCAGTTAACGAGATCTCGAGCACGCGGATATGGGCTTGCATCCAAGCAGGAGTTGGGGCCGTCGTTCTGGTGTGGGCTTTCCTGTTGTGTGTTACGGCAATTTACTACCACACTTTCGCTGAGAAACTGCTGGGTCTTTTGGTGGGTTACATATGCCCCGCAATTCTCTATTGGGTGATCCCATGCCACCAGAAGTTGAATTCAGTGTTTTATTAGTTTATCGATTCGAGCCTCCAGTTGCCCCAAAGGCCCCAGTAATGTGGTCGCCCAATCCTTGTGAGTATCAGGTATGCATGAATAGGCCGTGACGTCCTGATCAACAACCTGCAGCTTGAAACGAGTCGTAACCCCGGGCATTGTGAAGGAAGGCAAGGTACATGCTGGGTCCATTTCCAACTCAGAAATCTTGCCGCTGTACTCCAGCCCTTGGAGAACCTGCAATTTGATAGACACATTTAGTAATGCCATGTAAGCCTTGTTTGCAAAAGTGTAAATCTGCGAAATATCGGTCAACAGTCTGTGGGCTCGCGTACTCTCCAATAGGTCTTCGAGACCGACGTAAGATGGCAGCGTGTGTTTGAACAGCTCCCAGCATGTATCGTTCAAGTCACGCTTAAACAGAATATAGAAAGGAGGGTCAAATTTGCTAGTCAACTCATTGAAAATTTCGAGTCTAAGTCCCAACATCTGTCGCTTTACACTTGCGTGGCCATCCTGCTGGCGGTCCAAGTCCGACGGATCAACAACTGGAAAGATACTTTTCCCAAACCCCCTGTAAAAGTTTTCGATTCGAGATCTATTTAACAGCTCGAGCTCTTTTCTTGATTCGGTAACCTTTTTACGCTTCGATGGTGATTTTAAGATGTCCATGTCAAGTAGATCTGCCAAACTGTCGTCAAACATTTTATGTTCCACGGATGGCTGCGTTCGAAGCACCCATTCAGGCTCAGAAATATCGGAGGGCAGGTTCTCTAGTCTTTGACTCTCAAGTCTCCTGTCTATCTTTGCTGGAGATCCAGTCGGAGTTTTTGGTATGCTATCCATATGTCCACCGGTGAGATTTCGATCCAGCCGCTTTTTGATAATGGGAAACTCATCCAGCAAGTCATCGAATCTCAGAGGAAGGTTCGAATTATTGTTTTTACCACCATTGCTTGCAAAGAGCTCTGTTTCCAGATCTTCATGTCTTGTGCGCAGCTCTGCTACTGTAGAATGGTCAGTAATAGGCGCCATCACCCCACCATTCATTGGCACAATATGATAACATACTTTCGGCCTTCAATGACTCAATTTCTTGTGAAATAGAAGGTTCATTTGACATCTAGTCCTGGGTCCGTCAATGTTCTTTATGCGTCATCATCGGGTTGTGTCCAAATCAAAATAATATGAATTTAACAGATTACATCAGAAGGTCAAAATATACCCTCATTTGAAATAACTAAGCGTATACAAACAATCACCGAAGGATCTCGTACGTGTCATGGTGAACCGCAATGCAAGTGATAACTGATAGGAGTTATTTTCGAGCAACTCTAGGGCTAAGCCATTTTGTCGATTTGATCGCTTCTGATGAGCTCTACGAAGCAGGCGCCGTCCTCCAAGTGAATGGCCCTTATCGCAGCTACAAATGCAACTTTATACGCAGGGACGGCATATCCCAGTAGTGGAGAACAAGAATGTCCGTAGGACATTCGAGCGCATGCTTCACTCACTTTGACTTTGAGACCATACTTCATGAGGTCCTTAACAAATCTAACTTGGTGCTGCCAGCACTTCCTTTTGAAGCAATAAATGTTGAACAGAGATGTTGGTACAAACGCGGGCTTAACGTATCGTTGGCTTGGACTACCAGTTGAATATTGCGTATGATAGCCAACTAGCGGACCAGGTCTTAGAAGAATAAGTTTATCGAGACCTGGCATTCGGGTTGCCAGGTCTTGTTCTAGAGTCAGTTTGGTCCGAAAATAATCGCATGTAGAACTCAAGACCACATTATTGAAACTTGTTATCACTACTGCCTTCTTCTCAACACCTGGAGTCTTTTTTCCGCAGAAAGCTTCGATCATTTTTATGTTCATATCATAGTCCACCGCTCGACGGGAGACATTGGTTTTTCGCTGCTGGAAGCTGGTTGATCCTAACGCAGAGATGAGAGTTTCGACCTGATCTAGTGGTGGGAAATTCCACGCGGTAGTTTTCTCGAGCCTCTTTGAGGCAACGCTAACGGCCGTCGGTTGTGGACCAAACAAAGTCTTGAGTAGACTAGGCCATTTTAATGATTCTTTCTCGAGTAAGCAAATCACGTTGATCTTCAAATCTATTGTCAGTGTATGCCGGCATGATTCCCCATGCACATCCGTTGAATTATCATACACTAGGCGGTACGTGTACTGTTGAATTTGAAGCTCAACGCTACCGGGAATTTTCTGTAAAGTATCCGGGATCTTCAAAGTGCCCTCAGTAAGAGTCGGTTTGTCGTAAAATATGTTCTGTTTTGTGCATACCAGGTTGGAGCCCTTGTACACAAGCTTGTGCTCCCAGCTGGAATCAAGATCATCCGCGCTCTCTGCATCTTCCATCGCAAGAGGCTTTCGGACAAAGCAAAACAAATTTTTAACAACTTGAATAACTTTCTTTCTGGTCAATCCATTGCACAATGGTGACCGAGACTTCTTTAAAAAAAGATGGTGCTTTTCAAATAGATCAGAATTAGGGTATAAGTTGTTCAATTTTCGTTGGAGGTCATTGGTGGAATTAAGGTACACCCAGGGCCGCGTTAGCTGGGTGACTATGAGACCTCCAGTAAGTCCTGTCGATCCCAATATCACAATGTTGTCCACGGTGGAATGCTTTGAAACGCTCAGTATATCACCCTCCAAATTCTTGGCTATTTGTACGAGGGATGGTGGGCCTGGCGAGATTAAAATTTGGTCATGGCTGATACCCCTCGGAGCCATGTTACTCTCTTGGCGATTTTTAAAGATGCTTCCGGTTCTTTCCCTTAAACGGGATTTGACAAAATTCTTCTTAGCTGATTTGTCTCCAAGTACCTCTGTCATACGTTAAGTGATCAAAGAAGACGTTTCGGCAGAATGAAAGTAGGCTTGTGGACATTTCAAGCGTTTGCTTTTTATACACGAGAATTATTGTGACGCTGTCGTCAACATAGACTTTTGTGTCAAAGTAATGTAAATAAAAGTTGCCTTTTCTAAGCGGATGGAAATATACAAAGAAATAAGCACGGCAAAAGCTTGCTATTCGCGGCGTTAATGGCTAAGCTGACTGTAGTGAAGGTATTGTTGGGCTCGTTCCTGTCTACACGAGATGTAGCTCGGCGGTGGCAATTGTCATTTAACGTAAATGAATTTTTCAGAAAATTGGCCAGATACTGAAAGCCTAGAGACTTACTAAACCAGCCGCAGCAATCCCATTCACTATTTGATGTTTGACAGTCAAGTATCAAGCTGAGAGCATAAAATCGAGTTAGAAACGTCAAAAGAGGGTATGACGGTCCTATCCATCTATATTGGTTTTAAGCGCTGAAGTAATTCATCCAAAGCGGATTTAGCTCAGTTGGGAGAGCGCCAGACTGAAGAAAACTTCGGTCGTTTGAAATCTGGAGGTCCTGTGTTCGATCCACAGAATTCGCATCTTTTTATATTTTTATTACATCTCTCAATTACTATGGGGCCAAGGACACTAGTAGTTTTCAATTGATAGCTAACTACGCAAATACAAATCCAAATGCTAATTTACAACTACAGTGGTATGTAATCTCTTGCTTGGTTCCATTTCCAAGTCAAACTCCAAATCTCTATATCTTTTTTTGCAAATATTGCTTTCCTCAACCACTGCGCTGTATAGCGTACTCTTGCACCAGGCATTTAAATGGGTATCGCTGATGAAAAGTTCGTACTCAAGCTTTTTCAAAGACCAACGCTCCATCACTGAGATGTCCTTGGGCGACAATCCACTAATACGCTGCCATGACGCCATAGAGAATGTTTGGTCGGTGAGGAACTTGTGGGCTAGGATAAGGCAGCACAGGTACACGCGTTTGGAACATCTCGAAAACTCTGGCAGATTGGTGATGGAGTCCAGCTTGTAGGTGTACAGCTTGTGGAAGTAGTAGATGGACAGCAAAATGATCTTTTTGGAACACTTGGAGCGCTTGAAGACCGCCGTGAGATACGTAACCAGGTGCGGCTTGCTGTTGTTGACGCGATGGTTAGAATACTTAGAAGTCAACGCTGAAAGCAGAGTGGCAACCTGTGAAACGAGAACTGTTTGCTTGCTGGGTAAGTTGTCGCGAGGCTCCGGGGACGGTGACAAAACTTTTGGGGCGTTGCCACACTCGACTGGCGTGGACTCTGGTGTTGAGAACGGATGCGGAAACGCAATATTACCACCGGAAAGGTGGTCGGCACGGTGCTTGGCCTGAATGTCGTTCTGGACGTCCGTGACCGTCGTCATGATGGCAGTGTTCGATATCCAGAGAAGTCGGCCAAACACTAAGGTTAACCCGCTATGCTTAAAAGACGACACACATCCTGCACACGCCTGATGTGTTGACAAATTATAACAGCGACGGGAAACGAAAACTCAAAAACGGTGTTGTATGGCAACAACACGATGCTCTAACGATGAAAACAGCACCTCAAAGCTAATCAGGCTCTGAACGGAGTGCAAAAATGCAGATAATACGAGGTAACAGATACAGGAAGCGTACGTTGCTTTCCCACTTTCCCAGGTAAAGAAAATGGCGACTAAGTTCAAATGAAATCAACAAACACGTTACGTTCTTCTCACCGGCTCACTCCGATAGAAACCCACTAAGGTCCTATCTTTTCCGTACGCACAGTCAAAGGATTGCTGGCTGAAGATTCTGAATAAAAGTACCTGATCAGGGACTCCCTGAAACCGTTCCCGTATGTATATATATATATATGTAAAACTGGACCTTTCTCGATGGATATGACAGATGGGCTCTTTTTCTCTGCTTTCACCACTGGCAACCTGCTGTTCACTGCCCTATCTGCAGACGGCAATGAGTCAATGGAATATTGAAAAGATATGGTGTTCGTATGAAGTGCCATTGTGACTACTGGCCAGCACGCACCTGATGACCGAGGATAAGAAGTATCTATGAGCCATAGGGAGTACGATATGAGCCATCTGGAACACTGTGGCAGGGATGGGTCGGCGTGCAGGTGTTTTGGAAAAGACTGGGTGACGGGAACGGCCGGTGTTCGTGCGAGTATCCAAAATTGGGGGTAAAGACACAAGGTGTAAGCGACAACGGTTTGGCGAGACTTGAGTAGGGGTAGAGGTTTCCGAGAGCGGGCAGTGGCTGTTTGCCCTGGTCTGCAGAGAGCGAGTGGACCCAGACCGCAGGAACAGCAGTGACTTTTTGTCACGTGATCTGGTCCGACGGCTGCCAACGACAGTGCAAAGGCCGAGCGCGCTGGGTTCTGTCCAGGTCTTCAGAGTAGGCTAGCTGGTAGCTTGAAGCTAACACAGAACATGGGTTTTGTGGGAGCAACCTTGCGCACTAAGTGGAACTGTAAATGGCCGAACGGGAGAACTGCCTCGTCTACGTTTAGCACGTTCTTGATTCTTGTGTGCACTCTGCGGTGCAGGTCGGCCATTGTAGGCTCCGGTTTCTCGTCTGCATCGTATTTCTCGAAACAGTGGCAGTGGATCCATGGAGCGTCGAACCCGGGAGCCTGCTTCAAAGTTTCGAGCAACCCCGGGTACCTGGAGTACAGTCCCACAAATTCATCCAGAAACGTAATGGCGGCGTCTGGTAGGTTCATCACGTAGTGATGGATGAACTCCGGGATGGGTGTATGTTCGGGCTCGGTTCTTTTGGATTCCCCGGTCTTGGCATCTTTGTATTTCCTACCTCCGGGGACCACGACCTCTCCTCCTGCTCGCGTGTACCATTCGGCCAATAGCTGTGGGCTTTGGCGGATAAAGTCACGGCCGTCTAGGTTGGAAGGCTGTACGAAAGTCCCGGTCTTGTTGTCCTCGATGTTATGCACCATATACTTGTAACTTTCCGGGTTGAGGTCGTTCGCCAAAACCATCACCTTTCTCTTGCCCGCGGGCACAGCGAACGGGCCTACGCCCGCGAAAACATCACCCACGCACTGGCCCGGTTGGAACTTTTGGATAAGACGGTCGTGCTCGGTGTGCAGTCTCGAATTCCAGTACACCTTGCTGAAATCAAATTTAAATTTGCAGTTGGATTCGCGCTGCTCGACTACAAGATCGTCCTTGCCCGCCAAAACCTGCATGTGGAAAGTTCTGAACTTTGTGGCGATCGAATCCACCTTGTCCACAACGGTTTCGATTTTGCTGTTTTTGTCGAGGATGACCTGTCCGATTAGCTTTCCATAAGGTTTGAACTCGTTCCTCAAATTGATGTGGGCGATGTGGCCCGTCGCGGTAAAGCCGGATGGTATCTCGTCCAGAAATTCGACAGGCAAAATGGCCCGGAATATCTCCTCGGTTTTCCAGAAAGAATAGTCCAGCACGCATTCGTACGGTTGCAATACTGCCTCGTTGTCCCGCATGAACTGCAGAGCCTCAGCAGAAACGCTGGAGGCAGCTTCGTCAACCGTCCTCACCGAATCTTTCAGCAAGACACCTTTCCTAATGTGATTGTCGTTAGCGAGGGTAGACTTTTTCAGCGGCGGCTCTTCGCCATGCGCCTCCAGTTTCACAACCCTCGAGATGCGCGGCAATTTCAGCACTTCATCTTTGAACTTGGCTGAGAATGCACTGATGTTCTTGGGTTCCGGGAAGTGCACTACCACCATGGGCACTTTAGTGACGAAGAAAGAGCGATCCAGCTCATGCATATCTCTATTGACAGGAGGTTGGTATTTAAACATGATTCCTGGCTCAGTTCCCTTACCGATATCGCTCATCCTAGATAATCTGGTCAGTAATTGACGGGCTATTTGCATACAACGAAACTGGCTTTTATCTTGCTGATGGTTCGCTGGTTACCTAGCGATGAGCTTGAGAAAATAATTCAATATTCCAATACAATGTAACTGGCAAAAGCTCGAACAGAAATAAAAGAAAGTGACAATAAAGAGCCGCAGCTTTAGCTCTAGATGGCTAAATTCTGTTACCTAACTCGTTTGTAATTTGGAAAATAGTTGGTAAATACAAGAGATCAGACACGCCTCAATGCGATCGCTAGCAAATTATTTTTGATGAAAGAGCGCTCAAACGATTAAGTGCATGGGCTCTCCTGAGATACGTAGTGCTCTTACTCATTCTGTGATGCTTGAAACTGGGTGTGAGGCGCCGCAGAGCTCGCTTTTTCCGGCGTCAGTCTCGGTTCGAAGACTGGCTATTGGTGAGTTCAAATGTACTCGTTTGCAGCGTAAGTGGTAAAATTTGACCTGTATTCTAGGAATCCAACCAGATGAGCACGACGGGAACAGTCAGAGTTTGAAGGCAATCAACTCATTCCTGTCACTCTATTATGTCTGTAGACGTTCTTAGCGTCAGAAAAAGACAAGAGGGTTTCCAGTTCGTGAACGAGCACGACTCCGACGGTGACAGCGATGTTGAGATGAGCAATGGCGAAAACGCTGAATCCACTCAGGAAGCCAAAGACGGTACGATAGTCACGCCAGGTGAGCTGGTGACCGATGATCCCGTCTGGATGCGTGGCCACGGCACTTATTTTTTGGAAAATCAAACATATGCCTCTGTTGCGGGAACCGTTTCGAGGGTCAACAGACTGCTGTCAGTACTCCCGCTTCGAGGGCGCTACGCTCCGGAAACAGGCGACCACGTAATAGGACGAATCGCCGAAGTAGGGAATAGAAGATGGAAAGTGGATATAGGTGCCAAGCAACACGCGGTACTGATGCTAGGGTCTGTTAATCTGCCAGGTGGTGTTTTGAGGAGAAAGTCGGAATCGGACGAGCTTCAGATGCGCAGTTTTCTGAAAGAGGGAGACCTGTTGAATGCAGAGGTTCAGTCGCTATTTCAGGACGGAAGCGCGTCGCTGCATACCAGATCTTTGAAATACGGTAAGCTCAGAAATGGTGTATTTTTACATGTTCCCAGTCCATTGGTTGTGCGGTCTAAGAACCACACTCACAACCTTCCTGGGAATGTGACTATCATCTTGGGGGTCAATGGCTTTATTTGGCTGCGTAAAACTTCTGAGATAGACGCCGCCAGTGGCTCTTCGACAGTTATCGGGAAGAATGCCGCGGCAATCTCCGGCTCAAAAGGTGAATACAAGCCTGGTACCAGTTCGGTTAGCATAACAAGACTTGAAGAAGAGTCTTCATGGGAAATTTACTCGGACAAAAACGATCACATCCCAGAGACTACAAAAAATACTATCACTCGATATGCGAATGTCATAAAGGCTTTGGCGCACTGCGAGATCGGTATTACGGAAGCCCGAGTAGTAGCTGCGTATGAAGTAAGTATGGCATATGGCCATATCGGCTCGCTCATAGACAAAGACAACATGGAATCGATAGGGCAGGACGTCATAAATGCCGAGAAAATGAGAGGAAACGCATAGCTTTAAACGCGCTCACATAGAAGGTTGTTAGGTCGCTCGGGTCACATTCGTTTTGCAATATGTACAAGATATAAGAAGCAGTTTTTACGTCACTTTCTAGGCAATTCATCGCTGTCGCCACCAGCTTTTGGACTGCCACTCTTACCAGCAGTTTCGTAAGCCTCGATTTTACTTTTGATGCTCGAACCGAAATATTTCTCGACAAAACCGAGCTCACTGTTTTTCTTCAGGTCACCCTTTCTCTTCGCCACGATGCACCACGTTGTTCCTAAATGTGTCCTATTTTCTTCCACAATTTCGAGCCCAGAATCATCGAGAATTTCTCCAAGATCGAGGTTCCATCGACAACCCCATGTCTCCAAACGCTTTTCCGCCCGGTCGTCCAAAATCTTGTTCACGAAGTCGTAAGTTCCTCTACCGTGCTCTAGAAGCACAATTCTCCCACCGGGTTTCAGCAGTTTTTCGAAGTTTTGCAATGATTTGACAGGGTTTTCCAGTGAGCATAACCCAAATGCTTCAACAATGGTATCGTACTTGACTCGGGTCTCGGGATCGACGCCTTGGCCATCACCCGAAGCTGCTAGGTCCACGAGGTTCTCTGCTTTTCCTACGACAAAAGCAGCCTTCTTGAAGTTAGGAAATTCGGCGCGAAACTTGTTGTGGGTCAATTCCATCATTTTTTCTGAAGCGTCCATAAAGGTTATCGAATTCACTTTAGACAAGTCGACATATTTCAAATTTCTACCGGTACCACAAGCAACTTCTAAAATGTCTCCTTGGCAATGCTTCATTAGCCATTTGCGCCTACTTCCCATGAAGATCGCTTTTTCTTCAAAGTTGACCCCCTCGTCATATTCTGCTGCTTTGAAGTCGTAGAAGTCGGTCGTATCGCGAGCTGGCAGAATTTTTCGATTGGTTATGTTTTCGTCGTTCTTTTCCAGCGTGATGCCGTCAAACTGGGAGGTGTCCTCGTTTTCATTGTGTGGTAGGGCACGATATTTGGCCAATTGGAGCTTATCCCTGTTCCTCATCTTGCCTCGTAATTCTTTGATTCTAAGCTCCTCATACTCATTAGCTTGGCCTTCTTTTCGCTTAGCCTCTAACCGCTCAAGTTCTTTTTCTTTGGCGTACATTTTCCTCATGAAATAGAGACCATATATAAGGAAGATAATGTATGCCCCAATAAGGTACTTTGTCATCCCTTTGGTGAATTTTTCAGTTCTTGCAATTGCACCCCATCTTATGAACCGACTCTCGGACTTCAACTGTTCTTCTAGCCTCTCCTGAGCAAGCTCTTCTTCCGTTTTAATGCGTGTGACTTTGGCACCTGGTTGGGAAAGGTAAGTTGACCTAAGGCGTACCAAAGATGGCTGTACAGCACTGCCAAAATAACCAGTTCGCTTCCAACATGGCCGCTGGATAATTAGTCTTCGCAGCATGATGCTGTTCAAGTTTTCTATGTTCAGCTTTCAAGAAACAGTGAACCTGTCGATATTTTTATTAACACTACATTTTCTATAGTGGACGACAGACGACAGACGACACAATAATAACAAAATATGGGTTACCGAATCTAAAATTCGTGTGTTGGAAATGTTCCTACAGTTTATATTTTACCATTACTCGAGCGTGGGTTTGTTTGCATCTCATGGAGTCTACAAGCTTTGTGCTAGTATGTAAAAAATGTTCTAGTCAAAAGAAATTGTTACCAGTGGATCAATCTTTGAAACGTCTTGTCGTAAATTTACAGCTGCTTCGGGGACACGATGCTATATGTTCGACTATCGATATTCGATCGTCTCGAGTCCAAATACAAAATCCGCCATTGATCGGAGTCTATCATTGCATGTACTAAATTTTGAAAAACTATTTACCACTAGCGAATGTTGCCGCCACAATCAGAGGGAAGACCACAGTAGCATCGGCGTATATCTTGACAGATTTGGCCTCTGCCTTTATTTTCCCCCAGGAGATTGCTTCGTCGGGCCTCGCACCAGCGTCTGAACCGTCAAACTCCTGTCCCGTATTGATGTAGACAGCGTAATCCGCGCCATTTCTCATCAAACATGCATTGGCAATATGGTGTTTGATCAACCCGCCCCCTAGAAGGAGCATACCAGCCTTCGTGGCATCCATGGACATGCAATTGATCTTGCGGATATCGGCCACGATGTCAACCCGCAGTTGGCTGGGAGAGGATTTGAATGTGTGAAAGAAAAGCATATCTCCAATTGAACCATCTGTGATCGCAGGACAGAACACTGGGATGTGGTTCTTGTGGGCCCAGTATAGAACAGAAGACTCGTCGTTAATTTCTTTCCCTAGTCTGTTGATCAGCTTTGAAGGGGTCCAGATCGGGGTATCTACATCAGAATTGGCATCCAAACATTCACCAGCGTGATTTTTGACGTATTCTTCCTGCTCCTCGAGCATTTTGTCCAAAATTGGCACTATCCACTCTTCAAACTTGCAGTAGTTATCATTGGGCACCAGCAGATTTCCAATACGATTCAACCCTTTTTCGCGCAGAGAAGAGCCTTTGAGCGTAAAATCTCCCATGTATGTGGGCGCAAGGCATTTGATAAGATCTTCCTCAATACCCCCACCTGTTGCGACAATCGCATCCACTTGTTTATGTTGAACCAAATGACGAATCGTCTCACGCAGTCCTGAGCTTATCAAATTTGAGGTATAACCCAAGAAAATCGTAGTTTTCTGCTTACCGTTCTCATCGAACGACCCTTTTCGGTCATGTTCCTCGAGGTCATCGATATGCTTACCTCTCCACGACCTCATCTCATTAATGATGTCACACCCTTGGCCCAGTGTACTGGCTTGAAATCCCATGGTCTTCATAGACTCTACGAGGTCAGAAGCCCTCATGTTCACAGCCTCCGCCTTCGAATAGTCGATACCATGAACTTTCACGTATTCATCCGATAACGGCTCTGAAGCTTTCAAAACAACTTCATTTAAAGTGTCCGGAAGCTGAGTATTAAGATTAGACATCTTTTAAGGCTTTCAGTCCTTGACTAGAACTTAAAATAGTGGTTCTTACCTGGCGATGAGCTGGTTGAATTTTTGAAGTACCAAAATTTTTCAACTTCGGCTCGAAATTAGTATGTCACCTTTAATTAACGAAATGTGATGATCTAGCTCGCAACTACCTTGACGGCCCAAAAATGAGCACTATAGGTGAATCGGACCTTAGGGACCTTGCTGAAGTCGTATTTAAGGGTAGTGCAAATGCTTTGATCCGTTATAAGAAATCAGATCGTGCATTGGATCGACTTTGTGTGCGATTTGAGAGTTTGGCGACTAACAATCAGTATACCTTGGAAAACTTCGAATATGTGAGCTGTAGGATTTCACCGCTTCTTGGTGAGTACATGGCATATATCAGTAAAGAGATTCGTGAAGTGGACGTTTTGGGGCCGGTGCTGAGAAATTTCAGTGTCAATCTCGATAGATCCTACGCCATAGTCTTTAAGATGGAACACATCACTTATGGTACGGATTCGGTTATGATCGCGGACCACTTTACGAAATTTCATTTGAGAGGACGTTCCGCAGTTATTTGGGAATTCAAACCCAAATGGTATACCCGCAGTGGTGATAACTGTCGTAACTGCGTGTTGAATAGAGTCAAAGGCCGGGACATTCCCTACTGCTACACTAGGGTTCTGGAAAACCCAGCAATTCTCCAAGAGTGCTTCGCACACTGTAATTTGCCGCCACGCTTTTTTGTAGATGTTGAAGAGTACTTGCAATCAGAAGACAATGTTCTCGCGCACTTGTTTGCAAAACAATCCAAATTGTCAGAGTCAGTACCGAACCTGGCCAACCTTCATGGAGAGGGGAGTGTTTCTGAGGAATTGGCGCTACTGATGACCTTACGCGACGTGACATGCTACATCAGTTGGGACTGTGAACGTGGCGTACGACAGGCCAAAATAGTAGATGTGGACATGAAACCTAGATCGAAGTGGAAGCAATGGAGCTCTCAGCAAATTTCTTTGGATCGCAGCTCAATAAAGATCTGTCATTGACGGCAGGAAGGATAACTAACCGACAGTGGCATTTACAATGGCTTGGCAGTAGACTGCGGCCTTCGTCGCATCTCGCATCTCAACCTTCCACTCGCCCATCGACGCTTGACTTGCGTGAATCTCGACATCTGTACCCGGATATATAAAATTGGTGTTTTTGTACTTCAACCTCAGGATTTTCAGCCCCAACGCACGCTGCATGTACTTCAATATGGTGTGTATGATAAAGGGCCCTTGAACGACGATATCATTATAGCCCTCTACTTTTCGGCAGTACGTTCGATCCCAGTGGATCCGGTGAGAATTGTATGTGAGCGCACTGTACCGGAAAATGTCACTGTCTAGAAACTTCAATTTCGTGATGGTGCTTTCGGCAACATTTTGAGCTGTCTCACTGTTCGAGACCAGCGAGTGTTTAACCGGTTTGTTGGTATATATAAGTGCCCGGAATTCGGTAGTGGCAGGAGATTGGGTATCACAATCTCGAAATGCCCTGTCTATGCCCACGAAAAAATCACTCCCCAGTCGCTTGACATAGCGGACGGTCTCTACGCACTCATAGTCGTGATCAATCTTCATTGGAGATATGAACTCCATGTTGCCCAAAGCCCACATGCGTCGTCTAAATATCAGGGTTGGATCACAAAGTAGAAAGCCTGGCGTTTGATCTTCGAAATACCCATCAGGGCTAAGGGTGTTTGTACTGGGATTGAAATATAGCAAATGGTCGCCGGCAGATAAAACCTTGCTGGTGTCGATCGTTGCACTGGCTAACTGAGGTTGGAATTGATGGTCTAACATTGCATTAAACCTCTGTACAGCTGTTTGGGATACTCTCTCTTTGAGGACCCATTTAAAAGCTTTGAGGCCAGCTCTCTTGTTCATTAATGGCCCCAATGAGTTCAGTTAGCGCGATGTTCTCGTTCGGGTCTTGTTCGCCAACGAGTAATGATAATTTAAGCATTGGTGAGGAATCCTAAAAAACGATAGGATAACAACGTTCCTACTAAGTCATTGAAATTAGGTAGCGTGTAGATTATACTTGATGTCTGCCTTTTGTGTTTTTCAGAGGTTGTCGAATTTTCTATACAGTGTAGTTTGATGGCTTACGAGTAGTTTATATATAGTTGGCGAAACGTATTCTTGGAGGTAGCCTAAGAAGAGGTGCTCTTCTTCTAGCCGAAGATCTCTGTGGTGGTGAGTTCTATAGCAGAAATGCACAGAGGCTCTATCTATTTACGACGACCGCGCTATCTTCTACTTCGACCCAGGACCCCCTATGAGCAGCGCCCAGAGAACAAGAAGAGACCAGATTAAAGTCGTGGAAATAGTAGTCGAGCCTGTCAGCTTCGAGAAAGTTAGTATTACAATATTGAATGGTTAGATCCCCCCTAATTCAAAGTTTAGTATAGATAAAATCGTTGGTAGAGCACGGGGACGTATAGCAGTCTCGACTTTCTATGATTCTCAGTTCCATCTCCTTCATGGTCAATGGGGACCCCATGGCTGCTTTGACATCATTTGGTGAGTGTTCCAGTGTAATTGCAAGAACTTTTTGAACAATACTCAAGACTTGGTTGATATCCAAAGCGCCAGGTGTCTTTTCGGCGGCATGGGAAATGTAAGTGCTATCAAGTAGTAGAGCAGAGAATAGATCGCCTACTCCGGTGAAATATGAGTCAATGACAGGAACCCGATAGAAGGTGGCCGGCTGTCCGCGCACGGACGAAACACAATAAAGATGCTTGGGGTCTTTGAAAAGTTCGAACGAACAGGAGGTGACCACGATAATTGGAACTGCTTCGTGAAGTTTCTGAAGTGCTTTTTTGAGCTCCTGCACAGTGCGGACCTTGTTGCCATACAGGATCTCCAATTCGAATTGATTCGGAGTGATGACATCTATGAGCGACGATTCTAGCAGAGACACGTACTCTGGTATAACATCTTCGTTCACGTATAGTTTGCCATCATCACCCATGACCGGATCCAAGAGCCAAACCGATTGTGGCCGTTTTTTTTTGAGCTCTTGATAATTCTTAGCCATGCATGCAACTGCCTCTCGATTTGGCAGGTATCCGGACAACAAAGCGTCGTAGTCGTTCAAGTCTTGCAAACCTTTAAAAACTAGATCGAGTTCATTTGCTGAAGTGCAGGTTCCAAACACCTTGTCCATCCCATAACCAGTATGGTTGGAAAACTGTACGCTATTCAGGCAGTCGACATCCCAGCCTTTGCACTGCAAGGGAAAAGTTGCAGCCTTATTGCCCACATAGCCATGTACTACGTGAGATTGAGTAGCTAAAACGCGTGGCATGCAAAGCTAATGAGATTCAGATGGTTCTTGACAGAAGTCGTTGATCGAGAATCTAACGTTTTTCCAATTATAAAGAATCTGTGCCATATACTGTATTAACGATATATACATATATTAACAGCGCATTATTTGATGTAACCAGCTCGAAAGGTGTTAGAGCTAGAGCTAGCCAACCAGGTTGAAAGTGCTTAATGGAAGTAGGTCTCACAAGAGAATGGATTTTGGGCTTGCAGACTTTCACCAAAGCAAAGTATAATTTGGAACTTTAGAGCGCTTTCCAGTTCCTAAGACTACCTTCAAAACAGAGAGGATGAGTTTCAAGTGAAAGAGTTAAGAAGAACAAAAATCATATGAGCTTTCAAATAACCGACTTTAGCGAGAAGAAGTATATTTCGGGGCCTTTTGCCTTAGAAGGAAGGGCCTCCAAGAACTTCCAAGTGAGACCTATCACTATGTACTATTTTGTCACGCATGAGATGAATTCGAGTGCGGTACAAATGTCAACCTCTAAGCTTTGGCTCACAATTCTGCTTCACTTTCCAACTACTTGAGAGGTGGCTACTTTAGTTACTTGTTAATGTACGCTGGCTTTCAAACACCGGACGGAGGGTTTGAGGTTCGGAACTAAGCTAGGTCCTCTCCCTTATCTGGCGGATTTTAAGTGTAGTATACCAAAACTACTGCTCTCTATCCTCGTTCTGCATAAAATCTTGGTATCTTTTTAGTTTCCGAAGCAAGTTTTCTACCTCGCAGGTCACATTAGGTATCACTAGAGAACAAAGGTCTCGGACCAGCAAGGTTCATGAGTACGTCTCTGGCTTGGCCCCTTGCTGGTTCAACATCGAGCTTGTGAATACCGTTCTAGTATTTCTTACGCTGTTAATATACCATATCTTTTAGGATACGGTTGGCAGACTTGGCTCCTGGCTGTTTGTCACAAATTTAAGTTTCGAGAAATGCTGCTTGATACCAAACCCCAGTGTGTAACTTAAATGTGCCTCTGAGAGTCTACCAGTTGATGCGTTCTATTTATTTATATCTCCGGCATTATTAACAACTGTGAATGATTTTCGACGCCTTCATTCCGTTTATTATGTCTAAAAGTATCTCCTTGCTCCTTAAACAATAATCTGATGACACAAACAACATTACTTTCAAAAGTCCCCCGAATTATTATTACTTTAAATACCCTAACTATGGTTACAATTCTATAACCCTCGTCTATTTTTTTGTTTGATGCTCATCATGACATTATTTTCCCGCCCCCTTGCCTAACGACAAATTTCGAATATTTGCCTCACCCGTTGAGTCATCGTCGGCTGCCTCCACCTTTTGCAACCCCCCTTCATCACCATCTTCCGTAGCCTTTTCTTCGTTCAAAGTTGGGAGTGAATCACCAACTGGCGACTGGCTAGGAACTTGATTGTCTTCGACGATTGACAGCATAGACTTTGATTTACTTTTGTTGTTATTCAAAAAAGGGTTCGAGGTATGCTGCATAATCAACTCTTCAGAAGAAGATTTGGCAGAAGAAGGAGCCGTGAGAAAAGAACTGTCGAGAGTATTGTCGTAGCTGGAGTTTCTCAACTCTGGCATTTTGGGCAATGGTATTGATGTTTCCTTGGCATGAGCTGAAATGGACTCCCACCAGGGGTCCGCCAAAATGTCTTCTATGGTATACCTTGTTTTAACGTCAGGGTCTACCAGTCGCCAGGCAACACGCGATGCACCAGTATTCTGGAACTCGCGCCCGAATTGAAACTCACTACCAGGACCAGGCTTATAATTGCCTGACTTTTTAAAGTGAGGATTATTGTGATCCACAAAATTGTCATATGATAAGACATAAGATCTGTACCTTGAGTCAGTCTTATAAGCCTCCATGAATGGCGTAGATTGATAGACCAGAGTGAAAAGCATGATACCAAGCGCCCAGCAATCCATTCCGTGGGCATCATATGGCTTCTTGTCCTGCTTTGTCGCATTTTCGTCCTTGAAAGCCATTACTTCCGGTGAAGTGTATGGTGGGGACCCAACGTATGTGTCGAATAATTTGACCGGACTCCGCACTTCATCAGGATCCTCGTGCCCCCAGTCTGAAATTCCAAAGTCTGTTAGCTTTGCTAGACCCTCTTTCGTGATAAGGACATTTTCAGGTTTAATGTCTCGGTGAACAATACCTTGACTGTGAATGAACTTTATCCCTTCAACAATTTGCCTCCAGTACTCATACTTTTCTTGCAAGGGTCTCTTACGCCAATCTTGCCTCATTATCAAACTGAACAAATCCCCTCCGGAGCAGTATTCGACAATAAATGCCCAGCCTCTTGTCATAGATGTTGTAGTAGAAACTTTAACGAGATAGAAAGTGTTAGCAATGTGTGGATTGCTGCTCAGTTTTTTCGCCATAATGAACTCTTTAGAGCAGCGTTCATAAAAGTGCTCAGGCTTTTCATTTCGTAGAAGTTTGAATTTTTTCAACGCGTAAAGTTCTTTCTTATGGAAGGCGGATTTAATCGTCCGAACGTCACTGGAGCCTCCGGAGCCTAGGTGTATGTCATCAGCTGAATTTTTTTCAGGGTACACAAAGTTATCCAAAAGTTGCACGCTGAATTGTTTGTATCCTTCTGGCAAATAGTCGTTCGGATCCTTTAAGGGCGTAGGTAACAAAGGAAGTTCATCTTTTCCGTCCTGCAAGTAAAAAGACAAGTCGTGATGCGAGGAAGAGGTGTCATTTTTCGATAGAGTACCGTACGGGTTGTAGACCATGTTGGACTCGTTGGATGAGGTTCGCCTAGAAATGGGATTCGAGGCATTAGCATGTGATTGCCGTGGAGCTGCTATGTCTGAACCTTTACCCAATGCACTAAAAGGTGATTCGAACGGACTATGACGAGCAGAAACAAATGGATTTACATTATGGGCCTTACTGTTGTTGAAAGATGCGGAATGATGCTTGTCCCTTAGCACGTGAGAAGCTTGACTGGCTGGAGGGTGTTGCTGCCCATGCATTCGTTGCAAAAAACTGGAGCTCCTATTACGGCTCCTTTGGTCAGAGCTGAGTGTCGGGCCCTGGGGAGGAACTGAACCAGCGACATGTCTAGATCGATCGGCAGTGTCATGATGGGACTGAGACCTATGGAATATCTTTTTCAGTGGATTGATGCTTTTCACAGACACACTGCGATTGAGTTTCTCGGTTCTTCCATCTTTCGGGGATCTAGATATTGGTCTGCTAGATACTGGTGCAGTTTTTTCTTTCCCGCTAAAGCTTCTCTGCTCACGATTACTGCCGAGACTTGTACTTGAATCCTTGCTCTCTTTCAAATTGCCAGAACTTATAGAATTCTCCACCCGAGGAGCTTCTGCATTGATAGAAGCAGAAGTGCTTTTCACAGAAGCCATATTGTCGCAGTGCCTTCAACTCAGTCGTAGTGATAATTGGTCTCAGACTCCCTCAAATGAACTTGCCTTGAAAGTCGGTCGAAATTATACCCTTCCGAGCCCTGAAAGAAAAAGTTGTATTAGATTTGCTCACACAAGCCCGTATCAGTCCCAGCTCAAATGCGAAACTTCTGAAGAATGCTTAGTGTAGTTTGTTAAGATAGTTTGACGGGAGCTATCGTCGATATTAACGGACATGAGGATGTCCACGGGTTATTGAAAAACCCTGGGTCTCGTCAAACGTGACCAAACTGAAATTCACATCAACGTGAGTCTACCACCGATGTCACTTGATGCTTCTCCTGAGGGCATCGTGGCCTCTCGGTCACTTGAAAATCTTCTGTAGATTTTAGACAATTTCTGCCACTCACCTGGAGAAATTGAGGGTTTCGTGTCGCGGCAGGCCGCCCGGAAGTCGGCAGTTGTAATAGTTGGAAGGTCCTTGGAGGTCGTTGACACGGTCCCACTGGACGACTGATTCCCCAAATCGGCGGGAGTAGAGGTATACTTGTGTTTGAATTTTTCCAAAAAGATGTGGGCCTCCGCAGATGTCGAGGAGGGGTTTGTCGCTTGGAAATATTTTAATCGCTTCTCTGGAAAGTCACCGGCAGCGTCAATAGCATCGAGTACATTGGTTTCTGTAGACATTCTCATATTCCGATGCACACTACTTAAGTAGGCGTTATAGCACATTCCTTGCAAGTCTGCACCTGACATCCCATCTGTAGCCTCTGCGAACTCTTGTAAATTACAGCTTGGCTCTACAGGCATCTTGCCACTAGATATGATCGCCCGTAAAATCTCTAGTCTGTCAGCTGCCACTGGTAAGCCACAAAGTACACTTTTGTCCAGTCGGCCAGGTCTCAAAAGCGCAGAGTCAATTAAATCGGGCCTGCTTGTAGCAGCAAGTACGTAAACACCCTCTAAACCTTCAGCACCGTCCATCTGGGTAAGCATTTGATTAACAACCCGGTCTGTCACCCCAATCGAGTCATGTCCCCTCTTTGGAGCAATCGAATCGAACTCATCGAAAAATAAAATACATGGACGCGCAGCCTGGGCCCTTTCAAAACACTCACGAACGCTTTGTTCACTGGCCCCGATGTATTTATTGAGGATTTCAGGGCCCTTGACAGATATGAAGTTGAGTCCACACTGCTGTGCTACTGCGCTCGCCAACATAGTCTTACCACATCCCGGATACCCATATAGTAGGATACCGGATCTTAAGCGTAGGGGGCATTTAGAGAAAATGGGGCCATACTTAATGGGCCATTCTAGAGTCTCTAAAAGTAACGCTTTCGCCTGATGCATTGCTCCGACACTCGACCATTTGATTCCGATGCTCTTTTGGATCTTGATACCTCTAAGTGATGTAGGCGTAAAAGCGGCAACGGCTCGATCAAAACTGTCCCTTTTGAGAGTATTCGAAGTGCTATCTTGATCACATAAATGTTCATATAGTACCTTGTCAGCAAGCAAAAGCAAATCTCGTGGAGAATAGCCTTCAGTTCCAACGGCTATTGTGGACTCATCTAGTTCTTCTGAGTAGTGCAAATTCCTTTCGCCTAAGAGATGTTTTAGCAGTGCACAGCGTGTGTCTCTATCAGGCGCTGACAGTTTCCAGGTTTTGCCGACTGCATGCTTCGAAAACAGACTCTGGTTGATTTTATCTTGTGCTCTGGCTGTCAGTAACAATCGGACCTGACCTTGACGTTTCGGGTAAAGTCTTTCAAGATCATGCACTAATACCTGACATAGTTTTGTTGATACATCCGTGAGAGTATTCTGGGACTGACCCTCATCTTCAGACCTCGATTGCGGAAATATAATCTCTGCATTGTCCAAAATCAGAAGTGACGGACTATACCAATAACAAGCCGATAACAGTTGTTGCAAGTGCTGCTTCATTTTCGTAAAATTTGAACTGTCTATCAATTTCTCACAATCCACATATTTCACGTTCACTGATGTGGTTAATTCCAATCGAGATTTCAAGTGTCGAACCAAGAGTGTCTTACCCATTCCACTAGATCCAGTAATTAAGGAGCACGAAGAAGGTACGATGGGGAGTGTCAAATATTGTACCAGATCATCCAGCATTTTTTCAATCCCAATTGGGTCAGACAGAGCATTTTGTGGGACTACCTGGTCTTTTCGTGACAGAATAACCGTGGTATCTGCCGGCTTGAATTTTATCCCTTTACTTCGAAAATCATAGAATGGAACACGTTCACCGCTGGAATATGCCAACTCGATGTAAACCCTGAATCGCGGTAAATATACTCTATCCGTTAATACAGATCCCGTAACTAAACGAGCCAGGCTATTGATAGTGTCGCTATGGATAGCACTGCTGTTTTCACCGCCTGAAAGTATTTTTTCTTTACTGCTGGATTGTTCAACTCTAAAGACGATGGCATTCGGAGGCTCGACATCGCTCAGGTCGTTTATAAATTCGACATTTATCTTATGACCATTTTGCGGATCAAACCCAAGAGACTCCCACGCAAGAACTGATAGGATAGCTTGTTTGCTAGACAGGTGTTTTTGTTGAATGAGTTTTACAGCTACTTTTTCGGCACTGGCGATGACATTTCCACTGTCCGTTGGCGTATCCGCGGGTAAATTTTCCAAGGGATTCTTCAAAATGGATACTAGGGCCAAAGTTGATTTTGCATTGCGTTCACACACACCCATGGAAAATCCCTGCAGTTCACTAGTTCGGGCTAAAGTTCGCATTAAAATAGGCTGGTGAAAAGATGAGTGATAATGATCAACAGGTATCTTTAGCTTCTCATTTGAAATGCGGGACTTGTTTAGCATAGGGGCAACAACCACAAGTGTATCGTTTGTGAGTCTTCCTCCACCGTCTAGCTGGGGAGCTAGCTTTTGGACTTTAAATCGAGCCACAGTCTGCTCCACATAGCATATCAGCAGTTCATCTGGCACGACTATTCTTGTCTGAAAGAGCATGTCTTCTTGAAGAAACCTCGAGTTTCCTTCGATGATTTCCCAGTCGTCACTCGATAAAGGCTCTATGTATACCTCCGTAGCTACGTGGTGTCGGTCGAAGTGTCTGATTCGCAGGTCTACCACGTCACCCTCTGACACGTTGTGAGCCGAGGCTAACACCGGGTTCATCTCCACGCAAGTCTGTCCATTGATAGCGGAAGATGATTCAAAGCCGTCCCAACCTACATGCAAAGTATGATCAGCTTTTTGAATTGCAATGCCGAACTCCTGCACCGGTATAGATGTGCCTTCTAGAACTTGCACAATGTAACTCGGAAGTCTGACAAAATTGCCACGGATGCGGTCGGACAACGATACTCTCAGTGACTGAAAAGGTAATTCAGCATGTGGATTCATCACTTATGAGAGAGGCTAGTTAAATGTTCGACCTGTATCTGTATGCATTGTGGCTCCGTCCTGATCATCACGAAAAAAGTGCTAACTTATTTATACAACATCAACACGGAAGCATAAAACACCTCATATAGCTCGAAAGGATTGAGCATTTCATACAATGGCTATCAAGTTTGTGATATGTTTGAACAAACAAGGTGTACTTCGACTCATAAGGCTTTTCGAACCTTTCCCAGGTGATGTTTCCAACAATCAATCTACCATCGCGCAAATATATAAACTGGTATCTTCGCGAGAACACAAGCATCAGAGCAACTTTGTGGAGTTCTCGGATTCTACAAAACTAGTATACAAAAGGTACGCGGGCCTTTATTTCGTGCTAGGGATCGGCCTGCAAGACGAGGAGTTGATATATTTGTCACATATTCACTTGTTTGTTGAGGTGCTAGATGCCTTCTTCGGCAATGTGTGCGAACTGGACATCGTGTTCAACTTTCACAAAGCATACATGATTTTGGATGAGCTGATAATAGGAGGCGAGATCCAGGAAACCTCGAAGGACGTTTTGTTGGAACGAATCTCCCATCTGGATAGGCTTAACTAAAAGTACATAAATTCATCAATCTCTGCATTTTTCCGAATGAACTCAGTAGTGGCTGAGTGGACCAGCTCATGTACCTGCGTTATGGACTGATTCGTGGTATCCAAGAATACGATATGCGATTTTTTGTATGCAGCTTCCTCAAAGGTGTCGAAGATTGCGACGAATTGCTCACGTACTTTGGCCTGAAACTCGGTAGACTCGTATCTCTCTTCGCCAAAGCCTTGTCGCAGACCACTTTCGGCATTAGAGAGGAAAAACGTCAGATCGGGCTTTAAGAGTCCCTTATCTGGCTGTGCACACCAGCGCAAATCCATGCCTGGGGTTTGTTTTGCAGCAGAATAGGCAATGCCGGAGTAAACGTAGCGATCCAGCACAACATGCTTGCCCTGCGCTAATGTTTTTTTGATAGTTTGGGCCACTTCCCACCTGTTTGCGGAAAACAAAAGATGAATAGCTTGATCAGGAAGATGGAAATCTGGCTCGGTTAGGTATTGGTGGATAAGACCGCCTATTTGTGTGGAACGGTCGGGAAATTTGACCAGCGATGCCTCGCCATTGAGGCTTTCCACAAGCTTAGCAGTTTGGGTGCTCTTTCCCGTTCTGTCAAGGCCCTCTATGAGAATGAGCTTACCGCGGGTCATGACGTTATAAAAGTAGTGCTTAGTAGCTCTACGACTTTGTTGTAGAATAGAATGTTTCAAACTAGCCTCGCGATGCTGGAGGACCCAACTTTGACGCGTACATCTTACACACGGTGAGCAGAGGACATTAAGAGGCCGGAGGGGTGATCAGATGTGTACCAACAATACTACGTGTATTTCAGTCAAGCTTAATAAGTTCCTCTCGGTGGCCAAGTTGGTTTAAGGCGCAAGACTGTAATTTAACACGAAATCTTGATATCGGGCGTTCGAATCGCCCCCGGGAGACATATTTTTTTACTTCTCTCCACTTCTGTGGCCCTGGTAAAGCGGGAAGCAGCGCTCTGAGAGCTGCTGTATGGACCAGCAATTCTACCAATCATGCAAATACGTTATCTAGCGTTATGTCGTAGCTATCCTCTCCAACCAATGTAAACTACTTCCTCGATGATTGGCTCGACGCCCTGTTTTGGCTGACCCTACTATATAAAGCCGGGCCTCTTACGAGGACCGCCTCCCGCCGTGCAATAAAAACGGGTCTGTTTTTCGCGGTTCTTTTCCTACGCCATTTCCACGTCCTGCGACTCCGGAGTTTCGACCAGCGTATTCCCGTCGCCTGCGCCAGCACCAAAGTCGCACTCATCGAACTCCTCAGCATCCATGTCGTAAAGACAGTAGTTCACCGGCGTGATGTTGTCCAGACTCAATCGACTATTGTACCCACCGTTGATCAGAGTGGACCCGTACCCTTTCAGAATGTAGTCTTCGATCTCCACATACGGCGACGATTCGGTGGAATCGCAGCTGTCCTGGCGCACTCCCATGGCTATGGCTCCCAGTCTTTCTTCTACCAGAGGCGACGAGTCCCTACTGCTGGGATATTTGGAAATGCTGGGTTCAATGCTGCTATTTCTTTTCAGCCTTTTACATTTTGGCTGCTGTGTCGTCATTTTCGCCGCAGTTTGGTGATCCGCGCACCATTGTGAGTCCCTTTTAAGCCCATTGCCGCTAAAACTCGTACTCTCTATATGCTGGAACATAGTTGGTCAGTGCCCTAAGCAAGAATTCCCAATTCCGAACCCGAACCTCGATACCACAGTCGTCAGTCCGCCTTAGCTGGCCGTCGGTTAGCCTCAATGGTTTGGGTCAAGTTTGTATAGCGCCATTTTTTCGGTGCTAGGCTCCATCGTACAAAGGGACATCGAAATATGTATATTTTCGTTATAATTTCTTATATTAAGCGGCGTCACAGTTCAAACTAGGACACACTTCATCTTTTAAACGCTCGAACACAAAATTTCCAGCAGGTATTTGCAAGACAGCGACCTGGCAGAAGCACTCGCAAGTCTGCCAACAGGATGGATCGTCTGAATACCTTGGAGAAAAGCTTACCTCCGGAGGGTCCGGTCAACGACCAAAACATTGATCGGCTTAATCAGCAGGTAACGCAGGAATTCAAATTAGCCGCCAACGCTGTGAGCAGTCTGTACCGGCTTTCCTCAGAACGGAGCTCCCTCAGCAGGCACCAGGGGTATGTGGACTGTCTGGAAGACGTGCTGGAGCTGCTGGGAGAAGGATGCTCGGCTCGGGAGCTGATGACATGGTGCCAGGAGCGGAAGCTGGAAAAGTCCGGCAACACCAGCAGCACCACGAAGAGCTCTCCGACGTTCCGGCTGTCACGCCCCGCCATGTCGGTGGAGCGTGCCCCGAAGCGCGTGTTGCAGCCTCAGCTCACGGAGAAGTTCGTCCAGCAGAGGGGCGACGAGACCAAAGAGCACAAGCGGCGGACCAAGAAGCCTCGGTCGTAGCCGGGAACCAGCACTGCTGGGACTCTATTCAGTGGCCCTCCCGTGGCACCTGGCGCGGGGTATTGCGAAGACCCCACGCCACACCCACACACCCAACACCCACACACCACCTTCGTGAAAGGTGCACCAAGCATCACCTGACCGGGCCGTACGAACGCTCATACACGTGTTATCGTCGTCGACGAGTAGGATGCGCAGAACCATGCACCCCATGACGCACAACGATGCACGGAACAGCGTCCCATGACGCTGCGGTCGGCGCCGTTTATGCCCCACCGCGCTTGGTTTCTGAGGCTGTCCCATGACGCCATTGCTGCACCGGCCTTTTTTGCGCGCATATAGATGCATACCCGAGCATGGAACTGCATAGGGTCGCATAAGACCGCGTAAGACATACGTATTACGCGACCAAACCAACAGTGTTTACCTTTTCCGCCTTCTGTTTTCCCCTTTTGTTGGCATTTTACCGTTCATAGCAAAAGGGCTTGCTAATTGGATGGCCGAAAAAGTTTCGAGTATAAATTGGTCAGGGTGATGGAAACTTTAATAAAAGGGCCATCAGCAGGAAGTTGGCTGAAAGCGGCAGAATTTTGAAATTGGGACCTGCGTCGAAGCGTTAAACTCCACCTGAAAGGTCCAAACCAAAAAGCAAAAAAGTTCCAACTCCTGTTCGTTTCTTTGCACACTCACACTCACTTTTCCTATGGCGGTTTTTACTCACATCAATCGTGTGGTCACACTGCTTTTCCTGGCAGGTGCCACTCTGTTGCTCATCTTAATCCTGCTGTCGGGGGCAATCACGGAATTCCCAATTGACCGGTTCTACTGGCTCGAGGCGGAGACTTCGGACATCTCTGGGGCGCCCACTGGTCTCGCACGCTGGACCTTCTGGGGGCTGTGCACCAAGGACTCCTCCGGCAACTTGCAGTGCCCCAACTTGGCACCAGCGTATCCTATCTCGCCGCGCGACAACTTCAGCTCTGCGCCCTCCAGCGAGCTGCCCTCTGACTTTGTGGACTCCCGTGCCACTTACTACTACTTGACACGGTTCGCGTTTTGTTTCTTCTGGATCGCGCTGGCGTTTGTCGGCGTGGCCCTATTGCTGTACGCATTGTCGTGGTGCTCCTACGCTTTTACCAAGGTTATTTTCCTACTGGCCATTGGTGGTGCCTTGTTCGATGCGGCCGCTGTGAGTTGCCAAACTGCGGCCTCGGTGATGGCACGCAACGCCTTCCGCAATGACAACCGTAGCGCCAACATCAGCGCTACTCTGTTCGGTATCGCTTGGGCCAGCGTTGCGTGTACTCTGTACATCTTCTTCGCTACCGGCGCCTCTTTCTTGCGCCGCGCCTACCAATCCCACAAGGAATTTGTGGAGATGCAAAAGTACAAAGAACAGGCCTTGATGTACCAAGGCAAACAAGAAGCTCTACAACCAGATGTTGAGTCTTACCCTATCCGTGACGACACTCAGCCAGGCTCTGGAATGCCAGAAACGCAACCAGAAGCGCACCACAGCGGAATCAAATTCTTCAAGATCCGCAGAAGCCAACAGCCTGGCGATCAGGAAAGCGTTTGAATGGGCCGGAGCGAACGCATGACTAGGCCGCGTTCTTGCCGTTATAGGCTCTCGGCCACCCAAGCTCTTTCCCCACAAATGCATGTCCAGGCACGCACGTCTTGTTATTCGCCGAGAGTGCCGTCTTCTTTTATGTCTAACTTCTTTTCCACCTCAAAGCTTACCCAGACTTCCGTCTACGCTATTCTAGTTCTTTGACTTTGGTGTCAATTGTAATAATTTTGTCCTTGGACCTTTCAAGACGTGGAAAACCAAAATACTCACCACGCAAATATACCCAGTTTTTGCCGAGGGTAGTATTAATACCCAAGTAAAATCGATTATCGACGTCCGTCAACCAGGCCTCCATGGACCATTCTAATCAAAGTGCGCCTTCATCTCCACTGTGCACCCCCCTCAACTTTTTTCACTATTTCCCATATTTTCCACTAAATAATCACTATAATACAAAAAAGTACTATTACAGCTGCTCACATAAGAGCTACGGATAAGCCCACATCTCCTTCAGCTGTCGAGTTCTCTCAATGATGAACTACCGATCGGCCATGTCTACCATCCCCAAAGCCAACCCTCTAAGGGTGGGGTTTGTTGGTTTGGCAGCCAATAAAGGTTGGGCCATAAAATCCCACTACCCAGCGATGATGCAGTTACCGTCGCAATTCCAGATCACTGCAGTATTAAACTTGGACTTGGAAGTGTCGCAAACTACCATTGAGAAGCTCAAACTCAAACACGCCAAGCCTTTCGCAGACATTGTGAGTTTCGCCAAATACGACCAGATCGACTTGGTAGTAATTTCGGTAAACGTACCGAACTTCTACAAGTTGGTGATTGATCTTTTCAAGTATTCACAGGAAAATGAGAATTTCAAGTACCTGTTTGCGGAATGGAGTTTGGGCCGGAACTTAGAGGAGGCCCAAGAAATACAAGAGCTGGCTTCCCAGCGCGGCATCCACACTGTGGTATCTTTACAGGGCCGCAAGTCTCCCTACGTGCTAAGAGCCAAAGAACTGGTTTCGGGAGGCTATATCGGCGAAATTAACAGCGTGGAGATCGCCGTTATTGGTGGATTTTATGGATACGAACGCCCTGTGAAATCCCCGGACTACTTGTACGAACTGGAGAGTGGAGTTAACCTTATTTCTGTGGCATTTGGTCATACAATCGACATACTCCAGTATATCACAAGCTCGTATTTCTCTCAGGTCAACGCCATGATCTTCAACAATATTCCCACTCAGAAACTTGTGGATGAAAACGGCAAACTCACGGGAGCTACCAAGCCCAAGACCGCACCCGATCATTTACTCTTTCAAGGGTCTCTGACACAGGGGAACGTACCAGTGTCATGCAGTCTGAAAGGTGGAACGCCTGTTAAAAAGTTTACTAAAAACTTGATCATTGATATACACGGTACACGGGGGGATTTGAAGTTGGAAGGCGACGCAGGGTTCGCAGAAATGTCCAATCTAGTCTTATATTTCTGTGGTGGCAAGCCTAACGAGGATTCCTCGACTTCTGCGGAGACTATGGAGATCTATCATTTAAGAAATTACAACTCCATTGTGGGAAATATTCTTCGTCTTTACGAGGCCATTGCCGACTTTCACTTCAAGACTAACCCGCACAGCAAACTTCCCAAGGATTTCGCCAGGCAAGGCTTCCGCTTCGATGGCTTTCCCACCTTCTCAGATGCCCTGGAAGTGCACAAGTTGATTGATCTAGTCACCAAAAGCCACAAAAGCGGTTCTTCGCTCAAGGTGCCTGGCCTTTCGCACCTCTCGGCGACCTTGGACACCGAAGCCCCTCAAAGCGATGGATAGCGCATGATAAAAAGCTTTACTGCGGTCTATGTGGGAGACCCCGCGTCGAGCTTGGCCAAGGCTATTTGGCAGAATTCTTCGATCGCCTCATTGTGGTGGATCCCACCGTATCGTAGCGTGTTCAAATAGTCTACCGCGAGCTGCTGCTTTGCCTCCGTGGACAAATAGCCCTCCGCGGATCCGAGTGCTCCAGACCCGGTGCTCAGAATTCGGTACACTTTGGCTAAGTGAAATTTCACGGTATTGTAGCTTAGAAGTTCCTGAATCTCCGGAGTTTTCTGGTAGATACGATCAAAGTTATCCGTTTTCAGTTTTTTCAGCTCCAAATCCATCGCATTGGGCTGCGAACCGTCGGGTCTATTCCCTTCGTCTACTGGCTGCTGTGTCGACTCATTGTGAACGTGTTTGATCTCATCCTTAAAACAGGTTAAGCTACAATAACGAATACCGCATTTTGGGCATTTATACTTGGAGATCTGAACTTCACACACTTGGCATTTGCTGGGCATCGGCAAACGCTTGGAAGTTGACAAACGATCCACCTTTACTATTTGTTTTCATGGCATGCTCAAGCACATCGCTCTGGCTGAAAAATTTCGATGAGCTAGTGAGCTAGATAATTGATGAAAAATTACCGGAAAGAAGGCGGAGATAAGTATAATGAAAACAGACAGTCGATCTTATTTAAACCAAAAGTGTTTGTTAACATCAAACTACCAGCCAAAGTGGATGGTTCCAGTCCATTTCATCTTAAAACAACTCACCGTTTCTCAACGTCAAAATGTTTTGGTCGATCAGCAGACGTCGCTGTAGATATCCAGTGAGTTTCCGAGCTCATCTGCACACGGAGTATAGACATGTCACCTTACAGCTCAATCACAAGATTCAACAGAATTGTGATTGCTATGTGACTGATTTGAACGAGAAACTAGACTCAGAGAGCCAATTGGATATTGAACTAAGTCTGCCGGCCAAAACCCCAGAGTATCACAAGCACTTGATGCTGGTGTCTCCGCCGGATTCTGCGGGTTCGGAACCAGAGTGGAAAGGTAGCTGGCAAAGCCAACTAGAATTAAATCCCAGATGGCCGTACTCAGCCATTGCACAACTGAAAGGATATTTGAAGGATACACACAGGGGATCTGGAGTTCTGATCAACGCTATTTCCATGGCTCGCAGCGAGACCATTGGTACTTCCGGGACCGGCAAAAAGGCTCGTTTCTTGGCTGTGCCCGATATGAAGACCTATGATGTGGGAGCAGATGAATTAGAGGAGTTTGCGACTTTTTTAGGTGAGGGCAAAATCGGCAGTCATCACAAGATTTCGTTTGCTGACTTCCTTGGCGGAGCTAACGCGATCTCCAAGGTCCTTCAAGCACAGACAGATCCTCAAAAGGGCTCCCCCTACCGCAAGTTCGAGGGGCAGGACCACCGCAAAGACATTGTATTGGTATGTGGCCACCACCAGCGAGACGCTAGGTGCGGGCTGATTGCACCAGCTTTGATTGAAGAGCTGAAAGATAGAGTAGAGTCTGATCTGGCTATCGTGTCACACATTGGTGGGCACAAATTTGCGGGGAACGTGATTTTCTACAAGTATCTCGGCACCAACCAGGACCAGACAGCTAAAGTTGATGGATTATGGTTCGGAAAGATACTTCCCGCAACAGTGGCAACTTTAGTTGAAAACCTGAAGCAAAACAACATAGTAACCCAATGGTTCCGTGGTGGTGCTCAACTATAGATTATCAATTTATTCAGGGCCAAGGATTTAAAAATAATACAAATCCAACCTCTATACATGGTTCGTCCGCACTTCTGCCAGCCGACTTTTAATCTGCGATACGTTTTTCAATTTGAGTTTCTTGACCAAAAACTCTTGTTCGCTAGGATAGAGGTGCAAGAACTGCTCACACATGTCACCGTCGACCACGCCTTTCACAGGCACATAGTAACTTCTATAGGCAACGTGGTCTCTGCCCACCAAACTGAAGGCACCCTCCACTAGTGGCCTAGGGCTTAGTTTACTTTGAGAGTTGGGTGGTCGCTCAGGCCCAAACTCATCTCTGGCGTCTGCAGCACGATTAGCTTCAGCTTCCATGAAGAACGTCTCATCCGAATCTCTAATTCCATCTTCTAACTTGTGCATAAACTCCACCTCACCTTTAGTGATTAATGGAACCAGGCAGGCTATTGTGCCTTGCAATCCAGTATAAATGACACAGGCCCTATCCGACATGTTTAGATTTTTCAAAACGCGAAATGAAGTAGGGATATCGTTAGCATAGAAATGACTTACCAGTTCCCATTTGCAAGGACACTCCATAATATTCCGTGGGATGTCACTTTGAGAATGGCCCAGAAACTTGCTCAAGAAAAATATGTATTCCTCATCCAACATTTTCTCAATGCTCTGAGGCACACGCAGCGCCCAAATGTTACCGAAGCGATCACCGCCAATGACGGTAGATTTATCTAAAAACTCAACTGCAGTAACGTGCCGTTTCACCACGTCGTCGGCTACCGAGATAAACTGGTTTAACCGCTTATCGAATAACAAAAGTGTCACTGATTCGTGTATGTCACCAATTGCGATTCTGCGGTCCTCCCACTGGCAAATGTGAACGATTTTTGTGATCGAGGGTGGAGTAGTTGAAATAGATTTTTTAAGTAGTTGTTTTCGCCCCATTGCATAAAGCACCAAATTATTCGCGATCGGCACCAGCAGTTTGTCTCTAAATGCTGCCATTGCATGTACTTTTTCGCCAACAGAAGTTTCATGCAGGAGCTTTATATCGGCAATTCGCTTACCGTTTTCATTTTTGAAGCTGACAGAAAACGTTTGTAGCTTCATGGTATTCGAAGCCAGAACCAGGTAGCAATCGTTCGTACCAAAGCGGCTGATTTGTGCGGACAGACATGTTCCATCAATGAGAAGGTATTTGGCAGCATCTGAATTTATTTCAAGGAGTGAGCCCGATCGACAAATGGAAATTCGACATTTTTTTGCGACTGAATGGTTTTCGACGACGAAGGCTACCTTTCCGTCCGACGAGTCAGGAAGTATAAATCGACTGTTAAAATTGCTTCCTATTTCCGTGGAATCCTCGTCTGTATTTATCTCCTCTTGATGGAACCACTTTTCCAATTCTGTGAAGTGGCCAAAGCGCCCAATCATCAAAGAGCCACGGGATGAGATAGCACAACAGCCGTTTGATTTCAAGTCACTGGTTTTGAAGTCCGCAATTGCCTCTAAAGAAATGTTTCTTGGGAGGACAATTGGTTTTACGCATAATAGATCCCCAATTTCATAGCTCAGCCATGTTTTTTCGCAGTGTAAGACTGCACATGAAATCTGATCAATACGTTCACTTGCCTCATCATCGTCATCCTCTTCTAGCGACATGGACTTGTAGTCGATCTGCGATAGAGCGGAGATTTTGACGGGCTTGGGACCAATATATTTTGTTCTGGTATCGAATAACTGCCCATTGACTTTATCAACGCTTGATCGAATATAAACACCAGAATCCAGTCCAATATGCAATAGTAAAGCGTTGTTTGAGCTGGCCAGATTCAGACTGTATGGTGATGACAATAACACTTGTATGGATACTACTTCGAGGAAATTATCTTCATCACTCCCTCTGAGTTGTATGACCTTAACGGATGAATCGGCACAGCCTACTGCCAGAAAATCGCTTCTGAGACATTGCGGGAGGCTCAGGGCCGTTATTCGTTCAGGAAGCTCTATCCTACTCTGAGCTTCATTCAATGTTTCCAGCCCACTGGATGTATCAATCTCAAAATAAACTATCTCGTTGTTTGATAGTGCCAATGCTAACTGCGAAAGAGAGCAGGAAGCATGAAGGACTCGGATTCCCGCTGGTGGCAGCCATTCGTTCTTCAAATTCATAAGTCCCGTATTTAGATCATAATCAACTTGGAGCATGCAATTTTCACAAACCTGAACAATAGATCTTTTCCCCATCAAGCCTACAAATATAGTTGTATCGCCATCTGTCTTGAAGTGATTGTTACTCTCCGCAAGCTCTTCTAAGGTTCCCTCATCAATTTGAAGAATCATCGTAGCCTTAGGAAGTTTTAAGAACACAAGCCGATGCAATGAATCTAAAGCAAACCTAATTGACCAAATGCCAGCTGCATTCGGTGGCAGTGGGGAAGTAATAAGCTCCTCAAAATCGATGCCTGAGGTCAATTGTTGTAGGCCGTTTTTAGACTGAGCCAAAATAGTGAGGGGTGTTGTTTCTGAAACACTCACTGAAACGATCGGGTTGAGGTTCTTCGAATATTGGATTATTGATAGATTTTCGAGATTCGATGGGGAAGGAGGCAACTCAAGCACTTTACTATGTTCATTTGACGTTGCCACATTTGCATCATCCCCAAGACTCTCAAACTCGTACAGCTTATAACCGGAGTACTCCTGGAGGGCCATGAGTAACCCGTTTCTAAAGATGTGGAGTTTTGAACTCGGCTCAATATTATCAAAGAACGAAACGCTCAGCAGAGGTACGAGACTTTCAGCCTCGTTGGGAACAATCTTGACCTTGTAGAGATCTCCGTTGTGAGCTTGCAAAAGCATGAAAAACTCCTTTTTCAATTTGTGGACCGCCGCACTGATTATCGTAACGGATGTTGATCGGACTGGCAGCATCACTTGTAGCTTGAAAAGGCCGCGTGCATCCTGTAGAAGTAACCTGTCTGTGGTGGCCATGATAACGAAGGGATTGATCATGTCGTCAAAGTCATTTTTGTGAGAAGAGGGCCTTGTATTGATGCCGTATTTTTCCAAGTTAGGCACCGTAAAGATGAAGTTTGTATCCTGAGGAACAGCATACTGTTGTTGCTGTATAATATGATTCAAGCCCACGTCGAGCATGTAGAAGGCCAAGTGTCTAGATTGGTCGGCGCAGTCTATCTCCAAACACGCATAGACGGGATTATCGAAAGCCACGTCACAAACGGCCGTGGCAATGGTTATGCAGTTAGGCTTCCTGAACTCCAAGGGAGAAGAGACATTCAGCGTATTGTTCTTGAAATCTGTTTGGTAACAGAGTCTATTACGCTCTGTTGCTGAAAGAAAAAGACACCGGCCCTGTGGATCGACCTGTAGATACCGCTGTGGAGCAACTCTTCGCAGTCCGCTCCGGGAAAAAGGCTCGTTGAACAACGAGTGCAATCGGATGGTGCCCATGTCGTTGACGAACTGCAGTAGAGACAAGTTTCCAGCATCGGTGACCAACACCAAGTACGAATAGTTCGTTTCCACGGGCAAGCTCTGCATTGCTGTGATCGTAGCAAAGATGGGAACGGACGTCAGGCGCTGGAATTCACCCTCCTCGACGTTGAAAAGCTCCACATGTGTTTCTGTAGCGATGCAAACCTGGTAATCTTTCCTACTCTTGCGTTTAGCTGGAGCACTATTCAGAGGGTCGACGAAATGACCAACGCACGAATGCACATAGTTGGACTGCCGTTGAAGAGTCAGATGGTACAGCTCCAAGCCCGACGAGTTGACGGTCATGGCTCGTCTGGTTTTGAAAGGCAGCTGTTATAAAGTGATGGTGTTGAATATTATACTCGTGCCATTTCACGAGTACACCATCGAGACCGAGGAACCAAACAGGACGGGGAACCTACCAAGTGCAGCTGGACTGGTTAACCTTGCCGCATATCTCTATGGGTTAATGTGTGTGTGTGTGCGTATGTGCGGGTGTTTACAGTGTCTTACGCCAGTCGTACACCCCATCGAGACGCAACACAGCGAGATAGCGTTTTGCCCTACAACCATCATTTGCACCAGACGGTATACATCTACAGCAAGAAGCCGGTTCCGCTTCATTTCTTAAGGCTTGCAACGGGACTGACGTCCCATAATGGCCAACTGCTTGTGCTACTAGTGAGTCAAAAGCAACCTACACGTCTTATAAAATAACTAAAAGCACTCACTCAAGAGCCACTCGCTTCCATAAGCACCAGCTCTCTACGAGTGCCAGCAAACTTAGTGTAGCTTCCAAGTGCTCAGGACATGGAAAACCTAGTTTGAAGAAAAACAAGCCGGGATCGCTCGGCCAAGGCCCTTGATAGATAAAAGCTTCCAATGGTGGAAGCCGCCATCGCTCACCACAGCGGTGAGCAATCGGACGGGCCAGTTGAACCTCAGTGACAGTACTCTTGGCGTGCTGGGCATCTTGAGCGCGAGTACTCTGGGAGGATCCCCCGCTGATTTTTCAAAGGAAAATATATACATATATAAATTGAATATATTATCCTATACATTGTAGTACCCAAGTGGCGAACTACAACTTTCCAAGAAGACCGCAGCCACAATAGCTATAGTCCCGGCCACGATGGAAATTTGCGTTCGTTTGAATGAGGATTGCGAGAATGACTACACTTTCCAAGTGAACAAAGATGACACGTTTGAACCGAAATTGATGAAGATGTTTGACGAAAAGGTAGGGCTCGCCAGTTTCATGGTGTTGAGACCATCGTTGTTCTACAAGAAAATGCCAAAAGGATTGCAGAAATCGATGCACCCGGGCTACTTGACAGAGAACGGGTGTTTGCTGTTCCACTACGACTGCGACAACAAGGAATACCGCGAAGCGCTGGATTTGAAAAATAAGAAGATATGGGAGCAGATGTGGCCTGGCCAGCTGGTGTTACCGCAGTGGGAGCTGTCGCACACAAACATCCTGGTCTTCGTGGGGATCATGCTGGCGTGGCTGTACACGGATTTGCCGGACCTGGTCTCGCCCACGCCCGGTATCTGTTTCACGAACCAGATCTCCAGAGGATTGATTGTGGTGGCGCGCCACTACGGCTACAACGCTATTGCCGAGAAACTCTCGGAAGAAGTACAGGTCAACTCGGCCGGCACGGCTGCGCAGTGGCTGTTTTTCGCTCTGCACGTTTTCAAAGTGCTATTTGTGGCGCTGGTGTTCTACACTGGGCTGGTCAACCCGCTGACCTTCAACCCCGTCAGAATCTACCAGACACGCAGTGCGGTTGCCACCAAGGACACTGCGTCTTTGAAGGCTATTTTGCAGTCGATCGGCTGGGTCGGGGCCAAGAGGGCCACTTACGATGACTACCGAGACACCTACTACAACTACCGTCTCGAAAAGGCCGGTGGACTGGTGCCCGCGTACAAGAGCGGGGTGATGAAGGCTGCAGCCACGCCCGGAGTGATCCTGGAGAAGGGCGAAGGCTTCCAAACACCGCTGGACAAAAGATTCACCGAGTCGACTTTCAAGACCATGGAAAAGTCCCGCAAGCTGGTGCTGAGCGAGGAGTACCTGATCCAACTGGAAAAAGACCTACAGGCGCAGGTCAAGGCCTGCGAGGGCGACGTGCCCAAGATCAACCAGGAGATCCGCAAGTTCAGACGGTTCGGGCTGTTTGAGTGCGGGCCGGAGCTGGCCCGCCTGGTGCAGCTGCGCCAGGAGGTTGCCGCCGCGGAGCTGCAGAAGTCCCAGGACGACGAGGACGAGAAGAAGAACCAGTAAGCCCCAGCGTGCTGCGCACGTGACCCGGCTGATCGCGCGCTCGATATATACATGTATACTCATACACATACATATACGCGCACCACCACCGTGTACCACCACCGTGTTTTGTCCGCCAAAAATCACAATATTGTATTTGTCGTTAGCTAGTCGTTATACGTGTCAATGCTACATTATTACTTATTATCAACTTTTGAGTCGCATGCCCTCGGCTTAGTACTTGAGAATGATATACACCGCATGCACAATACCAGGGATGTAGCCCAGACACGTCAATATGATGTTCACCAGCAAGTCACACGTGCATCCACGTTCCAAAAACACACCCAAAGGTGGGATGATCACGGCACCTACAAGTTTGACGAAATCGGTCAGAGTCAAAGCCATGCTGAAGGGAGTTTATATTCTTGTGTTTGCTGAGAAGCGTTAGTTGATCGAGATCCCTACTTGGTGGAGAGTCTCAGAGGTCCTAGTTAGTCTGGGAAGTCTTGTTGCAGAAAAACAAAATTAGAACAAGTAGCTCTCTCCTCCCACATCAAACGCTCTCTCCGCTGTATTTATACCTTTTTCCCCACGGGCACGCCTGCTAATACTAACGCTACATTCTTGCGCGAGTCAGCAATCTTAGACAGTTTCACCGTCCTTCCCGCTTTAGCCTTTGCGCGTCTGTGTTCATTGCTCTCGTTGTGTCGTTGTATTGCTGTAACACAATGTGTCAAACACCGTGCATGCGTAGCCAAATCTAATGATGAAACCCCATACGAAAAGGGACTCAGCTACAAGCAAGGAGTCGGGGCAATTCCAGATTGTTACGAAAGCAAAGCCTCGAGTCGCAGGGCCCGTAAATCGGCGTGGGACTATGGAGATAGGCGCAGCGACACCGCAACGCTTCTAAATTAGTATAGAAAAACAAATTGCAAGCGACAACGATGACGATAGTGATGATGGCTTGACATGTAGGCTGCTAGCACTGGGCCGCTACAGCAGCAAGATTGGGCCAAGTGATAGTAGAGCGTTGTAGAGTGTAGTTAGTTTGGTCTTGTCTTGGGAATAGCCAAGGTGTGTTATGCACGATATTACTGTTATTTTGGGCGTGGGCATGTGATAAAAAATAAAATCCAACCTGTACGGGACTCGAACCCGCAGTCTTCCCCTTAGGAGGGGGATGCCTTACCATTTGGCCAACAGGTTAGGACGTAGCGACCACTGAGCCACGCGGGGTCCAGTGGTAGTTGTCAGGGTTGGCGAGAGAATGTCGCCAAGTAGCCCTCCTCGGGAGGGCTACTTGGCCTGTTGGTAACACCTCGCTATTTATGTTATGCTAGATATCATCGACAAGCACCGCTGCCATGCTGCAGGCTATGTGGCTTTCAAATTGAGGTTTTCACGCAGACGAACTGTCACAGAAAAAACGGTTTCCATCGTCGAGCTCGACAACTGGGGTCATGGCCATACGCCGGGTCGTAGAGCCCAGTGTTTTACAGCCATCCACTTCACCTCCGCTGATTATTTTTGTAAACTATTTACCCATTATAACTTGTTTCCGAGCCCTAGTTGATGAGGCGAAAGAGGCCATGAATTATGCCGTGCGCCGCCTCTGCGCCTTAATGTTTGTTTAGATAGTACTCGTAGTTCTCATTCTGTATGCGCTCCCTCCTGGTCCACAGACTAGAAGCTCTCTGAGGAAGTTCCTGATCCGCACCGCTAAAATAAGCTTGCTCTGGCGTGTTGACATGAAGGTTCTTCAGGCCTCGTCCGGGAGCATCATTGCTGCTGTCTCCGAGATTGTTAATCGGCGATAGTGCTTGCACAGGCTCATTCGACTCAGTTTTCGTCAACAGATCTGTACTTCTTGCAGCATGTTCATACCCGGAGTCCTGTAAAGATGCGAGGTCTCCCGTCGCTACCTGAGGCTTTTTGGACATTTCTATCAGCCTGTGACAATCTTCGGGCCCGCGATCATCGTCATTGAAGCCAAGTTCCAGATCATGTTTCCCGACCACCGTCGACAAGTCAGTGCTGGAACTGTCCTGCTTCCCGATGTTCGCCAGCAGGTTGGCGCTAGAACCGTCCTGGTTTCCCACTCTCGTTAATAAATCCGTACTGGAACTGTTTAGCACGAACTTGTCTTCTGGTCCCAAACCTTGGACCCCGCGCTTCTTGCTGCGGTACTTTTCGACCAAAAAGTTGACATGCTGACTGACTGTGACGCAGACAAACTCTTTGAGTCCCTTTCTCCCTTCGTTGAACAGTCGATAATACACGTAGATCGAAGAGAGACATGCCAGGGCGAATTTCGATATGAAAAAGGCCCAAATAACAAACGAAAACAGCATGAATGAAAGCAACACTGCCTCTTCACGATTAGTCTGCGCGATCGTCTTGATTTTGGCTAGTAGTCCATTGATATTTTCCAACTTTCCAAGATTGTCGTGGTTCGTACTCACCAAAACGGACCACAGCGTAAGCCCATTAATCACTTGCCTGGGCGTGTCGGTTAGCAGTAGCCTCAAACAGTCCTTGAGCTCGAAAAAAGTGAAAAACGCCAGCTTTTGGAATGCGCCCTCGGGAGAAATCCGGTTGTACACGCAAAACTTGTTGTACTGGCTGACCGAGTAAACGGTGCGAGAGAAGTTGTTCACATACGTCAGTGAAATGTTCCTGGTTCGGTATATGTGGATTCCACTAACTACTTCCCACAGCATGAGGCTCACTGAGGCCAAAATACATCCACTGAAAAGCCACTTGCTGATGCGGAACGGGATGTACGGCTGAATGATGTTGTTGGACCACGTATTGAACGCAAGCAGTTTGACACAGGTGTACACATCGGAAACGAAGAGAGCAATCTTCAATCCCGTCAGGAATAAGATGAAGAATGCATAGTCAAAAATAGTCATCGGCTTGAAATTCCGGAACAGCGAACAATCTAACGAATCGAACGTTTTGGAATTGAAAGACAGTTTCCAATCATTGTTGAACATTATCGAACACAAGCCTAGCGAGGCAGCTCACTTCGGTTTGGTGTATCGTAGATTTTTGTATGGTTGATCTTGTCGCGATTATTTGTATACCCATATATGCTTCAAAGACCAAAATAGATCTTATTATAAAAACTTCACCAAAACCGGGTAGTGTGATTACTTCTCCTGTTTTCGATCCCGCATATCTAAATGTGGTTCACCATTGTTTGATTAGCCCATGGGACGCCTCATTCGCGTCTCGAACATGAAACCAGCGGAAACCTGTGCCAAAAACGCGAACCGGGGAGCGAAAAAAATTGTACGTCGTGGTAGAACACCAGCAGAATGCTAGCCCGCGACCGTTGGTATGCATGTTGTGAGTTGCCATTATGAAACTTACAAATTTGCCTGTATCACCCATCAAAACTGATGGGGCTATAACCAAGTGCGTGGCCGGGTGCTGAAGCGCATCAGAGAGGAGAAGCACACAATGAACTGCACTTCAAGCTTAATCCTGGAAAAAGTAGTGAAGTCTTGAAACAAAATGACACTCTCGCTCACGGCTAAGATTGGTTCATATTTTTAATATAGACAATGCCGAAAAACTGGGCCCGAAAAGTTCGGTACTGGCACAGTGAAAAGACGGTAGCAGTACGAGTAGCTACGAGTAGCTCCCCCGAGTGCTTTGGAGTGAAATTTGCGCTATTCAGTGATTCAGGAAACTTGTGACATTATCTATATAAACCATTGTATTTTAAGGATTCTTTTTTAAAACCTCCTGTCCACGTTGTAGAAACGTAGCCTTCCATTACCACACCGACACAATTCAACAGGGTATCTGTGCATGCTTCGAATTTTTTTTATTTACGACTAGTATTACATTGCCTCATCGCCTTCCGAGTCACCGACATCAATTACGCGCAGAGCTGATCACCATGTTCCGAATTTCATACATGTAGCTATTGTTTTTAGAGTCGGGCAGACCTTGGCCATCTTCGAACTTTTCCATTTCCGTGTCTCGCGGTATAAACCATCCGCCAACCTTTCTGCTCCATCTGTTTTCCTCGTGATAAAACCTCTCCAACGTCTTGGAATCAATGTTGAAAGTGGGATCGTGACTATTTGAGGTCGCACCCAGAGAGTGGAAGCGCGTTGTTGCAGACGACGAAAATCTCCCGCCCAGCTCATTGCGAATTGGACCAAATTGACTTTGAGATCTCTTGGATGCCAGTCCCTTTCGTGTGAAAGCGGTAGGAGCACTTGCAGCGGGAATGTAGTCTGGAATCTCAGCAAACGGATCTTTTTCACTGCCATCAATTCTGACCCAGCGTAGATTTTCCTGGTCGAACATCATCCTTCCAACTACTTTCCCACGGGGCCTCGAGCCCAATGCCGTGCTCGACTTGCGATCACGCAATACTTGCAGGTCCGGCTTGCCCTGTATTACAATGGCTTTCTTGTCAAAGGAGTCCACGTCACGAAATTTCGAAAGCGCTTGTTCATTACCCTCCCAGGTCAGCGTCTCCGGGTTGTACACCATACGACCCTTTTTCATAGGCGTGTTGTGATCTATTTCCTGTTTGATCGTCTTCAATCTGTGGCTCGCGGACAGCTTGCTGCCATCGGTATACTTACTTCCCCGTTTTTCACGTCGCAGAGGTTCCCTGAACATATTAAGCTGGCTCGGCTTTATCCACTCGCGGTGTCGCTTATGAAGCTGAGGGGTAAGTAAGGAGTCATCAGCAGTTATAGTGTACTGGTTGGGTGACAGATTCAATGGCGATTTTAAATTGTCTTCCGACAAAAATTGCGGCTGTAGAAGGTTCCTATCAATTTTCAAGTCTTCTTCAAATTCATCTTTGTAATTGTCTTGTTCGTCCTCTTCGCGGATTATGTCGTACTTGGACAGCACTGGCATGGATTTTTTATATCGAACAGTTTTAGGACCTAGGCGATGACCTGCTCTCAAGTTTGACGCAGACCTGCTGTTAGTCAATTCATGAGCTTGTTTGCCCCGAAAACTTGGTTTTTTTGCGTCTCGCAAGTTTAGCATCGATTGTGGCTGCTTTACTGAGCGGCCCGACGAAAGTTTGTTTCCTGTTATCCCGCTCAGGTTTCGCGAACTAACGCTAGTATTCTTGACGAAGTTTTCCGTCAAAGCGTCCATCTCATCGTCCACCTCATTGAGGTTTTCTTCCAACAGCCGGCCACGACCTGTTGCCAAAGGAGTTTGAGTGAAGTGTTTTTTTAGTACTTCCTCGCTTGGAGATTTGCCTCGGAACTCTTCGAACTCGTCCAAAAACCCTTCTCCATCGTCGTCACTTTCCGTATGTGTTGAATATCTTTTCTTGTTATTTGAGAATGTGGTACTTTCGGAGCTTGTGCTCGATGGCGGCCCGCCGGTCTCTTTTAATGGCGACGACTGCCGACTTCGCACAGATTTGGCCCAGTTCACGGGACTTGTAGTTGTGTCGACATCCTCAAAAGATGTTTCTGTGAAGTCTTCCAGGTTCACAGGGCGTATCGACATCAAGCACAACCAGCCTGGACCTTTCTGGGTTGTCTTTGGCTTGCGAATATGGTTGCCCAGTCACAACATTTGTCTCGATCAATATGGCAACTGTATAACTAACTCGATCATATAGGACGACAGGGCCAGTGGTCGACCGAAATCCAGTTAAAACCACTTACCACAAGTGCTTGGGGGTGTTGAAAATGTTCGTACCTGCTCATTATGGATTTCATTCGAATCCGATGGCCCATTTTTCGGTATGCGAATTTACGACTATCAATATAGGGCAAGTGTATAAATAGAGTGTCTGACATATAGAAGATATAGTTAAAGGTACTGGTGCCTCACGCAGAATCTAGAAGGCTCAGGCTCAAGAATACCCACAATAGAGGGCTCATAATACCTGCCTAGTATTTTCTGGGCTTTCGGGGCGAAAAAAACTAGCGAAACATAGGTATATAAAGGACAGTGAAACATTTACATGATAACCCTGGAACCCAAGAACTAGGTCAAATTAATTGGGTCCAGTATCAATTTGAATATATATGGGGTGGGGCTGCTGGAAAACCTCTGTGCTCCTTCTCACTAACTGCTACTAATTTTGACCTTTTTTATTAGTTAGCTGTCGCTATGAAAAGATACATCTACTGGATTATTACCTTCTTTATTTCTACCACGTCAGCTGGGTTTAAAGAGTTACCTAGTTCTAGTGGTATTTTCCCTTCGCAAGCTTTTGATGCTTTAAACTGGCAGAGCGAGTATCTATCTCAAGAGGCATCAACTATGATCGTCCCGGACACCACCTACTGGGAGAACAGTCTTGGTGCAATAATAAGTGGAGCTGAAAAATACTTTCTTTATTTGTATAATCAGGATCCAAATATTGACATTGCAAAGGACGTTTTCCAGCATTGCGGACATTTGGAGTCATTGAGCAATCAAATGACACATGGTTTAGATGGAGCCGAATGGGAGCCTGTGAGACAGCAAGTTAAGCAGCTGTTTGAAAAGTTGTCGCAAAAAGTCCGCCTTGATTTTAAGCAGCTGGCAGCCGAGGATCCCAAGTTCCAAGCCAGGAAGCTTGTCAAAAGATTATCTCAACTGACCAAAACAGTAGAGGAAATACGTAATCTCATTGACGCTAAGTTTGAGCCTCTTGAGGAAAACTTCCTGCCGGAGCTATCAAAAATCGGGCATCACATAGATGACATTACGATCGGAAGATTGATTGGAGAAGGAATAGCTAAAAAGATCGAACAAACGGTGGTCGGCGGTGATATTTACGCGGCAGTCGGTCAAGTTGCTGATATATTCGCAGACTTTGGTACGCTCTTAACTGCATATGCTACTGGAATAGCAATATGTGCATCTGGAGCGGCTGTACTTCTCTGTGGAGTATCTGTCTTAGCCTGCGTAGGAGGCACAGTAGTATATGTTTTTCGTGTCGTCGAGCGATTGCAAAAAGTATATGAGGCATTTTGATTTTAGACGCCTGGAGCTTAGGGAGTATAAGTACGAATTAGTGTAAGGTTGAAGTAACACGGAAGCTATTATAAATACCCAATAGACACCTCTTCTCTGTACACTCAGTGGTTTGGCGAAACTAACGGTGTCATGCCACGCTTTGAGCTTATCACTTTGTTTTAATGAGTCGCGATGTGTTGAAAGAGACTAAAAATTTTCAGATCTCAATGCTGCAATAGGTAGCTCATCTCATCGCATAAGTGAGCTGCTACAAAATCGTATAGTAATAGAAAGAGTGCTTCGAAGTCATGGGGAGAGTCGCCAGTAGTAAGGCTAGAAAACAGAGACATGATCCGTTGTTAAAAGATCTACACTCGGCCGAAGGAAACCTGAGAAAATCGTCTAAGAAATACGACGATGAGGGTGCGGACAATGGAGACCAGGACGAAGAGTACGTGGATGCAGCAGCTTCCAGACGCATTTTGAAGCTAGCCAAAGAACAACAAAAGGAAATCGAGGATGAGCGTGACATTCAAAAGGCTGAGCAAAGCGATCCCTTTGCCAGATTTCGCAACAGCAGACCGGACTTTGAGGATGAGGACGATGAAGAGGGATTGGCAGAAAACATTTCCGACTTTGAGCCATACGAAGAGGATAACGAAGAAGAAGAAGAAGAAGAAGAGGTGGTGGAAATTGACGAGGAGGATGCTGCTATGTTCGAGCAATACTTCAAAAAATCGAGCGATTATAATGCTGATTTTCAAAGCTACAACCTTGCGGACAAGATCATGGCTTCGATTCGCGAAAAGGAAATGGAACTAGACGCCGGGAAAAATGCAGTCAATGACACAGGGGCTGGAGCCGCGGAACAAGGAGTAGCCCTCCCTCCAAAAGTTATCAAGGCCTACACCACTATCGGATCCATCTTGAAAACATGGACCCATGGGAAACTTCCTAAGCTTTTCAAGGTTATCCCATCTCTTAACAATTGGGAAGATGTTCTTTACGTTACCAATCCTCCAGAATGGTCCCCACAGTTGGTATATGAGGCCACAAAACTATTCGTCTCTAACTTGACTGCGAAAGAGGCTCAAAAATTCATTAACATTGTGCTTTTAGAACGTTTTCGGGACAACATCGAAACTAATGAGGATCATACTCTAAACTACCACATCTACAGGGCTTTGAAGAAGTCTTTGTACAAGCCTAGTGCTTTTTTCAAAGGGTTTCTCTTCCCCTTGGTTGAAACGGGTTGCAATATTCGCGAAGCTACCATCGCGGGGAGTGTCCTCGCTAAAATCTCCATTCCGGCTCTGCATTCCTCCGCTGCACTAAGTTACTTATTAAGGCTGCCTTTTTCTCCGGCCACCACCGTATTCATCAAAATTCTGTTAGAGAAGAAGTACGCTCTACCATATCAAACTGTTGATGAGAGTGTTTATTACTTCATGAGATTCAGACTTTTGGAGGACATGAGCAATGGCGATGATGGTGACAGAATACTACCAGTTGTTTGGCACAAAGCATTTCTAGCGTTCGCCCAGAGATACAAGAACGACATCACTCAAGATCAAAGAGACTTTTTGCTTGAGACAGTGCGTCAAAGAGGCCACAAAGACATTGGTCCTGAGATCAGACGTGAACTTCTTGCCGGTACAAGCAGGGAGTTCGAAAATAATCTGGAAAGCAAAGATGATCTGATGCTTGATGTCCAGTAATCGTCATTTAGCGGCATTTATACACTGTATATTATAAGGATTTTGGATATGGGTCGCCCCTCCTTGTACTAAGCTTTGATTCTGCTGATATAACTCCCAATAATGATTAAATAAGAGGGCGCGTTATCACAGAGTCTGTGGCTTTACGCCTGCTAGCTTGCGAATCCTAAGTGTTCCAGTTCAGATACAAAATAGAAGAGATTCTATCAGCATTTTCAAGCCTGGGCCCTTGCGTCCACTTGCGTATTAACTAGAGATGTCAGTTCAATACAGTAGTAGATAGCAAAGAACGAACAACATTCAGTACCCGCGTACAATTTCTTCCTCTACATCACTGTAGATGATATCAGAAGCATTGACGGAGAACAGACCATGATAGTGCCCACCACTTACACACAATGAGAAGCAATATGCACACAAAGAAGCATACATATCTCTTTTGATTTTTTTGTTAGTTGTCGACAAAATGGAGCTTCCCTTAAGCTAAAGGACTCTACGATGTTGCCAAGAGCGACTCCTTTACCGACCAAAAGGCAAACTTAGTTTAACGGAATCAGGAGCACCCACGTCGGCGAAGGCTGCAGTGCAAACTAATTTGTATCTACCCTCAGATACGCTTATTGCAGTTGAGAGACGGGTTAACTCCAGGTTTAATGTGTCCGTGGAAAATGTGTACGGCAATGTAGCGACCAAAGAGTAGCGTGCCTTGATATTTCTTACCTCTCTTTACATCTTGGGAAAGATCTTAATGATCAAGTAGGTGGTGGCGAGACTTAGAAAGATGAATAAGATGCACCCAAGATAAAACAGCAGACCAACTTTTGAGTTGTGGTATTTTTTCAACTTTCCACCCAAGTTCGTCAAACTTCGCGAAGTCGCCTGGAGACCCAGCTCAGTGGCCTTCAGCACGGTAGAGTCCTCTTCCAGAGCAGCCTGGAAAGCTTCTGCGCCAACTTTCAACCCAGATATCAGTTGTGACATATCGTCAATTAGTTCTGTCTGTATGTTATCATGTACTTGCATCTGGTTTTCCATAGTATGTTCCGATGTGCCTAAAGACGTCGATGACCTCTCGTTTTTCTTGCCCAACAACCTTAGTCTCAATTCCCCGAGACTTTCGTCCTGATCTTCTATACCTCCAGCGGCCGAAAGGTTTTCAACCGAGTCTTCCAGCGACTCTGGACTCGTGTTTGCATCAAAGTCAACGCTTAAGCGCTTGGATCTCAAATCGCGCACATGATGTTCATACTGTTCCTTCAACTTATTGGTTGAGACGCTCTGAACCATTAAAGCAGTGCACTCTAGCTCGCTAAAATGCTTTCTAAAGCGGCCTAGCTGCTCTTCGTTTCCATTAGGACCTCGCTGCGTCCCCAATTCTCCCTGTACGACCGAATTGCGTAGCGTATCGATGTTCGCCAAAACCTTTGTGCTAAGTATCTCTCCCAAAACTGGGTCCTCATCAGCAATCAGCTGCTCTGAGGTGAGAGGCTCCAGAGCTTCCTTTATATACTCAAACGAACCATAACACTGACTCATTGCCGCATTCGAAGTCCGAGAACGGTTGAACCTTGATCCATACCGAATTGCACAATTTGGCCTTAGAGGGAATCAATTAGGCCACCGCGTACACAGTGACGACTGTTTGAGAAGGTGCCATCTAAATCAAGTCCTCAGGTAGCTGTCGCCATGAAGCTAAGAGATCCAAAGCCCGCCTCCAGAGCAGACTTCTCTTGTTTTCCTGATATGAGCAAAAATTGAACACCCGGTTTTTGGTTGCCGCACATGGAATACAAGCGGGATAGTGGACTGTTAAATATAATAACGATACACTGTTAAGTGAAATTCGAAAAAAGTTCGATGAAAGCTGTGAGAGGAACGAAAAGGTCATTCGAATAGTACATGAATGATTAACTCGTTGATATACATATATGTCTTGGTACTTGTTGTTGAGCCTAAATTTGGAGCCACCGTCGGAGCGTCGGTGATCAGTTGGAAGAGATAGCAAATCAACTTAATTTACCAAAAACAAAAAGAAAGCACTGGAGTGCTTCCATAAACCTGATAGCAACTTGGCCACATCACCTGTAATCATGCTGTTCATTCTACACCAAGCGAAAGTAAGTGTGTCATTTTGTACTAAGATGTCAAAAGGCCATTTCCTTGTCCGACCCACCATACTCGTAGATATTAGACGCGAGAGCGTAACAGCGTCCATCTTCAGAATGACCAATGACTACAGATCAAACCGCCAGTGAAAGGCTTTCTACTTTAGTTCGTAAAAACGTACATAGCCACGCGGACCGAACATGCTCTTTGGAGGCTAGATTTTGGTAGCTTGAGCAACAAGTCGGCTGAGAGTATTGGATGATTACCTTACCTGCTCAGCACGTAGTCTTTATTTTCCTTTTGTTGGCACTTTCTCTTTATTCTATTTCCTGTTCGCTTTTTAAAGAGTAATTTCGGTAACAATATAAACCAGGCCCTGTTCGATTATCTAGGCTTCATCACTTCACGAACAGCCGTTTTAATCAGTTCCTAGCCACATCAATGACCGATATATCGCGATACACTAAGCTGTTGCTAGAACACCCTCCTAAATTGACCCCCACAGACTTGCACTCGGCGATTCTTATCATTATCGAATCGTTGGCTAGCTCAAACAACGCTCTCGAGATCTACGTACCAATTGCAAGTTTTCTAAGCTGTCTTAGAACTTCCGGACTCGATTTAAAGGCCGAGTATATAGCCGAAGCTGCTAAAGCCGTTCTGAAGTATTCGACAGTCGTCGAACTAAATGCCACTCCCAATTTAGAAGACACCACAACGATCGACATCGTTGGCACTGGAGGCGATGGACAGAACACTTTCAATGTATCCACGTCCTCTGCTATCGTGGCAGCTGGGATTCCTGGCATAAAAGTCTGCAAACACGGTGGCAAAGCCTCCACATCCAACAGTGGTGCTGGTGATTTGATCAATGTCCTCGGATGTGACACCTCAAAAATCAATAGCCGCACCGTGCCGCATTTGTGGGACAATAATTCGTTCATCTTCATGCTAGCGCCCTCTTTTCACGGCGGTATGAAGCATGTGGCGTTGTTACGCAGCCTTTTGAAGATACCTTCCATATTCAATGTGCTAGGACCATTGCTACACCCTGTTGGATCGATACAGAAGCGGGTGTTGGGTGTCTATTCCAAGAAGTTGGGCCAAGAATACGCCCGTGCGGCTTCCATTATTTACCCCCAAAGTGAGACATATGTAGTCTGGGGTCACGTCGGTCTTGATGAAGTATCACCCATAGGTAAGACTACTGTGTGGCATACCGATCCACTCAATAGCTCTCAGATCACTTCTTTCGAAGTAGAGCCATCCATGTTTGGCCTGGAGGAGCACAGCCTACACGAATGTGTCTCCATGGGACCCGAAGAAAACGCCAAATCTTTGAGAACTATACTGGAAGGTCATTATCGTAGAGGCGAAAATGGCGTTTACGACTACATTCTACTGAACACAGCAATGCTCTATTGTTTAACCATGAGTAATCAAGACTGGAAAAGAGGGGTTGAAGTCGCAGAGGAGTCTATACACTCCGGGCAAGCGCTTAAAGCACTAGACCATTTTTTGGCGGACACAAAGGCTCTATAGATCACAAGCTTGGTGTTTCTCTCCTCAGCCTTCACAGGTTTTGACCTTTCGTCGAGTGCCACAGCCAAACCTTTTATGAGCTGTTTTTATAGATTTATAAACAACTGTAAATGATCTGCCATGATTGGCGCTAAATGCCAGAGTTATGTTGGCAGTTGACCCTGCATTGCTTGTCTCACGTAAGTCACGGCTAACACGAAGTTAATTTACTTATTGGATTTTCGCGCGTCGTACAAACAACTTCGGTATTCTCATCTCAGTCGAAAGAGCAGATCAGATCAGCAACAGGCACTTAGCTGGTTTATAATGGCGAGCCCCCCGGGGACCCCTGATGCGAGACGTGATGGGTTGAACTACGAATTTACTCCTATAGGCTATACTGAAGGAAAAGCGAGTTCAAGGTCAACTCCCAATACGGCTTCCAAGAAAAGGCCACCACACGATGAGTCGATATTGAGCCAGGAAGATGGCCACGGTTCGGGGCCCAAAAGGGCTCGAAAACTTGATGACACGTTAAATTCCACTAGAATCTTTAATGATTCTTCTTTTGAAGATACATTACCGTCCCAGATTGGTATACCCAACCTTCCAAATACTGATGGAAAAACAGTCCTTGACAGCGTGGAAAGAGATGGCGAAAGTGGAGGAGCTTCCAACCCATTAAAAGAACAACAAGATTCGCTTTACAAGTTGAATCTGGAAAACTACAACCTTCGAGTTAAGTGTAATAGTTTGCTGAAGTTCTTGAACAACGTAACAGACGAAGGCGAGTTGAAAAAGAATCTTGACATCATCAGCGAGCTGCAGGAATGGAAGACCAAATATCAAAAACTTGCTTCTTCTTACCGTGACCTTCAGCTCAAATTCGACCAAATCGATCGAAACGATCCGGACAGACACCAGAAAGAAACTGCATTGCATAACGAAAAGTTAAGGGATCTTGAAACAAAACTGAAGGAGTACAGACATAGTGCCAATAAATCAAGGGATGTGATCGCTCAACTGGAAAAAAATCTCACTACTTCCACCCAGCAATCAAGAACCCTCAATGAGCACTTGGAAACACAAACACAATCTCAGCGCCAAGCCATTGAGACACTAAAGAGTAAAATCTCACAGAATTACAGGCTTATCGAGGAACGCGAAGCTAGCATAGAAGAACTAAATTCAAAACTTGGTGGAGAAGTCAAAGCTCGTGAAAGTTTAGAAACTCAGACTAAGGTATATGCACAAAGAATTGAAGAATTAGAGAAGCAATTACACGAATACGAGATCAAAATCCAGGATATACAGCAATCGTTGGAGAAAGCTCGAAAAGATCTTGGAGCTGCGTCAGGAAGAAGAAGCTCAAGAGAGGAGATTCACACCCCCGAAAAGGTTCGAGTACAAACGGAGATAGATCAAACGTTGGCCAAGAATCGTGAGTTGAGAGCTCAAATGGCAAAGTTAAAAGCGAATTCCAATGTTTTTGAAAGCGACATCAATTCTCGAGACATGAAGATAAAGGCGCTTGAAAGCGAAATTCGGAACCTACATGAACAGTTTTCTAGCCAAGGAATGGTCATCGAAGAGGGCAAAGCTCGCTACGAAAGGCTAAAGTCGCTGTCCGCGGAATTGCAAAAGGCATTATTGGAGAAGGACGAGATCAAGAGAGATAATGACAGGTTACGGCAGCAAATAGTTTCCCAAGCCACGCGATCCCCTGGCCTTAAGGAAAATGCTCGAAAGGCACAAGAAAGTAAGATCCAAGCGGAAAAACTCAAGATCAAGATTAAAAATTTGGAACGAGATCTTGATTCGGCCAATAAGGAAGCCGAAATCCTGCGCCACGAGCACAAGGTGGAGATGGAGAACATCAGAACTCAACTCGGAAACTCTGACATGGAGCCCTTGCTAGCCAAGCATAAGCTTGAGAAAGAAGTTAGTATTTTAAAGTTGGAACTGGAATCGCTGCGAGAAACCAAGGATCGAGAAATTTCGCTGTTAGAAAACAGATATGAGCTTTTGAAACAAGAAAATAAACAGTTGAACCAACAGAGGGAAGCACACACCGGTCAGAGCCAAAAAAAACTATCTGAAAGGCAGGCCGAGATTGACGAGTTGGCACAGCGGTGTAGTGATCTGACGATGGAAAAGGTAAAGCTTAACAAGGAACTGGGCCAAAGCCAAGAATCGCAAGCAGAAATGAAAAAGGAACTCGCAAGAGTTACCGCTAGGCTAGAATATGTCACCAAGGAATTCATTAAATATCGAGAGTTGTATGGATCCAAAGCTCCCGATAGTGAGACCAGTAGATTCAACGAAAAATGGGCCGAAAAATTTCGCAGCATGAAGCAAAAACTGCTTCATGAGCTAAAATCCTTACAGGAGGAGAATTTGGCATTAGAAAAAAGGCTTCTAGAAAACCAGCAGCGGCCTCCAAGATCTGCAAGCCCTGATTTGCGTAAACTATCCTTGCAGGATCAAGTGGACTATTACAAACTACGCTACCACCGTGAAGTGGAGCACAATAACGACTTGAAGGTTATGAATGAGTATCTAAACCGCGTGTTGAGAGCCAGCTCACGTCACGTGCGTCTCGATATTATGAAGTTGGAAAACGAGGCACTCACAGATCTGTGGCCTGAATATCCCTATCGCGGCCATCTGCGATTCAAAACCGTTGCGTTGATGGTTCTTGCAATGGTGAGGGTCCAGAGAGCTAGTACGAAAAAGCGCTGGGACGCCCAACGTATCACTTACTTGCGTCAAAAAATTGCCCTTGACCAGGACCGAGTGACTTGGTGAAAAGGTATCAACCAGCATCATTCTGTCATTTCTTGCTCGCTACGTGACCTTGGATCACTTTTTCTAACCTGGGCCGGAAAGAATCGACAATGACATCTATTTGATCGAGCATATCAAAATGAGTTTCTAACTCCTCACATTTTTTAAGCAATTCTTGGAGGTTTTGCAAGTTAGAATCAATGACCTGCTCAATTATCCCCTTTTCCACCAAATTGTTCTGTTGTTCGCAGATTTCGATGGTTTTCAATTGAATCGAAGACACGACGTCGTGGATCTTGAACAAAAGATAGTCATAGTCAACGCTCAGTCGGTCAATACCAAAAGGGTCCACTGATTGTCCCACAGATTCAGATTGATTGCGCGGAGCCATCATGCAATGATCAAGTGCAAAAACTCACCCTTTCATTTGACGTTTGTCCATATGGTTTTTAAGTAAAATGCGGCAATGTTTTTCAAAATGATATGAAAAACATCCAAATTCGAACCTTGACTATAGGGGCCACTTGAAATCAAACAAAATCTAGACCTGATAGTTTTCGATTGAAGAGAGAATCTTTATCAATCTGTTCGCATTAACGGGCTAAAGCATTTAATTTGAAGTATCTTGGGTAATTTGCTGACTATTAGAGCTGACCAGGAGGGTTCTTTAGTTCGTCATTGGGTTATCGGAGAGAACTAGATCGTTTCTTGTATTCTATTCTCTTATCAATGTCGCAAGGAATATATTTGACAGACCAACCTGTTAGAAGGGCTCAACCTTCGGGAAATCAGTTAATCAGAAAGATTCAAAGGGCTTGTCGATTAACGTTGGCAGAACCAGATTTGGGGTTAAACCTTGATGTTGCTGATTACGTCAATGCAAAGCAAGGTGCTGCGCCTAGAGATGCAGTTATAGCGATTGTGAAGCTCATTAATAGCCGGGACACTCACACGGCTGTTTTTGCGTTAGCTTTGCTAGACGTTCTAGTAAAGAACTGTGGATATCCTCTCCACTTGCAAATATCGCGTAAAGAGTTCTTGAATGAGTTGGTCAAGCGTTTTCCAGAAAGACCACCTTTAAGATTTACGAAAGTTCAACGCTTAGTTTTGACCGCTATCGAAGAATGGTACCAAACCATCTGCAAACATGCAGCCTACAAGGAGGACATGGGCTACATAAGGGACATGCATCGTCTCCTCAAGTACAAAGGCTATATTTTCCCCAAAATCAAAGAAGAGGATATGGCTGTTTTACGCCCTGGTGATCACCTTAAGACCCCTAGTGAAATTCAAAAAGAACAAGAGATTGCGCAAGCTGCAAAATTGGAAGAGCTCATTAGACGCGGCCGTCCTGAGGATTTGAAAGAGGCTAATAAATTAATGAAGGTGATGGCAGGATTCAAGGAAGACAATGTCATAAAGTCCAAACAATTGATCAATGACGAACTTTCGAAGCTGAAACGGAAAGCTGATCTTTTCAAGGACATGTTGAGTGCCTCTGAGTCGCCAAACATGGAGAACGAGACGTTGGTGGAATTGTATAGCGCCCTGAAAGTATCTCAACCAAAATTCCAAAAGATAATTGAAGAGGAGCACGATGATGACGACTTGGTGCAAGATATTCTGCAATTTAACGACACAGTCAACCAGGTGGTACAAAAGTACAACCTTTTGAAAAATGGAAGTGTCGAGGAGGCATCTCAAATCACCGTTCCCTCAATTTCAACGTCTAGTCCAGCAGTTACTCAAGGCGGTGCTCTGGCTAACGAGTTGAATCTCATTGATTTTGGGGACGACGACGAACCCTCCACTTCTCCACCACACGGAGGAGAATCGAGTACCACGGTCGACGACTTGCTAGGCGATTTGAACAATTTGAGCTTCTCTCAACCTTCTCAGAATTTTGGGCTTGGTGGAAGCATCTCACTTGGGGCTGCCCAACCAACTTCACAAGTTGCCTCTTCTGCTGGTTTGGATTTGTTGTCTGGATTTTCGGAAACTCCATCCGCAACCTCCCCACCTCCACCACGTCAAGAAACTTCCGCGGCAAATTTGTCGCTTTTTGATGATGCATCTAATATAAGTGGACCAGCCTCTACCAGAACTGAAGTTTTTTCATCAGAACACTTGAAGATTGAATTCGAGATCACCAGGGATAATGAATCATCCATAAGACTTGCCTCGTTCTTCTCGAACAATGGACTTGCACCAATTTCTGAGTTGACGTTCATGGTTGCAGTGCCCAAATCTATGGCCTTGAAGCTAGATCCTCAATCTGGAAACTATATCCGCGCGGGTGAGAAAGATGGCGTAACTCAGTTCGGCAATATTGAAAACGCATTCTTCAATGCAAACAAGCCTCTAAAGGTCAAATGGAAGGCCACTTTCTGCGTTCAAGGCTCAACCTTCGAAGAAACGGCTGTCTTTACGTTTCCTCAGGTTTAACAGTTTCCCCTTGTTAGGAGGTATAAGGGAGCCCTTGTGAAAATTGTATAGAAGTGAAGTACACTCAAATGTCTTATATTAAGCAACGTCTACCCGTGTCTTGAATATAACTATTATTATTTACCCTGTAGCTTTTGTAAAATTTCTTGTGGTGTCGGTGAAACGATCTTTTCAGTTGACAGCTCTTTGTTTAATTTCTCACCATGAGATTGTGCTGGTTTGTTAGTTTGCTTCTGCCTTGAAACTGGAACTTTATATTCATTTTCGAAAGCCTTCGGGTATTGCTTCACTGGCGATTGTTTCGGTATTTGAGTCGTTACTCTCATATTGCTATCAGCTGAGTTAATACGGCCCGGCCCGAGCCCATTATTGGCCGGGCGTCTCTGAACTGATGATGGTGAGCTCTGTGGCGGAGGTCCTAAAGAATTACTAACAACTTGACTCATAGCAGCAGCTTGAAGTTTCTGTTTGGCTAGCCTCCTCATCTGAATATCTCTACGAAGGGCATCGTCACGTTGAGCTTTCAACTGCGACATTTCCGCCGGAGTTGGGACAGTTGTATTTTTGCAGTCAAGAGGTTTTCTCGGTTGTGCTGGATTGGGTCGAGGTGCATTTTCTCTTTTCTTGATGCATTTTCTCATGGCTTCAAACATACTCGCCCATCGTAATCGCTTGTGCCCTCTTTGGATCGATTCTTCGCCAACACCCAATGGAGAAATTCGCCTCTTTTGCTGCTGTTGTAATTTGTGAGCTTCTATCAACCATAGTTGGGCATTATGAGCCCGAGGTCCCTTCATGTCAATGAACTGAAATTTCTCGTTGAGCTGGATAAAGCGTTCAAAACATTGCCAAGGCGTACGTCGCTCGATATTAGAGCAATATGACCTCGTTGATCTCGAAGACATATGAGCGCTAATAAGTTCCCAGTTATAGGCATACGTGTTAATATTCTTCACAAGATTCTGATCGTCCTGAGGTAACCAGATAGTCGGAGTTCGGCACCGCAAATATCTTAGCGAAGGAGCAATCGGTGGACGTAAATAATGGCTTCGTCTATTCCCGTAAAACATGCCGCGTCTTTTGCTGAATGGAATCAACGATGGCTCCTCCTCTATTATCTGTCTTTCGGCTATTTTGAGATAGTGATCATCATCCAACAGCACTGTAGATTTGGATATGGGTTCAAAACAAATGTTGCTCCTTTCATTATCAGATGCCTCTTTATTTGTGATGCCTGAATAGATCGGAACATCGTCCAAAATTTTTCTTTCAACAAGGCCGAAATCATCGAAGGAAATATGCAACTTGAAAGGAGAAGTTCTCTTTTTGATATCTTCAGCATAAACCTCTGTATTTACTGTTGGGATATCAAGGGCAGGAATCTCCTGGGATGGATCAGGTCTTTTTAGCAGTAGTTCAACATTGACTGACTCGTTGGTCGTATCCCTATGTGGATATAAAGAGAAGTCAGCCTCGCAGACCTGCAGTGGAGCTTCCTTAGTATCACAGTTCTCTTCTGTCGTTTCTGATGCTATTTTTGAACTGTCTTGTTCAGTTTCAATATGCTTAATTGGCGCTCTCCTTATGCAACACACTTGGCCATAGTTCCAGAAATCCATGACGGCCTGCGCCATGGTGAAGCATGCAGCTCTTTTATATTTGTTAAATTCATCAAAGTCGTAAAAAAGCCATTTGGCTTCCTCTAACAGCGTACCCCAATGGGTTTCAACATCTTTCAATTGGTCCCACGGGTCTAGAAATTTTTTTGGCTGTCTCAGAGACCATAAACCTGATCTACGCAGCTCCTCAATTCGTGAGCTAACAACCGCAATTCTGCATTCATTTAATGCTGAGTTCATTATTTCTGACGTGAGTACTTTATGTGCTGCAGGAATCAATTTGATAAGTGGTAGTGTCTGAGAGTTGAATTTGAGCTCGGAAAGAGGGGTAGCTTGAGGGATTATTGAAGGGATATTCTCCTTCATGACCAAATAAACGCTCTCTCTGGCATTAAGATTGTTTTGATCAAAGAGCTTCTGCCCCTCATCAGGCTCGTGTCTCAATTGTCTTATCAAGTAATTTGTGCGCCTCGATGGCTTTCGACGATTTTCTTTTCTCTCTGCGGAGAGAATACTCAGCTTTTGGCGCTTCGCGACATTATAGGGGACTGAGGGAGTGCTAGAGGGACTAACTAGTTGAGACTCTGGAACTCTACACTGCTCTTCTATCATCCGCGGTGTGATTTCATCCTCTCGCAGTCTTTTCATATCAGATTGCCCATAAGTTTCGTGAGTTTCCCCGTGTGTCCCACTTTGGTTGACATTCGACATCTCACTGCCAACGCCGTCCTCCTTTTTCTGCGAATGCGGCGATGTGTAGGATTTACTACGAACATCTCGTACCAGTATACCTCTCCCATCTTTTGCAGATTCTTTGTCACCTTCAGGAGCTCTTCGGTTGTCATCTTTGTCATGGCGGCCATACTCTCTATCTCGTTTTGTGTTGTCCACTGGCGTGCTACTTTTACTCTTGGCTGGCTTCTTTTCGGATGGGGGATCTGATTGAGTGAATCTCGGAAGAGAATTAGAATCAAAACGGTAGCCCTTCCGAATGTCGTGTAAGTCTAAAAATTCATTGATCTGGGATGCTAGCAGTTGCTCGTCGGTGATGTGCAGGAAATCTTGTATCCGCGAAACGCAGTATAACTCAGTGATTAGCCTATTGCGCTCCCCTATCAGCTGATTTAGTTTAGAGCCATCGTCTGGGGAGGCATATCTGTCGGGTTTCGCCATAGCGCGCCCAGTAACGCAATCCGCAAGTACTTGGGAACACCCTTTCGGAATCCGGAGCTTTCTAAATTTGTTCACCACCTACCAGCCTATTCTTGCAATGTTGCACTCCGCAAGCAGGTCTGAAAAGGCGTCAGTATCGGATTCTAGCCGCCTTTTTGCCAGTTTCGTATACTTGAAGATGGATGATGTTTAGTTCATGATTTTATAAAAATTACTATCGTTTATAGTGATATCAACACTTTCTTAAGCCAAAGGCAGTTTCGATTACCCGATGGCTTGACCGAGCAGTGTCTAATCACCAAGACGCTACCTCTTCGGTTACCTCTTCAATAGACTTGACTAACGAAGCGTGGTCTATCACGACGTAGGACGAGATAAGGCCCTTGCGACTTTCGGAATCAAAATGGATCTTGGCGTGGCGCTCGAAAAAGCGGTCTTCCTCGTGGAAATAATCGATCTCTGAGGTCTTCACCCGCTTGCGGCTCTTCCCGGCTTTTTCATCATCATCTGCATCAACGTTGACCTCGAACTTCCTGCTGACGATCAGATAGTAATCGTAGTGTTTTCCGTTGCCCAGAGCGTTTGAAGCATCTTCTAAGGTAATGTTGTAGATAGGTGCTATGACCTCAGGTGGCATATTGATGAGCCGTTCGCTAAGTACTAGCGCACATGTGTGGCTGGAGTTATCGATGGATTTGAGAAAATCTGCTAGTCTGGTATCCACGTTACTTAAATAACGGGCAAAATCAGAGCTGTTGTGGGACTTGTAGTCGATCAAGGAGAGAAAGCAATATGGGTCAGACTCCTGTCCGTCTGTCTTGATGGTCGTAGTAGGGGAATCCAAGATTAAGTCAGCGAGAGGGCTTAACTGCAATTTGTTGGACTCTTGTGGACCCAGGAGTTGGCGAAGTAAGTTCTTTAGAGCGTGGAAATCCACATCTTTATTTCCATTGAAGAAATCAAAATCGATGTTCACAATTTCCTGCTCTTCCGCGCTATTGTTGCTGTCGTTTTCAGAATCTGTGCTGCTGATATCGATGTCAGATTCTGCCTCCTTCAAATCTCGTTTACGGTTAATCGCATCACTCAATTTAAGCGCAGCAACCATCTTTAATTCGTTTTATTAGTAGCCGACCGGTGGTTTGGCTTCTTAAATGCTCTTTCGAAGCTTTGAAATTTTTCAGCTGGGAGATGAGATGAGATGAGATGAGATGATTAAATGAATAAAATTAACTCTAGCTAACATAAAAACGTATTTGTCTGCTGACAAGTTAAAAACATATAGTGTGAGGTTGAATACTCGCGAGCTGGTCAAGATAAATAGATAAAGTGACATTTGTGTATCTTCTCGAGCGCTGGCCAATTCTTAGATTCGAAGGACCTTCACTATAAATGCATGAATAATGAGCCATCAACCATTAGATTTTGCAGATCCTGCTTCCAAAACCTTATTGGAATTTAAAAATTTGCACGGCATTAAAGTGTCGCCGGGCATTTTCATAGGACAATCTAATATCACAGACAAGACTAAATGCATTGGGGGATTTATTGACTGGAACAAGTTAGACATATCAAAGTCAAAAAACGGTATGATAGAGCTGCTGCGAATACCCGAGCTAAGCACTTTCTCCATCCATACGATACTCAAAATTGTGAACCAGCCAGAGCAGTATCCTAGCCAAGTGCACTTTGAAGAAACCAGTGCACGGGTAATGGCCCTTTTTGGCGCATGCTCTGAAAATTCGGTCATTATGGCTCGCCTTTCCGAGACTCTAGTTTTGATAGTATATTTTATCATTTTTGCCGGGCTAGAAAGGGCAGGATACAAAACTCCCACGGTTATATCGACGTACTTGAATGAAGTTCTCTTGAAAACTGACGTTGGCTCACCGTACAACGATCTTCCTTTGTTCCATGAGAAAGCCGATAGAAAAACTTTGGTTCAATACGGTTTAGCTGACATGCACGCTTTGTACAGGAGCTTAGTTGAATTTTGGGAAACCAGCTTTGAGACTGTTAGCGACTCGTACATGTTCGTGGTCTCCAAAATTATGGCCAGTATAATATCACGCTCTTTGGAAATTCCTCATGAAAGTGCGCAAGGCAGTGACGATTTTTACGTTCAAAGTACTCTAGTCCCTGTTATCGATTATATGAATCACGACAATAAATTGGCAAATGCTCATTTCGACGTTGACCGTCACACAAACAGCGTTATCCTACTACTGGATCTGGATCGTTGTGTCAAAGATCAGAGGTTCTGTGAAGTTTTTATCAGCTACTCGCCGATAGACGAAATTATTCACTTCGAGAAAGTCTACGGTTTCTCTCCCTTAGTTGATAAACGACATGGGGCATTACTATATCTTTGCCTTGACAAAGAATTTCTAATGAATAGTTCGGCGCTCGATTTATTCTACAAGTGGATGTCAATAAAGCCTTGCCTTCAGCTCTGTTGGTACGAGAACGATGTTTTTATCAATGACACCATGGAGCATTTCCAAGAGTTGGCTATTCCTTTTATAGCAAATGGGATTTCACAGGGGCCGAAATCCACTTTCACATATGATACGCAGAAGCATGAGATTTACTCCTACTTCTTCGCTAAGGCTCGCAATGATGAAAGTGGAAACTATTCCGATTTTTGTGAAAGGATGGTCGAATCTCACGAAAACAATGGTTCAGAAGCTATCGAACTGCCACAGCTTGCATGGATATATCATTATGAGACTGAAGGGAAAAGTCGTGGCAGAAGATTTGATAAATATCAAATTTTGGAGGTTTCTAAAGCGGCTATTCCGCTGGCTATCCAAAGACTGCGGACCTTTTTGTGGCAGTATCTCGAGTGGCGACAAACTCAACTGTCTAAGAGCTTCCCTGACCTATCGAATTCGGGCAAAGCACTGGCTGAGCAGGAGCTACAGGCGATTAGGCAAACTGCTAAGCAGGCCTCATTGGGTAAGCCCATTTATTTGAGTGAGATTGATCTTCCTTCATCCTTTAATGTTCCTCAGGAGTGTTACATTCCTCCATTCCTCCAGAATTCGGGCCATAATTATGTGGCAGTGTCAGAAAGAGATAATGTACCAGTCGCAGAAAAGTCTTCGTTCTCAAACGAAGATTATCAATACTATGAAGAGTTCTTTTTGCCTTGACATTAACGTCAGAAAAAACGCAAATACACCAAAAACAAAAAGGAGCAAGTTACCATGCTTCTCAGGGTGCTTTTCTTACATTTCGCACCATTGCCGATTTTAGGATTACATTTCTACATGCGTAATGATAGCACACGGTGTTTTTATGAGAACTTAGCTGTTCAGCATATAATTTCTGCCAAGTTCAACGCCACGGCCACAATAGACGGTCTCTATGAAAAGGAGGTGGATATCGATCTGACCCTTACGGTCAGCGAGACATTTGAGAATAACAACCTGGCAATGACGAAGCACGTCAAATCCTTTGGTGGGTTTGACTTTACTGCGCTGGAGAGTGGAGAGCACAGGTTTTGCATACATTCCGCGGTATCTAAAGCGCAGTGTGTCCTTAGGGTTGAAATGAATCTTGATATCGCCACACTGCGTCCTCCCGGCGTAGCTTCTGCTCAGCACAGGCAGCAGGCTAAAGAACGAATTAACCGCCTCGTGAAACGTTTGGAGGTTTTGCGAAGTCACCAACGGACTGTGAAGAATAGAGAGAAAGCAGTCACCATCTTGGGCGAACGCTTGCACTCGAAAGTTTTATCAGGGTCCTTCTTTCAGGCTATTGTTTCAGTGGCAATATGTTTATTCCAACTGAGATCTCTACGAGGACTCGCCGGCCTGAACGATTGATATGTGAGACATACCATACCGAGTTAAGTTTATGCCTGTAGGAAATAGACAGCACTTCTTGATCACCTAACTTTACCCCATGAAAGTGCCAGACTTAGAAGTCAGGAGCCTTTGCCTGTGTTATTGCATTGAAATCGGCTCAGGAAGCTCTTGGAGTTTTTTCTGGAAATGCTTTGGCATTTTCTTTACAACGGTCAAATATAGTCCGTGCCAAATGGCGAACCAGCTGGAGACTTCCTACATTGAGAACCTTCCCACATAATTGAGAAACTTGAACAGAACGTACTCTGTGTTATACGCATGAGTGAGATGTCAATTAGTATTACGTTACCAATAAAGTCGACTTCCGAGGATGGCTGGTACGTCGTTGATATTCATACTGGACAATTTCCTTGAGGGAAACTTCATTTCACGAGTATACCTTAATCAGGAGTCTATAGCTAGTCACCACCTAATTACATATATAAGCCGTAGTTCATGTGCCAAAGAATTTCCGTCATGAGCCCTTCCATGAGAATTAAAAATTATTCAATTCAGCTCATCGCCAACTCATCGCATATGTGAAATACCGACAGACAGATACAATACCCAGCCAATGACTGATCAACCGGTACCTTCAGATGTTCTTAACGAACTCGCCGCTTTGAGAGCAGAGAATGCAACTTTAAAGCAGCAGTTGAAGTCTGAAACTCAACTTCCAATGTCACTGGAAGAGTTTAAACGCTATGGCCGACAAATGATCGTAGAAGAAACAAGAGGGGTAGAGGGACAGCTCAAGCTTCGCAGAAGTAAAGTTCTCGTAGTTGGAGCAGGTGGTTTGGGGTGTCCTTGCCTGCCATATCTAGCTGGTGCTGGAGTGGGACTTATAGGGATTGTGGACAACGATGTGGTTGAAACATCCAATCTGCACCGACAGGTATTACATGACTCCACGAAGGTAGGAATGCTGAAGTGTGAATCTGCCAAAGAGGTTTTGTCGCGATTAAATCCATTTGTTGTGATCAAAACATATCCCGTAAGATTGAACTACAGTAATGCATTTGATATATTTAAGGACTATGATATTGTTTTGGACTGCACAGACACACCGTTGACCAGGTATTTGATATCTGATGTCGCGGTCAATTTAGGACTGACAGTCGTGTCTGCTTCAGGCTTGGGATCTGAGGGTCAGTTGTCAATTCTAAATTTCAAAAATGTGGGCCCATGCTACAGATGCTTCTACCCAGTTCCACCGCCTCCTAATGCTGTTTCTTCATGTCAAGAAGGAGGGGTTATTGGCCCTTGTATCGGTCTTGTTGGGGTAATGATGGCGGTAGAGACCATAAAGTTAATCCTCGACATATACACCTTGGACAATTTCAGCCCTTTTCTGATGCAATATTCGGGTTTCTCGTTGCAGAGCTTGCGGACATTTAAAATGAGAGGAAGGCAAGTAAAGTGTCAGGCCTGCGGTGAAAATCCCACAATTACACGCGATACAATTGAGAAAGGCGATGTCGATTACGAACTCTTTTGCGGTCAAAGAAATTATAACGTATGTCTAGCTGACGAGCGTATTTCAGTTAAAGAATTTCAAAATTCTTTTCTGTCACCTGGCGAATTTAATCATATCCTTTTGGATGTTAGGCCACACCATCACTACGAAATTTCCCACCTACCTAACACATACAATCTGACGGTCAAGGAACTTCGAGATATGGACGGAAGTATTGCAGCCTTGCAAAGTCAAATACCCAACATACACGGTCAGAGCGAGGTGTTAGTTATGTGTCGACACGGAAATGATTCTCAGCTTGCCACTAGGATTCTCAAAGATCAGTTCAAAATCGCTAACGTGAGGGACGTCAGGGGCGGATTCTTCAAATATATTGATGATATTAATCCTACACTTCCAAAGTATTAAAATACAAAGTCATCTCTATAGTTCTCTACCCAGCTCCTCTATCACAAGCAGACCTGCATTATTCACAAATGAGTAGAACTTACCGCCCGCCCTTGTTTCATTCCACTTGCAACATGTTATGTTGACGCCTTGAGGACTAACTCTTGCCTTGGAGACCTCATTCACGCTGAATTTGAAAACGGCGTAGTTTGGATTCAACCTATACTTCTTTTCGGCTGTACCAAAATCCCATTGCCAAAGTTTGAGATATTTGTAAACAGCAACATTGTTTTTGATACCTGTCAAAAACCTTCTTGCCAAGTTATTTATCATTAGTGTACCATCTGAAGATCCTGACAGCAGAAACGGATGAAGTCTAGACGCACCTAGAGAGCTCACGGTGTTCTCGTGCTGACAGATCTGATGAGGAGCAAAAATGGCCCGAGGAGTGTAAGCTTTCACAGAGTTTACACCATCAGAATAGACAACGCCATACACTGGAGGACAGTAGGTAGCAATTGTGGTGTTGCCTCCCCGTACGCGACCTAAAGAAGCCTTAGTCGTTCTAATGTTCTTCGGGTTGAAAGCAGAAATAAACCCGTCAACCGAAGTAGTACTGATGACGGTGTCCTCACAATCCGAGTAAGCTGCAACAATGGAAATGATGTAGGAATCGTGAATTTTATGATAATAAGACGGCATGTCAGAGCCTAGCTGAAATTCTGCAACATTGCCATTTTGAAATCCACAAACAATGGTATCTGAAGACGTGAAATCAAAGCACGAAATGGGTGTCTGTGGTATTGCAACCCTGAAGTCAGAACTATCATACTTGCGAAATTCGTGGCAAGCAGCTTTATCAATTTTGATGAACCTAACGGAGCCATCTTGACAACATGCGGCCAGCATTCCTAGAGCTGTCTCATCTTTAAATCCAGCATGCCACTTCAAATCCCAAGTCTCGCCAAAATTGTGAACAATAGTCAAATATTTTTCAAAGGATAGACTGTCAGGGCATACTTCATATACGGCGATGCAAGATTCGTGACTTTCTTCACCCCAGCATCGAAGATCAGAATCAACAGGTGCACCAAGCCTACTTGATATTGATAACGCTAAAAACAAAGAGTCGGTGTCTTCACGAGGTAGCCAAGCCATGTCGGTAACCAGGCCACCTACATTATAAACAAAGCCCTTGCGATTGCCGCATGAAAAAGTTGGGAATTCAATTTTTTGACCAGTCTTTATGTGAGTATCCAGGTCGCCTATAAGTAGAGGGATTTCACATTCACTAAGAGCGAACAGCTCCTGGAATTCAGAAAGTTCTATGACATGGTAACTCGCAGACCTTAGTGAGGTCAAATTCGTAGCATATCCTCTACAACAAGGGGAAGGAAAGTCCACATAGCATTTGGACCCTTCCTGTAGTGCATCTAGATCGAAATCAAAGGGGCCCGTTTCAAAGGCCTCTTTAACTTTAGCAAGCTTCAAAAGTTTCTCTGGATTGAGGCCATATATCCGTTCGATTTTGTCTCTAGCAGATGTGAGGTCTTTGAGAGCGCGTATTACTCTACGCTTGTTGTCCAATTTTGACAAGGGTGTCGGGGATTTGGTATCGCTGTCAACAGACAAGTCCAACAACTTTGGTTTGCGACCGCGTTTAGCAACGGTCGTCGGTTTGGCTCTCATGGACTTGCCTTTCGTGACTGCCTTTTTATTTCGTTGAGGTGGTTCTATCTCCATGAAATCCTCATTGTCCTCTGTAGCAGGGTCATCTGGCTGTTCTTCATCCTCATCCTCATCCTCATCCATCGCCTCCTCAGGCACAAAATCGTCATTATCATCACCCTCTTCGTCACCTACCGTTGGATCAATTGAACTCACGATAGAATGCGATGCCTTCTTGGAAGCGACTCTGCGTGGTCTTGAGCTTCTGGCATTGGGTTCGGAGTTGAGCACGGCCAAAGCAGTCGCAGATGGACTTTCTGACACTGGTCGAACCGATTGGAACGAGTCTAGTGTTTTAAATCTCTGGGACGCCTTCGCACGAGAATTGGCATCTTCACTCTGAGCCATTGCCCTAGTACCTAGTCATCGGAGATGATAGGAGCATGCCAGCTTAGTATGTAAATAAATAAGGTCAATCCCATTCATAGTATATAGTGATATCTCTATGCTGACAGCGAATAAAGTACTTATGTCACAACGCTGGATTTACAGGTATTCCGAGTGCTTGATGGATTGCAGCGCCCCCATTTTTGAGCCCAATAACCAATTGAGGTGACTTTGAAACCAAGAACGAAGATTAATGAGTTAAAACTTGTGTCTATTGTAAATTTTGTAAACTACATGAAGATTGCGAGTGTCTACATGTCTGCTCGCATATTGTTGAGGGCCCTATCTGATATTGTTGGTCTATCCAAGGAAACAAATGATTTCCATGCATTTCCTTCCTCAAGCCTGAAGACGGTTTTATAGTTTTCATCTCTGTTGGCAGTTTTCGGGAAATTCAATAAGGAATATGATGAGTGCAAGTTGTTGCACCTCTAGGTATTTTTATCAAATATTATTGCCTCAAGACTCTAGTGGAGCAAAAGGGAGCATTTTCCAGGGCACATCTGGGATAGGTGGTAAACCATTAAACTAGTCACTTCTAGCGTTTAGTCATGTTAGATTTTACTGGCACACTGGAACCGAGCTCCAAACAGATATTTATACTCGAGAGAGGGTGCTTCAGACGTACTTTCTGCAATCCCAGTTTAAATTATAAACCTTTTCCTGCCATGCCCACGCAAATTTGGATTACCTTATGCCTAACCTCGTCGCAGGACGCTCAAAACTCACCTCTGCTTGCCTGGAACCAACCGCATCTACTAGCACGCCTACAGATAAATTCAAGCAGCTTCTGGCCGAATAACTTGTTGGATCTCGATTGTAGCGTCAGTATTTCGAGGCGATGATCTATTTCGCTCTTATTTGGTGTCAAAAAAAAAAATATCACGACAAGAAGTCATGTTCACCTTATCTAGAGAAGGAGAACTACTCAACACCGAACAAGCGGTTTGCATGTTACGTCTGCGTCTCCAAAAAGACATCAATATGGTAAGCCAAGAAAATTATCCCGAGGAGTTTGTTAAATTTCTCAATGCATCGCCAACGCCGTACCACGCAGTGCATAATATCAAAGCGCATCTTCTAGAACACAACTTTGAGGAATTGCAGGAAGAACACTCTTGGGTGGAGAAGTTGAAACGGGGAAGGGGTTATTTCGTGACTAGAAATGATTCGGCAATCGTGGCATTTGTGTTAGGAGAGGACTACGACGGTGGAAACCCCTTTGCCATCATTGGTGCACATACGGACTCACCTGTGTTGAAAATTAAACCTATTTCAAAGCGCAGTAACGAAAAGTTTGACCAAGTTGGCGTGGAGTGCTATGGAGGTGGGATCTGGCATTCGTGGTTCGACTCCGATCTTTCGATTGCCGGAAGAGTGATCTACAAAAGCCAGGACCATCTTGGAGAAGTGCTGGTCACAAAGCTGGTAGACCTCAAGAAGCCGCTGCTTAAGATTCCTACTTTGGCGATCCATTTGGATAGAACTGTCAATGAAAAGTTTGTCTTCGACAAGGAGTACCAACTGCTACCGGTCGCCGGCTTAACAGCAAAGCAAGCCGACAAAGATTGTTCGGAATGCACTGAGGAGAATTCATCTAGCGAAACATTCTTCTCCATCAAATCCGTGGTAGAGAGACATCATCGTGATTTGGTTAATCTGGTGGCCAAGGAGCTTCACATTGAGTCTGAGCAAATCGAAGACTTCGAACTAACTTTGTATGATCATCAGCCCTCGTGTCTTGGTGGCTTGCACGACGAATTTGTGTTTTCTGGGAGACTAGACAACTTAACGTCATGTTTTACAAGTATGCATGCGCTCACATCGTCGATCGGAGCCGCCGACGTAAACCAGGAGTGTGCTAGAATGATGGCGTGCTTTGATCACGAGGAAATCGGTTCAGCTTCAGCTCAAGGTGCAGACTCTAATTTTTTGCCAAGCGTTTTGGAACGCATAGCTGCTCTCAAACAGCGTGATCATTCTTATTACCGTTTTCAGGATATGACAAATCTTAGCGAATCGTATCGGTTGAAACTGGCGACCAGGAAGTCATTCTTCCTCTCTTCCGACGTTGCCCATTCAGTTCATCCAAACTATGCAAGCAAACACGAATCTAATCATAAGCCCGTCATCGGAGGTGGTCCCGTGGTTAAGATCAATGCGAATCAACGTTACATGACCAACAGTCCTGGATTGGTACTTGTGAAAGCTCTTGCAGATTCTGCCAAAGTTCCTTTGCAACTAATTGTCGTGGCTAACAATTCCCCATGTGGATCTACAATTGGCCCTATCATTGCATCTAAAACTGGCATCCCGACATTAGATCTTGGAAATCCAGTTTTGAGTATGCATTCTATCCGAGAAACTGGCGGATCCGATGATCTGGCCTCACAAATCAAATTATTCACTGAATTTTACAAAAAGGGCACCAAAATGATTGAAACCGGTTACGTGAGAACCAATGAGGATATGAAGCAGCCTCCTTCAAAATAATGAGGTAGCACATGGCTATCTCCCCATGGCATGAACTTAGCTATGCTGTGTAGATTCGGCCCTTCGTGCGAGGGTATTTTATGACACCTGTCGCATGTTTACATTATGAATATACTTTATCTTAGCGCGAAGACATTGGGAATGGCCCCATCAAAACACCAGAAGTACCTTAGCAATAGATACAACCTTTCAACTTAACCTTTCTCCAAGTTTTCTTGTGAAAATTTTACGCCATGAGCGAGGAGCAGCGTCCTCATACTGGTTTAAAGGGAGCCACCATAACGGGGGATATCCAAGAGCTGATGTCCTTCTCCGATGCAAACAGAACTATTGGAGGATACCTTGAGGAAGAGCCGATAACAGGTAACATCCATTTAGGGAGGGAAAAATTACCGAGGTTCTCTTCCACCATCCAAGTAAACGGTAGAGTCGACAAGGAGTTCGCCGAAGATGCAGAAACGGAGGAGGACTACGACGACACGCGTGAGATAAGTGCAGCTGACGAGAAAGTCATTAGAGAAGGAGGAGAGAAGAAAGGAAAAGGCTCAGTAGTGAATGAGGCAAATGAGACAGAAGCGGTGAAGGAGGAAGCGAGTTATTGCAACGACGATGCCGATGCCGACGATGATGACGACGACGACTTTTTTTACGGAGATTACATATCCACCAATAATGGCACCAGAGATGACACCACACAGTCGTTGTCGATGAATGCAAGTTCAACCGAAGTGCGACAGGATGTTGAAAGTCAAGCACCTGGTCAACTGTCGGATGGCAAGGAACACAAGAACCAACACGAAGCAATTATACTGGACTCTTCTGATAGCGATACGGATAGGGTTCGAGACAAAAACATCGGGAGTATGAAACCAAGGCGAAGAACTAGTTCTGGCTCTTCTTTGAGTGACACACCTCGAAAGAAGCCGAGAAGATTACGGTCGAACGCCAACCCCGGGCGTAACGTAGCTAAAACAGTTCAAAAGGCACACATACCTGAGACTGGAGGGAATCGCTTTTCAGACGCGGATGAAGACGAGCAGTTTTTCAAGGATCTGGCTCGCGAGGCAGGCAGAACAACAAGTACGGCAAAGCCAGATAGCCCGGCTGCTGTCAATCGGGTTTTCAATCTCAAATTCACGTCCATCCTCGAGGGAACCGTTGGCAAGAAGGTCAATGCCAAGGTAAAAGGTACGCATGCATTTGATGAGATTATACCTGTTGCGCTGAACCTAATACTGAAAGAATACAACGTTCCCACTGAGCTGCGACACCGCTACGATCCAACCAAGGTATCTGTTTACAGAAATGATGTCAAGCTTCCGAATTTCATGACCTGCAACGCACTTCCTGTTCCGCTGCATGACGGAGCTGAAATCAAGGAAGTTTCATTGTGCTTGGTAGCCAGCGATAAGGAAAAAGAATATGAAATGAAGTGCGAAGAAAGCAAGCGCGAAGATGATACATCGTTCACTGCTAACGATTTGCTAAATGCAAATTCCAAAGGCCAGGAATTTACAACAGGACCATCTAGCGATGACCATCAGTTCATGAAGCCCGGGACCGTGGAAATTTTGGATGATGAATCAGAGCCCGAAGAATCATGCGAGACAAGCGGAACAGTGCATGTTGTACTCATGGCTAAAGGTAATGACAAATTGCACGTCAACGCCCACAAGGATACGACGTTTGATAAGCTCATCCTGCATTACCGTGAACAGAAGAATTTATCAGCAGAAGTCCAAATTTCTTTCTTTTTTGACAACGAACGTATTTCTCCAACAAGTCGAGTAAGGTCTTGGGATTTGGAAGATGAAGACATTGTTGAGGTGCAATTGAGCTAAAATTATGTCTAGTAATTAGTAATGTAGTCGAGCCTGAGGTGCGAAAGAGCGTAGTTATGACCTTGTGCGAATTTTGTTGGCCACTCAACCAAGATTTGCACAATGTGAAGTAGGGTTCGCAGAGCTTACACTGCTTATTACTTTGTAAGCTAAAAGCGGGGCAGAAGATGAGTACGTGAGTTTTCTTGTGTAGGGCCAATACAAGACGGCGCACGATAAGAGCTCATTCTTAGAGTATTGATCGGTGTTCGGTAAATCATACTTAATAAAATCAACAACACGACGAGTACAAGCTCGGTCTGAGAGGCACCAAAACGCTCTACTATATCTAAGTGTAAATTATGCCCAATACGTGACCTCGCCTTAGGCCCGTTGAGTAATCCACATTACGATATTGTAGTGACAAGAGGTATCTTCCCCAGCAGTTTAGATGAATAAAGAAAACAAGGTTGGGTAGTGAGTGAAAGTCTAGAGTAATTCAAAATAAGTACGGACGGGCATGTAATACTATTAATTCACCGGGTTTATGGATGTTGGGATACTAAGGATAATCATTTAATTTCAAGAGTTCCCCAGGTTGGTGGCCCACTCCATTAGTGGGTGCAACGAGGACTGATTATGACTTATTTTTCATTATTGCAGGTAACATGACTGCTAGTATACAGGGAGCGTGTTTGGAGTCAAGTATTCAAGTGAGACGCCCAAGTACCGTCGTATTTGCTCTCAAAATAGAAACACTGGCAAATAGTTGAACCTAGACAACATATTGTAGCAACATACAATCCCCAGGAACGAGCTCATCTAGCATACTGACCTTACTGCTTCTCCACGAGAGCTGGTACTCAGTAAATGTAGAATACTAAGCTTGAGATCGTTGCCTGACAGAAAATGCACAAACTGTACTTATATCTATACTATAATAGACCAAAGGACCAAATAGTTATTGTGCTGTTTGAGTAGCACCGAGCAGCACAATGATGCGCATTGTCCTCATACGGCCCAACTAAAGGCGAGTATAAATAGATCAAATCGTGGTGAGTTCCACAAAAACATAGCCATGAAATACACCAAATTATCTCAGTTACCTCCATTGTTAGAAATGTAGCTTGTGTCGGTAATTGACCTAAACGTATAATACCGGTGTACCCATCTTAGTTGGACGGACCCAAACAAAAGTGTCATAATACTAAGAAGTGATATTGGTGGCGTCAATAAATTACGAATGTGCAAGCGGAAGAATCAACTAATGAAAACCGGATGAATAATATTTAACCAAGAATGGCCCAGCCACCTCATTTCATGCATCCAAAAATTCAGCCATGCAAATTATTGTGCATGTGGGTGACACTTGAATTATTAGGCTCTTAATGTACCCGGAGAAATCCTGTTTAATAGTTACCGACTGTTCGTTCCACAAATGACCCTGACCCAGTGTTATGATGCGAATAATATCGAAGAGGGAGAAAGCCTGAAGGTCATCATATATTTTCGGAACCCTAATCGCATATGCAAAAATGGTACACGATATATATTAAAGATCTGAGCGAACAACCTCGCAAGTTAGTAGTATTTCAACGCCGAGTCGCCCCAATTGCGACAAAGACAGACCATAAGTACAAATAATAATTGATGGACCTTATAAGCTACTTGGAGCGGATAAGAACAGAGTGAAATCAATATGTTAAGCCAAGCTATCAACGTGACTTCGGTTACATGCATAAATGTGACATTCCTCGCCTTTCAGGCAGAGCGACGTTAAGCTCAAAGTAAGAAGCATGTGGATCAAAATAATTATAGGCATAAGGAAAGGTTTATGCTAGTAGATAGTGTAAGTCGCTCAGAGGCTATAGATATCATTTATTCTGTACTTGAGGTTATAGTACCTAAACAAGAGAAAAAGCTTGACTTTGTGAAAACATGTGGAGCAGTTAAATCAAGCTACACACCAGTTAATTTAAGAGCCTTGTTGGCGCAATCGGTAGCGCGTATGACTCTTAATCATAAGGTTAGGGGTTCGAGCCCCCTACAGGGCTTAATTTTTTACAGTTTGCTTACTGATTTGTGTCAGGCAGAGATTGTAACAATCATATGTACAGTTATTGGGTACTTGCTCCCCTCCTAATGTACTTCTTTCTTGTTGTAATCACCTAGTTATACATATATGCAAATTCTATGAAAAAATGGACCTCAATTGACTTTCACCGCCGTGCCGTTACTGCACAAACTTTCAAACAAGGCAAGCTTTGGTTTCAAGTCTTCAGGGGAGATAGCAGTTCCCTTGACAACCTTGAAAGCCCCTGTACCAATTGACATCGTTTGGCCTAGAATAATACACTCAGAAACACCTTCCACGGCATCTTTCTTCATGTAAAAAGCAGCATCGAATAAGTGGTCCGTCGTTTTTTCGAAAGACGCAAGCTGTAAAACAGAGTCCCTCATTTTACTCAAGCCGAACCGCGTAATACCTAAAACTTCACCTTTGTATGTCATAACGTCACCCAGCAATTGAACGTGACGAGGATCTACACTCATACCGTGGTTACTCATGGTGTAATCGATTTCCCCAACGATACTCGTCCTTGCAGCCTCAATACCCAATACGCTGACAACTTCTAGAATATGATTAGTTTTTGTTCTCGATCCTATTACACCGTCCGTGGTCATTACATCCCGTAAACCATAACCTTCCACCAATAGCTCTCTCCTCCCATCGTCCTTGACGTTGATAACAGCCCTGGCAATGTCAGATAGACCCTTAACAACAATTCCAGGTAGAGCACGACGTAGATGCTGTATCCTGTAAAATAATTCATTATCCAATGGCTCCTTTGCTGATGTCGAAATAGATTTAAGCTTAGCACCTTCTGGATATACCGCAATGTTGATCCTGTCTTTACCCGCAATGCTAACATCTGACTGAGAAATCTTCAGTTTAGATGCTCTCGTTATCGCTATGGCGATGTCTTCAACAGTCAGCTCTAGTTGGAGTTTTTCAATGGTGCCTAGATCGACCTTTACCTGCAACAGTGACATGTTGTCCCTGTATACATCTTGTATGTAAAATGCAACGTCAGACAATAATGTTTTTTCTATCCTTCCTTTCACTACTCTAGCGGCCCGTTCATCGTTGTCGTTCACCAGAACAGCATTAATGATAGGAGTTGAAATGACTTTAGAGGCGTTAATAATTTCTTTAATACGCGGAACACCAAGGGTAACATTCATGGAAGCCACACCAGCAAAGTGGAAGGTTTTTAGAGTCATTTGAGTACCTGGTTCACCAATAGAATGGGCACCGACCGCACCGACCGCAGTCCCTGGCTCCACCTTAGCTTTGTGGTACTTGAATATCGCAATTTCAAGAAACTTCTCAACTAACAGACCACTGATCTTACAAAGTTGGTCAATGGATGTTAGTGTTGATTCTGGCACCTGCTCGTCCAAATCCATAGACTGCAACTCGATTGCTGGCTCATCAAGGTATTGTTTCAACCCCTTACGCTTCCGGATCTTTGCAAGAGAAGAAGCTTTCTCCTTCAAGTAGGATCTCAAGGACTGGTAGAAGTTCCTTTCGGCATCAAACTGATCAATGAACTCCGGACAATCTTGAAGCTTGACATCTAAAACATTTCCTAGATTGTCGTATCTCACCAATCTGCTCTCAAGTGGTTCCAAAATTCGATTTGTTAATGCCATTATTTGGTATGGAAGCAAAGCTCCATCATGATGATTGAAAGTTATATTGTTAGCATGCTCCCATGACCTGGCAAAATTAACGGGTTGTGCGTTGCCTTCCATATCAATAGGATCAAGACCATCACCACCGTAAGTAAATTGGACAATACCATTTGAAGACGTTCTGATAGTATTATCATATTGACAAGACAGATCTTCCAAGGATTTCATCAACCTACGCGACATGTAACCAGTTTCAGCGGTCTTGACAGCAGTGTCGACCAAACCTTCACGCCCCGAAATTGCGTGAAACAAGAATTCAGGTGGCGACAAACCGGAAAAGAAAGAGTTTCTCACAAAACCCTTGGATTGGGGAGTCTTCGAGTTTTTCAAAAAGTGAGGCAAAGAACGATCTTGAAAGCCGTCAGGAACACGGTTACCAGAAATAATTTGTTGACCAACAACTGCCACCATTTGCGAGACGTTTAACGTGGACCCTTTGGAACCACAGTTGGCCATAATCAAACAAGCGTTCAGATTGTCCAATTCTTTTATACATACCTCACCCACTTCTTCTCTGACCTTTGATAATAAACCACCAATCTTGGCTTCTAAAGTCTGTTCTTCATTACAACCCGGCTGAGTTTCCAATTTTCCCTTGTCAAACAAGTCAATTAACTGGTCACACTTCAAATAAGCGTCTTCGACCATAATTTCCTTTTTCTTCTTCAGTTCTTGACCTGGAGTTACATCGTTGATACCAATAGAAAAGCCCCTGTTACCTAAAAATCTAGCACATAGCTTGGCCATCCTATTCATCGCAAAAGCTGCCTCTTGTGGGCCAAAGTCTCTCAAAATGGTGTAAAAAACAGAGTGCTTCTTACCATCACCTAAAACCGATTTATCCATGACACCACTCAAAATTTGAGAACCCCGAATAACAACAAATCCATCGTTCTGAGACATCTCGTTGGGGAATTCTTTCCTCTTTGGTGGAATGTAAACTTTATTCTTTGCGTCTAGATTAATCACGACATTAGAATTTTTATTGGGCTTGATGAGAAGTGAAAACACCTGCTTACCAGTCCACATGTAATAGGGCTTCATGATGGCCGGGGGTGGTATATCAAACCGGAGGTTACCATCGGACATCATTGAAAGTAGTTGAACGAATTCGGCTCTGCTATAGAAGGAATCCTTGTGCGAGATCAGGTATGATCCGGTGATAAAATCTTGTGTAGCCGCAATGATAGGTTCACCTGATTTAGGAGTCAAAAGGTTATTTTTCACACCCATTAGGTTGATTGCTTCAGCACGAGCCTCCTCTGTCTGAGGAACATGTAAGTTCATTTCGTCACCATCGAAATCCGCATTGTAAGGAGTACAGACACATTCATTCAAACGAAATGTTCTCCAAGGCCTAATCTTGGCATAATGTGAAAGAATAGAAAGTCTGTGCAATGAGGGTTGTCTGTTAAATAGTACGACGTCTCCATCTTCCAAATGTCTCTCGACTACATCCCCGTACTGCAAGTTTTTGGCCAGTTTCATTCTATCACCGTAGCGCAAATTTCTTCTTGCTTCTTCATTTTTTTTGATTAGGTAGTTGGCACCAGGATGTTCATTGGGTCCGTTAATAACCAGCTGCTGTAACTTCTGTTTGTTATAACGAGTCACCATTTCAGGATAGGTCAATACTTTAGCAACACGATCTGGTACGGCAACTTGGTCAATTGACAGATTAGGGTCAGGTGAAACTACTGTTCTACCAGAAAAATCCACACGTTTACCTGACAGATTACCTCTGAAACGACCTTGTTTACCCTTCAGTCTCTGACAAAAGCCCCTTATGGGCTTGGTTTTACCGCCGGAACTGCCGCCTGGCATCATTGCGGGGTTCACAGAATCTGAATTAATGTACATGGCGACAGCTAGCTGCAAGTAGTCCCACTGTTCCATCATGTTGTTGATTGAAATGCCTTTTTCTAGACCAGCTTTTATCAATGAGGAAGTCCACACGATTTCGGTAAGCTTCACTGTGAGATCATCTTCGTTAGAAGCTGGTGAGTCCTGCATCATGACCGATGGTCGAATACACACCGGAGGTGCTGGTAAATACCTCCAAATGTAAGTTTCGGGTCTTCCGGACTTAACTGTGCTATCAATGCCGAGAAGCTCACAGTCTTCGGGTGCAATTTGTTTGAATAAGTTCAAGACCTTAAGGGGATTCAAATCATCCGTACATCTTTTCACGTATCTCTCTAGTTCTGGTTGGTGTGACAGTACCGTTTTCCAATCACCTACCCACTGGTCCTTTTCTGGAGCGGATTTTTTGCCAACCCAACGGAAAGTGTCGTGTAGAATCTTTAGAGACGCAGAGCCTGATCCGGCGGCAGCTTTTTTCACAACACCATTCAGACTACCACACTTGAAACATCTCCTTTGCTTCTTACACTGGTCGACAACCTTCTTCAAAATGCCCATCCTTCTTAAATTATCAATACCAGGACGACGCAATTCAGACACGAATTTTCTTTTATCACCATCAGACAGCAACATCCCTCCGCAACTTTTACACACCGACTGCAAGACTTGGATGGTGGCCTTAAAATAGCCGACATGGAACACAGGGAGCGAAAGCTTGATATGACCAAAATGACCATGGCAGGAAGCTAGATTCCCGTGACAAGTCGAGCACTCAGCGTGAGACGACGAAACTCCCATTCTTGTGTCTAAAGCACCGCCGCTTTTAGGTTTTCTGCCATTTTCCAAGTCAAAAAGATCTCTTGTTTTGATTTCTGCCTTGGACTGCCCAACAATGTCACTAGCTGAGAGAGCACTGAACTCCAATCCCTTGATTCTCTTGGGCGCGATGTCTATCACAACTTCCTTCATTTCCGCCAAAACTTGAAGAGGTTCGCAGCTTCAAATGGAAGGCCAACTATCCCAAGCACTCAAATCCGCCACAAGAAGCTCACACAAGTCGTAATGCTGCCCTTTGGTGGAATCAGAAGTCAATTCTGCTGCAGTTGATCTCTGGCTTCGGTTCCATGAGATGAGATGAGATCAAAATTTTCCAGGTGATGCCTTAAAACGAAGGCAAGACAAGTGTCATTTGGGAAAATGGTGGGATAACCTACCCAGATCGCTTCGTTTCGAGCCATTTTGAGCGGGTGGATAACACACACAGTCAGCGGTGACCTGAAAACATGATTCCTGCAATATGAACGATGTAATGCTGACATTTATGGCGTCTGTCAAAATGGAACCAACGTCTGGAGAGTACAAAGTGATCTGATCTGGAAGTCTGAGAGATCAGCAATCGAGCCGGATACGCAGCGGATCTGTTATCCAATAGAAGAGGGCATCCTGAAATATATACTTCACTATCGAATTCCTAACCCAATTGGGGAGTTAGAGAATCAAAGGATTTTAGATCAGCGAATTTATACAGCGTGAAAAAATATCAGATAACAGACAGAAATCGTGCTTAAGATATACAGGCGCCTTCCAGCCACGTAGAGCGTAGGATATGTGGGTCGGATCTCTCCTAGTCGAGTTTAAGCCTTTTTGATATTAGCGTGTAACTGACACTGGTCCCCGTATAAAGGTATCAGCTTATTTAGTGGCGATTTGAATAGGCTCTACGATAATCCATGGTTCTTAACACTCTTCATTCCTAACATACAACGACCAACTGGCTTATCGATTGACATGAGTGCAGAGATGGAGCACAAGAAAACTTTGGAGGAGGACGACGAATTTGAGGACTTTCCCATGGACACTTGGCCCGATTCAGAGACCATTAAGGAAGCATCAGACATTCAAGCAAATCTATGGAAGGAGGATTGGGATGACGTGGAGGTAGAGGACGACTTCACGAACGAATTGAAAAAAGAGTTGGAAAAGCACAGAAAATGATGGCACGACGGACTGTGGGGCGAGACCCGCAAAGCAGGCCGGGAAAGTGAATTGCTCAGTATTGGTTGCCGAGCTCTCTTGAATGGCCAACGTTAATTCCACAGCTGCAAAGAGTGCAGCCAAATCGCGGAGAGCACTCCCACAAGCCAATCGACCCCGTATGCTTGACGCGTTGCAGATGAAAATTACGGTTGTCGAGCAAGTTTTAGTATATAATACGGCAGCTCGTGATAACACGACCCCATCCAACCACCAGCTGGCATAAAGACGCTCTGGAAGGGCTTTCCACGCACTGGAAATAGCTGAGTAAAACCCATGTCACGTACGTATTAAATGATTATCAATAGTTCATGTGGCTTTCGGTGGCAAACGATAATGTATGCATATAATAAGGTGTGCTGCCCACTCGACGCCAACTTGTACCTGAGATAGACAGTAAGGAGCGCAGTATAAGCAATATGGCAACTCTGGAGGAATTGGAGGCTCAGCAATTGCCAGGAGAAGTGGAGATCCATGAGGAAATTCTAAACTTGCCCACGTCCGAAATACAGACCAGAACAAAACTACTAGACAACGAGATCCGGATATTCAGGTCAGAGTTACAGAGGCTCTCACACGAGAACAATGTCATGCTGGAGAAGATCAAGGACAACAAGGAAAAAATCAAGAACAATCGACAATTGCCTTACTTAGTGTCCAATGTGGTAGAAATCATGGACATGGACGAACTAGAGGACGAAGAGCATCGGGAATCAACCACCCAAGGCGGTAATGTGAACTTAGACAATACTGCGACAGGAAAGGCCGCCGTGGTAAAAACTTCTTCCCGGCAAACCGTCTTTCTACCCATGGTTGGTTTAGTCGACCCGGAAAAACTGAAACCCAACGATTTGGTTGGTGTGAACAAGGACTCTTATCTAGTGCTGGACACACTGCCTTCTGAATTTGACTCCCGTGTCAAAGCCATGGAAGTGGACGAGAAGCCTACAGAAACATATTCAGATGTTGGTGGTCTGGATAAGCAGATCGAAGAGTTAGTTGAGGCTATTGTTCTTCCATTGAAACAGGCCGAGAAATTTACAAATATGGGGATACGGGCTCCAAAAGGTGCACTTATGTACGGACCTCCGGGCACTGGTAAAACTCTCCTTGCGAGAGCGTGTGCAGCCCAAACGAACGCCACTTTTTTGAAGCTGGCGGCACCGCAACTGGTTCAAATGTTTATTGGTGAAGGCTCAAAACTAGTTCGTGATGCATTTGCATTGGCCAAAGAAAAGGCGCCTACGATCATTTTTATCGATGAATTAGATGCCATTGGTACTAAGCGTTTTGATTCTGAGAAATCGGGTGACAGAGAGGTACAAAGAACCATGTTGGAGTTACTGAATCAATTAGACGGCTTCGGATCCGACGACAGAGTTAAAGTACTTGCAGCCACGAACAGAGTAGACGTATTAGACCCGGCTCTTTTAAGATCGGGAAGATTGGATCGTAAAATTGAATTTCCATTGCCATCGGAAGATTCTCGGGCTCAGATTCTGCAGATTCATTCTAGAAAAATGACTACAGATGATTCTATAAACTGGCAGGAACTAGCAAGGTCTACAGACGAGTTTAACGGTGCACAACTGAAAGCGGTTTCGGTCGAAGCAGGTATGATCGCCCTTAGAAACGGCCAAAGCCAAGTGAAGCATGAAGACTTTGTCGAGGCGATTGGTGAAGTTCAGGCTAGAAAGTCAAAATCCGTATCATTCTATGCTTAGTCTCCTTAACTATGTACAAGTACGTCATTCATTCATTAATCATATAAATAGATTTTCTCCCCATTGCCTGCGCACACTATTTTGCTGGTCTCTTGTGGAGCCCACGCTAATGTCACGATAGCCTTTTTGCCAGGAACTTCGAATTGTTTAAGCAATCGTGTTGTTTTCCAGTCCCAGATGAAAACCCCACCTTTAGAATCACCAGAGGCAATATATCTACCATCCGAAGAGAACCCAAAACCGATCCCAAAACCTGCGCACTTGTGACCTTCGAACCTTTTTTTCGGGTGTCGCTTGTACTTTGGTTTCATGGAAAATGGATAAATAGTATTATCCATACTTTGTGCAGCGAAATAATTGTGCTCAGGGTGTATATCAATATATGGCATTGAGTATTGCGCCGTATCGCTTATTTGCTTGATTGGAATATTTATTTGATTCTCCCAAATTTGCATTGTTTTGTCTTCTGACGAAGAAATGAGTTTAGATCCATCTGGAAAGTACTTCAATGCAATAATTGATGATAAGTGATGGTCGTAAACTTGAACCAAACCATTCTTGTCAGATACTCTCAAATCAAAGTGTCTGATTTCTCTGTTGGACAATCCTACAATCAACTCGTTCGAATTTGACGGACGGAAGCTTGCGCAGTTTGGTGTACAGGAAAAATTGAGTCTGTTGTTTACTCTCCCGGTTTCAACGTCCCATATTTTCACATATTGGTCAAAGGAGGTGCTGAGAAATTGATGGCCATCTTCAGTAAAATTAACATCTTTAATAGCTTTTGAATGGCCGTAATAATCCCTGAGCAATGATCGGTCGTGGTACATGTCCCAAAGTTTGACCTTGTTGTCATTTCCACCAGACAAAAAAAGATGTCCCGTTTTGGGTAGCATTCTAACCACAGTGGTGCCATTTCCATGACCGGCAAATTTGTGTATCAGCTTTTTGGGCAAATAATTACGGAAAGATAGCGGTGCTTTTGCGAAGTCGATGTTTTCTTCAATAGGGGGATGGAGAAAACTGCGGCCTTGATAATCTGTGGCAGAGTTCCCATAAAAATCGCTTGTTTCTTTCGAGGCCAAATGATCACCATTTTCTTGTACCTCCACATCGTCATCCTTATACACTACAGGTGTGTTGATGTTACTGGAGGATCTTCGGTTCTTATCCTCAGGATCATCGCTGTTGTCTTCGGAGGATGATGACCATGAAGCCCAAGGTCCTTTTCCCTTACGCTTTTTATGCTTACTGGAGGAGTTGGCTCCCTTTGGCCCTCTAGCTCTCTTGACTCTATGCTCTGTTTCCACAGTTTGTTTGTCTTCTAATGCGGTCCGCCCTTTTAAATTCTCATCGTTTGGTAGATACGGACGTAATCCATCTGAAGAACCGTTGTTGGCATTCGCTGATAATTCTAAATCAGATTCTGAACTATAGCCCGATATCAACACCATCGCCCTGAATGCTATCGATAATTTGGTCCCACGCAATGGGCAGCCATTGTTTTGAACCAGTTATATTATCTTGATGAAGTGACTTTGTGAGAGATGACATTGGTTTATATCTAATGGTGAATAACTAAAAATAAGAGCCTTGTTGGCGCAATCGGTAGCGCGTATGACTCTTAATCATAAGGTTAGGGGTTCGAGCCCCCTACAGGGCTTCTTTTTGCTGGACTGGCCATTACTGAGCTTTATTGGTTTACCTGTGGAACTTCCGCTAATTGTTAACCTCGTGGCTAGGGCATTCTTATGACTTGTCAATAACTTCATAAAGCAGATTTTTTAATAAATAATGCGCTCAGTTGACCTGTCGATTGCTCCGGTGTTATAAGATTCATCTTTTCTAGAAAATAATTGGTAAGGACGCACGACGCTGAGGACGACATTTTACAATCTAAAAACCACAAATTACCGCTGAAAATATTTTATTGTACCCAAGATATCTATGTATTGTTGTATTAAACTACAACTGCCAAGCGGGCGGAGAGCTGCAGAAATACAATGAATGCACCCGTATGTACGACAATCATGCGGTAGAGCGGTGCTTCTTAGAAGAGCGCTTTATCTTACTGACCAAACCTTTGATATCAGAGGAGCCATTAGCCTGTTTCAGCCCAGCATCATCCGCCTTTCTTTTCTTGGCCTTGCTCTTGTTGGAACGCTTATTCCTCTCTTGTAAAATTTTCTTCATGGCAGTTGTGCCCGTGAATTCAGGCTGAGAAGGATCAATGGCAAAATCTCGGTCCTCAAACACTTCACTGAATCTAGGATCATTCAAGTCAGGTTTGAATTCATCCTCAGTTATCTTGCTTCTATCTTGATACTTGGTCTTTTTACCCCTCTCCTTCTCGGACCGAGCAATTTCATTCATGTTGAAATGTGCTTTCTTGTTCAATTTTGAACTTCCCTCTTCTTCATCGTCCATCATCAGAAGTTCCAACTCAGCAGCAGATTTCTTGGTCTCTTCAGACGCTGATGTTGGTTTTCTTGATTTCAATTCCTTCAACTTTTGCTTCTTTTCATCTTCAGCTTGCTTCTTCAATTCCTTAACGCGCTCTTTCCGCATTTTTCTACGCTCTTTTTCTTTCCGCTTAACTTTGTCTAAAGTTGACTCTTCCGTCTTTTCGTCAGCATCACCTTCGTTACTTTCGCCGAGGGCTGGAGCAAATGTGATTTGCATGTCGACGTCGCTCTCACCTTCTTCTGGTTCCTTATCAAAGAGGGATCTGTCCCCCACTTGTGACGATTGGTTAGCGAGCAATTTCAACTTTGATTTCAAATCCTGATTGAGTTCTGGTTCGGACTCTTCGCTATCAGAGGCGAGGTAAGCTTTGAAATCCATTTCGTCAATCTCCTTTTGGCTAAATGCTCTCTTGGCCATCGCCACACGGTCAGCAGGGGTGTCATCCCATGTCAACTTAACCTTAGAGTGTTGGAGAGCATCAGTGCTGAACTGAGCAGGTCTATAATTCTTAGGCAGGTCACTACATTCATCTCGTGGGTCGTCATCAAAGTCCATACCATCAGGAACATACCGGAGGTCAAACGTATTGGCAGTAGACTCGAACTCCGAGCCATCGCAGTTTTTGTAAATGGCTTCGGCTGTCTCAATGTTGTTGCAGTATACAACCGCATAGAAATATCTTAGTCTTTCCAATTGGTATCGGCGTAATGATTTAGCGTCGTATTCTTCTGCGTCTCCTTCTTCGTAGAGATCCCTGACATCTAAGTCAGAATCGCTGTCATTGCCATTGCCCCTCTTGCTCTTTCTTTTACTCTGGAAGATTTCTTTTGGAGGACCCTCTACTTGTTCTCGTTGAAGCCTTTCTTTCCCGAATTCACTTGGATAAACGGCAACCTTTAGAATCTTGCCGCCTTTGGGAACAAAACTGCTGAATGTAATCAACAAGTCGTCAGATTTTACGTGATCCCAATCAAGGTTGACAACAGCTAGAGTCTTGCTGCTCTCCCCTGATTCTGGTTTACTGTCCTCGATTTCAACCTCCGATTCATCACTTTCCATGTCACTTGAGTCCACATCAGACTCCGAGCTCGACGAGCTTTCATCTGAGGAAGACAAATAGTCACTAGCAACCTCGCCACGGGCCCTGTCTAAGCTCAACGACTTTACTTTGGTTTTGATTTCAGGTTCCTCATCATCTTCCTCCGACTTGTTTTCTTGCTCTGACGGCTTTGTCTCCTCCTCCTTCTCATAATATTTCTCAAAATCTTTCTTGTCTTTATTATCCCCATCCTTCAAACGTCTTCCGTACTTGTCCACTTTTGCTTTGCGTTTGAACTCCAGATCCTTCTTGCTGAATCTGTCATCCAACTTGATCTTGAACTTCTTGGCCCTGGTCTCTCTATATTTAGGGTCGTTCTGTAGACCAGCAAATCGCGAGTCACTTGGACCACTGGTACCGGAGCTATTCGAATTCTTAGCCATAGTTGGGGATTCGTATGGCCTATGCTTGGAGAACCGATGAGATGCGATGAGATGGTAAAATTTGTATGCACTTTTTTCCGTAATATGATGTTACAAACGACGAAGGCGGCTAAAGGCCACATCAAATCTTCAAAATGACGATATGACCAGAGAGCCATGCTGATGTGTTGACCACTTCCATCTTGAGCTAGCACAATTCTTTCGAGCTAGAAATTTAAAATGATTTTCACTCTAAAGTTCGTGTCTGCCAGGTTTGTTCTGATGTTTCCTATCTCGCCTGCAAAGAACTCTAAGTGCTAGACAACGAATTTTGAAGATAGGAACCGCATCAACGCAAGGAGAGTAAGCCATGAATTGGTATCCTGAACACATGGCAGTCGGTTTACTGTCGGAGAGCGGAGCTGTTGAGCTTAATAGTCAAGCAGACTGTAGAGGATTTGGCGTTGAGCGTAACCTTCAAAAGCAGAGATGTGGCAATCCCTTTGCCCGAAATCTTTTCTAAAGCTGAAATCTCCATTGGCACCTCTACCATAGATAGACTCTTTTCTTTAAAGCATTCCCTTTCGGGCTAAAATAAAACCAGACCAAACTAAATCAAAGCACCTCTACGAACAGAGCTTTAATCAATACACCATCATGAGGGGAGTGTGTAGAGCATTTTCATTTCTTATCTTAAGTTTTTGGACCGATATTGGGGGCAAGGGAGTGAATCTCTCGGTCAAACCTTACGGGAAATCTCTTGTGCAATGCAGACTTGGTAGAATATACAGAAGTTAACGAGCCTCGAATACTAACACATGGTTCCGGAGTACGCTTTACACCGTTATGGTCACAAACACCATTAGTTGTTGGGTTAGTATCTGATTTTTATAAGTTAGCCGCTCATCATCCGTTAACTGTGATATTACTTAGCTTAATTTAACGTAAGGCTAGTCATCGGTTGCACCTTAAGAAGCTAGACCTCTACTGATTTGAGAAAGATAGCTATACTTTACTCGTTCGTTGCAATGGGCCAAACAACCTCCGTGGAAAGTAGTAACAAGCCCAAGTTTACTAGTGAAAAAGAAGTTTTGAATTGGTACAACACAAAAGCAATAAAAGCTGTCACAACCCCAGAGTTGGTTTCATTTCGAGCTAATATTCAGGGAAAGTCTTTAGACGATGCCCTTACTGGGGAGGAATTGATATCTTTGCTAAGACTGGACAGTTGTAACAAAAATGTTTCAGGACTACTCTTCAGTTTCATCCAAACTCTGGCCAACTTTCCCATGTTAAAGGACTGTTACGAGTATTTAACATACGTGGGAGTGCTCAAGAGCTGCGTGCTCTTGAGCAAAGAGCGCTGTTTAAAATTCGTTCACGACAAGTCATACAACCATACGAAACTCATATACATTGCCTTGTCATTGAATAAAAGCGTCAAGGAACTGTCGGCGACCCCTCTGTCCGATGAGACACTTGACGTCCGGAAGATAGTATCTACGTTCAACGAGGTTTGCGAGGACGAGCTCTCAGTTTCTGCTGATGTCATGTGGGATTTTGTGACGCTGTTGCTGCGCTTAGCCAAGGCCACTTTGATCAAAAACTGCAAAATCAACAGAGAAATTTCTGACGACTGGGATTCCTTCAAAATTGCCGCGCTGAATATAGTGAGAAGTATGAATCATGATATTGTAACCTCACAAGATACCGCGACGAACACAATTACGTGTGCTCAGTTTCAGGATACAGTTTCATCGGTGTGTCCACGTTTGTTGGTACCGCTAGAGAGCTTAGCGGAGCACGTTTTTTTTCTTGAAAGAGACCTGGTTGATATTGACGTGCCAAAAATGCTGAACGCGGAATCTAGACTCGTCACAGAAGCACTTTTATCGCAACTGGCCACATTTTGGCCAAGAGAAATGATTTTCTCAAGCCTCCGAAAATTATATGCCGGCAGAGAAAGCGGTTATTCCATGAGATCCCTTCAGTCCAAAGCATTCAAGTGGATGGCCCCGTCAATTTTGTTCGTCAATGGTATAAGAATCCCGAATGATCAGGAATATGCGACAACAAAAAACCATCGATATCAGAGGTTTCTCGACGATTATCCGAGGCTAAAAGACGGAGATCAAGAGATTATACCAGCGTTTACCGGTAAGAAGAAAGTAACCTTTGCTATCTATGTCAATGAGCCTTGGAAGGTAACAAATTCTGAAATGTTTGGAGATACCAAGACCACCATCATACAACTTTCTCCAACTCAAGAGGTCTTTAAAGCCAGCAGGTCTGGAAACATCTACTTCAACACTCTCGGCGGGGGCCTGGGTATTGGAAGCCCTCAACCGATTGTGAAAAACAATGTGCGAAAGTATCTACCAGGAAATGTTTCACTGACGATTGATTCTAACCTAGAGTTTGGAGCTTTTAGAAATGTTGGTCGTGGAGGAGTAATGAACCCAGGTATGCTCTCATCCGAGTCAAGCGAGCATAAGTTCCTCATTCAGGACATCGAAGTCTGGGGATGTGGTGGTGAAAAAGAGCTAGAAGAACAAATAAAGAACTGGGAATGGGAGGAAGCGGAGGCAGCTAGAAGACAGCGGATCAACCTGAAGAGTATAAATGATGATAGGGCTTTGCTTGAGTTAGCAGGTTTAGTAGGCCAGAATCAAAGTGGGGGCTCTGTATAAAGAACCTATATAGCTAGCTTCAACTAACGGATGAGATGTAACGTTAATATCCATCTACTTCTTGGATTTCGTTTTCTTGACCAGTTTTTTCTTGACGTGCTTTTTCACTTTGGTCTTTCTTCTTTCACGTTTGGACTCTTTCGCCTCTTCTTTCCGCTGTTTCTTGGAGTCCTTATCTTCGTGTTTTTTACCTTTCAACTCTTTCGTCTTCTCGTAATAGCTTTTTTCAGAATCGTCCGAATCACTCTCTTCCTCAATCCCACTGTCCTCATCACTATCGCTGACGTCACCTCCTTCACTATCGGAGGCGCTATCCTCTTCGCCACTAGAGGAAGAAATTTCGAACTGTTCCGCAGCTGTGAAATTCTTAGCATTCTTTTTGTTGTCACTACTTATGAGACTTTTCAAGAGGTCAAATTTGCCAAGTGTGAAGCGGTCAAAATCCCGCTCTTCCAAACCGCCCAGGTTTCTCACCAAATGCAGTGACCTGAAAACACCATCCTCAGCCTCATCCTCAGGTGTGCATTTGATCGGTAGAGTTTTTGCAACATACTCCACTAGATCATCCACAGAGTTATAATCACCGCCAAATTTGTCCAGAGTTTCTGAAATTACAAACTGGAAGATGATTCGTTCGGGGAAAATGTCAATCGCCATACGTTCAAAATAGCTGTTGATATTTTTGATATCCATTCTCAGAAAATCCAGACTCATTGGGTGCTCCGGCTGCACACTTTGAGACACGTCAATGATGTAGAGCTTCTTTTCGTGGATGATGGCATTGTATTCTGAGAGATCAGCATGCACAAGTTGGCAGTTCTGATACAATAATCGAATATAGGCTACCATAGTACAGTAATAAAATGTTATCTCCTCTCCATCTTTGAATGGATAGTCTTTAACTCTTGGTGACGCGAAACCGTCGCCTCTGTTCAAAAACTCCATAACCAAAACGTTAGACTTTACCTCTATGGGCTCTGGAGCAGGTATCACCTTACTCTGGTGGATCCGCTTGAGGTTTCGAAATTCCTTTTCAGCCCAAATCTTAATCATTTTTCTGGGGTTATGTTGGGATCTCGAGTTTCTAAACCGAAATTCACCATCCACGTATCGCTCCCGGTCCTTAAAAACCAAAATCGATGTTTTATATATTTTGATGGCTAGCTCACGTCTACTCTGGTCGTCTCCGTTGCCATAACCTGAAAATGCATGGTATACGTTAGCTTCTTTACCCGTACTGAGGCAACCATTCATTTCCGATATTACACCTCGACTGGTGAGGGCATGCAGGAAACGCATAGTTCTAGGATCTAGCACATTTTCCACGGTAGCTCTATTTGCTTTGTCCTTGCTGGTCTTGGCTTTAGTTAGCGATAGCTCATCAGTCTTGATGTTGTGTGCATGTTTATCAAGCACCTCAGTATTTACATGATCTCTGTATGCTTCAAACGTCTCGGAGATACCCAAGTCCCGGAACTGGCTATTCAAACCCATCTTTTGATACTTAATGGACTTGGTAACCTTGTTATGAAGAGTGAGCGATGAGCTTGCGCTTTTCTCTATATAAAATTTATGACTTTATTAGATAGTTTGAAGAATTTCAAGGACTCATCTGAAAATCAAAAAGTATCGCGTATAGAGCCACCATTACTCTTCAAGCCCCTACTTGACATCCTGCTTCGACAGCCATGGTTCATTTTCCAAAAGTATGTGATCGAATTCCCCATCATTGATATGTGGTCCCTCTTATGACGCATGTTAATTTTCTCTGCCAGAGCCTTTTGCCAGAGCCTTTTTGTTAACCGTTCAATTTCGACAGTCGTTTCTAGGCGCTTTTCCACTGTATATTGGTGTGGAAATAGCTCTCGGTATAACTATCTTCAATAAATGTAGTGGGTTTTACGGAATTTTGGGATTGATAACTGGCCATGACCTAGATCTCATGCAGTGGCTGCTTTACGTTGTGTCGATTATTGCTGTTATTGTCTATTCGTTGGCTCTTACTCAAGTTTACAAACCTCAGCTTCTGATGTATTCGCTGACTGTAGTTGTGTTTACTATTGACACTGCTTTAACCTGTTTTTTTACGCTTTGGTTTAGCGGACAGTGGTTTTCTGCCAAACACCACGAAATGACAGACCCAAGCTCACAGACACATCAATCAGGGAGTCCGGAATCCAAGTATGCTAGAGGTGAAAACCTCGCTTCGCAGAGTGCCTCACAAACTGCCGAGTTTTTCTTTACTATGCTGGTAACGTTGCTGGCGCTGTCTTGGCGGTTTTACTTCAATTTTATTATCCTCGCTTTTGTTCAAAGACTTTTCCGCCACCCCAAGTACATGGTTGACCTGAATGACGTCGAGCAAGATTTGAAGAATAAGAGCCAGTTGGCTAAATGTTGGTACAAATCAGAGTGCATATGCTACAAATGGTGTAAGCATTATTTGGCTTGATTCGGGGAGGACAAGGTTAAAAGAGGAGCCAACTAATTTTGACTTCGCAAGGTTTCTGGGCTTTGGGCTGCTTCTGTGTAGTACAATGCTCCTAAATTCCACCTAAATAAGGTAAAAATTCAGATGCGGTTTAATTTGAAAGTAATAAGGTCACAGAGAGAGTATCTATCTATGAAATAACTAGGCATGTGAAGATACTCGTAGGCGTGTTTGTTTTCCCCACAATGATATCCAAACAATCCAAGGTGGCTCCCAAATGCCACAGTGCCCGAATGTCATGATGAATATTGATCAAAAATATCAATTTCATTCATCTCCCGAATGTTCATTGATATTCTTGACTAAAAATGTCAAAAGGTTGATCAGCTCGGTGTCTGTTGTCCATAATTCCGCGAGTTTGAAGTACACAACAAACTAGAGCTGCTATATCATTACATAGTACCCGAATGATACACGGCATCTCTAAAAAGCCACTTCTACAAATTATAAATTAGGTTTCAGTGCTTCTTTCTTTACCAAAAAATGATAGCAGGAAACCAAGCTGTCATTCTTTCGAAGTTAAGCCCGTACCAAATTTGGTAAAGCCGAAGGCCGGCCGCAGTGAGGGCCCTTTACCATAAAAGTGTTAATGCTGATGTCTAAATATGCGGAAGTGACACATTTGATTAATGAAGGCGCCGTGATATTTTGTTGAAACAATGTGCTAAATATTGAGGTTGCTTGACAGTCGACCTCAAACTCAGCAGTAGATCCTCATTTTATGAGTAGCGCGGAAGCAATTCCAAGAGAGCTACTTCCCTTTTGAAAAGTATTTCCATAGCAGGATGAGGAACAAACTCTAGCAATCATTACTGATACTCTAGGTTTTGTTAGGAATGTTAAAAAGTCTATGCCGGATTGGTCAAAGGTACGGAATTGCCTGTGGGAACAGTAAAACTTCACCAGGTCCTCTTCGGGCCAACTTAAAACTTCTTAGCTGTTTATGTTAAGCAAGTATATGCCCCTTTACTTGAAATTGATCCTTTACATATAATTGTTATTGCGCTTTCACTTTCTGGAGCGAAATTGAAACCGAGGCTCGTCATCACTATCATCATCATCATCATCACTACCATGGCCAAGACGAGCCCGAGCGCCTGAATTCTTTGGCCCGTACTCTCTCCCAAAAGGTAGTAAATCATGACCCGTATCCTCCACGTCGGTATATCTTTTCGGTGGCCCTTCTTGGAAGGGCGGCTCTTGCAATTCATCATCAACAATGAAAAGCTCTTGTTTGTTAGCAGAATGGGAGCTCACATTCCGTTCTCCTTGCGGTTGCTTAATACGCTGACTTGTAAAAGTAAACCGGGGCTCGTCTTCCACCTGCACCCCAAGGTTAGGTTCAGAGTTTTCGAGAGTACTTGCGTGTATGTTATTTTCTCCATGAATGCCATTTTCTCCATGAATGTTATTTTCTCCATGAATGTTATCATTCTCTGATAATTCAAAAGTCTCATCGGCAGGGGGACTTTTGCGCTCTTCATATGGTTGCAAAGAAACATAGTCTCTTGTTATCAGATATGCCTTATTCCGAATCGCAAGAGCGGCGCTATCTGGGCTAGCTCGAGATGATTGAGAAGGCCACTGCTTGACAAATTTTTTAAAGTTCTTCCGACCGCTCCAAAGCGGGTTACTGCCTGAACCTTGAGTCTCTCGAGTTTGTACCATCTTGGTGCTTGGGCGCAGAAGGTTTTTCTTCTCGACGATAGCCAAATTATCAAGTTTTTGGATTGCTTCGTCAGTAAGCTCCTCGCCGTGCACATCTGCCATTTTTTCTTTAATCCTTCCCACCTCATGAGATTTGGTTTCTTGTATAGCTTTTACAAACGAAGTTGAGCGTGCTCCATTGCGAAGTGTAATTTTTGAACCTTCACTCAACCTGTTTCCACCTGTCTCAATGGAGGTTATTTCTTCTTCATTTCTGTCACCAGCACTTTCAAGAAAATGCGATGCTATTGCAGCACTACTGGGAGCTGGGTCTAGCACCGCATGACTTCTTTGATTTCTGTCAATATCCATGTGCGAACGCTTTATGCTAGGATTCTCTGCAAAATCTTGCTCCTCGGGAAGGTCCTCAAGAGTTCTTTTTGGGTTAGATGTAATGACACCCACAAGCGGTTGGTTTGTGGTATTTAGGGATGACTCATTGGTCGCTATTCGCATCTTCTTTCGTATTGGCTGCTCACCATCTTCCTCCAAGAGCTGCGACTCTTTTTCATCTAAGCTTTTACTGCCTCCTACTTCATTAGTTTTTGTGGCTGGTGATTCTTGTAAAGCGGTCGAGCCACCACCAAAGAAGGCTAAACTATTCAGAGGCTGAACTCTAAGCCGGGTATTCCTTTTGCGCTTCTCTCGAAGACTGATTGATGGCTCGGGAGAGTCTTCTGCGGGCGACGATTGGGTAGCAGTTGGAGCTACAGAACTTGGCTTTCTTTTCAGCAGCTCCTCCGAAAGTAAGGTTGGCACACAAGTCTTCTGCAATAGTAACGAAATATCATTTTTCAGCACAGCGTTCGTAACATCGTTGATATCATGGATTTTGAAACCCAACTTTTGAGCGCCCAACTTTAACGATTTTGCTTCTTGAATATCAATATCAGTACTCTCTTGAGATGGAGATCTCAGAGAATTATTATGATTTATATGAAATAAGAGCACTATTGTTGTAGATCGCACCTGTTTTTGAATAAAATCAGCTAAATTCAGAACGTTGTCGCACAACCAAAGGGTACCAGACCCAGCATCAACAATGTGTTTGAATATTGAAAAGGCCTTTCTGCTTGTCACAATGAAACTGATACCGTGAAAGAACGATGGAACAGGCTTGAAACCTGGAAATTGCGTACTTTTCGAGACAAGCTCGCGCCACTTGAAGTCAAAATCAGTATGAACATGGTCAAATTCCCGAAAAAACTCACCAATAAAGTTTTCTTGTAATATGGAGATACCACGTAGTAAGGAGAACAAACAGTTGCTGTAATTTTCATGAGGTTCTTTGACAATTTGAGCAGTAGTATTCGGCATCAGGGACTCGGTTGCCTGGATCCCAAAGAGAGAAAGACCGGCCTTAGTCTCTTCTATAGTATTCAGATTATGGGGAAGTTTCCATAGCGCAAGTTCATTGACTAGTGTAGCATTAATAGGCGAAGCTCCCATTGCAAATGAAGCTTCCCTCGTAGAAACCGGAAATTCCACAGTTTGCCCTTGCTTCACGGTATTCCCATCAACTTTAGTCAATTTTCCAGTATTGGTAACTGAAAGGATACCTTTATTGTTGACTTCGAGCTCGATATGTTTCCGCGATATGCTCTTGTCGTTCTTTATGTTTAGAGGACTTTTGGTTGACCGTCCGATGTCGTAGCGAATCCCCTCTTTCAAACAGCAGGAGAATTTGACATTCTCTCCATTCTCAGAATTGAAGTCATACCTCAGAATCCACATGTATTTCACATACGTGCTTTCTGCCCAAATGTGTGGTAACAGTTTTTAAAGTATATATTTTATTAATGCGCGCCTCATTGATGATACTATGATATAGAAAAATAGTAGGAAACATGAAAGCCACGAGAGCCCTCGAAAACCTTCAAAGAGTCTTGACTTAGATGGTAGAATATTTAAATTTACTGTCAGAATGCTAATCTCATATTTTAAGTCCCTTCGAAGGTGGGCTCAGGGTTAAGTCAATATAATGACAAAGAAACTCCAAAAGAAAAGCCCGGTTTGGCAATGTCTTGGTTTCTGTAGCTAAAAGGAATAGCATATGTCAAGTCCATATTGGCCAAACGGCTTTTGTAAAGGAGTGAAATACCAGAACTTGCAGCCCCATAAAAATTGTCAAGTTTGCCATCAAAGACGTCTCCTCCATTTAAGAAACACTGGAGTCTCAAAGGAGAATCACTGGGCGTATTTGGAAGCTTGAAAGACGAAGCCAAACGTAGCTTATAGAAAAAATCACCACCCTGTTGGCCCACAGAATTTCGTTCGAAACCTTTCAAACTCGCAAGTCCTCCGAGATAAAATTTATCCATGTAATGAGTGGTACTTGTAGACTGAACTGTCGGGATTATACCCCCAAAGGCAATGTCAAGCGAATTGATAATCCTGTTTTTGAAGATTGGGCGATGTGCCTCAGCCGTAATGGCAAATTTGTTAAAACTGTGCTCTTGAGATCCTATTGTATCCGATGACTGGCCAAGCTTTTGCGAAATAACATATTCATTGCTGGCCGCTAGTTTTACACCAAAAGCGGGAAAAAGTCCAAAAAACTTTCGGTTGTCAAATGAAAAGTGTGAAACAAAGCTGCTTTTGGAGAACGGCGACTTAGATTTTTCTGAGCCATTTGCTGATGCTATATTTCTGGCAACAATGGAAAGGCCGTTGTACAGAAAAGGAGCAGAGCTTAAGTTCTTAGTGATCCACGTCTTTTGCACACCAATATTCAGAGCTGCTTGACTTTGGAGACCTTGATCTTCTGATGCCACATAATTCAGGTCTCTTAGATCGATCTTGGCGTAGGATGCATCAATGACGGCCTTTACCGAGGGATTCTTCTGAAGAGGAACCATGAGTTTTGCTTCAAAATTTCTCTCACCTCTATTTGGGCTGAAGGGAACTGCCTTCAGCTCGCTTTGTAAGGTCAAGACTTCAGCTTTCCCCCATGTATTGATAAAGGAATATCTTCCTCCAAGTGCAGACTGCGAGTCGCCGGTCGTCGAAGTCAAGCACACATTGTTGAATTGCATAGGCGTCAAAAAGATTCTTGCCGCTGTTGGAATAGGACTTTCGAGATTATAGTCCTTTATGGCGTCTTCGGGTAGGTTTTGCAGACCAGCTCCTTTGGCCTCTCTATCTAAAGAGACTTTCACGTCCTTGAACAATCCAGTGTAAATAAGTTTCTTCTTAATTTCTGAAAAGTTTGTCATTGACTGTTCCAAGGTCTGCAGAGGCTGTGAGAGAACAGGCTCCAGAACCGACTTGTAAACCGCATCTGAAAGGGGACTCAACTGGTTGTCGCCATCAATCGATACAGTCGTTATGAACAATGGTTTTAAAGAGGACCGCTTCAAGATGGCCAATTGAGTTTCTCGCTCTAGGCCATTAGAGAATTCCGGGTGTTCCATTGAGTATAAACGTTACCTATTTTAGGCCACCTGGTTAAATAGGACCTTATTAATTTTAATTTCTTACATGCTATTTTTCATTACTACTATTCACAATTTTGCCGACCAATCGAACGATCGAAAATAAAAGCATAAAGGCTATCTTTATTCATACTCTCATATCGTAAATGTACGCCCCGCGCTATATGAGAGTACTTAAAATATGCTCCCTGGTGGTTTGTTCTTTAGTTTCCGGATTCTCAAAAGGAGATCTTTGCTGAGGGATATTTTAAATGATAAAGGCGAGTCATCGGATCCTTGGGCTACGACATATTGACACACACAACTCTGAATTACCTTCATTATGTGGTGAAACCACTGAACTGATATGTTGGCGTTGCAATTGTAATTCTGCCTTATAAATTTTAAATTGGAATTGTTGAACTTGCGGTACAGCTGACCCCTGGTGTAACGTTCGAAGGAAGTCAGTTGGTTGTAGTAAGGATCTCTGATGCCAACCAGCAAGGTTGTTCTCGGTATCAAAGACGTCTGCACCCACATACGCAACAGTTTTTGACGGTGGTATGAATTTTGTGGTTTAATCCCTGCAGAACATTTAATTTCGGTGTAGATTCCAGTAGTCGGGTCCACACAGTCTATCTCGGCCTTGAACAGGCATTCTAAATGTGAATCTATTCGACCGCGAACAATGGAATAAAAGACAGTCTTTTCCTGCGAATGTGCTGGTGTCGTTACTAGATTTTCCAGTTCAAAGCCAGTGTAGCATAGCTTGCGCATTCTCTCATCGTTTGAATGTATTCCTGTAGCTTGGCGTGATGCCAACTTATCGGGAAAGAGGTGAAGGACTCCGTTGGAGTACACAGCTGACAGGCAAACGTCTTGATTCGAAAAGGGAGACATAATTAGTTCTACAAGATTGTGTCTTGAGCATATAATAGTCAGCTTTTCGTCTTTCTTCACCGAACCCGATTGATTTATGAAGTTCTGTATGCCCTGCATGTTTTCCAATTGATCAGTTGCCAGTGGGATAAACTGGTCGTAATGAGTCAACAGATCGTGGCCAAAATAATTGGAAACGTGGCATCGACTTCCATCTTGGATAAATTTTGACATATCTGGTTTCAACGAAGCCAATCCATGCCGACTTCCTAGTACGAACTCATTTTGAGGGAGCAATTGTGTCAATACTTCGGCTTCTTCCACCTCTTGGAAAAACGACAAGGGGCTGGGTAATATTTTCGAGGGATTTAAATGTTGGAACTGCTTACAATTCACTTCTGTAACATCGCCTGGCGACTCTCGAACATCGAGTTTTTCAAACGTCCGTACGAGTTCGTCTGCCATTGATCGCAATCTTGACCAAAGAAATAAGGCTAATTTATCATTCAATAGGCGCCACTCTGATCCTCGAACAACAGTTTTAATCGGGGACACACGGCCTGGCTCGACTTCTTTCAGTGACTGACTGTTGTTCACTCTTCAAGACCTAGTTGCCAGATGAGAAGCCTATGAGCTCATTGTACACGAGAGAGCGCTTTCAAGTTTCCTTCCCTTGCTGCACATCCTTGAGAGATTACTCCGTGCTTTGCAAGGTAAGATTCATGACTGAACTGCGTAGTATGGTGTTAAAATGAGTAATACTTCATCAGAAATAATCTTTGATATTCATCGAGAATCGGACTCCTACGAAGTGGCTGGTTATTCGTGACTACCGAATGAAAAGGCTGGTAAACCATCTTTGAGTATCATACTCTATCAAACCGATAATTGAAGTTAACTCACGAGCTTTGGTTTGATGCCACCAAGCTTAACTGGCCTGGCTGATGCTCTCTCAAATTCAATCGTGTAGTACGAATGAGCAGTTTTTAGCATATTTTAGCAATTTCGACAAAGTCAGGCATCGCTTCCATGCCCATCACAACAGAGCGGCCATAGCTGTAAATAGTTCAACGCGAAAATACTTAGCAGTTCCGCTTCTGTCGGCTTTTTTATAATGGTAGCCCTCGTAAGGTATATCCCTAAAAGCACCCTTTGGCTCTGTCCAATGTTTTTAATAGGATCAGATTTAATCACAAACTTGTATGGTGGTGACAAAGCCCGGTCAACTGTAACTCGACGGGTTCACCATAAGACAAAACAGTTGGTGTCGTCACGTCGACATAAGTCCGAAAGGAATCAGAGCATGGGCCAGAAAAGCGGAGAGGGTATTTTGCATCACATCAGAGAATTTGATTGAATAGCGTTGGCATAATTTGGGGTTTTGATTGGAAGCACAGTCAAGTACATCAATCACAATAGTAATGAGAGTTCCGATAGCTGCGTTATTTTTCGTTCGAAGGGCCGTGTGTCGCACTTAATGCTCCAAAGTGTGCATGACACGGTACATTAGTCGAAAGCATGAAGAAGGATTTGACTCAAATGCCCTCGGCAAGTCATGCACCACGCCTTCAAGACCAGTTGTCCTCTCGTAGTCTACTACCAAAAGGTAGGGAAGAAGGGATAGCTTGACATTCGTTCTGCATTTGATATCTTAGCATCGCACAGGTCTGCGAGGCTATTTCAAGTAATATAATCATTCATTTTGTAATTTTAACTTAGGTGCATCTCGGTTTAATATTGTACCTCCGAGCAGGATGTAAAGTAGGTCAACATTTATGGCATCTTCAGGACAGTTGAAGCTGGGACGATACAAAGGGCAAGATTTTCAGAAACAGAAAATTGTGTTGTACAAAGGCTCAATGACACTGAAAAATCTGCCCAACGAGATCATTTATGTGCCCCCAAACCATTATCAAGCAAGTGCGCCAGTGAATAACGCACACGTTAAACTTACCAACCAGAGAAACGAGTAGATATCATTTTGTACAAATGCGTCATTAGATTTCCAGTTCCCATAATGAAGGTGCACTAAAGATCTATTTAGACACTTGAAGAATGGTCAATAAATAGTGCTTTACGCCCTCTAGAGTTATTAAAATCATTCTCAAAAGTCATGCTTGAATAGTGTAAAGTTAATCACATCTAAGAATGCTTGAATCAGAATGCTTGAATCAAAATTGCGTCCGACTACTCTTGAAATGTCACTACGTTTTATTAACAAAGGGAGATTTTGAGCAATTGAAGCCCCAGGTAATCAATATTTTGGCTAAAACGATACCTAATCTCCTTTTGAATGTTGATCATGCGTGAATAAACTACCTTCATCCTGAAAAACTAATTCAATTTCACTGCTCAACATTTAGAGCAAGGTCGCTGCTGACTTAAAATAACTACTTCAATTGATTACCATAAGTCCTGATACTCAGGTCTTGTATCCAATTATTTTGAGATAATTTAAGTGTTCGCTCTTTCTGTTCATATTTGCTAAAGATGGTTGAATGGTGTGCTATTGTGTTTGACAAAAAGGGCAGCGATAGATCCGCTTGTAGACCCCAACATCTAGAGGGTGTATCAAGCTCTTTTGGAAAAGGCTTACTGAAATGTGCTGGTGCTATTTATCACGAAGTTGGAGCGGATGGGAAGCCCACTAACTTTGCGGGTTCTAATTTGCACATCGAGGCTGACACAAAGGAGGAGGCTTTACAGGTGATCTACAATGATGTATTCGCCAAAGAAGGCATTTGGGATCTCGATAATATAATTATCTACCCGTTCGGCTGTGCGGTCCGTGCTCCTAAATAAAATGATCACTCAAGGGTCTTGCCCCTAAGGTGTGTATGTGTCATTAAATGGTTGGTATGTATTCGATATAGGAAGGCAAAATTTGGGATCTTCATACCATTTGATCAGTACGAGACGCTGATCAAGTAGTCTGCCAGTTGTTCGACAATCTTGGTAGCTTCGCCGGCCTGGATTCCAGGTGGGTAATGTGTCACCAAGATAGTCTGTTTGGTGCGCACACACACCACACCTTCTGCCTCATGTCTCCCCCAGATACTTCTATCGTCGGCTTTGATCACCATGTATTTTTGACCATGAACGTGCAAACCTACGCTTTGTAGACCAGAAGCATTGTCGAAACCTTGCGCAATTTCGGAGATTTCGTTAGTTGGTAAGCTCAATCCACCAGAAGCAGCCCATACAGAGTCACCTGCTCTGGAGTAAATTGCAGCTTTATCAATCTTACCAGTAGCAAGAAGGTTATCAGTGTATGCTTCATACGCAGGTTAGTAAGGGCCTTCGAGAAACGGAACCGCAAAACCACCTTCGCCAATTCCAATCATTTTTCTTCCCAAAAATGTTGTAGCTATTGTAAACATACCTTGCCAAGACATTAGAGACGATGGTAGATAGTCTACTAGAATACTTTGTTCAGTTATAAGGGCATGTTAGGAGTCTAAGTTATTTCTGAAATCAAGTCGAGTTATAGAAAATGACATATCCGGGTAATAGAATTCAAGGTGAGAGACCTGCGGGCGTGCTTGCTTCTTCATATCTACTATACATAGGCTCTATTTGGCCCAATATTGAGCTCATACACCTAGCCTAATCCTCATCGTCGTCCAAGATCGCCACTTTCCTTCTTTTCAGCGAAGAAGCATCGTCGTCTGCATTACTTTCAGCTTCTTCCTCGCGATAGTGAGATTCACCACTGCGTTTGAGTTGTCTTAAACGGTCAGCTTTAGCGTCATCGTCATCGCTTTCGCCAGTAACATCCTCTTCGTCCTCTTCTTCGTCATCGGGGAGTTCGTTATCGTCTTCTTCATCGTCTACCATGAATCCATCGTCTTCGTATTCATCGTACCGACTACCATCGTAAGCCAGTCCAGATTTGGACGAGGAGCCCCCTCTTTGTTTGGCTAACAATCCTGAAGGCTCTGGAGAACCAAGCCCTTCGCGCTCCTGTTGCTCGCGTAATTGTCTCTTACGTCGTTCGCGGATGATTTGGCCCTGCTTCTTTTCCAGCTCCCTTTGCTCCAATTCTGGGTCCACCCGAAGAATATAAGTATTTGGACCCTGGTGTTCACGCTGCTCCTTGCGAGCTACAGCTTTGCTGAGACGTTGGTGACTCTTGGAGTTGGTAGATGTTGGAATAAAAATCATGCTACTGGAGATCTCGCCACCTTTCGCAGACTGAATGAGCTCTTGTTGCTCGTGGGAGACGGCTAAATACGTGTTGTCGATGTCGTTTATCAGAACATCTGTGTATTCATCGCCCAATCGTAGCGAGTAAGTGCCATCAGACCACTGAACAACCTGTGCATTGGACTCTTTGTAAACGCGTTGATTACTGTCCCGCGAGTACCTCCAGCGAACAGTGTTCTCGTCAATGAGCCGATCTCCAATTTGGTCCTCTTTCGAGACCGATTGCGCTGCACGCTGTTCAACTTTGTCCTGGAAGGCAGGAGGATCGAACGGTACGGGATCTACGGACAAAAATTGTGGCATTTTCGCGTAAAACAAACCTTTTTGCCCTTCGTTCTCCTGGACAGGAGCTGTTGAGTAAGGCACAATATGTTTGACCACGTCCACATCCGCTTCTCTGAACTCACCCTCGGAGCCTTCGCCATCCGAATTTCCAGCGTTCTCGCCATAAAACTTACGATTGTACATTGCTTGTTCATCATCCTCGGCCCCCGAGTGTTGCTCTTCATCACCATCGCCCTTTAAACCCACCTCCTCGTCGTTCTCACTCCCAGAGTCCTTGCCGCTTTCATCACCAAACAAGTCTTCCATTTCCTCAGCTTCTACAAGAGGCTTCGAGCTCGGATTCTCATCTTGAGTAGGCTCCTTCTCTTGTACAGAACCAAGGTTACTTTCAGTGTCCGACATTGTCACCTCTCGAATGGTGAAGCTAGTCTCTGTTGTCGTCGAACCTACAACTGATTTGACTTTCATTGAGCTTGGCTTTAATTTCAGGTGTCAGTTTCGGTCAAAGTGATTAACAAACTAGACAGCAGAGTGAAACATAACGACAATGTGAAATATAGGTTCCCGACGTATATTATACAGAGGCTTGTTGTCGGCCAACTTGTCACGGCTTTCCCTCCTTTAACTATATAAATGTCGAGCTCTGTGCACTTCTTTCCAAGGATTTCTGGCTTGAGTTTGACCTGATTTTAGTAGTATATTAAAATGACACAAGAATCTACGAAATTTAAGAAATACGCTTGGAAGCAAGTGTTCACGATTTTGTGTATCGGAGGAATTATTCTTGAAGCATTTTTCCTTCCTAAGATATTTGAGATCTTGCGGCAAAAGGGCTTAGCGGGAAGATATAACTCGATTTTGCGCAGTAGGCTTATGTTGAGCACCTCCCGAGATACCAATCACAGCCTAGAAATCCGTGACGATGGGTTTATGTCAGCGGTGTACTACGCAAATTGGTCACCCTACAGTTCTAGGACTCACTTCCCACATGACATCGATTACCGTCAAATATCGCATGTGTATTATGCGTTTTTTGTAGTGGACCCGAAATCTGGCGAGTGTTACTCTAGCGACCCATGGGCAGATTCGCAAATGGATGTTTACAAGCAAATGACTTTTAGTTCCAAAGAATTACGGTTTCCACAAGAAAAAGACCCCAAAATCACTGCTCAGAATTCAAGTGCACAAGCACAATTACCAATGGGGTGTCTTGGGGAGTTGTTTTATTTAAAGTACACAGACTTCATGATATCTAAAGGTGGGCCACCCAAAGTGAATAATTTCAAGACTGTGATGTCTGTCGGCGGGTGGTCTAATAGAGACGCCTTCAAAAGTTTGGTTGACGATAAACATAAACTTGAAAAGTTTGTCACATCCTGTGTCGACAACATGTTCAAGTATGGGTTTGACGGTATTGATATCGACTGGGAATTTCCTAAAAATGATTCCAAAGAGCCACAAGTATACCTAGAGATGATGAGGTTGTTGCGTGGTAAACTCGATGAGCTTGAGAAATCCATATTTGGACCTTCACAAAAGCATTCCGATCATTTCATCCTGACAACTGCAATACCTGCAGATCCCTTGAATCTCGAGCACCTGCCGCTTGGCCATGTCAACCAATTCGTGGATTACTTCAACTTGATGGCCTACGATTTTAGCGGGAGCTGGTCCGAGCGTACGGCTTATCACAGTAACTTATTCGATGCTGCGCACGAGCACAAGAGGGATGGAGTGGACCACAGCCATAATCTGAATGCGGACAATGCAGTAAAGATGTTGATCAACAAATTCCAAATAACTTCAAAAAAAGTTGTGCTGGGTATGCCGGCTTATGGCCGCGGTTTCAGGAAAATTCGTCTTGCTGAAAAAGAAGCTTATAACGGATTTGGGAATGGTGCTATGGTAATTAATCGCCAGTACAGCGGGATAAAGGGTTCAAATAATGGTGAAAAGGGAATTTCATCATACACAATGCTTCCCCCCGTTGGATACATGGAGTTTTTTGATTCCACTGCAGTATCGGCTTTTTGTATTAAACCAGTGCCCTTTGGCCGAAAGACTAGCGTTTTTGTCTACGATAATCCAGATTCTATGACGAGAAAAGCGCAGTACGTTTTGAAAAATGAATTAGCTGGGGGGTTTTGGTGGGAATCATCGGGCGAACCTTACAATAATCCACGCCGATCTCTAACAAGAACTTTTACTCAAGAGGTGGGGGTTCTCAATAAACAGGACCCCACGATCTACTCTAGCCCGCGAGTAGCTCAATACTATCTGGCCCGGTATCCGCATGGGTTCTTATCCTGCATACTTTCCAGTGAAACAAGGTCACTTCAACACCCAGAGGCTAACTGAAAAGCATTTAATAACATATGTTATGCCTTATTTAAACCCGATATAGGAATTCAATTCTGAGCTGCATTTAGAACGAGCAATTAAGCCAAATTCACAGTAGCGTGTCCATTCGCGAAAAGACTTCAAATACCCCAGCAACAACCTCCAACTGCAAATCCGCGTTCGGATTTGAGGCTATTTCTTCTTGAGCCTCGTTGTTTAGGTTTACAGAGATTCCAGTCTCTGTTGGCTTGTCCAGTGAGAAGGGATACTGAGAGAACTGGGCCAAGATCTCATCCGCACGACCAAAAGCACGATCTCTCTTTTCATACTCAAGACTAGATAGAACATTCTCTAAAACGTTTGCACCATATGCCCCACAAATCAGAGACAATGTTCTTATTAGCTTGAAAGATACAGATTCGGGGAAATAATCGTTATAATTGAGCTGCATGTTTCTAGAGACCAGAACTGAAAGTATTCTGCGCTTGATTGATTCCTTGCAGCTACTGTCCACCACTGGATGTGTGGGCATATCAAATAAGAAGAAGTTTTTCATTTCAGTTCTCAATACACCTTTGTCAACTAAGCCCTTGGCAAGTCGTTCACGAACTTGCTTTAGTTGGTAGCTTATTTTCATAAAGTTCCATGTTTCTCCACTGAGCAAATCGATCCAATTGGCTATCGTTAGCGGCTCATCGTTCTTCATCAGGTTCAGGGCCTCATCTAGAAGCACCTCACCTGTTTTCGTCGCATTACAGACTTCAACGAGTCTCTCTGACACATCAAAACGTTTTCTGGCAGAATCATTAACCACTTGAATCTTGCCTCTCAATGCTAGCTCAATCAAAATACACCCACGTAACGCGTATGAGATATTATCGTTCCAAAATGACAGATACCCCTCTTTATCCTTAAGCCCCATTAATAATACTTCCTCCATGATCGTGAGTTTGGGCACAGAGTTGTTGTTCTTCAAAAGAACTTCCTCCGGATCGTAAGCGACTTTCCTGTTGCCATTCTCTTCTTCGATGGAATCGGCAGTACTGCTATCATTGTTGTTATGCCCCGCAGAAGCTTCAGATTCTGTTCTATTCACACGACGACGTTGGAGCCCTGACATTATGAATGTAAAGAATACGCTGGCACCGTAAGATGATAATTAACCTACTATCCGAGAAATTGGTGGGAGGGAAAGCTCGAATGAAGTTAGGTTGAAAAGAAAATTATCTTGTAAAAGCAGATGATTTTCTATTTGCGGCTTGTTTAATACCACCCTCAATGGCTCAATGCAATGCCTGTTAGGTGTGCAGTGAGGATATAATAGCTAACCTTTAGTGTCGACGAGAACTAACTAATTGTTATTATTGAGCTATAGGAAATCAAAAAAATGCGTATTTAGTGATTATAAATAGGTGTCCGGGATTCTGAATCTAATCGCATTGTTCTTAGGTTCACTAAGCTTTGATTAGTCCTAGCCCAGCACCGACCTTTTCAAGGGCTCAATTGTACCTTCTTGTTCTTGGCTAATGTACACGAGGAAATAGGGCGTTGCTGTGTTTCCTGGTTCAAAATTAAAAACCTCACTTTCAGGTGCCTCCGTCACAGTTTCATCGTTGTACTTACGCCAAATTCCATGGCGAGAAAAGTCCTTGATATAGACCCAGTAGTGACCGTAACTGGCCTCCCCACGATGTATGAAAACAGCGAATAAAGAATATCCATGTCTTTGGAAATTGTTAAAATGTGTGTTGAGATTATTGTTTAAGATGGTCAATCTCTGGTAAATATCCGCAAGCTCGTTATCAATCTTCAGGATGAGAGAGTCAATAGTACTTAGGGTTTGCTCTCGATTCGGAACATCAATGCCATGCTGATTCAAAACATCAGCTTGCAAGAAATTTTTGGTTTCAAGCAACGCTGATTTGTAGCTAAGCCCACTACCATTTCTTTCTAGAAGTTCGTGTTGCCTTGCCATCAGGGTAGCTCTTTCCGCCTTCATGACAGCCGCCTCGTTTTTTTTCTTGATCAATACTGGGTCTTTAGTGTTCATGTATCTATCCATGTATATCACGTTTTTGAACGGCAAAGGCTCAATCGATTTAAAGGGCATGAACTTTTCGCGATCGTAGTAAACCCTCTGAATTTGAAGTTGCAAGACTTTTGGAAGATCGGTAACAGTGACGCTTCTCTTTACATCACCGTCGTCAAGTTGCAAAACATCGTCTTTGAAATATTGGTCTAGGGCATCGTAAACGTCCCTGGGTTGATCTACTACATTTATCAAGAGAGACAAAAATCTCTCGACTTTCGTTCTAACCTTGCTTGAATCGTTCAATGGCACCAAATTTTGCTGTAGTTGGCCGTAAAATAATTGTTTGATTAAATCATGCTGTTCCCCATCGTCGTCCAACTTAATGGGCATGGAGGCACTCTCCAATTGAAATAAAACATTTCCAATGCACTCTGTCACATCTTGTTGTCTGCCCATTTCTAGTGCATTTTCGAGTTGATCAGCACTTATATTAGCGACCCTGGTCGAGGATACTATGGGCTCAACCACTCCAACCTTATCTACAAGAGCGTTGGTCTTCGCTTTTTCTTCCTCTTCACTTTCAGCAGTGTAAGTCCTGCACATATTCACATCTTCGTTGCTATCGTTCGTTAGGTCAATCACGGAAACCTTTTCGTTGGGTAGAGCTTTGACAGGTGGAGTTTCCTCAAAATCCACTTCAATATTGCTAGGAGCAAAAGCCAGATATGCTAATTCCCTGGTGGGAGTTACATATCTGTTGTTGGTCTCTATCATGCTTGTGAACAAGTCGCGTAATTGATAAATAAACTGCACTGATCGTTCAACTTCGGGGCCAGATACTTCCCTTCCGCCAATGCGTCTTTTGTCTCCATAGTTCCCAAGTGAGTCCTGAAAATCATTTAGTGTACTTTGATATGATATTATTGCCTCGCGTAAAGGAGAAATGCAAAAGTAGTATTGTAAAAGAGAGTTGAGATAGCAAGTGTTGCCAATATTATTGAGACCAGCGGGCCAATTAACAGCTGGAAGACAACCCACGTCGATGGAACCTGTTTCTAAATATCGCGTTATGAAGAGTGAATTTCGCTCCGTACCAATCTTTCTCAATGCAAACATAATTTTCAAAAACTGGTCAGGAGAGACTACAGTCTCTTGAAACCATCTTCTTTGGAAAACTTCTAATACAGTTTCATCAGAAGCATTTTCGTTTAGTTGTAACAAGTTTAGAGCATTTGAATAGGTTATCAAACCGGCAGAGTAGTAATCTTGAAATCTGGGACATTGCTCCAAAAGTAGCTTAAACAAAGGCATACTCTTTCTATGAACGGCCAGGGTGTAAACTGCCCTGTCGCAGTCAATTTTGAGACCCGGCGAGTCTGATACCTTGATAGTGTAGGCAGTTTGAATCACGTCGATATCCACCGATTCATCAACTTCAAGCAACCGGTAAGCTTGGTAGGCATTGTCGTAAGGTTCGTAAGCAACATAAAATTGAAGCGCGTCGCTACCTTTGGCCTTAGCTAATAAACGCAAGGCATTTTTTAAATTGGCATGTTTTTCAGTGCTTGCCTGATGCGTTTCCCTCCTGTAAACATCTAGCAACAGTTCGTCACTTATTGTTGAGATATCAGCATCGATCGGATTGATTCCGAACAACAATAGGGTGGAATCCAGATCCTCTTTACCAATGACATCTTGCTTGCGAGCATAGCTGATAAGGTAATAATCGGACCTGATATTTGCGATGTACGTGAGGCAGTCAAAATATCGACCGGTGTTGGATGGATCCAATTGAATTTGGCGTTCATAGTTTTTTATAATGTCCTTATCCGAGTAGAAATGATATGCAGAAAGATTGATGAAATGATAATTTGCGTCAATATCACTATTGCCACGATCTGCTATGCCTCTAGTTTCACCTAGTACATGGTAGAAAAAAGATGGTGAGTAACTGACTTGGTACAGTTGGAAAGTGCGGACTTTGGATTCCTTTGAAAGATGCTCTTTGGAATTGATGCTACAAGAAATTTTCCCCAACAAGACCAACTCAAGACATTTCCTAGTGTAAGACTCTCGAAGTTTTCTGACCGATAAGTCATTGACATAATTGGTCAGGTCGGGTGGTTGAAATTCTAGAGAAGCATGACCATTATCACCACTATGACAATCATCGTCTTGTGCTCGGCATAATTGAAAATTAAATTTGTCAGTCAGCCAACTAGAATCCAACTGAGAGTTTAGAAATTTGTTATCAGCAGAGATAGTCTTCAAAACATCTTGAGAGCCATGCCTATTCAGTGGACCCTTGAATATCTTCAAAAGAGTACTCAGACATTCAGCTTGTGATGGTATGGCTGTGGAATCCAGATCTGGAAATTTCTCACATGCTGCACTAAACCTTTGGCGAATATTTTCCGGGTTAAAGCACTCTAAATCGGCTTTTGAGAGCTCTGGTCTGAAGATTTCGATGCAAACGAGTTTATTTGTATCATTGGAAACATAAATTGCGGAATCAACCAATTGTGGATCGTCAGGATCCGCAAGTAACAGATCCAACTTGTCCGCAGGGTGCAACTCAGAGAGTAGATGATAATGCCTGACGCCCGTTTGTCTGCGCAGTCGTTCCAAATGCGTGCGTGTTTTGATGGTGAGTTTGAGATGATAAATGGGTACGTGAGCCAATTCGTCCTCGGAGCTGGGCATGAATGAATGATCGATTAAAACACCCATGAAGACAGTGATACGATTCAGCCCTGGACATGTTTTGGACTCGTACTCATAGCGACTTTTGAGGGCTACTTGGTCGAGCAGATAGCCTATGGTGAAGGCACTGTGGACATTTGTTCGCGAATAATCCAGCATCGGCCGTCTAAGTATGCCGTCGCGAAGCCCTGAAGAGACCACCTGGGGATCTTCAGACCTTCGATAGCTCATTTCTAGTTTTATATCGTCCAGCAATCGTTCTGCAGTTTTGAAAGGAAACATTGTACTTGCGTTGGGATACAAAAGTGTCTTACCGTCATCACTGTCTGAATTGGCAGGTGATGAAAGCTCTACATCTGGTTCCACGACTAGCGGCAGTATGCTACTGTCTCCGGACTGAAACTCAGATGTTGGGGAGTCCCGGAGATCTCTAAACATCACGCACAGTGTTTGCTGATACGGATTGGTTAGTTAGGGTTCTTTAAGATCTGGGATGTATATTGCACCAAGTTGTGGAATCCTTGCGAACGACATGCCAGTTACGTAGTCAGTGATACAGCCCAACACACTGGTTAGGTGCTTTATTCAAGCAGCATAGTTTTCGACCCAGAAGTTGTATGGAGTCTTCAAGACTTGACGAGGACTCTCATCATGCCTATTCTTCTGGTGAGTTTCCTTTGTGGTCTTGAGCATGGCAACTTTGAAATATATTTTCCATGAGCCTCGATCTCAGAATCTTGGTTAACATGAGCGAGATCTCACCCAAAACAATGAAGAGCTTTTGAGCAGCGTCAGAGGAGAGGCGGTTTATGTTCCGTTTATCTTCAAGCATGGAAAAATATTGAGGCGAATCTGATTCATCAGTAGAAAGCTTACTAAATTTGTCTTGTAAGTCGGACATGGTCATTGTAAGATGAGTAACTTGGATCTAGGGAATTCTATTTATCTCTCCGTGATTATTTTAGGCATTAGAGTTGGTTCAGTTACCTGAACAAAAGCCTGGTATTTATACAATTCTCACTCGGTGACTCTGGTCAACATATTTATTAATCACCAGTTCTAGATCATTCTATTACCCAAGGATTACGGCTTCAATGCCGTACACTACCGATAACTTATCAATGGCCAATCCCATTGGACAATAGTCGTTCTCTTCGGTTTGTCTTAGCTTGTAGCTCTATTTGTATGGCCTCGGTTGTGTACTATCATTCCGTACCACTGTGTCACATATTTACTGACGCTGATTATGCGATTAGACGCACATCACCATCAGTTTATTCACATCATTCCCAACAAAAAACAAAGGCAGTGATATGTGGCACCTACCAACGTTCTCACCTGGGTTCTGAATTTCACCTGTGAAACCCAGTGGATTGCTGTAATGGCTCAGAAAAAAGGTCTATCATGTTCAGTATAGCTTCTCCGTACGCCACTGCTGCTCAATCAAAGACCGAAGATGGGCAACTTATCACTCTGTACAATACCGTCACTTATGAACTGATCATGGTTTAAATGCGCAGTTTCCGAAAGAAAGACGCTATTTGAAAGCGAAACTTTTTCTAGAGCTAGCATCTACTTGCATTCAACATCCACTAGACCCTCGCTATTGCTCTAATGACTTACTATTCGCACTAGTATTTCCCATACCAAATGTGGTAGCGACATGTGATCAGGGCTTGGTCATAATCTATATGCCAGAGTATGGAAAGATAATCCACATAAGATTACAGAGGGCATCGACTACCAACTTAATTAAAGATCATTCCTGAGCTTGTTCGCTGTTGTGGCATAACGTACATTCTGTGTGTCATTGGTTCTGTCTTGTGAGCAATGGGCGCAAAGACCTCCAAGCTATCGAAAGATGACCTTACGAGTCTAAGGCAGTCAACGTATTTTGACCGTCGTGAAATTCAGCAGTGGCATAAAGGGTTTCTCAGAGACTGTCCCTCCGGATCGCTTACCAAAGAAGAGTTCACCAAAATCTACAAGCAGTTTTTTCCGTTTGGCTCCCCAGAGGAATTTGCTAACCACGTCTTCAAGGTATTCGACAAAGACGATAATGGAACTATCGACTTCAAAGAATTTATCTCTGCCCTTAGCATAACATCCAGGGGCACGTTGGAGGAGAAACTTGTGTGGGCGTTCCAGCTTTACGATCTGGATCACAACGGGTCAATTTCCTATGACGAAATGCTCACGATAGTTTCCAGTATTTATAAGATGATCGGATCAGTGGTGAAACTAGAAGACAACGAGGCAACCCCGGAGCTGCGGGTGAAGAAGATTTTCAAACTTATGGACAAGAATGAGGATGGTGAGATCTCCCTGGAGGAGTTTCGCGAAGCCTCCAAGGTGGACCCTTCGATAGTCAGCGCCTTGAATCTGTATGATGGGTTAGTGTAGCGTTCAGGACAAAACTTGATTGACAATCCTTCCTAGCAATTATCTAGCCTATCGAATGTTTTTTTACTTTGTTGTTACGAAGGCTCTACCATAGCGATGTAAATTTAGTACACATAATAATTGCATATACTTCTGGCCCTTTTAGATCCTTTCTGCGGTCCACACGGCTGTCCTGCAGATAGCCTTTATACCTTCTGTGAGCAAAATATAAGGGACTGCTTTATGAGCGTCATGATCTACAGCAGTGTCCAAGTGTTCAAGTTCCTCGTCTCGAAATAATTTGATGGTCGAAGTGAGACTTTGAAGTTCCAAACTCTTACCCTCGGCGCCCTGGACGGTCTGCATTTCGTACTGGCTATTAAGACACCTCAACTGATCATTATAATGGCCACCGATGACTGTCTCTACTGCTTCGGTACACGCCATCGCGGCCTCCGGCGATATAAGAGCAGTCCCACTACCCATGGCAAAAGCACCGAATTTCCATAGCGGTGTCAATAAACTAGGCCTCACGCGGCGTTTCAATTGCAGCTCATTGAAAGTGTTATGATGATGTACCTCTTGATCCCACATATGTTGCAATACTGACTTCAAATGTGGAAATCTATTAGCCAGTACGAAAAACTGACCAGCGTAAATGTAATTGGCACCTAGCTCTCCTGCTTGATTAACTCTAACAACTCGTTCTAGGTACGCCAACTGTGCCTCTGAGAATGGTTTGAACAATTCAGGTTGTTCCGTTGGTGCGTGCTTCTCTACGTTCTTGAGACCCTTTAGAACAGCAAAAGAGCGGTGTGAATTCCTTGTGATCAACCTGCGATACATTGATAACTTGTTTTGTTGTGACGACTTACGCAAATAGATTGGAATGGCGAGGGATCGGAGCCCAGTACCTTGTTTTTGAATATAGCAAATCTTTTACTTGTCAGCTAATTTCAACATTTCAATTACCAACTCCCTTGTATTGGCACACAGACGTTAATTTCACAAAATCTTCAAATATCTGGACGATTGGCTGGCCAATTTCCATAGGAACTTCTTGTGTGTCTCTGGAATGTGTGACGGATTTCATTTCGTTGAGCGAATTTCTCAAATGCCTGACTTTGCTGTTCGGAAGTTCTTGTTGAATGAGCCAGTCCACCGAAAAAACTCGCTTGAACCTCTTTTTCTCCGTCCAAAGATCTACATCAGACTCTCGTAGATCTCCTACCATCTCTGCGAGCCCGCAGAAGCATCCTGACCCGTTCACCGAAAAGAACAAAAAGATTCTGGCGCCAATCGGACGAGTGCGAAATGCCTGAGACAGTCGACGGTTACCTAACTCCGTCGACGACCAAACCCCGTTTATCATAGAGATATTAATGTGTTCAGCTCTGCTGGATTTAATGACAAAGTACCTAGAGCCATCTGCCACTCTTATGTTTTGCGGCCGTGGTACCAATGACACACTGTGGGGCCAAATGACATTTGTGGCATCCGTCTGATCCGATTCTCTTGAGTTGAGCGGTAGCTCACAGTAGGTGGTGTCAAGATTGTTATGGTTAAACTGTGTATTTGAAGTAGAGCCGCCGCTTGGTGAGACGTCTGCGTCAGTTTTGCGAATGTCAACTTTGTTACATGAGAAAAAAGTCTCAAGCTCTTTGAGAGAGTCCTCTATGGTTCTGCTTGAGTTGGCGGCAGCTTTCTCAAAGCCAGAGTGAATGCTTGGTTCTCTAATTTGGCAGCCAAACATATTGAACATGTTCCCCAGAAGAGAGGCCAAGACGATCCAAGGTGGAGATGAGAGGTTGGAAGACAAAATTCTCGACTCAACAGTAATCCCTAATGACTGACACAGCTGGCCTACAATTGCTCTAACTCGCTTTACTGAGTAAACTCTTCAAACTTTTTGTTACAGTTTATTTACAAGGTATATTATGTTTCAAGGCGAGTAAAACGTGAAAAGCGTAACATCGAATCATAGAATCTTCATTTCCGATCGAAGATTTCATGTTTCGACCTAAAAGCAGTCCGTTGGGCCTCAACTCATTTTTTAGCAGACCTACTTCATGAGTCTCCGATAGCCGAAAAGACGTGGGTCAATTGCTAGAATACATGATTTGGAGATTTTAACGTTTCAACCATGTCAAGTGCTGCTTGGGGATCATCTTTATTGAATACAAAGAGTCCCTGTAGCTGAGCAGTGCTGATCTGGACGTTGAGAGCAGTGGCCCTTTGGACAAAGAGGTCGCAGTACTTGTCGCCATCTGGGTAAAACTTCATGAACATTTCCCCAACTTGGAAAGGCGACGCATTGCCAATATATGCTTTGTAGTCAACCCTGCCCGGTCTCATCAGGGCAGGGTCAAGAACTTCTGGGTGGTTAGTAGTCATGAAAGTGATGGTCTCTTCTGAAGAGGCAACTCCGTCAAGGGCATTCAAAAGACCACTGAACGTGACGCCGGATTGGAAACCCTTTTCTGCTGATTGTGACCGCTTATTAAATGCGGCATCGACATCCTCCAGTAGCAATATGCTTCTTTCCGGAATATTGTTCATCAGGTGGTTCAAACGATCGTCCGTCAAGTTGGCCTCAGAGAGATTCATAATGCAAATGTTGTAGTCCAGTTCCCCAGCCAAAGCCTGGATGAAACTGGTCTTCCCGCTTCCTGGTGGCCCATAAAGCAGATATCCTCTTCTGTATGGAATACCGCGGTCAAAATACCATTTGCCATTTTGCAGGAACTCTTTGACATCATTCAAAATATGATTTTTGATGCCCTTGTCGAGAATTACAGAAGGCAATAGTCTCTTGGCCTTTGGTTGTCCAAATGGTCTCCATTCTGGACCCCAAGATGTGAAGATTACCGTCTTGCCGTCCTTAGCCTTAACGGCTAGGTTTTTCGCGTCACTCAGCAAATCGCGGAATAGTAGCCTGTCTTTGTACAAAGTAGTTAGCGTGACGGTTTCGAAAGGTGCTCCATTCGTCATGTCGATCATTTTACCTGACCTCTCGCGCTTTATTAGCATGAAGGCACCTTTATACCGGATCAGATGATTACCAGGACCCGGCACCAGTGAGAACTTGGTCGAGACTGCCCCATTATCGTGCTGAATAAAATTGGTTTCTACAGACAAATGCCTTGAAGATCTATGCGGGTGCTTTGCCATCCACTCGAGAAACCATAGATAGGATTTGTCCTTAGATGGAATTTCCATATCCACCAATAACTGTCGGTACAACAAACCGCTCAGCCGTATTACTCCTGATCTTGCTAAAGCCAAACCAGAGCCTAAAATCATCAGTCCTCCGCCTGCTGCAAAATATGGGTTCCCTTGAACTACCTGATTGAAGAGACCTGTGGCCATTCCTGACATTGAACCATCAGAGTCTTTTTTCAATTTCTCTAGATCAAAAGATGGCGGCCCATTGGAACCAGCTCCATTGGGACTTTCCATTATCCTACTTCCTGGTAGTCGTAATTCAATTCAATCTAGAATTGAATTCCACAAGCGCTTGTTTATAGTGTTCAGTGATGAGATGAGTATAACTTATAGTTTTTTACATTATTTTTCATCTACATACAATCTCTAAGAAATAAGGTTAGCTGCTGGACTATACAAGGCAGAAGCATCAAGTTCCAATTGATCGCTAAGGCATGCCATTTCTCTACTTTAGAAACACTTTTGGTCTTAGATATCTGTCAACAGCAAGAAAATCAGTGTCGGTCATTGGGTCAGGTCCCTCTGGCTTTTATACCGTCTGTAGACTGCTTTCCAAGTCTACAGTTCCTCTGGATGTTACGCTGTGGGAGAAGCTGATCGTGCCATTTGGCCTGAGTCGTTATGGCGTGGCTCCAGATCATCCGGAGGTGAAAAACTGTGAGGATACCTTCAGCCGATGCGCTGAGGAGTTTAGAATACCTAACAAGGCAGGACACCACTTCAGATTTATGGGTAACGTTAATATTGGGGAAGATCTGAAACTTCGACAGCTACTTGAAACTCAAGATGCGGTAATATTGAGCTATGGGTGCGGCGGAGATCGAAGGTTAGGTATTCCAGGTGAAAAAGATACTCATGGAGTTTTCACCAGTCGAGAAATAGTCAACTGGTATAATGGACATCCGGAGTTTTCTGGAAATAAGGATACCCTAAGCAGTTTTGACTGGAGTAGAGTTCGCAAGGTTGGCATCATTGGTAATGGTAATGTGGCTTTGGACATTACGAGAATTCTCTTGAGCAATCGAATACCTGAAATTTGGTCGCAAACGGATATCAATTTGGAGGCTCTCAGAGCCCTCAATCAAGCTCCAATCGAACAGGTCAAGCTGATTGCACGTAGGGACTTTCAACACAGCAAGTTTACCAACAAGGAGTTTCGAGAGCTCTGGGAGTTGGAGAAGTACGGTATCAAGGGTATCATAAGACCAGAATTCTTTGATGTGACCAAATTCGACATGGCTGGTGCTGATCGAGTGTTCAAAAGGCGCGTCGAAATGGTTTCTGAGTATTTGCTACCTTTTGATCAACGAACCAAGAAAAGCTACAAAAAGAATAAACCCCCTTCGACAGGCGTTACCAAGACGTGGGAGCTCGATTTTCTCAAGACACCACTGAAAATCAACAGTGACTCGCAAGGAAGACTTCAATCTGTTACTTTGTGTGAAAACAGCCTGACTTCCGATAACCAGGTAAAGCAACATCATGACGAAACGCTGGAATACGATGTGGACGTGCTGATTACGTCGCTTGGATACGGAAGCAGTCCACTCGAGGAGTTTGTTCCGTTGAACATTGGCTTTGGATCAAATCGGGTTACGAATACCAATGGTCATGTATTAGATACCAACGGTTCCATGGTGCCGGGGCTCTTTGCCGCGGGCTGGATACGAAAAGGAAGTAGCGGTGTTATTGCCTCTACGATGGCAGATGCATTTCAAGTGGCTGATGCAGTTATTGCGGAGCTTGAATCCGGGGCGTTACCCAAGACCAAAGCCTTGGATGTGTCTGGTTTGAAATATACGACGTGGGAGGACTGGCAAAAGATCGACAACGAAGAACGCAAGCAGGGTATTTTGGAGGGCAAGCCACGTAGTAAGATGTTATCGGCCTCCGAAATGCTTGAGTTTCTTGATTCCACAAAGTAAAATCAAGAAGGTTGCAAATTTTAAGCGCAATTCCAACGACAGATGGACCTTGTCGATTAGGCCCGTCTAGTGGTTATGCGCGTGGGGTAAATAAGGGCACGCAGTGGCTGAACATTTTGTTACCTACTTAAAAGCGTCAATTTTGATGACATTGTCGTGGTTAAGTCACTGATGTACCATGTTCGGATAGTCAAGGGCCTTATTCGTAACTAACTCTACGTGCTCTTCTCGCTGGCCACCTGGAAATGCGTGATGTCGCACTCAAACTACGACGCTAAATTTATTATTTTTACACCAACATTTTCCGCTTTTTATCCCTCAGAATTCCTACTCACCTCATCTTAATCATTCCCGACACTTCAAAACACTGAAACTCCGAGATAAATACCTTCTTCTAGTATTGCATCCAAGTGACACTAAATATAATGTTGACGAACTACGAAATAGAATAAATGACATCAAACTCAAATCATCACCTTCAATAGTCAAACCAAGATTAACACCCAGATTAACACCAAGACTTCAAAATGCAGAACTCTTATAAACAACTATGTCTTCCAACGTTTGCCCATCACCAAGCTCAGCAGTACAGAACCAATCAAAATTCTTTGGTCGTGTGTATCATCAACTACGAAGCAAAAAGTTTTCGAAATTAACGAACCTGTTATTATGATCATATTTGTAAAGGAGAGTGAACCTGAACTACAAACTAAAACTCCCGTCGCCGAGTAAAGAACAATATAGCCATGCTTGCTAAACGCGCCCTCTCCACCTTGATCCCACCAAAGATTGTTTCTGCTAAGGTATGTTTCTCTGTCCAAGTTTGTGATGTTTGGAGTTGTCTGTCTTGTGCTAGGCCAATTCTGTTTAAGTGACCTTGCAAGGCCATCAGTTTCCATTCCTTCCAAAACTCTCAGGTTTGTTACTAACCACTTCAACAGAACCTGGGTTCTGCCCCTAACGCTCAACGTATCTCCCAGGTCGTGCAATTCTACAAATCTTTGCCTCAAGGTGCTGCCCCTGCTTACAAGCCCTCTGGTCCAATCGGCAAGTACAAGGCCAAGTACTTCGATGGAGAAAATGCTAGTGGCAAACCTCTTCTACACCTTGCTCTTTTCGTGCTAGGTATGGGTTACTCCATGGAGTACTACTTCCATTTGAGACACCACAAAGACGGTGCCGAGCATTAAAACTGAATTATTGCGGCGCTGCCATGATACGCACCTATATAAACGAGGCCTATTGATCGTGCCACGCCCTCATGAATATTCTATAGTTAATTGAAAAACGTCTATGATACAACTAAAAGAAGTAAGTGACACTGCGGAAACACATTGAGTCTTGCTTAAGATCCTCAAAATCGAAATCCTATTCCATTGTTTTTTAACTACACACGCCTTGCAAAGTTTCATATATACACATCTACTATGCACATTATATCAAGCTTCGCTGATATACAGAACTTGAGTTCCTCTGACAAACACGTCGCCATCATATCTATGCAGGAGTCCGTTTTCGTCGGTTTCATAGTGCTCTGTGGCTTGGTTGAGGGCAATGTTCATAAATCCGTCGATCGATTCTAGTACACCTTGATACAGCATGCCATTATGCAGTTTCACCACCACAGACTGGCCAATAATGTTTGACAGAAACGCAGCAGAGGCCGTAGGCCTTGATTCAGTACTGGACATTATCGTTTAGAGGGTTTATAGAGCACAGTGTTAACGCAGTAGAGCTGATATGCGATGACCCGGGACGATGCTACCTGCGCAAGCTATCTTTCTACCTTGATCATATTTTCACTATAGGTACATTAAAATTGACCTCGAAAAGTGGTCACATGATCCGCGCTCATAGAAACGAATTGGCATTGTAACATCCAGGATCTTTAACCCGATGGTGTATTGTGTCGCTCTTGTTCGCGGTCAATGTGTCAAATGTTGTGACTAATCGGGGCTTGAAATTGTCGACATATATTTGAATTTTCGTTCTGAAGCGGTTAACAGCTCTGTCAATAACCTTCGGCATTTATGTGTGAACTAACCGCCATGGCTAAAGATTTTTGGAAACTCCGATATTATGTTCAGTGATAAAACATCTCTCTAGCAGATATTCTGGTAAGGAGAGCTAATTTTGGTGCCGTAGGCTAGAGAAAGCAGGTTTTGCAACAGTAAATTGTTTTGTGGGTCCAAACAGGCAATTTTGACAACTGAAATGAAAGCTGAAATGACATCTCGATTGACCAGCCTGGACTGCTGTATCTCCTGATAGCCTTTATACAGGGACAATTGAACCATTTTGTCTCATATTGTCAAAATTCATTGCCGCTGCCATTGAATTAGGAAGTATTGAAGGCAACGGGTCTAATAGCACAAGGAGACCGAGGCCGGTTGATTTATGTGAACGAAAAGATATAATTAAGTTAGGGCCTCCATTTTTTTTTGATGGCTGGGCCACGCTGCCTTTTTTGTCCGCTTTTAGAGCTCACCGAATGATACAGAGTTATCATTCCATAAATTTACGTTACCATCCCTCCCGTTTTATTCTGGTCTGCCAAGCACATCAGTTTATGTTGTGAGCTATGCAGATTCAAGTAAGCTGTCCAGAAAAGTGAGCTGTCCCATTTTCAGCTTATAAGGACCAGATACAAGACCGGAAAATGGACTCCGCCAGCAAACATTGGCAGGTGCGAGGACATGCACGGTTAAAGGCCAGAGTCTGATTAAACTCGATTATAGTGTGCTTCTGCTCGATATGAATGGGTTTTCCATTGTGCGGTTGCCATGTTTCGTGTTTGGCATTTTGTTTGGCTTTTCATCTTCGTAGCCTGGGATGTCTAGTTCTCAATTCTTGTTCATAAAACTCGAACAGGCTCCAGATCTGGTGAAGCAGGGGCCCCAAAAAAAGGAGCATTTGACCGTGCAAGGGCGCTCGATCTTTGAAATTGTGAGCGTCGGACTTTTTCGAACAGTGTTGGCTAGTTGCGTGTGGTCCACCAACTGTACTTAAACCAGCTACAAAAGAGCCATTTTTTGATATTCCATCACTCTTTGCGCAAGCTGCTCGTATGGGAAACCCAACTGTAGAAACTCCGACTTGTGTTCGATGCAAGGACCATCTGGTTATGGGGCATGCCTATGAACTAGGGGGGGACAGGTGGCATACACACTGCTTTTCATGCTACAAATGTGATAAACCATTGAGTTGTGATTCGAATTTTCTGGTCTTAGGCACTGGGGCCTTGATCTGCTACGCATGTTCGGACTCTTGCAAAAACTGTGGGAAGAAAATTGATGATCTGGCCATTATTTTAGCTTCCTCTAATGAAGCTTATTGCCAGGACTGTTTTAAGTGTTGCAAATGTGGATGTAAGATTGAAGACCTACGTTACGCAAAAACCAAGCGTGGGTTATTTTGCATAGGGTGTCATGAAAGACTCTTAGAGAAACGAAAAAACTATGAGGAACGCAAACGTCGACTAAAAAAACAACTACCATTAATACCCCCGAATGGCAGTAACTCCGATGTTGATACCGCATCTGCTGTAATTGAATCAACCCCAGATCTTACCATTCCGGAGCGCTCCATGAACAGGCCCATGTCACCCGGAAAAGAAACCCATCTGGTCTCTTATAAAGATCAAAGTTCGTTACACTCCAGTCCACGCAATCATGGACACCACGTATCCAGTGCTTCTTCACTTGCTGGTCCTATAGATTTTTCCGAGACTAATTCGGCTAGTGGCGAACCACCCACAACTTCCGAGAAGCATGATCAAACTGATCTCACTGCCAACAATAGCAACATCCACAGTAATTCCGAAAGTGTGGTTGCGCAATTTCTGATTGACGGTGATTATATGAGTACCGCGGACGAGGAGTCCGTTAGAGGACCGCCAGTAAGTGAAGTTGCGCCTGAGGATCAAGACAAAGTTGCCTCCAACCATGTCACCCCGAAAAGAACTCACAAGACCAACTTATCAATTGATGATATGCTTAAGAATACCCTGGATCTTGACAACGATGAAGTTCAGGATGCGAAAAGTCTAAATCTCCTGCCCAATCAACACAAAAAAGTCCTCTTAAACAGGACTCCCTTAAGAAATTCTCATGAAGAGCGTATTAATAAGTCGCCTACCGCTTATAGACAAGGACTTATATTCACTGATGAAGATGTAGTGGCAATTAATTCACCAGAAATGTCACAAGACCAGAACCGATCAGCAAGCCCAGGACTGGGAATAATCACACCTTCCAAAAGCGCAGTTGTCAGTAATGAAAATGACACAATGGGAATAAGCTATGAGAGCTTACCTCCACATAATAGTGTCCCTGGCTCTGCGGGTTCTCAAATCTCGCGTTCTCCACCACCGCCTGGTCATCATAGAAGAAGTTCAAGTGGAAATGCCAAGAAGTTAGGAAGATCATTATCCATGCGGTCAAAAAGTATCATGATGAATTTAAGACCCAAGTCAAAGGATGCTAAGGGTGGTTCGTGGTCTACAGCAGAAAACGACCTAGACACTCATTCTGGGTGGGGAGTTGCAGCGAACTCCTTCGCCGATTCACCTTCAGCAAGGGAGCGACAGGCTTCAAAACATACTAGTGACAGCACACTATACCAGCCTACTCGTCAAGACGGTGCTCACCACAATCGGTCCAGCAGTGGTACCACGGGTGTTTCCATATTTCGGACTCCCCCATTGACCTCGCAGTCTGGCTTTGTCAGGAATGGGTCTCTGAATAGCAAACTTCTTGATCACGGAGCCCTCCAAATCGATGAGCATGATGAGGAAAACGATAAAACTCCAACAAACGACCAATTTTTCAGGAAAGATGTTCAAGAAGCTGAGCTCACACTTCGTCGCTTGAAGCTTGAAGTTAGCCAATTACGAGCAACAAAAGCCCAGCTGTTGAGCGATGTCGATTCTTTGAGATCATCGAAGGACTCGTTACTGGACGAGATTGAGCTCTCAAAAGCTCACAAGAAGCACAGTGCAACACAATCCACGGAATCCTTGGAACATGACAATTTTGAAGATTCGGTAGAAAGGCAAGCGGCGACAGCTAGCGTTGCAACTACGGAAAAACCAAAGTTCTGGAAACTTTTTAGTGCAAGTAAGCATGCACCGGGTCACGCAGGTGGCCATGGTAAGTTTGATATATCGCCTCCAGTCTTACAAAATCCTAATGAGTTCGAAGACGTCAAACTCTTACCGGTTCAAAAAGATAGCAAAGGTTTGTCATCCTCACCTCCTGCTGCCAACGATGGAAATAGCCTGTACGGATCAACGCTGATAGCCCGATGTAGCTACGAGGGCAGAGACGTACCTGTGATCATTGACACATGCATTAAGCACATAGAGTCTAGGAAAGAATTTTTACAAAGTGATGGTCTTTACCGAAAATCTGGAAGTAATGTACTGATTGAACAGATTGAGGCTGCATTTGGTCAGTGGAAGCCCGAGGAGCCGATCTCAGACAAATTGCGCCTCCAATTGAATCAGGATATTCACGCGGTGACCGGGGTACTGAAAAGATATTTAAGGAAACTTCCTGATCCTGTGTTCTGTTTTCAGGTATACGAGCCTCTCATGGCGTTCGTTCGTGAAAGGGATCTGGTGAACGCGTTGCCACTGAAGGGCAACTATGTGGGTGCAAATAAAACGGTATTTCAAAACGCGGTGGACCAATTAAGTTCCCTCCTCCGTCAACTGCCCAGACAACATTACACTCTTCTCCTGGTCTTGGTCCGGCACATCGAAGAGGTTTCTCGGCATAGCGATCACAACCTCATGAATCTGCACAATTTGTCTCTAGTGTTTACTCCCGGCCTCATACGCGACTACTCGGGGGAGAAGGACATTACAGACATGCGAGAGCGGAACTATCTGGTCGCATTTGTACTCGCGAACCACCGTCATTTGTTGAACTAGACAAGGATATTAAAAAAGTGCACATATGCAGCAAAATGTGTAGTCATATTTTCAGGGTCCTCTTCGAGAGGTGGGCATTAGTTAGTTTTTCAAATACATACAATTTTGGGATACGCTTGATATCCTGGTAGCTGTGACGGGCGCGAAATTGCGTGGCCCGATGCTTCTGGCTAGTGGATATCTCTGACTTCGGGAGCAGAGTAGGTTTCCAGTCGGCGATATCCTACGCGCAGCAAATGCTCAATCGTGCTAAAATCCTTGCGGGCCAAATCTCGGTGCTTGTGGAATTCACCTCTAATGTATCTGATGAAATTATGCTGGCTTTCCTTAGGTTTTCGATGAGCAGCTCTGATACACTGTCTATACATCTGTAGGACTTCACGCTGTAGCCCACTTAGCCGTTTCACCATCACTATAGCAGTTAAAGTATGATTTATCTCTTCGATAGGTGTGATGGGCTTTGGTTGGGATGCCTTGGCTGGCTTGATCAATATAATATAATCAATAAGGTTCTTTCAAGGTCAGAAGATGATCACCACATTTTTAATAATCAATTGAAAGATTGAGCACTTGCTAGATTAGTGGCTCAAAGTTGAGCGATAGTTAAGTCAGCTTTGAACTTCCAAACGATGTCTGGGAATGTGTATAGCATACATGGCCATAATCCACTAATTCAGATTAAACTATAAATATATAAGTGGCTAGTTGAATATACCGCTGACAGGCCGGAATAATTAATAGAAATCAAACAGTTATCTGCTATGCCGAATAGGACCATCAAGCTTACTCTGACGTTGGTATATGAGCCAACTCACCACTATGACAGTGTTGGCGAGCTTCATTAGGGCTGAAAAATTTGTCATAGGCGGATCAAAACCATCATCTCTATCGGATGAACAATAACCGCTCAAACAACATCGAGTGCTATAAGGGGCATACCGGGCAATGGATTGGCTAGGATTTCTGCTTAACTCTTTGATGGTAGGCCTGGGCCGCTTCAGTTTTGTGGCTACGGCGTCTATCTCGCCAGTAGCCAAAGAACATAATTTACTCGAAAGAGGATACGGTCCGAGATCCAGCGTTTGGGCTTTCAGTGGGATAGTGTGTTTAGTGTGGTACTTCACCGTTTTGGCACTGGCATACTCCGGTTGGATCGAAATCATGCGCAAATATAGAGACAAAAAACGGCTGGCCACGCAGGTGGATGCTAGGGAAGCCGTCAGCATCATTCGCCCTTGCAAGGGAATCGAAACAGAGATGGTGGCTTGCTTGGAAAGCAGCATTCTGCAGGAGTATCCGATTCACAAATTTGAAGTTCTGTTTTGTGTTGAGAGCCGAGATGACCCGTGTTTACCTATCATTCGCGAGCTCCTCGCCAAGCACGCTCGCCACGATTTGAAACTACTGGTGGGGAAAAGTGGACTCGAGGACTACTATGGACCCAATCCTAAGATAAACAATCTTTCCAAAGGTTACCGGTATGCGCGAAACGATATAATTTGGGTTTTGGATGCCAATGTGTGGGTTGCACCGGGTATTCTTAGCCGTAGCATTGCCAGTCTTGTTAAGTCTCTTGATAACGGTACAAAGACCGCTTCCCGTCCGGTTGTGTTGACCCACCATATCCCGCTGGCTTTGAGTGTGAGCCAAAACGACCATGTCGTTCCTCTGAGCGCGCGCTTGGACGAGATGTTCATGTTCAGTTCGCATGCGAAATTCTACGCTGGCTTCAATAAAGTCAGCATCGCACCCTGCGTAAATGGGAAATCAAATCTCTACCGCCGATCGGATCTAGATAGGGCTGTAAAGGACATTGGGGGAGCCGCCAAAAAGACAAACCTGTTCAAGGACAAGCAAATTCAGCAAGAAGCACGCAGGATAACCGCGAAGGCGGTGGAAATGGCACATGCTGATGTCCGGAATCCTTTTACAGAATTAACAGCTGATTCGCAGACCGGCAATATAGTGGAGCGAGAAGTCTCTGCCCATGATCAACTGCATCACCATGGGATAGAGTTTTTCAGCACCTACATCGGCGAGGACAACATGATTGGGACCGCTTTGTGGGACATGCTTGGTGGGCGGACTGGTATGACCACCGATGCCGTGGTTCAGCCTCTCCAGTTTGGCGTTCGCGATCAAGGACTACGGAATTACATAGATCGCCGCGTCCGCTGGCTCCGCGTTCGTAAGTATATGGTGCTAGCAGCTACTTTGCTGGAGCCTACAACCGAATGCTTTGTAATCGGCATTATGGGTGCCTGGGGGTTAAGCTGGCTTTTGAATGGCAGCTTCATTATAATCTTCACACTCCACTGCGCAGCATGGTGCCTCTCCGATAGGCTACAATATCTCGTTTTGCTACATACTATTTTCCAAGACGATCATATTAAAGATTTGCCTGGCTTCCTAATGAGAACCAGAAATGTTCCTCGCGGTTTTGCCGACTGGTGGAAGATTTGGCTACTCCGCGAGCTTCTGGCTCTGCCAATTTGGGTCAAAGCTATGTGTGGGTCCGTCATCGACTGGCGAAACAAGCCGTTCCGAATCAAAAGCGACCTTACTGCCGAAGAGCTGATGCCTACCTCGTCGACCTCTGGCAACAGAGGACTGTACCAATAAGGTGATCACTGTCATCAGACGAACACCGTTGGATTATGTTATGTTAAAAAAATACATGAGACAATAAGATATTGGCAAATATACGCTGAAATGAAATCTCGATTTCAGCAGCACCAAAACACTGGCACCTTCAGGAATTGTCGGACAATAGTGTCGTTAGCCATCACATTAAAACATTTATCACTTGGACGGAATTTGCCCGTCGTGGGCATAGTGACTATCGAAAAAATTGTCTTGTTAATATAACGGAGAAGAACCTTTAAAAATTCAAAAGTTGAAAGCGAAGGAGAAAGAGTTATTCAAGCTCGGATCGCGAAGTCTGATTGAAACTCCTGCCTGAGTATTCCTGACTTCTTTGTCATGAGTTTGTCTGAAAGCCAACTCATTTGAACTATACTCATTGCTTGGTTAACAGAGGACTGTACCAAAGCATATTCAAATACTTTATTCCAACGCAGATCTACGTTCACTGGTTGAGGTAGCTGCTTGATGCATAATCGAGATAAGTCCTCCTCGGAGAAGAAGCGTAGAGTTGCTAGAAGAGCATGCTTAGCTTGTCGGGATAAAAAGGTCAAATGTGACGGAGAGGTTGTGGGGCCAGAATTAGGATCATTGAAATGTTCCAATTGTGCCAACTCAGGTATAGAGTGCATATTTGTTGCCAGTCATCGGGGCGGCAGACGGGCCGGCAGAAAAATCCTGGACCATGACCAGGGCCCTGTTTCCCATCACCGCATGCTGCCAAAGCATCCGCTAGGCTTGCCTGGTGGCCCGTTTGCACCACCACCACCACCGCCACATATGCCTTTACCTTTTCCATTTCCTCCGCATCACCATCGACATCCATTTTTCTCCTCACCATGGGATCCACCACACCAGCTGCCTTATGATCGGTATCAGCATCATCACCGTTATCATCATCATCATCATCATCATCGTGGTGGTCGTCGTCGCGGTTTTCATAGTTCATTTCACAATTTAACAATGCCACTCCCTTTGGCAGACGCCGCTCGCAATCGTCCCGCATTTGATGTACGGCCTGTAGAGGAAACACGTTCTCCACATCAAAATCTCTTTCAGGAGGTACGTGGTAGCTCGCCGCAAGCAGGTTCCAGTTCCCAGAAATTTCATCTCCCAGATCCACCTCTTCGCAATTTGGCCCCGGAATCTACCGAAAAGCTTGTGCCATCTTTGGCCAAAATAGCATTGAGCTCTGATTCATTACAAAGGCCTGGCACACTTCCAGACGAGTCCCCGAATTTAACACTTCCCCGGAACTCTCCCTATCATCAACTCGGTTTTATGATAAACGGCAAGTTTAGCGAAAAAGAGTTGGAAGAATGCGGGTTTCCTTCTTGGAACTACTGTCTCGACTGCTTCAACTGTTTCTTCACATACGTCCACCCACAGTTCAAAATATTAGAATCCCCAACCAATTTTTTGACTAACTTTCGTCCTACTCACAATACGTCTTTGTCTCATGCCGTCTTGTTGTGTGGAGCCATGTATTTGCAAAGTGATCAGTACAACGCACAACTTCCATATCAGCATCTTGTCGAAAAATATTGGGACGAATTGGACATCCTTGCCTTGTTACAAACTTTGCTAATAATGGCCTTTTATAACATCAGATTCTCGAGCAACAGAGAACAAGCCGAAAAATATTTAGCTCACGCAGCAAGACTTGTTGTCCACTCAAATATTCCGAATGAATATGACCAACAAAATCTGGAAAAGCTAATACTTGTCGCGTCACTCAGAGTCAAAATGCAAAAGGAAGCTTTATTGACTGTAGTATGGAGGCTTTATTATACTATTTATGAAACACGCCTTTTCTACAACGATATGAAGTTATGCTCAGAATTATTTTCCCCACCAGACGATGGTCGGTCTCTCGAAGAAATTTTGATCCCGAACACCCTTCCATTTTGCGCTGACGGATTGTCGGAGTTCGGTGATGTTCTTGGTTGTGTTGAGCAAAATCATTTACGCAAAACACTGTGGAAAGGAAATGAAGCCTCAAATACCAATGAATTTTATTTGAGGACAGTTCAAGTACTCAATAACCTTGTATCTCCTCAGAAAATACCACTTAATGTTGACGTTGCGAAAATAGAACGATCCGTTAACAGGGGACTTGTGAGATTTCAAGATGGCTTTGCCGTTGTGGATTTTCACACCTTGGCGAGCAAAGTCATGTTATTAGAAATTCGATTACGTTTGGCTTTATCTGGTAGCTCTAAATTATCCAGCTTATGTGCCCAGGACATAGGGACGTCTTCTTTTGCAGTCACTTTTTTGCAGGGACAAGAGGAATTCGACATCCTGTCCTCTGGCGATGTAACCCTCTCGAAACTTCTGGAGCTTTTCCTGATCATCCAGGATATTGTTGAACTTTTGAGTTTTACTAACTTTTGCTCGGATGCGTTTTCAAAGGGGTTTTCTCATCCCTTTATAAAATTAAGCTCAGCAAGCCACGCAGCGCCTGGCTTTCCTGAGAATTACAACCCGCGATCTCAGTCATTTCGCGAAAGTCAACCAGCCGGAAAGAGTTCAAATTCTAGGCAGATATACGGCAGGGCTCGCGAAAGTCTAGAAACTAATACGGCTTTAAGGTCTTATCATATATTTTGGCAACAGCTTCCTCCATTACTGGGAAAACTCATATGTCAAACTGTCCCACTTCAAGTGCTTCTATTGCTTTTCAGCAAAAATTCGAAATATGTGGATAAGGATGTATGCCCGCGACTAGTCTATTTTGATGAAGACCGCATCCTAGATAATGAAGCCTCTACAAACCTAAAAGACAACATGTTGCGATGTTTCCAATTCAAGGATATAGAGCCTGAAGTACTCAACCTCCGTCACACTAATATTATATTGAAGTCAATTTGCGATAACCGTACAATGCTTGAAAAGCTTGATCTTTCTTTGGATGCCGCATCACATATCTTTGATACACTGGATAAAAACGGCCTTTTCCAGACAAACATTCAGCATTGCAAAGACTGGACAAAAAGGCAATTCACACACATTTTCTAGCTTTACGGATGTGTTTAATAACAAAATCTATGCAAGGTGCGCAGATCAAACGCATGCTGTTCTTTCGGTCCCTTTTTATTTCCTTCATTTTACATTACAAACTTGTGTATATCTACTAATCTACTGATTATTTGCTTTCCAGATATTGTTGGTACCCAATGGATTCCAGCTTTTCGGCCTTCACCAAAACCTCTTCCTCCTGTTTGACCAAAAACTCCTGCATTCTTTCATGATAGGATGGGGTGAAAGCACCAAGTATTCTAACTGCAAGAAGAGCGGCATTGGTGCTATTATTGATAGCTACTGTTGCTACTGGGATACCCCTGGGCATTTGGACAATTGAATGCAAAGAATCTACACCATCCAACGTAGATCCTTTAACTGGGACGCCAATGACCGGTAGAGGAGTCATGGCGGCAACCATACCAGGGAGATGAGCAGCACCACCCGCACCCGCAATAATAGCCTTGATTCCGCGTTTGGAAGCTTCAATAGCGTACTTACTCATTCTGTGAGGAGTCCTATGGGCCGATACAATAGTCACCTCGTAAGGGACGCCAAATTGGCTCAAAATATTGCAAGCAGCGCTCATTACTGGCAAATCTGAGTCTGAGCCCATGATAATACCCACTTCTGGCTTTTTTGAGGTCCCTGGAATGTTTGTCTCTAATTCATGAACAGCGCTAGCGAATGGTTGTTCATTGGTCTCGCCGGTGATATAGCGCAATTTACGCTCACAATCTTGCATGGAAGAAGCAATTATATTTATGTGACCCATTTTCCTTTGAGGTCTAGATTCCTTGCCATAGAGATATACAGAAGATCCAGGGGTTTGGAGCGCCCTTTCACAGTCCTGTAACTCCTTATTCTTTTCAGTCTTGTCGCCAAGGACATTCAACATAATTGCATTGGTGTTGGATGTGGCCAAAGAAGCAAAATTCCTTGGGAGAGGTAGCCCTAAAATTGCTCTAACGTGAGCTTCAAATTGAGATGTTACACAAGCGTCAATAGTGAAGTGTCCTGAGTTGTGGGGTCTTGGGGCAATTTCATTAATCAACAATTCGCCATTTTCCAGGTAAAACATCTCCACACCAAATATACCGCAGCCTGGGAAAGACTTGATAGCATCCTCCGCCAAAAGCTTGGCTTTCAATTGGACGGAGTCAGGTACACGAGCAGGAGCGAAACATAGGTGGCAGATATTTTCCTGATGTATGGTTTCGACAGTAGGGTACGCATACACCCTTCCATCAATGGATCGAACAATCATAACAGCAAGCTCTTTGGCGAAAGGTGCCCATTTTTCCGCATACAATGGCCTGTTACTCAAAACTTGCAGGGCCTCTGGGATCGACTCTTTGGATTTCACAACAAAGTTTCCACGACCGTCGTAGGCCAGCGTTCTTGACTTCAGCATGTAAGGGTACCCAAATTTGGCGCCAACAGCAGCCAAGGTCTCCTCCGAGGGATCTGAGATTGCTACGCTCTCAGCCACGGCGATTTCATTCTTGATCAAATGTTCCTTTTGCGAAAATTTGTCTTGGATCAAAAGGATAGTCTCAGGCGAGGGATAGATTTCCAGCTTTGGGTAAGTCTTCTGCAACCTCTGCAGTGTTGGGACATCCACATGCTCGATTTCCACAGTCAAAACATCGCACTTTGCTGCGATCTTTTCAATGTCTTCTGGATTGGCGAACGAGCCATCCACATGCTCTGACTGAGCGTTAATTTGCTTGGCGGGGGAGTTGGGAGCATCCAAAACAATTGTCTTCACATTGAGCCTACTGGCAGCTTCCACAACCATACGACCCAGCTGGCCGCCGCCTAGGATACCTACAGTTCTGGAGTCCATTTTACTTTCCTGTTGAATTTATCAGAGTTGGGAACTATTTCAGATGCTATTCCAGCGCTTGCAAGTAGCAGCAAATGTTAATGAAATAAGAAGCAAATGTGACAAGGATTGACGAACTGGAAGCCTTGCTATTTGACATATGCTCATATATATATTGCCGAAGATGATTATCATCTATTAATTAACGACCATCGCCAGACAGAGTCAGTGCTATATTGTCCTATGGCATTTCGAACGGTAGCCATATGCGTGGATAGTGATATTTAGGGACCACAACTCGCTGAAGGCTAGCTAACTCGCTGACTTGCTAGCGGAGCTGCCAGAGAAGTTTGGGGTTGTAGAGTTTACCAGGCGGTGAGACCTTTCGTGAGTTTCGGATAAATTATCTGGTCGACGGCAGACGCGGTAAAGGAATAGACAAAACATTCGGATGCTACTGACCAGAGCAAGATGAGCTTCGTTGTAGCTGCGCTGGATATCAGTTTAAATCTCATAGTACCTCAGAATATTCAATTGGAATACTGTTGGATTTCCAAAAACTCGTGGCACCCTAGGCTTTTTGCCTAAAATGCAAGACGTTCGAATCTGAAAGCTTCAACGAATAGATGAAACACCTTGTGACCTTGTATATAACAAGGTGTTGGAATTACCAAATGGTAGGGGCCTAGTTTTAATTGAGTACCGTTGAGTTGTATAACATCTGGAAAGCGTCATATTAGTACGAAGTGACACCAGGACGTCAGTAAAATCAGAAAAGTCCAAAAGTGTGCATATTCTGACAAAGAGTACTGGAAGACTTCACGGTTTGGTGATTCCATTGTATTTGGTCAGGACTTGATTCCGATTCATCAAAGAAAACGCCTCACCTCAATCATTTACCCGCTCGTAGTTAACGGTGAGCTGATTCAAGCTTTCTAAAAGCGATGCTCTCGCTGGTTCACCCCGAGTTGATTTCGTGTTGTATTTGATGTTGCCTTGCTGCTGAGAGATAGCATCGAGATCTTTCAGAAGTTCCTGTCTGCTGGGAGATACGGTCATTGAAGACTCCTGACTCGGTCTTGTTGAATTCAGTAAACTTATTCTCTTTTCGTGATAGCTTCTCTTTTTCACGGTGAGTTCTTCTTCAAGGATTTCATGAACGTATTTGAACATTGGATTGAGATCTTGTTCAAGGACAAGATTTCCTACTGGATGCTTGCGCAGCCTGCGAATAAGTAGGATGCATATCTTTTTTATTTTTGGTACGATGAGGCCAGCTTCTGAAGAACTGATCTGACCATTGCTGCCTTTTTTTGAGGATGACCGTCGGCTTCCAGTGTCATCTGTGTTGGAATCTTGGAATAGACTGCTACCGTTGTACGTGCTTGAAATCGGTGAGCTCCATCTATCTGAATGCACCAAACGGCGTGGGCCAAGACTTGCCTCTTCTAAACTGCCACGTACACAAAGGTCGTTGACAAATTCAGGTGAGCATTCGGCTCTTGAGTCTAGCAGGAGAGGCAAAAAAATGAGATTCAGGAAACGCTTTGTAACAAAATAGTCCACAGCATTGTTATGGTAGGAACACAGACCCTCTAATGAATTTGATCCTTTCAGATCTTCAAAGAGATGGTGAAGATCAGTGCTCCCAAAATCCTTGGTAGATAAACATTCCCCATCTCGTGTAAGTTTTAACGGGAAATTCAGCCCGATGTTGATGAACTTTTCGAGATTAGCAATTCCTGAGGAGGTACATTTATGAAAGTATTTCAAATACGCAAAGATCCTCTCTAGTGCGTTGAGCTGGTGACCTTCAAAGCGATCTTTACCGTCAAATAAAAGGAAATTAAGATCTTGCTCTAAGTTGTCAAAGCATCGTATTAACTTTAGAGTGCCATACTCAAAAAATTCTGGAAAAATTGTGAAATCTCGATAAGCGACGACGTATTCATCTTTGAGGCTCAGTTCGGTGCTGTTTTGTGAGCAACTATCAAGGTTAGAAACTAGGCTCAATATCTGCAGTATGTTGATTCTTTTGAAGACGCTCAATATTGTTTCATTATCATGCTGTCCCTGTACTAAATATCCTATCATTTTGGAGGTGAGGCTGATTTTCTGTTCCTGTTCGGGTGTCAGGGTCAACAAAGATGTACGCTTTTGAAAAAGTTTCCGTACTTTCGAGCCCTTAAGACTCTCTTGAGAGTTGTTAGGTGACATCGTGGTGGGGCACGATTTGGAACACTGCGTTTGTAAGTTTTCGGTGTCTATATCGTAGTAAAAATCCCATACATCTTTATAACATTCAAAGATGGGGTTGCTAACGCCGACAATGGTGAAAGTTCGCTGGTTTCCTGATGCTGATAATTGTTCTTTGAGTTTGTCAATAAATGAAATGTCCATGTAAGGAAATATGATCACTTGGGCATTGCCGAAATAGTGACAGTCAAAATGTTTGATGAAATTTGAAAGAGATATGACGAACTGGCAAAGAGTATCTTTTGATAACCTAGTAGAATTGATAAGAAGTTTCCATGCAAACTGGGATCGAGGTAATTGTTTCAATTCTAAGGTGAATTTCGAAAGAAACTTCAAAACGTGGTCGTTATAATTAATATTGACCTTTATAGGGTCATGGTTTATGATGTCCATTTGAAGGGATATCTTGGAAAATGCAGCGGGAAGAACTCTGGGGCAATACTTAGTAAATTGGTACTCCAGAAGATGACGCTTGAATGCTATACGATTACCATATGAATCAGTTTCCGGCAGAGCGTTTAGGCGGAGCAGTCTCGGCAGAATGGTAGTTTTTGTATCAAACACCTGCGATAGGATACGCTCATCATTGATGGAGGTCAGCATCATCTGGAGAGAGCGATTTGACATTATATTTCTTGCCAGTGACAGATCCAGGCTATTGATCATCTTAAAACAATCGATAAGAATTTGAATATTATCATTAGACCTCATGTATAAGTTCAGAACCATTGTCAACAAGGGTTTGAATATTAAAAAATTAGGTAGCGTTGTTCCTATCGCAATTGACTTTATAACTGCTCCACGGTCATTGTTTTCGTCTCTTAGAGTGTTCACAACGTTAATAAAAAACAAAGGTGGCTCGGTGGTTCCGTCGAGATCGTTATGGTGTGCCCTGTCATTAGGCGACTCCTCCTCTTTCAAAATATCGAGCGTGTTAGCATTGGTCTGCTGTGCAACAGATTTCATTATGGGGAAAAGTTGATAATTCCGAGTGTACTTGTCCCTGTAGAGAATAAACGTTGTGAAATCTGCACGCTCGGGGAAGTCTTCCGCATTATTTGGGATCATTAAGCTCGCCAGATTGGTGGATGTATTCTTGAGGTTGGAGCGTGATCTAAAGCCGGGAACCGAACTAGGATACTGGTGCCCGAGGACAGGACCAAGCTTGTTGTCGAACTCCGCTGACAAGATGTATTGCGCATTGTACCGATTCTCGATATGCTCTTCGTGGGATTGTCGCAAACATCGGTTTAGACCTGATCGAACTGTTTGAGAGTAAGTGAACATTGGCCGTGGTTCGCACCTTGCCGAATGGCGGGTAGCATGGTTTCAGATGTCTGATCTGAGTACGAACTTTAGTAGCTTCCGGGCAAGACAGACATGAAGCATGTAGCATTCTGAACGAGTAGTCGATATCCATCTAGCCCTGTCGACATAGCAGTCTTCTTGATCTTGTTGCTCACCCGGGTGATAGCCAGCCCGTGGTGCTTGCAGCTCAGTGTTGGAAGACTCAAGTATGTAGACCAGCAACTCAATTGCTAGGCCATCGAGTATCTCGATGCTGGTGTCAACGTATCCCTTTTGTATATTTAGCTGGCGAGTGACAGTGAGGCAATAGTCCTGTTGCCTCCACGTCATAGCTGCAGGATACTGAGTACTTGGTAAAGCTTGCTGGGAACCCAAAATAAGGCTCAACTTCCGGGGCCAGAGCTGTAGCCTAAATCATCTCAATAATCACCGATACAACTATTCTCCAGCCGAACACAACCAGCCGAGCACAACTAGCCGAGCCCGTTCAAAAACTTCTTATAGAGCATATTGAGGCTCTTTGTATGTCTTTATCGCCTCCATGACTACCTGAATCAACCTGAACGATCCAATCGTTTAGCCGCCGAGGTCCGTAAATATCATTTCATTTGAGCTTCGACTCCTCTACCTGGAAAGTTTCTCTGTCCGAGAGAGTAGCGAGCTTCTCCTCTCCCTACCACTAGAGTCTGAAAGCCGTGGCTTATCGTGAAGTAAAGGTCAGCAGGAAATGCTCAACCTACTGTGGCCACCATCACACATCTCTCATTTTTACCGTCACAGTGTCGACACGTAAACGATTGATCCCAGCTCAATGCCACCATAATTAAAGTCCGGCTTTGCGTATTGCCAGCGATGATGGTGGTGTTGATGGTAACCATTAAGATAACCGCCTCCCAGCTCTCTTATTCCATATTTAAGGTCATGTGTTATCCACGTGCTATATTCGTCTACTGTGATGAGCTATAGGGCAAAATTTTCCGGTATAAATAAGCTAAGATATCGCCACCTCTCATCAACCATCTACCCTCTCCATTATCTTCGGAAAACAACTTCTCTTTGATTGATACCATAAGCGTACTCGATTGAAAAGTAACAAAGACTCCTACTCTTTGTTTTTATTGATTCATTTTACTATATTCAGATATGTCTGCTAACTTGGATAAGTCTCTTGACGAGATCATTGGTACCAACAAAAAACCAATCAGAAAAACCAACAAGAAGGCCCCCAAAAAGGTTTCCAAACAGGTTGCGGGCGGGAACCGTCGCGGAGCTTCTGTTGCAGGCGTCAGACCAAGAGCGGCCCCCGGAAAGTCCGCGTCTGTCTTGGAACAAGCATACGGTACTAAGGTCAGTGTGGAAGGCTTGCCAAGAGACATTAAACAGGATGCCGTCAGAGTATGTCTTTTGAACGCATTACTATGGTAGCGGAAGAGCCGACGTGATAGACTGGTGCGAAGTGGGAAAGGGGAATCGAGCATGTGTCATTTCCATGTTCACCCTGCCACCCGATAAGACAGCTGTGCATTTCACTATTTTCGTTCTTATTGTTGAACTCTCGATTTTGGGTTCTGGGAAATTAAACATGAAAAGGGCTGGGCATGAAAATGGGACGGCGTGCGAGCCGTATTCGGGCTATCGCTACAGCCAAATTACCGAACGTCAACATTTCACTGCCTTTTATCACTTGAATACTCGGCAAGTTGTCTACAAAAAATCTGAAGTAAGAAAGGGTAATGGAGCATGTTGGAAAAATGAGGAGCAATTAAGTTTGTACTCTTCCGCGCCGATTACACTATGTCACTGACTCTGCAGCTAAGCAGGGCTCTATGTGCATAGCGCGTCAAAACGAAATTTTTTAGGAGTCTTATTTTCGTCTGCGTTGCTTTCCAAAGTGCTTATTACCTTTACGACATTTGCTTGCCTCTGCTGAGCATTCCCATGAGCGCCTAATGAAACCCCTTTCGAAATTTCCCTTACCCTACACCCAGTCAAGGTATGAAATCTACAAAACGCGCTTTGCCTTGTGTTTGTGGATGGTGACGGGTGGTTTGAGCCACGATATTTGAATATCTTCGTTGCCATACTGTTCTTCGCTCAGCAGCTCTATCTCACATACCGTCGTAGGATTTGCAAGATCCGCCGATGCCCGCTCTTCTGCTGCAATACTTGCATGTTATAAAAAGGTTTAACAAGAAACCCGATCACTAACTTTTTTATTTTAGGAATTTTTTGCCTCTCAAGTAGGAGGTGTTGCCAGGATCCTTTTAAGTTACAACGAAAGAGGTTTGTCAACTGGTATGGCAACCATCACTTTCAAGAACGTCGAAAAGGCCAGAGAAGCCGTCAAGAAGTTTAATGGCGCGCCTATTGATGGTGGAAGATCGAAGTTGAGACTCAGCTTGATCATTGATCCTACTAAAAAACCATTAACCTCCAGAATTCAAGCTGTTGTGGAACGTAAGCCAGTGCCAGTCAAGGGCCCTAACAAGAAAGTTGCTGTTGTCAAGAAGCAAAAGAGAGACGACAAGAAAAAGGCCGGTCCAAAAGCTAAACCCGAAAAGAAAAGCCTTGAGCAACTAGACCAAGAAATGGCCGATTACTTCGAAGAGAAGAAAGATTAAAGGAACTGCTGTATTGGAGCCGTTCTTTGTATGGTCCATCGGGACTTTCAGACCGATCTCTGGAACGAAAAGTACGAAATTTTGAACTTATAGGGACAAATTCAGACACGCCCTTAGGGCCGTTTTATAATGTTTTAGATCTTTCCTACGCTGGTTTGTTGAGGAAATGGTATCGAGAAAACATCCATGTATTAAATATAAAAAAAATATTGTTACCATCTAAAGTTGTATGTACAGAATTATTGGTTATGGTCGGCCGGTGCGGCTCTAGTCACTGCCACTCCTCCTGTCCATGAACCCCAGTCTATCCCCACCTCTTCTGCTCAAGTAGCTTAGACCCGCGCCTTCGAATTCACTTTTCCTGGATGTGGCCAAGTTCTCGCCCGGCAGGGGAAAGCCTGGCTTTACATGTGCAGAGTTTTTGTAGTAGTCCTCCTTCGAAGCAGCTTTCTCTTTCATGCGGTCAAACTGGGTTTGCTTATTTGCGCCGACGAGCGTTTTAGTCACGAAGATCGATGCGATCAAACCTCCTACTAGATAGACGACATTCCTCCTGTAGCGCTGGAGTTAGCAAAAGAAGAACCATGTTTATCTCAAATCAACATTATACGTACCCGACGTTGCGAAAGGGATTGGTAGTGGCACTCATCTAGCCTTTGATGATTCTCGCTACGTAGAGTTGAGCTCGCCAACAGATCGCTCACCAACTTCACAATATCATGATGAGCTTCTGAAGCTATCACGTGATTTGGTGATGGTGACATTAACAAAAGCCGTCAACACCAGAACAGTAGCGCTGGCCATAGACTCCCATTGACAGCTTGGCTGAGCTCTCCGATTTGGTCTCCTTTAAGGTATGTAAACTCATACATTTCTATCTTTTTTGTAGCTAAGACGGCGGACGCCAAATGACCAAATTGGCCAGAGCAACTAAAGATTTCACCGCTAACGTTACCGAATACACCAAAGCACGCCAATTAGCAGTAAGTTGAAGCTGAATTAGTTTAAATATGTTCAAGGGCCATCAATTTCGATCGTTTTTTACATTTCCGACCGATACATGAACTTTCAATATAAGGCGGGTCATGACAATGGATTTGACTCCAAGAAATGTGTCAAAAATGTGCTTTTGCGAAAAGACCTTTCAATTCAAGCAGCATTAGTGAGCTATACTACTTCCACACACTGCTTACAATCGAACCGTTAGTTATCAAGGATATTTTGTTCAACAGTTAGATTGGGAACCCTGACTGGCCCTTACATTTACCCCGACGTTTTTGTCTATCCAATCATTGTTTGTCACAAAAAGAACTGACAACATCATGAAAGAAGAAGTTAGCGCATCTGAAGCAGATGCTTTCACCCATGCTCTGGCGGGAGGTGCCGGAGGCGCCATTTCGATGGCACTCACGTACCCGCTTGTCGCAATCACCACCAAGCTTCAGACGCGGAAGGCTGCAGCATCCGAGGACTCTGAAAAGACAGCTAGCATCGGTGAAACAATCAAAGAGATTTACCGCAAAGATGGGATTGGTGGCTATTTTGCGGGTCTAGAGAGTGCCATTGTCGGAACGACCTTTTCCACCTTTGTTTACTACTACTGCTATGAAGCGTCTTCCAGATGCGTGCTGTCGTCGCGGCGAAAGCAGAAACTGAACACTGCAGAATCAATGCTTGTGGGGACCATCGCTGGCTCGGTGAATGCTGCCGCAACTAATCCCCTATGGGTGGCCAACACAAGAATGACAGTGCAAAAAAGCGAGCGTAACACTTTGGGCACTCTGTTGGAAATTGCAAAGACGGAGGGCCCAACGGCGCTGTTTAGTGGCCTGAAACCTGCTTTGATTTTGGTGATCAATCCTATCATTCAGTATACAGTCTTTGAACAGTTGAAAAATCGCGTGCTGGAGTCAAGTCAAAATCCCACTTTAAGCCCTGCCTGGGCTTTCCTACTCGGTGCAATCGGTAAAATTGCCGCGACGGGCATCACATATCCTTATGTTACTATGAAGGCCAGGATGCATCTTGCAGGGAAACACGAATCGTCAGCTCTACCAAAATCTCTTGTGTCAGTGATGATTGAAAAAGTCAAGAACAATGGCGTTTCAGAGCTTTATCGTGGGATCGGCATAAAATTAGTGCAAAGCGTTCTGACAGCCGCATTTTTGTTCTACTTCAAAGAGGGACTCGTTGTCTGGAGTGTCAGGCTACTCAGAGTATTGTCCCGATTCACCAAGAAGAACAAACGTCTCTTGACGGCTACTTGAAAGCGGCTTACTTCCATGGCTCCCTTGCTATGTGGTATTTCTATCTAAACGGTTTATTATATTCTATAAGGTGTCTATAAACTAGACAACGTCTCGTACGTGTAAAACACTACCGCGTTGGCGGGTGCGGCTCTCAAAAGGGTGATACCTAATCCACGATATAGGCCAGCAGGGCCGTTCCTGGCCAGAATGCGTTTTGTGGCCTCTACAATTCCCAAATGTTCTGTCTGCGCGGTGGACTTTATAGTATCTGCTGGGAATATACTGGCGTTGAAAGCAACACCAGCGGAAGCACCAGCCGTCAGTAGCTCCCAGGTGTGATTGTCCTCATTCGACGGGCCTCCTCTACGATGTGCGAGATATTTTTTGACCGTCTCGTAAGTGGTGAACCAAACAGCGCCTCCAGCACATTCACGGATAAAGGTGCTAGATTGGCCCTGCCACAGAGCTAGCAGGCCTCGAGACTGAACGATATGCTTTATGGTAGGCCCAATCTTGGAATGCTTTGTTTTAGATCCTGACAGATTAGAAACTTGTAAAGTACACTTGACTAGCTCAACTGGAGTCAGAACGTAACTGACACACGCCCCTGCAAATGCCCCTGATAAAACTGTTTTAGAAAGCGGAGACAGTGACTCACGGTAGTGGTTTTCTAAAAAGTGTTGTGCTCTATTGAAAGCGACAAACAATACCGCGTTTTCCAGGGCTGCACCGGCCACAGGAGATCCCAGACCCTGATAAAACCCTTTCCAAAGACCCTCCTTAGCATAGGTGTACTTGATGCACGACCAACTGGTGGGGAATATATGCGCCGGTTGCGTTTGCATGCGGACTTTCACCGTATCCAGTGGATATTCGATGAGTTTGCCAGCCGCTCCAGCCACTGATCCGTACACGATGTCACGCAACGTATCTCTCCAGTCCATTCCAATTCGCAAATAAACAGATCAAGTAGCTTGCCAAGCTCGCCCGCCATAGATGATCCAGCTACGATGTCACCGTGCTCGAGTGTCACTGGAGAACTCGCTGCTATTATATAGGCATTTTCTCCTTTCGTGCTCAGCGATCTCATCGACTCATTCTGCCAATGCTGGGATGTAGCTAAATAACTGATTATGTCTTCTTTTAAACAAGCAATCACCTTGATGGCAATGTCAACTCCAAGTGGAGCGACCACCTTCCAGCATCTTACCCTCAATTCCACAACGTACCTCCTGAAATAGATTTTCCCTTTAAGCTAGAGCGATATCGAGTAGTGAAGTAAGCATGGAATATTTAAGCTTGATGACTGCTCTTCTCGTCTACTTACTGACTTTCCCAGAGTACTACTATTTTACTGACACACGGCGCCATCCACCCATTAATCCAGTCAAAAACCCAGTCCACGATTAGAGAATCGAATCGAAAGCACCACACACGAATCAATTTTTTTTCAGAGGGAGGAGGACTCAATCTGTGGAAAAAAAATGATGAAAAATTTCAGACTGGTCTGCCATCGACTCTCACACTTTCATCTTTCTTTCAAGTTTTACCAAGCCTAAGGAATAGTCTGCATCGACCCGCTTAATTTGATTATTCTATTATCGTCTTTGATTAAAGCTCTTTACCAAAAATGAAATACTTGGCCGCTTACTTGTTGCTTGTTCAAGGTGGTAACACCGCTCCTTCCGCTGCTGACATCAAGTCCGTGATTGAATCCGTTGGTGTCGAAGCCGATGAAGCCAGAATCAACTCCTTGTTGACTTCTTTGGAAGGCAAGGGTTCCATCGAGGAGATCGTTGCCTTGGGTGAAACCAAGTTGGCTTCTGTCCCAACCGGCGGTGCTGCTGCTGCCTCCGCTGGTGGTGCCGCCGCTGGTGGTGCTACCGAAGAGGCCGCCGAGGAAGAAAAGGAAGAAGAGAAAGAAGAATCCGACGACGACATGGGTTTCGGTTTGTTCGACTAAACAACTGGAAAGTGTCGAGTTTGAAAAAAACTGTATATATATGTTAAAACTATAGTGTACATTTCTAATCCATTTTCCCTTTGTTAGTACTTAGCGCATCATCTCTAGAAGCGAGATAATTTCCTTTAGCTCATCGATGGCCGTTGTGGGCAGTTCGCCATTTTTTTTCAGTACGGTTTCGAGCAGCCTCGCCGTCTCTTGCGCCTGCGCAATAACGTTTTCCTGGTACGATGAGAAGTACAGCTCTGCATCGCCGCTTTCGTGTTCTACCGCAGTTTTCAAATCCTTCAACTGGTTCAGCGGCCGCAGTAGTTGTGGTATAAGCTTCTCAGCGTCGCGAATTGAGCTTACCTTATCCTTCAGGCCCTCTCGAAGTGAGTTGTATTCGTTGAGAAGAGACTCACTCTCCGCATCCTCATTATTGGCAAGTGATATTTGAGGAAGATTGCCAATGTCAATAATCAGCTGCTCTATTGACATGAATTTTCCGTCGCGAGGCTCTTGAAGCTCGATGAGATCGGTCCCAATGGCTTCCCTGGGAAGATCGCCTACAGTGGCCATGAGTTTGTGCAGATCCTGCCGCAGTAAAGCACGCTCGTTCTCCTGAATTTTCAGTAACAACTCGTCCTGTTTGACCGGTTTAAAGTTTTCCTGCCTGAGGGTTGCCAACTCTTGTGCGAGCTGGCTCTGGATCAGCACGGCTAAGTCTGAAGGAATATCATTAGATTCAGGTACCGAAATACCGGGCATACTATCAATTTCACCTTCCAGGTATGAGGCAAGCTGAGAATAGGACATGATCAGAGAAGCCCCCCAATTCACTACTCTCTTTGTTAACGTGGTACCATCTATGGACTAACGGTAATAGTGTCTAAGGTGTATGATTCCTGAGGCTGTCATTCATTCTATGAGCCACGCCACAATGGTCTAATCATATATTGGTTACCGTCCTCAAATTATCCATCGGTAATCCGCGATAGTTTAGTGGCTAGAATTCGGGCTTGTCGCGCCCGGGACCGGGGTTCAATTCCCCGTCGCGGAGTTTACTTTTTAACAAGTATCAAGCTTATTGTGAAGTGCACGATGCTATTTACCCAACATAGCATCGAGGATCGGTTAAAATCAAAATCTCTTGTCGGCCAAACAAGTTTTAATAGTACACAGTACAAGAATTATTCATGGATCTCATTAAAAATCATAATCTTATCGGAGGGTAGTCTAGACAGTAGGCGCGTTGGGCATGAAGTATGACCTCACCGGAAAATAGCTGTTGGTGGGATCAGCTACACCACTGTATAGAGAGTAGAATCCACACATACTACTTAAAATGCCAAAATAGCCACCAGCTATACTCACGTTCTCATTCCCGATAAAAGTACCGATTGTTAGCATCAGAAAGGTCAGATCGAGGAAAAACAGTAGTAGAAATAAACCCCATGTACTTTTTAGCGTGCACATAAGCATCAAAAATGTGAAGACGGTCCAACCTGTTAGGAAAAATCCCAGAGCATTGGCTAGCATTTGAGGGTCATCCTCGTAGGAGGAGACGATGCCAAACTGGTCTGTCAATATACACCCGTAGCTAATCCAGAACCCTCCAAATGATCCAAAAACTGTCATAGCGTATGTATTGCCAATTGGATAGCATAACAGACCGGCAAAAAGTTCGATGCACCCCCCAAAAAAAAGACTGGCGCTTATGATAACTTTGGCATTTGTCACGCCACGCACTTGTGCATTCAAAAGCGACAGAACCAAACAACAATAGGAAAAGGACGCCAACCCCAGTGGTACTGGATTTGCCAGATTTGAGGGTCGTTTTTGGTGAATTCCTGGGTTCAGTTCACCGGCAAAGGCGTTGGCTAGCTCTGATTTACGGTAGATACAGTCCCCTAGGTGTACATACTCCCCATCGACAGAAACTGAGTGTACAAGCCTGGTGACAGATGGAGGGGAGCGATCATGTGACGTTATATCCACTGCTTCTTCGAAGCTAGGCCGCGTAGGGCCTTTTTCCAGATCAGTGTCTCGGAAGTTTGTTTCAGTGGTCATCTAAAATAATACGAAAACTTGTGAGTACCACTTGTTGATCCCAATATAACGGAAGCAAACCAGTCCTTCCTTCAGAATTAAATTGCTGAACCTCATATTTATATTTATCAACAATGTGCGAGTCCTGAATCTGTGTTGGGATACGATTGAAGAGACCATTTAGAATGGTGTGATGTAGCTAACGGCCCAAAACAACCGAGGAAGTGGAGTCGACTAGGTCTATCTAAGGACAGTTGAGTACGCATGGTTTTTCTCTGGCCAGTCTTGAGCTGGTGCGATGACCTGATGCCATGGGGCCGACCCGACCAGAAAAAAAATAAAAAAACTAGAAGTGGTCAGATATGTATTCAGCCGCTCTGGGAAAGAAACCAAGGCTGCTTTGGATCTATCATTGAATGCATAGCAACATAAAGCCATCTACCTGCTTCACGTACTATTTGCCTTCTTTTGTTGAGTAAATAAAATTGTGGAAGATGTGGATTGTCCTACTCGAGGTGCCAGAATAGTACATAATGACATAAGATCTTCGAAAGCGGCGACAGCGTATTGAGGTACGAGAAAATGTCCCTGTCGAGCGGTTTGCACAGTCGTACTAAAATGTCCGGCACTCATTGAGCGACAAGAGGTGTAACGGTCGGTTCAGAAATGCGATTTGCTTCTCACTGCCGTTCTCCGTAGCGCGGAAAAGCTTATATTCCGCGCCTTTCAAAACCAGAGTTGAGCAACATAATGATCTCCGCAAGATCGGTCACCACTGCATCGATTAAATGTCCATGTGTCTCTAACAATGAACCATTTGAGTCGTTGCGAACCAATATCGTCGCACAACCTGCAGAAGCTCCACACTCCATGTCGTCGTAGGAATCGCCAACCATTATCATGTTGCTTGGAGAAATATTCAAACGTTCAGAAATATGAAGGAGCGGATCTGGGTTGGGCTTAGTGGGACGAAAGTCTCGAGTCAAGATGTGGAGAAACCGGTCGTGTTCTACCGGAATGAAGTTTGAGATCAAGTGCCGCACGGGTGTGATTAAGTTTCGGGTACAGATACTTGTGGTGACGCCATGTTCCGTCAAAAACTCCATGAGTGCCATCAGTCCTGGCTGGGGTTCCATTTCTGCCATTGCTAGTGCCTCTACTTTTTTTATATTCAAGTTCGCTTCTTCTCGAAGACTAGCAGTCGGCAAACTATCCACAAAAGTCAGGATATCTATTTGCGGGTCTTTGAGGCCTATAGCCTCACGCATTGCTTCTATAATGGGCAGAGGTTAGTTAAAACTTTGTTATCTCGGAGACTTATATCCCAATACTGCGTTATCATACTGAACATCCACTTCTGAGGTTTACAGAGTGTTCCATCCATATCGAATACAATTGCCTTTACAGCAAGTTGAGTGGGAAGCACTGGCTTCAGTTTCATCAATGAGCTCATGGTCAAGCTCTTTTGTTCGTGAACTACATTGAATGTCATTCTGCTTGTTGAGTAATTTTCTGGTTATGTATTGAAATACACACTGATATAATAATAAACTTGATTGTAACGGAGGAAGCTGGCTAGTAGTTATCGTGCGCAATTGCTCCATAGCACTTCGAACCTTTAGAAATGGCGTCTGCTGTGCCGTATGATCCATACGAAGATATAGACAATAATCCATTTTCCGAGCCGCAGGAGACTGGAGTTGATGTACAAGCATCTCCTGTTGAAGAACAAGAATCAAACGAAGAAGAAAGTACCACCAAAGCCACCAATGAAGATGCACAGAAGCCAGCCGAGGAAACAGGCATTGAGCTTCTCCCGGAACGCAAGTCGAAAAAGCACCAACTGGTTGTGAAGGTCACAGGTCTCGAGCGTATCGGTACTTTTACAAATAAAAAGGAGAATCCTACTCTCAAATTCGATATTTCAACAAATCTGCCCACGTTTCGCAAACCGCAGCATCGAAATATCAAAAAGACGATGACAGAATTCCAAAACTTGTTTACATTCCTGAACGGATCGATACCGGAGACTTTTGTTCCTGCACTACCCTTATCGAGTACTAATTACGGGATCAGCAATTCCGAAGACTACCATAAGACTATCAAAAACTTTCAAGACTGGTTTGACCGCATTACAGCAGACCCTTTGATACTTCGAAGTGAGGAACTGGCCTTTTTTGCTGAGAGTGATTTCAACACGTACACTCCGGTCGGCAAATTGAAGTCACCGGTTTCTGGCTTGAAAAGAAAAACACTCAAACAGCTGGCACCTCCTTTTGATGAATGTCTCGAGCTCGCGGAATTTCGTCCGTTAGTCAAATCTATTCATCATCTTAGCCAGGACATTCAGACCAAACTGCTCAAACTTTGCAAACTTCGCAAAGCCCTTTCACAGGATGAAAGCGCTATCGGTCAAAGCTTCAAGGACTTGTCACAAGACTCTTCTCAGCCAAAATCCCATAGCAAATTCTACACCAAATTTGGCAAAACCTTGACTGCCGTGGGCGATATCGACAGCGTGATGGCGACGCTGGATATAGCCACTTTATATGATGGTTTGGACTGGATCACACACGAGACCTACATGGTTAAGGAGTCATTGACCAACCGACATTTTTTGATGAGAGACTTGCTGCAAGCACAGCAAACGACTAAAGCTCGCCAAGAACAAGCTCGCAAGCTACGCGCTAAGAGAGATGTATCTCCTCTCAAAGTAGACGAGGCAATTCGGGCACTTAAGTTGGCGACCACCACGGAACATGAGGTGACTTTGAAGCTTCGTCGCATTACGGCAAATATGTTGTTACAGAAAAAAGACTGGCTAGAATGGTACGACCGCTTTTTGATGGATAGTATCAAAGACTACACTCTGAGAAAAATAGAATATGAACGGAAAAAACTGACTTTGTTGGAGCGTATACGCAGTGATGTGCGAGCGATTGATGAGAGCGGTGGGCTTTCACGGCTAGGTCGTGGTGCAGTTGGAAGAGAGGGAAGTTCTGCGATTAGGCCCTCTCAAAGCGCCCAAGGCGATAGTTGGACCAGCGATCGGAGATCTAGGGTATTTGAGCCTTCAGTGTTGAAGACGGAGTTTGATGCTTCCTTGGAAGTTGAAGGAGAAGCCGACGCGGCCGGGGAGGATCAATACACGCTAGACGCTAGAAGCGCAGCTCATTTGCTGGGAACAAGTAGTTTTTAAGAGGGCCCCCCATGGCTTCTAATGAGAATGAATTATAAGATTTTTATGCTCTTTTCGAGGCGTGTGCATGAATCATCGGAGTTCTTGTGCCACTGCTCTGCTCCGATGGCATAACCGTCCCAATCACAAAAATAATGTCACAATGGTATAAAGTGATAATAAACTTTGGAAGTGTAAGGGAAACACTTGCGCGTCTGGAACAATATCGATGGACTCCGTGAATTGAGTCTATCGGAACTTGAAAGAGGAGGCGATTTGACAACCGCTGCTCTACAAAAGTACTTGGTAGTGTCATTTTTCACCCTCGAATGACCTCCACACAGACGATCTTTCGAGGAAGAAAGACGAAATTAAGACTAGTCCGACCTTGAGAACTATAGAGCTACTGCATGAATTCCCGCTCAAAACAGGCTACTTCCATCACATCAATTATGCCACATGCCAGTATTGCAATGACGAAGCTCAGTATCATGACAGACGAAGATGTTGTACTGACCATTTAAGCTGCCTTTTTGAAAGGTCTCTCCAGAGAGTCACCATTTGAAGCTTATTGTGGCAAATTCTATGGGGCGAATGCTTGCAGACGAGTATAGTCTACCATCTATGTAATATGCTTTAGATCCCAGCTACTCATTTTAACTCGAAACGTACTTAACCTTCCCTCCTATTGGCCCCCTGCGTACATAGTCGAACAGGGGCGGTCCAGAGATTACGCCACAAACTAGCGTAGAGCTCTTCCTAAAAGGGCAATTTCCCAATTTTATTCGGCGATGGCCACGCACGCCATGAAAAAATTTACCAATATCCGGGCACTGACATAATAAAAAGGCAGAGTTGATGGCCCTAAAAATTATTCTACTTTCAGGAGAAGGCTTTACCTCTCCTTCTTATTACTTTTGTTTAAAGTTCGCTCCAGTTAGACCACTCCACAGCTCTTCAACAACACACTAACGCAATGGTTGCTTTCACTGTGGACCAAATGAGGTCCCTTATGGACAAGGTCACTAACGTGCGTAACATGTCGGTTATTGCACACGTCGACCACGGTAAATCGACTTTGACCGACTCCTTGGTTCAAAGAGCTGGTATCATTTCCGCCGCCAAGGCTGGTGAAGCTCGTTTCACTGACACCAGAAAGGATGAACAGGAACGTGGTATCACTATCAAGTCTACTGCCATCTCTTTGTACTCTGAGATGTCCGAAGACGACGTCAAGGACATCAAGCAAAAGTCTATCGGCAACTCGTTTTTGATTAACTTGATCGACTCGCCAGGTCACGTTGACTTTTCCTCGGAAGTTACTGCTGCTTTGAGAGTCACTGACGGTGCTCTTGTGGTTGTTGACACTGTTGAAGGTGTCTGTGTGCAAACCGAAACTGTGCTAAGACAAGCTTTGGGTGAACGTATCAAGCCTGTTGTCGTCATCAACAAGGTCGACCGTGCTTTGCTAGAATTGCAAGTCACCAAGGAAGATTTGTACCAATCTTTCGCCAGAACTGTTGAATCCGTCAACGTCATTATCTCCACCTACGCCGACGAAGCTTTGGGTGACATGCAAGTCTTCCCATCTCAAGGTACCGTGGCTTTCGGTTCCGGTTTGCACGGTTGGGCTTTCACCATCCGTCAATTCGCTAACCGTTACTCCAAGAAGTTCGGTGTCGACAAGATTAAGATGATGGAGCGTTTGTGGGGTGACTCTTACTTTAACCCAAAGACCAAGAAGTGGACTAACAAGGAAACCGACAGTGACGGTAAGCCTCTAGAACGTGCTTTCAACATGTTCGTTTTGGACCCTATCTTCAGACTTTTTGCTGCTATCATGAACTTCAAGAAGGACGAAATTCCAGTCTTGTTGGAAAAGTTGGAAATCAACTTGAAAGGTGACGAAAAGGACTTGGAAGGTAAGGCCTTGCTAAAGGTTGTTATGCGTAAGTTCTTGCCAGCTGCTGACGCTTTGCTAGAAATGATTGTCATGTACTTGCCTTCTCCAGTTACCGCTCAAAACTACAGAGCTGAGCAATTGTACGAAGGTCCTAACGATGACCCAGCTTGCATTGCCATCAAGAACTGTGACCCAACTGGTGACTTGATGCTTTACGTTTCCAAGATGGTGCCAACCTCCGACAAGGGTAGATTCTACGCTTTTGGTAGAGTTTTCGCTGGTACCGTCAAGTCTGGTCAAAAGGTCAGAATCCAAGGTCCAAACTACGTCCCAGGTAAGAAGGATGATTTGTTCATCAAGGCTGTTCAAAGAGTTGTTTTGATGATGGGTAGATTCGTCGAGCCTATTGATGACTGTCCAGCCGGTAACATTGTCGGTTTGGTTGGTATCGATCAATTCTTGTTGAAGACCGGTACTTTGACCACCTACGAATCCGCTCACAACATGAAGGTCATGAAGTTCTCTGTCTCCCCAGTTGTGGAAGTCGCTGTCGAAGTCAAGAATGCTAACGACTTGCCAAAGCTAGTCGAAGGTCTAAAGAGATTGTCCAAGTCCGACCCTTGTGTCTTGACTTACATGTCCGGCTCTGGTGAGCACATTGTTGCTGGTACCGGTGAATTGCACTTGGAAATCTGTTTGTCTGACTTGGAAAACGACCATGCTGGTATTCCATTGAAGATCTCTCCTCCTGTGGTCGCTTACAGAGAAACCGTTGAGGGTGAGTCTTCTCAAGTCGCTTTGTCTAAGTCTCCAAACAAGCACAACAGAATCTACTTGAAGGCTGAACCAATGGAAGAAGAATGCTCTCTAGCCATCGAGAACGGTAAGATCAACCCAAGAGACGATTTCAAGGCTCGTGCCAGAGTTATGGCTGACGAGTACAACTGGGATGTTACTGACGCCAGAAAGATTTGGTGTTTCGGTCCAGATGGTAACGGTCCTAACGTTGTCGTTGACCAAACCAAGGCTGTGCAGTACTTGACCGAAATCAAGGACTCCGTTGTTGCTGCTTTCCAATGGGCTTCCAAGGAAGGTCCTATCTTCGGTGAACAAATGCGTTCCGTCAGAATCAACATCTTGGATGTTACTTTGCACGCCGATGCTATTCACAGAGGTGGTGGTCAAATTATCCCTACCATGAGAAGAGCCACTTACGCTGGTTTCTTGTTGGCTGAGCCAAAGATTCAAGAACCTGTTTTCTTGGTTGAAATCCAATGTCCAGAACAAGCCGTCGGTGGTATCTACTCCGTTTTGAACAAGAAGAGAGGTCAAGTTGTCTCTGAAGAGCAAAGACCAGGTACTCCATTGTTCACCGTCAAGGCCTTCTTGCCAGTTAACGAATCTTTCGGTTTCACCGGTCAATTGAGACAAGCCACTGGTGGTCAAGCTTTCCCACAAATGGTGTTCGACCACTGGGCCACTTTGTCTGCTGACCCATTGGACCCATCTTCCAAATCTGGTGAAATTGTTCTCGCCTCTCGTAAGAGACAAGGTATGAAGGAGGAAGTCCCAGGCTGGCAAGAGTACTACGACAAATTGTAAGCAAAACTCATCACAACATAGTCCCGCTTCCATTTTGTCTCATAATATTTCGGAAACATACTGAGCGTTTATAACTTGTAGACCCGATTTTATCCTATTGTATATTTCATTAATCAGAGTCAATTAAAAAAACCAAGTCTATTAAATTTGAGGAGCACTCGAAACTAGTGCCGGTCATATATCTTGATTCGACATCTAATTTCACAGATCGAAAGAAAGATGAAGAGAATTAATTAAACATTCGATTTGTTTTGTTTACAAAATTGAAGGCATCTCTCACTAGAAAAAAAGAGAACATCGAAGGTTTTGTTGCTTCTTTAGCGAACATAAATGAACTCCCACGTTTGAGAGAGAGTCACTCCATTGCAACTTATAGACTAGTCTTGAATTAGGTGGTTTTGCTGTTGGGTAAATAACGTCGAAATTGCCTATGTCTCTACCTCAGAACTTGAAACCGTACTATGTTGAATGGCTTGGATCTGAAGCAGAAAAAGCCACGCAGAAGAACGAAAAACTGGGCGCGGTCTATGCGAAAGCTCTCGAAAATTTAAAATCACACGAATCAGCGCTCGTGCATCCGAACGAGCTCCTTGCTATCAAGGGCATCGGTAACAGGATCAAAAATGTGCTTAAAGATCGGCTACATTCTTTTTGCAGGGAAACTGGGTTTGAACCACCACCAGATCCACAATTGGTAGTCAGTAACGTAGAAAACCGGCAAAGAACTAAGATACGATCTTTGCAGGACGACACGCAGGCTGACGAGAGACCCAAAAAAAAGCGAAGATATGTCCCGAAGAGAAGATCTGGCGGGTACGCCATTTTGTTGGCTCTTTTGGAATGCAATTCTTCGAGGCAGGGTTCCTCGAAAAGTGAAATAGTCAACCTCGCTTCTAAATACTGCGACCACCCTTTCCACTCGAATCCTACGTCGCGGGATTTTCACAGCGCTTGGTCTGCAGTAAAGACACTACTGGCAAGAGAGCTTTTAATTGAGGAGGGCAGGCCCAAGAGGTATATTCTGACAAAAGAAGGTGAAGAAATGGCCCATACTTTAAAGAAAACCGATGATATAACATTTGAAGATGAAGCAGCATATCAAATCAGATTGGGTGCTGATTCAGCTGGGAATAATTCCAACGATATCGATGGCGAGAATGAGGTCACCGCTGATTACAGCGCGTTAATCGAGGCCACTCAGCCACATCGATTACCTGGCATGTTTCAATCATTCCAAACAAAGACTGCTGCGGTCCAGGTAGATAGTAACGCGAATAAACCACGCACTCTGGCCGGTGGGGTCAATACAAAGCTGCCGCCTGCTGATGTCCCCACTAACAAACCCACAAGTCCGTCAAGAGGCACCAAGGATAACATAGTGAGAGCCAGGTGGAACGGGATCAGCTATGAGGTCTGGGAACCCAACTCCTACGAAATTCTTCTTGTGATAGACCATCGTGAGGTCAAATCTAAAAGTGAGCGAGAATTTTTTGCTAACCAGTTACGAGAGAAAGGCGTCATGGTCGAGACGCGCCAACTGTCGTTAAGTGATATTCTATGGGTAGCTAGAAATAAGATCACCAAGAGAGAATGTGTTCTTGATTTCATGCTCGAGAGGAAAAGGCTGGACGATTTTGCTATGAGTATCATGGATAACAGGTTTGTGGAGCAGAAAAATCGGTTGAAGAAGACCGGATGTAGGAATGTTTTTTATTTGGTGGAAGATATCGCCAGCGATACAGCTGTCAAAATGGCCGATGCCATTAGAACAGCCGTATGGGTGACCATCATCTACAATGAATTTCATGTGAAAAGAACCAAAAACCCAGATGACACAGTAAATTGGCTCAAGGGTATGACAAGTGTTATCGAAAATAATTATGCACAAAAGTCGGTGCTAGTTATGAGTCCCAGAGATTTGAAAAGTCAGGATGATTATCTCGATACCTTACAAAAATTTCGTGTGCAGTTCGAGCGTGCTAACAATCTAGAGTGCTGTCAGCGCTTTGATTGCTTTCAGGAAATTATGGACAAAGGATCCTTGATGACCGTCAAAGAACTCTTTCTCAGAGCGCTGATGGTAAACAAGGGCGTCTCTTTAGAGAAAGCAATATCTATCCAGGCAAAATTTCCAACGCTCTGTGCACTATTAAAAGCGTACCGGAATTGTGATTCAGATGAGAAGGGAAAGAATTTGTTAGCTGACGCCTTGAAATGCGAACCTGGAACAAGAAAGGTGGGGAAAGCTCTATCAGAAACACTATGGAAAACATTTGGAAAACGTTGAGGACGTAAATTCAATGATACTTCCTATATACATAATGAACATCTACGCCATCCTCAAAAACCTGGCCAATTTCTTCCAGCGATAGACCTTTCACCTCCGGGTACCAGAAGTAAACAAAGAACCAGTTGATGACTGTCGAGACGACGAAAACGACAATAACTTGCTGCCCACTGAAGGCATTGACCAATGGAAGAAAAGACGCTGATATCGCGGAGTTCGTCAACCAATTTGTACATGTGATACAGGAAGCGCCAAAAGAGCGTTGATTCAATGGCAAAAACTCCACACTCATCCAAGGTACTGATCCCATGCCGATGGCATAGGCAGCAACGTATATCAAAAGTGCGATGATGAAAAGGGAAGAATTTCCATTTTCAAGCCCTGTGCTGCTTAGCACCAACCCGAGTGACATGATCCATATACTGTTGAGTAGAATACTGCGCCTACCTACGCGGTCGACAACGCGCATGGCAAAAATTGTAAAGCTGAAGTTGATGAGGGCAACAGCAACGACTGGTAGTAGCGGATCGTCCATACCAATGCTGGAGAACATGAACGGGCAGAAATACACGAAGGCATTGAAACCAGTTGCTTGTTGGAAGAACATAAGAATACATCCAACAGCAAGAGCTCTGCGTGTTCGTGGATCCATTTTATATCTTTTTTGAGGGTAGGACCATTCGGAATTTCTTCTGTTTGCGAATTCCCTCAGGTAACTTTCGTATTCTGTGGATGTGCTTAACCTTTTGTGGGAAACTCGCCCTCTGGCTACTAGAGGCTGTGTTTCTCCGCCGGCACCTTGAATCTTGGATATATTTTGTATCATTTTAGCCAGCTTGCTCAATATTTGTAGATCAGTAGCTTGTGGATAGATCGCGGAGAGCGAGTTACGCGCTTCCTGGGGATCTCCGACAAGTATCAGCCATCTGGGTGACTCTGGTATAAACTTTAGTAGAAGAGGTAGAGTAACAGCAGGAATAGCACTTGTCGCAAACAGTATCCTCCATGCATATGGCCTCTCCAAAATCACCCAGGAAAGTATGCTGGCAAGCAACTGCCCGCCAGTGATAGCCAACGTATTCAGGGTCAAAATAGTTCCTCTTGCTGAGCTTGGAGATACCTCACTAAGATACACCGGTACACACTGTGCCGCTATGCCTACAGCGATGCCCAAAACTATGCGGCCTGCGATGAGTGTGTATAGGCGCACAGCCGTAGCCATCACCAGGGCAGCAATTATGAACAACAGGGAACATAAGCCCAGTGTTCGTCTCCGCCCCAGCATGTCTGCCATCGGAAATGCACAGATCGAGCCAGAAAACGATCCCAACGCTGCGCTGGCTGTGATGAGTCCTCTTTGGTAGTCCAACAGTACATCCATACCCAAATCCTGCGGTCTGATTGCCAAAAGAACACCAGCAATTGCACCCCCATCATAGCCAAAAAGTAGCCCCCCCATCGAAGCTCCCAAGTATATCCTAATAGATTTCCAGCTCAATGGGTATTTTTGCATGTCGATGTCGTTGGCTGTGGTCTGTGTTATCTGTGAATGCGTGGTGTACATATCTGTGAAGGTCTCCTCCTGGCGAGATTGTTCGAGAAGCTCTGCAGACATCGCTATCTGGCCTGGTCTGGTACCCTTGGCTTAGAGTGGTCGTACCTTTCACGTTTGCAACTTACTATAAGCTTAGTGGACAAGATATAAGATATATGATGAGGCTGGCAATTACAAAATCGACTAAAAAGCCAAAGGCTAAGACACGATACAAACTAATGTTACTAACAGCATTCGAACAAATATCACGAAAGCTTTTTATTTTTATGCTCATACACTTATTCAAGCGAATTTATGATACCGGCCCAGATATCAACCCTTAGAAGATATCACAAGAAAGTTCAAATATAGTTGAAAACCCGGAAGCACTCTGAGCAAGGAAAATACACAAAGGCTCTCTTATAATGACTTTCGTGCATCTTATCCATGTTTTGTTGAGGAACCCACATCGTCGGAGAGTGATCAAAAAACCTTCAGACATGATCTAACTCTGTTTAAAATTCCTATATAGAAAGAAGATATTTCATAAGCTTGGATAGATTACTGAAGGCGCAAAGAACAGCCTGTCCGCCGCCTCACCATTGGTTATGGATCATTTCGTAATCTGTAATTATATATATATCTCATAAATTTATATGTAATATATATATATTGAAAAATAGAGGAAATGCAAAGGGGCTTTAGCTGTTCACTGAACTCATTGACATAAGAGCTAGTACAGACGGCCAAAGGCTGCAAAAATCATCAAATCATGAGTTTTAAAGGGTTTACCAAGGCCATTACAAGGACGCCGCAAAATTTCCGGCAAAAGTTCAACATGGGCCAACAAACTTCGGACCCGGTGTACGAAGACGCGGAAAGACGGTTCAAAGAATTGGAAGTGGAGACCAAGAAACTAAGTGACGAGTCGAAAAGGTATTTCTCTGCGGTCAATGGAATGCTGAACCACCAAATTGGGTTCGCCAAGGCGATGGAAGAAATTTTCAAGCCTATTAGCGGGAAAGTGAGTGATCCTAATGCCACCATTCCAGAGGACAATCCCGAGGGTATTGAGGCTAGCGAACAGTACCGGGCGCTGGTGGCAGAACTGCAGGTCACGCTGAAGCCAGACTTGGAATTGATCGAGGAGAAGATCGTGAATCCTTCGCAAGAGCTGTTGAAAGTCATCGACTATATTCGGAAGATGGCGACTAAACGGAACCACAAGAAGCTTGACCTGGACCGCCACTTGAATACCTACACGAAGTATGAAACTAAAAAGGAACCTACGCCCAAGGACGAGGAAAGATTGTACAAGTCGCAGGCTCAGATGGAAGTTGCCCAACAGGAATACGATTACTACAACGACATGTTGAAAAACGAGCTTCCTTTACTTTTCCAGCTGGAGGCGGAGTTCGTCAAACCATTGTTTGTCTCCTTTTACTACATGCAGCTCAACATTTTCTACAGTCTGTACAACCGCATGCAAGACATGAAAATCCCATACTTCGACCTCGACACCGACATTTTGGAGGCCTTCACACTGAAGCGTGGCAATATTGAAGAGCAAACCGACTCGCTAACCATCACAAGATTTAAGGTTGGATATGGTAAAGCGAAATTGGAGATGACAAGAAGACGGTACGGCGCTCAATCGCCCACTAGCCCGGCATCCCCCATCACTCCCCAGAGTACACAGTTTGGTACTGCGAGCACCACGGGATCCGCCCCTCCACCATACGGTCAAGGTGCTGTGGGGTACGGGCAGCAGCAGCAGACACCACAACAATACCCAGCCGAAAAGGCCCAATATATGGGGTCTCCTGTCGAGCAACAGCAGTATTCTAATGCAGCACCTGCAGCAGCTCCCGTGTCTCCATATCCCGCATACACTCCGCCAACAAGTGCCCCAACTGCTGAAACGGTGACTGCATTGTACGATTACCAAGCGCAAGCCGAGGGCGACTTAACCTTTCCAGCGGGTGCAGTTATCGAGGTTGTAGAGCGCACCAATGACACAAACGGCTGGTGGACAGGTTTGTACAATGGCTACCAAGGTGTATTCCCTGCCAACTACGTTCAATTGAATAAATGATTATTGCTGTCCCATTGGTTTTCTTCAAAGTATTGCAAGAAATTTTGAAGATCTCCTGCACAAATTATAGGACTGTACTCAAGCAAATTTTACTGTTGCAATCTGCTCACAATGAATGCTCTTAACAGCCCTAAGTAATTTTCTCCTCTGTTCTTCAGGCGATATCGGCGTATCCGCAAGCCTTTGCAGTATGATTTCTGAATGAAAATAAAAAGTGGAGCCCGTCTTCTTCCATCACATTCTCCATCGGATTCTACAGACACACAAAGTATGTACTTGGTAGGCTCTGTCTACACTGTCGTTGTGGTTAGTCAATAAATATGGTATATGTCATTTGAAACGTAATGCTCTTGATTTAATTTGGCATTGTCATGTTTCGCATCTAAATATACCCTACAAAGGCATCACATCCTGACAGGCTTCCAGACCGGTTTACCACGACAAACTTGGCTGCTAAAAGTGGGAACTTCCAAGTAATAGCTGTCACGGTTATGGATCCGCAAGTTTCAGGGTTTTCACCCACTAAAAACCACTTAAGTCACTGGTGGAAGCAGATTCGCAACAATCCCAAAAGCATGTCTTCCGATTCTCTGTCAGTGAGCGGTGATTCGGGAAAATTGAGACCCGTGTTGATGCCACATTCACGGTCGTACAACAATGGAAGAAACCAGTCATCACCCCCGCCGAGTGACCCGAGCTCCAGCGAGTACCGATCCTTTCGAGATTCCTTTCTTTCTAGTAGAAATCAGTTTATGGGGCAGGTATTTGGTGTACCACTCTCTCAGTCACTCAGCGTGGCCAGTGCCGAGGTTATTGTACAAAGTGAACTGGTCAGTTTTGGCCGAATTCCGATCCTGGTCGCAAAGTGCGGAGCATATCTTAAAGCTAACGCGTTGCAAACATCAGGCATATTTCGCATTGCGGGCAACAATAAGCGTGTGAAGGAACTACAATATATTTTCTCGACACCGCCTAATTACGGTACAAAACTTAGCGACTGGGATGGGTTTACGGTTCATGACGCAGCCTCTGTTCTGCGAAGATATCTTAATAATCTCGAAGAGCCATTGGTGCCGCTTGGAATTTACGAGAATTTTCGGAAACCACTTCAGAAAAGACCACGGATTTTGAAGCATTTATCCAAGGGATTGGCGAAGGAAAGCGAAGACGACGAAACTGATCTTCAGGCTGATTCCGGAGAAAAGGAAAAGCGGAAGCTTAAGGCCGTACGACACAAGAAAAAGCTCACTCGAGATATAAAGGCCTCGCTCAAGGAATATGAAGCTCTTTTCTGGGAGTTATCTTTGGATTCCAGACAGCTTTTGATATATTTACTCGACTTATTGAGTCTTTTTGCTCAGCAATCGGATGTAAACTTAATGACCGCTCGCAATTTGGCTGCTGTGTTTCAACCATCCATTATGTCGCATCCACAACACGATATGGATCCTAAGGAGTACGAACTTTCCAGGTGTGTTGTGGAGTTTCTGATAGAGTATTCTTACAAGTTACTTCCACATCTGCTGACAGCCCCTCCAATAGTTTCTAAACCAGACGCCGAGCAAAGCCCCAAAGATGTAATACATCATCCTTCGACAGGGCAAGCCATCACTATTCCTCAAACGATAGTTTCACCGGATCCAGCTAATGCCACCGAGAAACCCCCTCCTTTGCTGTCACCGACGACACCTACGGATCTGACCGCCAAAAATTGGGAAGGCGCGAATCTTTCACCACCCAGCCCGTCTTTCTTGGAAAATCCAAGAATATCGCAGAAAAGTAGACCACATAGCAAGTCTTTGAGCCACACTCACAACCCTGCAGATACCATATCAGGAAGACGAAGTTCTCGACTATCTTGGTTGAATAGAGCTTTATCAAGCGATACTGCTGATTACACAGCTACCGAAGATGAAGAAGATGAGGTTCAATCGCCGTTAAGTACAAACTCGGGTACAGGAGGTAAGCATAATTTATTGACCCTTCCAGGAACTAGACCCTCTAGAAGCGCGAGTGGAAATAGCAGTGTGTTAGGTGGAATGCGTCCCCTTTCCGAAGTTATGAACAGGTCTTTCGAGGAATTAGCTTCCTCATTGGGAATACGAAGAAACAGCGGCATGGACAACTCGCCGCTCAATACCGATGAAGAGAGTGACTCTCGAGCGCGTTCGAGGTCTACGAGAAGAAACTCTTGGTTCCCAGGACTAAGGAGTCGATCTCGGTCAGCAAAAGGATCGTAAACTAGGTATATGTATGGATAATAAACTTTGTAGCAGCCCGAAGATAGAATTGAAGTTTAAACAGATGCCAAAGAATGTTACGAAAATCCATCGAATGAAGATCATTAATCTAGTAGTAGAACTTCACCTTCGTCAATTTTGGCAACTTTGGAAGTGGGCTCCGGTGCCTCATCCAACGGTCTCTTCCTTGGGTTTTCTTCCTCCTCATCCAAAATGATCGCACCTTCGGCAGTAACAGACTGCTGTACCTCGTGGTCATCATCTGGAGTCTCACTGGGCGCTAAGACTTCAACAAGAGGAACCTCGATGTCAGGAAGTTCTAAACCGCCTTCTGTCCCGCAAGCAATGTAGAACTCTGTAGGGCAACGAAGTTCAGTTTCGTCGCAACGCTCATCTGCAACTAACAATATTGTACCATTTTTGATATTTATTTCGAACAGTGTTTTTCCACACAGATCTTCAAAGTCAAAATCGGCAAGCAGACGTTGAGTTGATTTGTCAAGAACAGAAATTTCACCGGGATATGAATATTTTTCCCGCACGGCCTCCATCAAGTGAGAGAGTCTGATATTTTTCAGTTCATTGTTTGAAATGTTTATTACTCCGCGCTTAATTGAGCAAACAGGGCATTTTGGATTGGGAGAAGCCAACTGAGGATTAGAAAGATAACGGTGGGATGAAATTTTACTAGCCATAGCTGTGAAAGCCATATTGAGTTCTAGTGGTTTCGCGGTTGCAGAATTTTTGATCAAGCTTAATACTCTGAGAGAAGCAAGGGCAGATAAGCCGGCTATGATAGCGTTTGTGGTGGCGATTGCTGGTATAATATTACCTGCAATTTGTTTAATGTCGAAAACCGACTTTTGGGGCAGGTTAAAAATATGAGCACGCATGTTCGCCGCTGTGCTTACAAATTCCAAAGTGTCCTGATCATCCTTGTCAAATTCTATCTGTTTTTCGTCAGTCATTCGACGCATTAAGCGCTTGGTCGCCTCCACGAAAGCATTTGTTTGTTCTTGGATAGACCACACCACGTTTAGATCTTTACACACAGGGCCGCCAATTTCAATGTCGTATAGAGGACTGGGCTTCTGGCGCGTTTTCCACAGATCTTCGATAGCCAACAGTTTCTCAATGTCTTGAACAAATATTTTACGAAATATATCCACAATTTTGGATTCGTCACCAGCTTTTGCATAATCTTGCAACTCGTGTAGTTCATTGGTTTCCTGTTGGATCCTTTTGATCTCTTCCGGATTTTCAGTGCCAAGGTCTTCATCACTTGTTGTTGAGCTACCTGAAGCAAAAAGCTGGGCAAACAAAAAGTTTTTGGCCCAAACTATGCAATGTATGGGCTGGGATGGCGTAGATCTGATAGTGCATACGGGGAAAGTCTTTGGGGTTTCTTTTGTCGTACAGTCAAAACACTCGGTCGACCCAGGAATAATAGGTTGAATGTAGCCGTCAAAGCCTGCAGTTCCGCTTTCCAGCAACGGTTTTTGAAGGAATTGAGCCATTTGATTGACATAACGCCGCGCTTCTAAATTGTCTAGTGCGTTAAAAATCACTGCAAATTGATGAAACCAGCTTAGAGGAAATAACTCCACGTCCATGATATTGGCTCTGTGGGCCACCAATTTCGAGTTACTGACATGTTCAATGGCCTTGATTGCCGTAGTCGCTTTGGACTGCTTGATATCCCGTTTTCGAAACAAAAATTGACGATTTAGATTGGAGAGGTCAATTGTGTCCAAATCTACAACGTGTATCTCGCCGAACCCCATAAGCACCAGATTTTTCAGTAACTCACAGCCAATACCACCTGCGCCAACTAGTAGAACTCGGGATTCTCGAAGCTTTTGGTAATTATCAGCTCCTAAGAGCTTCTCAGTTCTCGAATCCATCGAATTTGCTCTAAACGATCCAAGTTACACCCTACTTCACGGGTTATTGAAGTCGATATAACAAGAGACTCATCGATCCAGGATAGTACTACAAGTAAATATATTGTCATTCAACAATATTAATATAAGACCAGTTCGTTAGGAAAGATTCATAGCTGTTAACTCGTTCACTTGGGTTAAAGGATACAAAAAGGGCCCCAAGAAGCTTCTTCTCATGTTGCTGAGCCTTAAAGTCACCATTGTAGTAATGATTCTTACGGTGGATCAAATAGGCCACCTTTAACTATAAAAATATGGGTTTGAACATAGAATACAATACCGAGGGTAATTGTTTTCAAACCATAGAATGTGCTTGAGAGGAGAGACCGTTGTGCTTCGAATCCAACGCTGAAGCTCTTTGGAATGCTGTGTCTATGGTAGCTTGCCCTGTGTGAGATGATGCCAGCTTGGGCGCCAACAACGCTCAGCGGCAAATTAAGACCCAGATAGAGTTGAAGGCAGAATGGACGTAGGACGATGAGAGAATGACTGGACAGGGGAAGGTCTTTCAGTTTGAATGAAAAACAAGGCTTGTTGTTTGAAAGAGATGCTTAATACAGTTAACCACCTCCAATGTTGCGTATAGCCAAGAAATTTCTGAGGGAAGGCCATCAAGAGTAAGAATGTTAGACTAAAGCCAGCTATCACAATATTCCCAAACAAAAAGTACCACCAGGGTGAGAGACTCACTATCAGCCCTACGTCGGAGTTACATTGAGATTTGAAATTCGCCCTGTTTCAGTGCCACCCGAATTTCCATCGGGTCCTCGTCTCATTAATGTAGACGGATTCTAGATTCAGAGATAATTCAATTGATATCGGAAAGCGCTGTTCAATTGGTGTCAACTTCATAATTCGAGCACAACTTCTTTTGCAAAACAATTGCACAATGGTAATACGTTGGCATCAACAAAACCAACAGATGAGAAATAGCACTCCCCGTCTAGGGGACCACTGACACAAGCTGTTCTAATATGAGACAGGCAGCAAGTCCAGTTGCAAAACTGTTCTGCCGCATTAATCCGAAGTTCCAGAAATCGTCCTGAAATTGGCCCTACAACTCCCATATAAAAGCGAGCTTCCGTTAGGATCCTCAGTGTCAACAGTCCAGTACACCAACGTTTGTCATCTCCGTCTGTCTGCTTTCATGCTGTCCCGGCATCGCAGTCATCATTCAACGTCACATGATTGTGGTGTGACCTCAGTCGCACCCTCACCTTCGAAAGCAGCACCCGGCCTACATCGGATCCGAAAGAGCGAACAGGATCACGATCCTCCATCTAGTTTTCTCCAGAGCATATATATATAAAGATGGAAAAGCAGGAAAATGGTGGGTAACAAAAGATTCGGGTACTTGGTTCGAGTGCGACAGTTTTTTTATTTGAAGACTCGAGATACAAACGCCAATAGCATCTCTACCGTTCCAATAGAGTGAATTTAACTTCCCACTTGTTGTGACGAATTTTTGGTAATATTCCTCCGTTTGGTCTGACGCTCCACATTCAAACAATCACAAGTTATAAAACGATGTTCAAGTCACAATTCGCCAGAAACTCGGTGAGACTTTTCGCCACAAAGAAACAGCCCTCCATTGGACGTTACACTGGTAAGCCAGACCCAGCCACCGGTAAGTACACTGTTTCCTTCATCGAAGGTGATGGTGTGGGTCCAGAAATCTCCCAGGCTGTCAAGGACGTTTTCGTTGCTGCCAAAGCTCCTATTCAGTGGGAATCCTGTGATGTGAGCCCTCTATTTATCAACGGTCTCACCACCATTCCCCAGCCCGCCCAGGACTCCATCAACAAGAACTTGATTGCTTTGAAGGGTCCATTGGCCACTCCAATCGGTAAAGGTCACAGATCTTTGAACTTGACTTTGCGTAAGACTTTTGGTCTATTTGCCAACGTTCGTCCAGCTAAGTCCGTAGAAGGATACAAGACTGCTTACGACGATGTTGATTTGGTCTTGATCAGAGAAAACACCGAGGGTGAATACTCTGGTATCGAACACGTCGTCTCCCCAGGTGTCGTGCAATCTATCAAACTAATTACGCAAGATGCTTCTGAGCGTGTCATCAGATATGCCTTTGAATACGCTAGAGCTGTTGGTAGACCAAAGGTTCTAGTTGTCCACAAATCCACTATCCAGAGACTAGCGGACGGTCTTTTCGTTAAAGTTGCCAACGATCTGTCCAAAGAATATCCTGACGTTGAATTGCAGACGGAAATTCTAGACAAAACCGTTTTGAACGTCGTTAGAGACCCATCGCTGTATAAGGATACCGTCGCTGTCTGCCCTAACTTGTACGGTGACATTTTGTCCGACTTGAACTCTGGTCTAAGTGCCGGCTCTCTAGGTTTGACTCCTTCCGCTAACATTGGTCACCAAGTCTCCATCTTCGAAGCCGTTCACGGCTCCGCTCCAGACATTGCTGGTCAAAACAAGGCTAATCCAACTGCCCTATTGTTGTCCTCTGTTATGATGTTGAACCACATGGGTTTGGTCGAGTACGCTGACAAGATCGAAAAAGCTGTCTTCACTGCTATCGCCTCTGCCCCAGAAAACAGAACTGCCGACTTGGGTGGTAGCGCTTCTACTTCCTCTTTCGCTGAAGCTGTCATCAGCAGATTGTGATAAAGTTAGGTCACAAAGTAAATACCAAATGATATACCTCGTCATTTATTTCTATAAGTATACTTAGTGTTCGTCATTGAATAGAAATTGATAATCATAAACAGCCTTGGGATTATTGATATTTCGCTTCCATGTTGTGATTTCTCTTATGTTGTCATCAACGCGAAATAATCTGACAACTGAAGTTTGTCTTTCGGCAGGTGAGTAGCCCGCTACCCCTGTTTGACCCCCATAGCATAGCCAAACATTTTTCACAAAGAGACAACAGTCATTTTCGTGCTCCTTTCCGCAGCTTAAGGTTTGGACTCCCAGATCATTCAAGACATCACTTATTCCAAACTGGGCGACATCCAATGGGCCCTTTTCGTTGAAAGAACCAATTATGGGAAATTTTCCAACAGGACGATATTCTGGAATAGGTGAGTGCTGAAATGCCAATGAATAGGTTAGAGCACCGGTCAAACTCTCAATGGTATGCTTATGGGCAGCTTTCATGAAATCTATAGGGTTTTCAGCAGCCGATGAATCCAGAATATATATTATCCCCACTACTTCATCGTTTTTGTTAAGGGTTATAGCACTATTTGTTGTGTTTGGTGTCGCGAGATTGGCAATGTTTTTAATTGTACCCACCAAGCAATATGGTAATTGCTGGACAAACTTTGAAAGATGGCCCCTTGGAGCAAAACGTGAGTAATCTGATAGTCCCCAGCTTACCACCCAAGGAGTGCCCCGACTTATCATTGGCTGAAGTGCCTTCAAAAGAGCCGTTTGGTAGTCCAATGTGACAGCTCCGTCGATAAGGTCACCGGTAACAATCACCAAGTCAGGATCCTCAATTTCTAAGACATGAGAAATGAATTGCGTGGTCAACTGATCACTAGTTTTCTGAGGATCACCTATATGATCAGAAGAGCCAATATGCAAATCAGAAATCTGTAAGATCTTAAACTTTCCGTCACGCATAAAGAGATGACCCTCACTTGCATACTTTTGAGGCACTTGGTTACTGTCAAATTTCTCGACGCTAATGGATAAAGGAGCACCTCCTTTGCGCGGTAACTCGGTAACCGCACTTCGCCACATTGATCGACTTTCAGCAAACCCTTTCCCAACAAACAGCTGCACATTTGTCACCAGCTTTCCCTCATTAGCGCTGTGAACCAAAGCATATTTGCACCATACACCGGAACGCTTGTAGTGCCAGTCTTCGCCACGCACAGCCAGATTCTCCGATTTTCTCCCAAGCAACTGGGCCCAGAATCCAAGTTTTTGATCATGTTTGTGGAACATTGAACTATCCTTAGATCTTATCTTGTCGTTAATATCTTGTAGGACCCTCATCGGAACTGCTGACTTGTCTCTTGCTATTACCAAGTCAGAAATGCATCCATGATCACCCTCTACAGTGCTCGGATGGACATATAGGAAGGAGTTATAAAACAAGCCATGCTCTACAGCAAATATTTTCTCATCGGTTATGTCCTTTCTCACTCTCAACCAAGGCACAAATTTTTCTCCTGAGTTAAGTTGATCATATATAACCCGACAACTTCCAAACCAATGGAAGCATTTTATCAACCTCACGTCATCAATAGTCCCACCTTCGTATTCCTGATCATCCACTCGCTGCTTTAAAATGTTGATACCATGCCACTGTATCGAGGTGCATGCCGCTAGGCAAATAATAACTGCGATCGCTGCAAGAACTTTCAGGACTTTGTTGGTTGACCTCCTTTTCTGTAACGAACGCAACATTTGAATGCCGCCCCACTTTTTCTTGGTTGATGCAAACCGGACAGAAGCTTTCCTACGATCAGGTCTCCTGCCTGAGTGGCAGCTCAAAAGGTGATCAAAAAAAGATCTTGAAGAAGCTGAAGTCCTCGAAATCAGCTGTTTCAATCACTCCACTTATAAGAAGGTCGCTTATGGCGATATCCTTGTGAGTCTTAACCCTGATCTCGATTATATCTGTTTCCCATCATCGTGTGCCGTAATTTCCTTAAATTAATGCCAACTCCGGAAGGGTTATATCTCATCATGTGATATTGAAGTGATCGCTTACCTTATCCAACCCACTATCGGATCTCTTCAAGAAATTTCTTGGGAGTTTGTTTGTGAGCGGTTTTGGAGCTTAGAAATCGATGAGATCTTCTTTGCTTGCATTAGGATTCATGAGGGGGTTTAAGATATCTTGATCATGAATAGCAAAATTTCTAACACCTGTATTGTGCGCTGCTGCACTCTGAACCGTGGCAACATCTTCAATAACACTCTCTTTGAAGTAGGTGAACATCAGTGGTGATTCTGAAGCAGACCTTGTTTGAGAGCGAATTGCGTGTATGACATCCTGAGGAAAAACCTTGGTCACGTTAGTATCATTCAAATTTGGCTTGTACTGGACGTGATGCCATTGGCCTTCGGGCTGGCGAAGAAAATAGTCTGCAGGCGACATAACAGCACTAGTAAGGAGATACGGCTCATCTATAATTCCGATGGCAGTCGCAGACTCTATCAATCCCAGCTCAGGGTGGGAAAGATTCCATTCGTTATGGATTTTGTTAGTGAGAGCTTTATATTCTGCCATCTTGTTGGTTTTTAACACGGAGAGGTCTTCCTTCACATTTTGCAATGACCCCAAGAGATTCGCAATATTCGGGTCGTCAGAGGAGCTTGAATCTCTCGAAATGAAGTCCAACGAACTGTTCAGAAAAGAGTGAATATGTTTTCCTTGGAAACTCTTAAGATCGTTCAAATCGCGCAGAACCTTCCGAGCCTCAATTTCTGCAGCTCGCGACCTTGAAAGTACGTCGTTGATCAAGAGTTTTTTAGCTTTTTCAGTGTACAGTTGAGGATAAAATTTGAGCGGTACTTCTACCCCGTTGGAAATATTTACATTTTCGGTTCCTTCGTCCATCTCATCAAAAACAATTGTGATCAAAGGAGCAAGATTACCCAGGGAATTATGTATCTCCTCTGATTCTTCATCGGGATCACTATCTGGATACAGAAGTGCATTGAACATTTTGTAAAGATTTGATTCGTATTCTTCTGGCATGAAATGTAACAAAGAGACAAGTGTTTCTATTGGCTCAGGCTCTGATGGAGGTTTATAGTATGCTGAAGAAATGAAGAGTTCTCGCGCAGATGATATTTGGGGACAGAGCTCTAAATCCGTAGCTAAACTTTTGATAAAAGTAGGCAAAACGTCATGTAAGTGTTCGCAGTTGTTGAGCTTGTCAATAACTTGAGGTTCTAGAACCTTGGCAAAGAACCTAGCTTCGACAAACTTTCTTTGACAGTTGGAAGAAATTTGAACGGCTAGCATTCTTTGAAATTGCCACAAGAGTTCGGGTTGCAGGGCCAAATTATCTTGGCCTGTCAATTCTTCCTGTGCAATGATATCAGTTGTATCATCAGGGCCATGTCTAATCCTGTATTTTGGCCTCGAGAAATGGCCCTTATACCAATCGTTCCCGCATACTAGGTCTTTGAAGTCGGGCTTCAAAAAAATACAAGGAAATCCATAGCCCACAACTAGACAAAATATAGCGAAGTAGTTTTCCATGAGGGCGTTTGGAGTGCCCATTTGAACAACAAGTGGATCATCCACGCAGTTCTTGATCTGGGGTTCGTCGACTGTCACAGCAGTACCCAGCCAATTGGCTGATTCGCTGTCAGATGCACTTATATCAGGTTCAGCCTGAGCATCTTCAACAAATTCAACCGTTTCCCTGACTTGTGGATAAGACTCTGTCTCTTTTGGGTATTGAGGAGAAATTTCAACCGTATCCGTGTGAAAGCTCTGCTGTGGCAATTCCCCAGAGAATATGTAGTTCACAGAGGCTTCAACATCTCCGTTTGTTTTTGCTAGGGCCTCAATCGCTACATCACGGGTTATCCCCATGTCTAGTAAAGATTTTATTGAGCTTTCTGACATAGCACTTACTTTCGGGATGTCGCGCAAATAAGGCCACTTTTGTCTGCCTATCAACTGCCCGTCTTGCCTCGCAGGACCTTACTGTTTCACATTAGTACTTTCCGTATTGCGGGCCAGTATCATTAACATTTACCTTTGAGCACCGCACACGAGCACCAGAGGAAACAATAACACAGTTCTTCTCCAGTGAACAGTAAATCGCAGCAATCAACTAGAACTATTGAAATGTTTGCTTCACCCTTCTGGAGCTGCAACATTGTTGTAATACCCTAGGAAAATCAGGGAAAAGTGAAGAATTAAGCGGTAACATGTGTCGCAACTTCCGGCTCAGAGACATTGACTGGCTTTCTGCTTTATTATGATCATGTTTCAAAAGAGGAGTCTATGAAGAATCCGAAAAGCGTTACGAATACTATGAGGAGCTCAGGCTTAAGTGTCACATTTTGAGTGGGAGTGCACAGAAGTTAGTATGTCCAATTCGTTCTTGCGTGACGCAATCGGTACCGAGTGATTTCGTCCGACTATGATCCTCTGGGCTCAGATATTGTAGTAAAAACCGCGAGCTGTATTTGATCTGGTCACTTGTAGTCATCCGCCCCATAATCTTGCATTGAGACAAAGCCTTATTTCCAGAGTTGGTCATGAAAACAGCTATACTAGTACACCAACAATGACAAACGCATTCCAAAACATAAAACAATGCGTAAGTTTTTTGCATAGGGCTGAGGGGTGCTAAGAGCCCTCTCTTCGTTCGCATGTGTGTCCAAGCCCACGGCTATCGATGTTTATCGTAGTAATCCCTTCTTGAATTAGACTTTAGCTATGGAATTAGCGCTGAATCTGGTTTAACAATCTACAAAACGTTGCCAGTTTGAAATAATCATAGTAGCCGCTGAAAGTCGTGTAGCTCATACATGAACGGGGAAACACAGAGATACGAGCCCCAAAACACTCGTTCCTCGGACACCGTGATAGCCACTAGCATAGAGCTGTTTCTATTCAATGCTCTCTTTTGTGAACTCTAGCAAAGGCGTGTTTGCATTTTCAATTAACTTAAAGCTGAGTTCATAACTCGTCACTTAGAACTCGACGAAAGAAGAACACTGATCTAGCAAGTCTCACAGAAATAGCTTGATAGGCTCCGTATGGTGGCTCGGACCAAGGTCAAAAAGCCATTGTGCTAATTTTGTTCGAGCCAAGCTGCATTTCTGGTGCTGCTATTATGCTTGCGAGAGAAATTTGCCGCTTTGGCCCACTTGACTAGCCATCTGACTGCTATTATTCAATACTTAAGCGGACATGTACTAACTAGTATTTGCGACTGACCTTTTGGCGCTTATATTGTCAAAACTATACATCTCCACACTCACATGGCTATGGGATTAGACGGTGGGTAATTCAAACGACGCCCCAGGCTGATTGTGTGTAGTAGCAAAGACCAGGTGAACGGTTGTCTGACGTTTGAAATTCCAGCACCACAATGTCAGCCATCGTGACACCACTACGTCCTGCAGGTGGCCCTCAATTGACGATCGGCAACTAAATAGCCTATGCCATCGAAATATCACAAATTGGTCATTCTCCCAGTGATCCCATCCTGTAATTAACTGCCAGTCATCGCCCCAGCCCCTCACCGCAGGATGGGAAACTCGTCCTCTATCGTGGGAACCATGGTCTTGGCACCGCACCTAGTCACTGCTGCTGCTGATCTTCACGTGCTTTTGCGTCTTCTAATTTTCCCAGGCATCTTGCTACCGGTTGCTTATGACCACCGTTACCTTTGCCGATTGTATCACAAATTGTCTCAAGAGATCTCGCAGTTATTAGGTGTATGCTAGGCACCCTCTAGGTGGCTGATAAAAAAACCTACAATATTTTCCATTCTTAAATGAATTTACGAAGATTTCGTCACCGGTCCCGATTATCCTAAACTGCCCGACCCGCACAACGCTCCTACATTATCCACACATGAAATTTCTTACAGAATCAAGCCAGCTGGCCCTGATTTGCCGTTGCTAAGCTAGGTGATTACACAATCATATGCAAGAGAACAGCCTCCTCGCTTCTGATGCCCCGATAAAGGCATCAACGCTCTTCACATGCAACGCCCATAGCGAATCAACCAATTCAAAGGTGGCATGTGTACTGAAGGTACGTTCGTGAAGCAAAGCTTACTATCGTTGGGTGGAAAATGGTTGTTTGTTAGGATTATAACAGCAGAAAAAAAATTTAATTAGGCAACTGGCACCCTACAGTTAGGAAAGTGGTAGACAGTGTAAAAGGGCAGGGCCTGTCATTCAGCAACAAGACCTAAAACAACAAGGATTCAAAGTCTTAGAGTTGGTGTGACAGTACAGAAGAGCATAGGCCACTCTGTTATTATATCAAACATGGGTCCTGGAGAAGGAGCATCGGATTCGGCATCGCATGAGCAGCAAGAACAGGGACGATTATCAGGGAGCTCTGGATCGAGCGTCGACAAAGACGAGGGAAAGGAAACGGAAATGGACAAAAACAGAGGAAATAAGAAGGGTGACGACAAATGCGGGGGAAAAGACATCAATAAAGATCCTGGAGTTGCTAGACGGGCCAGTGCAGCTTCGTCCACAAGTGCTTCAAGCAGCAGTACCAATTCGGCATTTACACACAAACTATACAGCATGCTAGAGGACAAAGAAATGGACGAATTGATATGGTGGTCACCGTCCGAGACGTCGTTTTTCATTTGTCCATCAGAGCGATTTAGCAAAGCACTAGCCTCGTACTTCAAGCACACAAACATGGCTAGCTTTGTCCGCCAACTTAACATGTACGGATTCCACAAAGTCAATGACCATCAAAGAGCAACACAACAAGCTCAGGCCAAGCATGAGCCATCACCCGGTATCGAAAATGGTCAGAGTTCTGATCAGCTTCCGGCTGCTGGCCCTGATGAGGTGCCTCATAGCAGCGAAAATAGAGGGGCCAGCAATTTGTGGGAATTCAAGCACAGTGCCAATGCTTTCCGTAGAGGAGATTTGGAGAGTTTGAAGCATATAAAGCGCAGATCTTCCCGTAATCACTCAATCCTGCGAAAGGAATCCACTGGAACGATACCGACCCCATTTGATTATTCGCCAATCCCAACGGACCACTGGGTGGATCCACAATCTGATCCGCGCCGATCCAGTTCTGCTGAGCTAGGACATGCATATCATCAACTTCCCAAAGCACAAACTTCAACGCCATTTGCACCAGGTCTTCCTGGCGTTAGCCACGCCGCTATTGAATACTTTGCTTCAAATCAAGAGCAGCAGCAGCAGCTACAGCCCCCTGGTAAGATATTTCATCCGCAATTTCAACCTCAAAACCAACCACATGTTCAAAATCAACAGCAGCAGCGGCTGCAACAACCCCAGTTTCCTGTTTCATCTCAACCTTACGCACACCCACAATCACAAGCCCAACTCCTTGCTCAGAATCTAGCACCAGTTGGTGCCAAGGTGAACGATATGGCTCAACCATTCAGTGGACCATTATTAGGTCGGCCGGAAAGTGTGTCAATACCAAATCAATTTGAAGCGGCAATTGATGATCTTCGGCACACCAATATGGATTTAGTAAGGCTGCTTGATCTCGTTCATAATCTCGTCACCATGTCTCAGACACCAACTAAGATTAATGAGGACGCATCTTCCCTATATGGGGCAACTGCAGGAAATGAGCAGTCGTCGTCCCCTCGCAATGCAATATCACAACAACAAAGTATGGAACAGTTGATGGCTGAGATTTCAAGACTTAAATCAGCCACCATGCAAAGATTACAAAGGTCTGGATCTTTTCAGCTTCCTCCGGGCGCGGTGCAACAACAATCAAAATCATTCCCAGGCTTTGTCGAGCATTCTGTCATGAGTCCTCATCTTCCTACCTACTCAAGTCGAGCTGGTAATTTGTCAAGTCGAAATTCAGCCTCCTCGCCAGCATTGTCCCAGTTAGCAAATGCCCAGAATGCTCAGGCTCCCTCACAACAACCGACATATTACCCCACTCCTGGTGCTGCTACTGTGCACTCCACCCCAGGCGCTTTGACAAGTGAGTACCCAGGATTAGCTAAGCCAAACAGTGTACCGGCTCCTTACCTGATGCTAAATTCCTTTGAAAAAAAAGGGTCAACTTCATCCAATAAAAACAGGCATATGAGCGTTTTAATGGATCCGCTAGCCCCAGCTCCGGGCCTCGTTGCTGTCGGTGCGTCCGCCAGCGCATCTCCCAACCCTATACAGCAACAGCAAAAGAAAGGCCAACAATCGGTATACTTAAGCCATTCAATGGCATCACCTCAGCCCATTATTTCCAAGAATCCTTCCAGGAGTGACGTGAAGTATCTACCGACATCGAATCCGGAATTCAATATAGAAAGCAAGCAATCCGAACGCAGGCCATTGTCTCCATCTGTTAGTGAGGCACCGGCTAATCCTATTCCAGTTAAGGGCAGCGTTCGGGCGCCATCAGAGACTGTCGTTAACGCGATTACATATAGACCACACTTTCCATATGGCACGGTGCCAGGAAACATCCATCCTTCACCCCCATTAGCCCAACATTTGCATGCTTCTCAAGCTAACTCATCCAGTGGGGTCACCCATCTTCCCAAAACTCCTCACCAAAAACTTCAACGCCCGTTCTCTATACAAAGGGAACCGTCACCGTTAAACCGGCAAGTTGAAGAGAGTCTTGAGGACGATGAAGCAGAAAAGTCAGCTCTACCGCATTCGTCTAGAGAAAGCACAGAGTTAGGTACTACACGGCAAGATGGTGCTAATGCCAGCTCATCGAGGTTGCACACATTGCTCAATTACGATTCCACCGAGCAGTCCAAAAAAAAAATGAAACTCTAAAAACTTAAATTTAGGAACGCTAATCATGTACTATCCCCAGCTGCCTTCGAATATCGCTGTTTACCACCTATATATATATCGATATCAACTAGTAATCGAAGATGCACTTGTATTGTAGAATGCGGCTGCCTAAAACGTCCCAATCGCCACTGGTAACGTAGAGCTCCTCGATTAACTTCAGGCGAGCAAAGACACTTCCTCCTTTCCAAGTTAGAAGGGCGGGATCCATTTCTCGAGGTGCAGGGAGAACATTTATCGGGAAAACGCTTTCATTCCCACCGAGAGCATCCACATCTTCCCAATAGGTTTGTAGTTCCATCTTGACTGTCTTGGCCAGTTTCTTTTTTTGAGTAGTCAGTTCTTCTTGGTCCTTAATATCTCCAAGCTTATTCACTTGCTCGAACTCTTTGACTTGCTTTGTGACTTTGTCGAAGAAGGTAGGTAATGTGGTTACGCTGAGCAGGCGTGGCCTCCAGATGTTGATCCTATCAGTTAATATGAAATCTAAGCTCGGGAACTTGGAGCTGCCTCCTACGACTAATATATTAGAGTAGAAGTTGGTTGCTTTCGAGAAACTATTGTCCAGGGTAGCACAAGCATTAGTGATACTTTCTATAATGGCTTTATCCAGCGCCGTGAAATTCGAATCTGAATTAGCAACGTTCGCCGCTGTATACTCCTCGATTTCAGAAGGGAGATTTAGGAGTTTTTGCAGCACATCTAAATCCTTGGCCAAATCGCAGTACGTCGTTTCTTTCTGGCACGAAAGTTGACTGATGGACTTTATGTTATTTTCTTTTTGAGTGAAAAGGTCTTTGGAGCGAGGCAATTGATTTGAAACGTACTCGTTATTGTTAGTTTTAAAGGCCTTTAGTTCCGGGAAAATTTGGGGGAAGAATAACCCCATGGGAGCCGTCATAACTTCGTCAAACACTTTAAACTCGAATTTCTCGGCACCAGGCTTTCCTGGTATCCTTTTAATGAAATTGTACAGCTGGATGGTAACATCTGCATCTTGAAAAGTGGCATATTTTTGTTTCAAGTTTTCAATTAATAAGAAGTCGTGTGGACTTTCTAGGTCGAGACCATCATATGGAAATTTGGACTCAAGTAAAAACTTGGCAAATAAACGAGTGACATCATCACCGCCATAATCAAGAGATATTACGCTGTTGTCTACCACGAGCCCTTCGTCCACACAAGCAACTTTAGTGGTAGTAGCTCCAATGTCAACAACACAGGTTGAGTCACCAATTCCAGCGCCATAACAAGACGCCAAAGACTCTTGTATGAGAGCAACGGCCTGAAATTTGAGGTCGACCAATAGAAGTCTAATGAAAGATTCAACGTAAGCTTTATCATACAAGTCCGGCACGACTACCACAACCTTATAGTTGGGTATCTGGGCTGTCTTGATGCTTAACTTGGGGTGTAGAAGCGCGAACTTTAAAAGCTCGCTGACGTCTGATAGCAATTCTTCTATAGAACGATAATCCGGGGACTCAACGTTGAACCGCCCCTTCCAAAATGGATATCTCACAGTGAACTGAGACGGTAGGCAGTGAGTGGCCTCCTCGCCATAAAATGTCTTGGCTGGTTCCTGTATCCAATCCACTCGATGGAGGTCATTATGCTCAGGTATTTTCTCTGGTTGGACACGCGAGTTAAAGTTCACAACCGCTTCGTGAGAATTGGGCATAATTTTCCGCTTATAATACCGCATCCGCTCTTTGAAATCGTGCTGTATATATTCCTTGGTTTCGGCATAAGACTCGTGGTCGGCCACGAAATCATTTGGGATTTTCGAAGAGCCATTAGAGGCCTGCTTACTTTTTGTTCTTGGTATGGCAACACAGCTGGGGATGGATTGAGGTAAAACGTCTGTGGCAAATCCGATCTTGAGAGACCTACTACCTGGGTGAATGACTATGGTATTTGTCTCGCTCTCTTCATCCGCACTGTCCTGATCGTCATCTTCTGCGGCTATGTCAGGGTTATTCTGGGACGACGTTGCGTTCCGGAGAGATTTCCTCTCGCGCATGGCGAAGATCTGGTCATCGCGCTTTAGATAGTCCGAGGAGTAGTTCTTTTGGTTTATCAAGGACAGTGCTCGAAACAGCCCGTTTTGGTGTATTATGGAGTTGTCCCTACGCTCGATACCAACGGTTTTCATTTTCTGAGCGTATTGCTCGGCCGCTTTGAGACGGCCCAAACGACGTTTTTCCAGCAGATGCATGGGCACTTTGGTCATCTGCTGCTTGCCCTGAGGGTGGTGCTCTGGTTTCTTCACTTTTGACGCTGATGATGGTGCCGTGCTATTTCCGGCGCTCGGTGCTGGTGTCATTGACAATGGTGTTGGATCCGCGGTGGAGAAGTCGCCCTCTTGATCAAGTTCTTCCTCGTCCACACCGCCCATGGGCACATCGTCAGATTTAGGATCTTTGGAGGGGCTAGTCATGCAGGTTATGAAGGCAATGCAAACTAGCAGGATACTAACCGCAGGTGTTGATGTCCACTGGTAGGTAAAACACTTGAACTCCTATGTGATTTGGCATGCGATCCATTCTGTTGCTAGTTAACTGACTATACAGAAATTGAGAGTCCTGTCAGGTCACGTTGATATCACGCCTTCTCCTTCCTCTTTGGGTAATTACTATATTAGTACTTAGTTTCCTCATTCGGATGATGTTACCCTTTAGAGACTTTTTGCTCAATTGGGAAATGGCTTCCTTATTCGGAAACTTCTTTCCGGCTTCCCTTTTAAGACTTTCTTTTCCTATTTCGGAACCTGAGAAGCCCGATATCACCGAGTAGCATTATAAGGGGTTAGTCGGGGGCCATCTTCTAATTAAACATCATCATAATCTAATACTACAAACGTCGTACAACAAACCAACAACATAGTGAGTTGCTTGAAACCAAAGCACATCATTCGACCGAACAAAGGCTTCGGTGCACCATAAGATCGGTGTTATCCCTCTTCAACTTCTCGTGCAATCGTCTGACCTCTTTAAAGCATGGCACAGAACCGCCAGTTTTCGTTAGAGGCATCCAAAATGCTCAAGCGTAAAAGCTCGGAGCTATTCCGAAGTTTACCTAAGGTTCCAACCACACAGTATCTGGAACCCGCAGAGCTGACTCGCGACATCCTGTATAGCGGGTACCGACCTGTGATTTATCCAGTGCGAGAAAACCCACTTTTCAAAAAAGCCGGACGGACGTCCCATAATAACCAAAATGATGGGGAGCACAGACCGTCAAAAAGTGCAGCGGAGCAGAATGCCATGGCCGGGCCTCATGGTAACGGTGGGATAGGCTCGGGAGGTGTGAATGGCACCTGGCGCTACAACCCACGGATCCCGTCCAAACTGTTGCCGTTCAATCTGTGGTCGAGCACCAGTATGGCTATGGAGTACCACTCAGAGTGGATCGGGGTGCCCCGCGTGGTGGTGAATAAGTTGCGGCCGTTTGAGGTGCCGCTGGCGCCCGCGGTGCCAGAGCTTTCAAGGAACAGGACCAAATCCGTAGATACTACAGCCCAGGTCGGTTCTGCCACGCCGGCGTTACAGTCTCGAGCAACAACACCCTTGCGTAGGAAGCCCAAGTCCTCCGAACGGAACACCGCCGACAAGAAGCTCTCGAAACAGGTGGATCAGTTTATCAGCTACTTGCGGGAAAAAGATAGAGGATAAGCAGCTGAGCTCCACACGCACAATCACACACATACACAGAATACTTAATATATATATAGCGGGTCTGTATACGGGGAATTGGATTTACACTAAGAGATGTGAGCCGAGCGGGCCTCACAGTTTGAACCATCTCTTCCTGGATGGAACCGCGGTAGCCACACATTCCAGCTCCACTTTCAACTTATCGTTGGGGAAGCTGACCACAATGCACGAACGGGCTGGAGCATGAGGAACAAATTCTTGGTATACTTTATTGACCACTGGGGCGTACGACTTGTCAGCCACGAACAATAGTACTTTCACCACCTGTCCCAGCGAAGAGCCACTAGCCTTTAAGACGTTATTGAGGTTTTCAAGAGCGTTTCTAGTTTGTTGTTCCAGGCTATCTGGGAGCTCCTGAGTAACAGGGTCGGTCCCCACACAACCTGATGTGAAAACCATGTTCTCGGAGTCCGAAGCAACAAAAGCAGGCGATAGAATGGCTGAGCCTTTTGCAGGCGCAACGTCTTTCCAATTGACCTTCTTGGCCATACTTGCTCACACTGGCTTGAGTGGTGGTGTTTGACAGTCACTGAGTTGAGCAGGTACGTTTATCAGATATATTAGTTTGACCTTGAGCCATGTGATCCTCCATTAAGATAGTAGCATACCAGCGCATCGTGAGCTGAATAATCCTTAGCTCGAAGGAGGCAGGCCAGATCAACGTCGAGCGGCGAATCTGGTTCAGGGTTGGCAAGCAGGAGCCAGATCGCCTGCACACAGTGTAGAAGGTCCCACGCGGGCGACCAGTGCTCTTGCTCTAGTAGCGTTAAGCAGATGCGTCCCGAATCGAAATCTATGTTGCAATGAGGAATTGAGAAGGGAGCGAATCGGATCTTGGGTGGCTCCAGAGGGTATCTGTCTGTTACTTGAATGCGGAGAGTGAATTTGTAGCCGCTGTAACAAGTATCAGCGGGTCCCATGATCTGTGCGTCCCAGTGCGTTAGATTGTCGTCTGAGCACGGACCTAACGATAAAACGTGGGAAAATGACTGGTCGGCTCTCAACGTCTTGGCAACATTCTTATATTCTTTGGCGAGCCTGGAGGACATGGTATACCAGGGAAGCGGCTTGGCTCCGGCAGGGAAGGCTCGTCGCGCGAGGCAAGGCTGATTATGTGACGAGAAGATCTGAGATGAGACACGCTCGTATATAGCGATCTCTAAGCTCGCGGCGGGCAATAAAGTCGTTACGCGGTCAAGAAGGTATTGAGCGAGAGTGATAAGTTAGACAGAAGCTGTAGAGAGATATTATACGAGCCCATTTGGCGGCTGAGTCGGGCCTTTGCCGTTATTTGGCTCCTGACAGAGGACGTCACGTTTGGTGTATCACTCTACACGTTTGTAGTTCACGATGAATTTAAGACATAATAAAGAGGTCTCCTTGCAATCGCCACCATCATACGTGAAGGTTAGGTATATACAGTACAACGCGCCTGAGCTATCCCTAATAGCGCATCCAAATAAAATGTCAAGGCTAGCAGATTCGTTGGCCAGAGTTGCCATACCCTTGGGTCTCGCTGCTTCCGGTTTACAGTATTCCATGTACGATGTTAAAGGTGGCTCCAGAGCTGTGATCTTCGACAGGTTGAGCGGGGTTCAGCAACAAGTAGTGGGCGAGGGTACTCATTTTCTGATTCCTTGGCTGCAGAAAGCAGTTCTTTACGACGTAAGGACTAAACCCAAGAATATTGCCACAAACACCGGTACCAAGGATCTACAAATGGTGTCCCTAACCCTACGTGTCTTGCACAGACCGGATGTTATGAAGCTGCCCACGATTTACCAGAACCTGGGTCTAGATTACGACGAAAGGGTGCTGCCATCGATCGGGAATGAGGTTCTGAAGGCAATTGTAGCCCAGTTCGATGCCGCAGAGCTCATCACTCAGAGAGAAACGGTTTCGCAACGTATCCGCCAAGAATTGTCGCTAAGAGCTAACGAATTCAGCATCAAGCTGGAGGACGTTTCCATCACGCATATGACCTTCGGTCCCGAATTTACCAAGGCTGTGGAGCAGAAACAAATCGCTCAGCAGGATGCAGAGAGAGCTAAATTCGTGGTTGAACTGGCCGAACAAGAAAGACAGGCTTCGGTGATCCGCGCAGAGGGAGAAGCAGAGTCTGCTGACTGCATTTCCAAGGCTTTGGCCAAGGCCGGTGACGGGTTGCTGCTGATCAGAAGGATCGAAGCATCCAAGGAGATCGCCAAAACGCTGGCGAACTCCTCTAATGTGACGTATTTGCCAGGTGGCCACGGTTCTGGTGGCGAAGCTCAAAACCCCAACTCACTACTGTTGAACCTGGGACGCTAGACATGAGACCAAGAGAGGAGGCACGTTTTTTTTCTAACTTGTAGATATCTAATATATGTTTGTTTAACGACAACAGTGTGTTTGACGAGAAACAGAGAATACATTCGTGGGATCTTCTTACATTAGTTGGTATTAGTGACTATGTGGGTAGACAGACGAACGAAAGCGGCACAAGAATAATGCTTGGTGTTGCGAAAGAATAATATAATCAATGAAAAGGGAAAGAAGGGAGGGGGACAAAATGGGTAAAAGTGTTCTCGGAGAAATTTTGATAAGAAAATAGGACGTGGTGGAAGTGGGGGAGCAGGAAAAGGTGGCAGCGCTTGGGAGAAAGAAAAATAAAGAATAGTTGTGTTAATAGTGTTACAGTCTTGAGAACAGTGGTATTATTAATGGGATTGGACGGGAGAAAGAGGCGGCGTAGGGCTGAAAGGAGCCACGACACAGAAATGAGTCCGGACCTGGATATATAGGGTGGACGCCAAAAATCTCGGACCCGCGTCTCCCAGACCCGAGTTTCAATAAAATAAAGTTTTAGTAAAAAAAAATCCATTTGTTTGTTTGTTTGTTTGTTTGTTTGTTTGTTTTGTTTTGTTTTGGTTGGTTTTGGTATGGTGAATCTCTTTTGGGTATAGTCAGTCCTTGGCGTCTTTTTTTTTTTCTTCCCAATTTTCTCACACCCTCTCGTTTTCTGTTCCCATCTTCGCGCGCTTAAACCTGCGAGATGGTTGGGACGCCGACGTTGGCTCTGCGAGTGGTGGAGCCGAAAGCACCAGCAGAGAACACGTTAGCGAGCGAGAACACTAGCTTGGCTAGGAACACAAAAAACGCAAAGTACAGAAACGCCACGGAGGCCTGCGCCTTGCGACAGCGGTCCGTGGAGCCCTGGGCCACGCTGTTGCTGTCCAAGTAGCTCTGGTTGGTGCACGAGTGCGTTCTGATGGCCACGGCAAGCGCGGTGGCAGCGGCAAACGTGAACACAAAGTTCAAGAAGTCCAACACCGCGATCAAAATGGGCCAGGCCAGCGCAGCCAAGAAGTTGGCTGGGATCGCGTAGAACGTGTCGAAGAGCAGGCCGAACGCCGCGGTGAAGATCGCGAAGTTCACCTGCGGGTTGGTGCTGTCGCGGGTCGCCGCAAGAGACGCGGTGAGACCCAAAACGATGGTCAAAAACACAAAGTTGGCCAGGCGGAGCGAGTTATCTAGGATTGACAGCATTTTTGTCTGGTTGTTTGTCTGTGTGTAGCTGGAACGTGCGGATGAGTATGGGGCGGATGCAAGTGTATATACGAAGCCTGTAGTGTGTGTGTGCTAGTGTGCGTACTTCACTACTGCCTGTCTTGAGCTGGCCGTGTATCTGTGTTCTTGTCTTACAAATAGGCGCTGCCTCGTCTTTGCTTCCTGGATACGTCCCCTTTTATACCTTGGCTCCCTGAGGGCCGCAACCTCCTGCGTATTTATAATGTCATGTTTTTCCCACCGGATAGCAATGGGCGCCGGGCCCGGAAACCTTACAACTCCGTTTCGGGAAAAACAGGGAAAAGGGTAAACAAGGCCAGGTGGAATGACGAAAAAAGGTGCAGGCGGGTAACACTCGGCGAGGCACATGGCGAGCGAACGCCGGCCATGGCGCATTGGCAGCGGGAGCAGAGCGTGCAATTCGACCAACAACAAACACTAGCCGTGCGCACTAAGCAGACGTGCTGTCGAGCGGCGCTCACCTAGCGTGTGTTCTTCGCGACACCTCCTCGTGCATACTGATGTACCCGCCGGTTTGCTTGTCTGTGTGCTTGCGCATGTTCTACGAGTGTTTTGGCTGCTGCCTGTTAGGGAAAGCGTCGGTGCATGGCGCGGCACCGAAGCCCAGCAAAAGCATAGCGCGGAGCTTCGAGGCCACATTCGGTGCAGATGAGGGGCGGATGGTGTGGTGAATGGGTGTTTGCGTGGGTGGCTGGGTGGGGACGGGCGCCTAAAGCCGTTGGCGTGGGCGGTCGAGTTTTGAGGCATGTGGTAGGTAACAGACACGTGGTTGGAAACGGCACTGGCAGTAGCGGTGGGAGTGGAGTCTATGGGCGGTTGCGGAGGTGTAGGTGGGAGTAGGTATCATATGTAGCTGGAACAGCTGTTAGTGGGAGTAGGTATCATATGTAGCAGCTGTTAGTGGGAGTAGGTATCATATGTAGCTGGAACAGTTGTTGCAGGTAGTACGTATCATATGTAGCTGGAACAGTTGTTAGTGGGGGTAGGTGTCATATGTAGCTGGAACAGCTGTTAGGGAGTACCTGGAGCAGCTGTTAGTGGGAGTACCTGGAGCAGCTGTTAGTGGGAGTACGTCTCACACGTAGCTGGAACAGTTGTTAGTGGGGGTAGGTGTCATATGTAGCAGCTGTTAGTGGGAGTACGTCTCACACGTAGCTGCAACAACTGTTAGTGGGAGTACGTCTCACACGTAGCTGCAACAACTGTTAGTGGGAGTACGTCTCACACGTAGCTGCAACAACTGTTAGTGGGAGTACGTCTCACACGTAGCTGCAACAACTGTTAGTGGGAGTACGTCTCACACGTAGCTGCAACAGTTGTTGCAGGTAGTACGTATCAGTATCTGAAGGCAAATCAGGTGTGGGCGGATAACCTGGAAATCAAGCCGGGTTGTGGATTTCTTCATTTTCCCAAGACGAACCCTCCCCCAACAGGTCCTGGAAATCCCTGTTCGCTTGCTCTTCGTACACGCGAATGGCGCGGTCGATAAAGGGTTGAAGATCGTCGATAGGTTGCATTTGGTTGGTAGGCGAGCCTTCATTTTTGCTGGATCGCTCCATTCTTCGCAAGTACGGTTGTAAGTACGTGTTCCTGAAGTAGTTATAGCATGCCTCCCCATCATAGAAGAAATAGGGCGTTAATGAAGAGCTACTAGCATAGAAAATCGGGTTTATCGTCGCGGCGATGGTATCCCAGCTGGACGCGTCTATCCCGGGCTTGGCCCTGATGATCTCTCTCATGAAGGCTATTTTGTTTGTGCGTGCGTGAGATCGTGAGACGATTGCACCGTGTGCAATGGCAAAAGATAAAAGTCCGAAAATAATCACCAACAGTCCAATGACTACAAGCACAAGTGCGCGGTCTTCTGTCTCTAGTTGGCTTTGGATTGCGAACTGAGCACATAACAAGGCCAAGCCAAGCTCGACCCCCAGGACGCTTAATACTAACCGGTGTCGGGTGCAAAACCATCGCAATTTGGAGCGGAAAACATCACGCGGGATCTTGTGAGCGTCAGAGCTCTGGGCTGAACTGATCAAATGTTCTTCGGCGCCTTTTCCTTCCATGGCACCTTTCCCGACGACACACGGTAAGGATGACGCTTTATTCTGAAGTCCGGGAAATGAAAAATCAGGCCTTCGTACAGGGTGAGTACCAAGGACACCGGCCGGAGCCCATCACGAAGCGGGGTGTGCGTTCCGGCATATTTCTAGCCCCAGTTTGTGTCCCGGGCTGTCGGTGTACCGTTTCTTGCTTATCCATCAGTTATATAAATCCCCTATATAGTTGTTCATCTGCTGCTGCTCCTCTGGCGCCCATCGGTAGACCATTCACCTTGTGCCCTTTCGTTTTGCTGACATCACCATTATCACTTCGTACTATATCGACGCCAGGTTGATGGTTACCATTATGCAGCTCAATATTATTCAAAGGTACCAGATCACCACCGGTCGGTATATCCACTGTTCTCACACGAACTCCTTCGGAGTGACGACCCCTGTCTCTCACATTCATTTATGAATTTCCAGCACCAGAAGAACAAGTGGATATCACCATCGGACGAAGCTCAATATTAAATCTTGCACTCACCTTATATTTAGTGACACTCGGGATCCTTGCCGATGCCCTGGCCAGGACTCCAGAGGAGCGCCATTTAGTGGGGTGCAAAAGGACATCTGAACATTCCTCTCAGTCTCGAAGGCCAAATCCTGACGCATGGCACTTTTCGTCTACTACATGCGCTGTAACAGGATCCAGTGGTGTACACGCTGGTATTTCCTTGTTCTTAGGACCACTGGAGTAGCTCGTGATCCGGCCCGTAATCTGGATGTCTAGTTTCGGCTGCCTGTACGATCACGCTACTCAAGGCACTGTCTTCCCGCCAATTGATAGGCCCTACGTCCCTCATCGCGATCAAACTATGACGACACATGCAAAGAGCAGTCAGCTGACCTGGGGTCCCACGTGTCTAGGGGTCACGGTACTCGCTCTTGTACTCGTGGTAGCATCTTCAGTATCACATCGTACGTGTGTGTACTATTTCCCGTTACGGAAAGCGTCGGTGCAGCATGTGGAAGCGAGACGCGTGGTTCGGTGCGTCTCACGTGATAGAACCCGTTTGGGGCGTAAAACGACTCGCCGGCGCTTGCGTAATGACGGGTCTCAAGGTCTCCAATACGGGCAGTTAGCCGTATACAAATGGTGGACGGGGGACGGCTACGTCGAAGGTGGACGCACGCACTGTTCTTGAAAGACTTCTGGCGCAAGTGTCCCCCACTCCCTCTCACTTTCAGTCCGCTGCTTGTCAGTCTGTGTCACGTGATTGCTCTGCCCTCCCGGGTAACACTTTATGGTCTCCGCCCTCCTTTATCTTGGCTAGCAAGATGGCCCCTATATATATATATATATGACGACAAAACTCCAGGAGCTGGAAGTAACCTGTTGACTATCGTGTGTTAACGCCATAGACGGGAAAAGAAAACGGCTATTTGCTTCGCTGTCGACGCACATCTACCTGCCTATCAAACCTCCAGATGTTCAAGAAGAAGCACGATCCTTTTGAGGAGCTGCTCAAACCGGAGCCTGCGGCCCCAAAAAAACAGTTTCTGCAGCAGGTGATTGTCGCCGCCAAACCTGCTGAAGCTGCTACAGATGCTTCTAGTTCAGCTGCCAGTGCTCGTTACAGCTCGCCGTTCCGTAACTCACAACTGCTAGCTGGAGCTCAGAAACGGAAAGCTCAAAAATTCCCCACCGTGTCCGCTACTGGACCAGGCGCTACGAGCTCAGACATGGGCTACAAGGTGATCGACGCTGCTCGTAAAAGAGCCAAGGACATAGCAGTTCCAAGCTACCTCCAGGGCACTGACGAACGCCAACGCCGCAAACTGGACAAATTGGAGCGGAAGGAGGACTCGTTGCAATATAAAAAGGATTCGCAAAAGATTGTAGATATTCGTGAAAGTGCCAAGAAGGCAGAAGCAGGTGAGGAAATAGCGGCCGTCGAAGGCGAAGAGGGGGAGCACGCTGAAGGTACCAAACCACTTGAAAGCGATGAACCAGTGGAACCAGTCGAGCCCGTCGAGCCAGTCGAGCCACTTGAAAGCGATGAACCAGTGGAACCAGTTGAGCCAGTTGAGCCAGTTGAGCCAGTTGAGCCAGTTGAGCCCGTCGAGCCAGTCGAGCCACTTGAAAGCGATGAACCAGTTGAGCCAGTTGAGCCAGTTGAGCCAGTGGAACCAGTTGAGCCAATTGAGCCAGCAGTGGAACCAGTTGAGCCAATTGAGCCAGCAGTGGAACCAGTTGAGCCAGTGGAACCAGTTGAGCCAATTGAGCCAGCAGTGGAACCAGTTGAGCCAATTGAGCCAGTTGAACCAGTCGAGCCAGCTGAAGTCGCCAAACACGTCGGACTCGCTCCCTCGACCCCCACCGATGCCCCTGTTCCTCCGCCCGAGCCTCTAGAAGTGTCCGAGACCGCTGCTGTTGAACCTCTTGAAACTTCCGACATTGTTAGCGCCACGACCGCGGCTGAAACCTCTACGAATGGTCCTACGAAACCCATTGATCCCAAAGTTGCGCCAAGAGTCCCATTTGCCACCGGAATCTTCGCCCTTTGGACTCGCTCCGGTAATCGTGGTCAGCCTGTAGCATCTCCCAATGATCCGGAATTTATTGTGAGGTTCGATAAAGGTTACATGTCTAAGGCCCTGCACGATACTTTGGAGTATGAGGAACTCGTTCATAAAAAAGAAATGGCTGATTATACAAAGGAAAATGAGGCCAAGTATGATTCCAAAGCTAAAGAATATGACGACCATTTGGCCTCTCTCAAGTCGCAGATTGCAGAGCTCGAAACAACCATGCAGCAATTGAAACTTGATACAGCAGAAAAAATCAAGCTCAGCGATACTGTCCTGTCAGCCAACATAATCGACTCTAATGCCAAACACAGTGCAGTGAAAAACACAATCTTCGCGGAAACTGAAAATATTAAAGCCACCAAGTTGGAAGAAAAAGAGAGTGTGGAGGAGGTTCAGAACCAAGTCAAGGCTGAAATTGAGGAATTGGAGAAAACCAAGGCAGAGGTGGACGCTGACTTTCAAGAGCATCAAACTCGTGTTGACGGTTTGACTGCTGATTTGGAGACCAAGCTCGCTGCTATTCAAGAATTGAATGACAAACAGGTTGAAGTCCAGGAATCGATTGACGTTCTCACACAAAGAAAGGATGATTTAGTCGCCGAGACCGACGCGCATGATCAACAACATGAGTCTAACTTCGCCGTACTCGAGAGTATTAAGAACAAAGAGTATCTGCCACAAATTAATGCGATTGATGCTCAAATTTCAGAAATGTTGACCAATCTGACAGTCATTAAGCAAGAAACTGCAAACCAGGAAAGCGAATTTGCTGTTGTGTCAAAACGTTTGGAGGAGGAAAGTGAGGAGCGCAAGGAAAAATTGAGGCTTGAAGAGGAAGCCCGCAAGCGTGAAGAAGAGGAACGCTTGCAGAAGCAACGCGACGAACACGAGCAGAAAATTTTGCTCTTGCAGCAAGACCATGCTCGTCAACTAGATGAAGCTGATCAAAAGGCTTTAGAGGCGCAGCAAGAGCACCAGCGTCAGTTAGACGAAGCGGCTAAGAAAGCTGTGGAAACTGAAGCTGCCTTACAAGCCGAGCGCGAACAACGTGAGCTTAGGGAAAGAGATAACGTCAGGCTGTTAGGCGAGAAGGCCATACAAGAACAAGAAAATGCAAAAATCGCCGACAGGGCTCTGGAAGAGGAACTAAAAAGCAAGAGCTACAACCGAGCCCTCGCGATGGAAGGTGCTGAGGAGGCATACTTGAGAAACAAGGATATTTCGAACCACAAGCCCACAAATCCTGTTCTCAGTAACCAATCTCTAAACGCTACCAAAGACAGCTCGTTGTTCGAATATTTCACCGAAAAAGAGATTACCTACGTAACCCCAAGCCAAAGTAATGTATGAGGCGTGAGGGGGCAAAACCCATCATATTGACGGAAAAAACCTTGTCATAACTGCTGTCGACAGATTGTAAAATTAATTCAATGGGGTAATCATTATAATTAAATAAGTGGTAATCCGTAAATTGTAGCATTATCAGGTAAGTGGATCCGGAGGGTTCATTATTCTCGTACAAGGTGAAGTCACAATATTGAAGGCATCCCGAAATTCTGCAGTTCAAGGATTAACAATGAACTGGTCCAACAACGCCAATTTTGACCATCGAAGACCCACTATAAATGTCTACATACTTCAGCAAATTCTCTTTAAACAAGTTCGCCGATACAATAACCAATGCCGCGCACAAAACCCAGGATACGCTGAGTTCGGCAATCGCCAACATTCAGTTAGATGACCCTCAGGCAAAATTGTCACTGAAAGCAAGAAAACACTATCTACAAGAAACTTTGGGCACTATAGAAGATATAAGTAAGTTGCCACCTCAGTACCAATTTTTGGAAAAAAAGTGCGATTCCCTAGAAAAAGTGTGCAAAAGAATGTTGGTTGTCACCAGGACTTTTGAAGTAGAAGGTTACGATTATCCACCTAACTTGAGTGAGAGCTTGTCAGACTGGTGGTCGTCTAATAAGGGTGGGCTTTTCAATTTTGTTAGCGCCGGAGGTAACAAAGAAAAAGAAGCAGGCACTAGTAGCGAGCACGATGAGCCATCATCGGGTGCTGACACTTTGATGCCCAAATCTTTCTCGCAAGCGATTGCAAAAGCCGCGAAAGACTCTGGTGAGGTTTTCAACGGTTTGAGGGAGGAAGAGAGAAAATCATCAGTGGAAGAAGAGGAAGATGAAGATGAAGATTTGACCCCATTGATCACGATGTTTGAAGCCTGGTCTCAAGTACAAAACAAAATGGACCAGGGTAAAACAGAGATGGATAATTTAATGGCAAAAGAGTTTAATAGCAAGCTTTCCAGCCTAATTGAAGAGAAATTTAAAAATGCTCGCACTTTACGTAAAAAGGTTGAGGACTCCAGACTCAAGTTTGATACTATGCGTTACGAAGTCAAGCTGACGGAACAACAGAAAAACGCAGCTTCTCAGGCAGTAAATGATAACACCAGCGCCGATTCTCGTAAGGATGTTGTAGAGGCATCTCAGGATGGCTCAGAAGAGCCGGCCAACTCTGCCCCCGAGGCAAGCGAGCTCGTGGAGGGAGCTGAGAGTGAAGCACAGAAATTATTAGAGAAATTGGAAGACGAGTTCGTCTCCAACACAACTGAAGCTGTGGAGGTCATGGGAGAAATCACGGACAGTGCAGAATTGATAAACTTGGTGAAACTGTTCCACAGTTTCCAATTAGCTTACCACAGACAGTGTGCGCAGGATTTGGAGAATAGCCTAAAGGTTCTTACCGATCTTGAAACCGAAGGCGTTTGAAAAGTTGAAATCAGTCGTTGCCACTATCTGAATGCTCCATTTTCTTTGCTTGGCGGTCTAATTTGGCATTAAATTGTTTGTTTTTCTCATTTACAAACCCGGTTGACGGCACAGCCGTGACATCTCTATGCTGCAATTTTCTCTGTATTTTTGCATAGCGCTCTTTCGCGGTCTGTCGCACCGATTCAGCTAGCTTGTCGATCAAGTCCGGATTGTCTTCTATAACTATTTTGCCTTGATTATTAACCGTACGACTACCCTCTTCTTCAAGTTTTGTCTTTTCTAGGTTATCACGTCTTGCTGACAGCCGCTGAACTTCTTTATCATATGTGGATTTTGCTAGATCTCCATACTTAGCACTGTCCAACTTTGACCTATCTTCGCGCTTCTTCCACTGCTCGTATTCGCGAATGCTGTATCCAAATAACTTATTTTTTTCAACATTGTCGTTGCCCTTGCTTGCTTGGTCGCTTTCCTCATCAGACTGGGCGTTCATGCTATAGACTGCTGGCTTTTGGTTCAATTGATGTAGTGTTCTCTCCCTCTTCGTTTCTTTACTGTTTTTCACCACCAAATTCATTCGTTTTCGTTTGAGATTTTTGAGCTTGGATGCATACTCGTTCAGATCCATGTTTTGGTAATCTCAAATAAATAACCTTAAGGTGGCTCTTCTACATCACCAGCAAGTGCGTACTGATCGCGATGGAGATGATGGATGAGCTTAATTGATGGTCAATTTAACCTTATTTCGTTTATAACGATTGGGAGAATAGTTCGAAAAATTTTTAGAATATTAGAGGTTCCAGATGAGATGCGATGAGATGATGTTGCGTAGCTGTGCAAACTGAACATTGAGCCTTGGAACGCGCTAATGCCCACCATATCACAGCCTTTTAGGCTCGCGTCACTTCCCAAGATATCCTCGCTCAACAACTATGCATCTCAGGCGAATTTGCTTCAGGTAGCAGACACTTTGGCGCCATCTGCTAACTACATCAATGTGGGCATTTCAGGTTCTGCTATTTCACAGTATATCACGAACCCTACACCAAAGCTAGTGTATAATCTCCCTATTCCATCTACTAATATTGTGAAGGCCTTTGACCAGGCAGATTCAGGCAACAATGAAGTGTTGTGCTACGCTTTGCAAGCCAACAAGACCTTTTCCCTGCATTGTCTTGAGAAGCCTATCTGTAAGGCTCCGGTGGCTGATTCTAACTTCGGTGATACATTTGCAAGCAACAAGCTTTCATTAGCAGAGGAACCAATTAGTGTCAAAGTGCTGGGCGTCCAGAAGTGCATAGTACTCGTGCTTCGAAGCGGGCTGGTGCAACTCTACGACTTTAGTTTGACATTACAACATTCTTTTGATATTTCGTACAAAGACGTCCAGTTTGTCCAACATTTTACAAATGAATCTGGTCAGAGCTTTGTCTTCATCTTAAGTGATATCAAGGGCGGAAAAGTTTCCTTCAAGTTACTCGAGATTGATCAAGTACAGTCACCGCCTGTCGTGAAGGAGTTGAGTTCTGTGATACTCGAAGATTTTCCTATAAAAGATTCTCAAATTTTCTATCAATTCGGAAAGATTTACAGGCTACACAATTCCAAAATCGATGTCTACACTCTCCCATATTTCCAGCATTCACACACGATTTCGTTGCCATTTTTGTCACCAAAGAGCGAGACTTCGTTCAAGCCCATTTCTCAAAATAGAGCTTTGTTAACCGCCGACAACAAACTGTACCTTTTGGACCTGCTACATCAGGCCGTTTTAAGCTCTAGAGAATTGACTCACATCAAAACTTTCCAATTACTTTGCACCGCTGTTGTGCCTGGTAACCTCACTGCCAACAACGAAACCTTAGCGATCGGTGTTTCTACCAAACATGGATCCAATCCTACCAGCGCGCTGGATATCGTCAATATTGATGTGGGTACCGGTACATTAAAAGATTCTATGGGGAGAGGTTTTTCAGTGCCAGTCTCTACCCATAATCACCTTCAGTCAGTTCTAGAAGATTATAGTGCACCAGAAACTAAAGAATTCAACTACGACCAAATTTTGAAAGAACTCAAGAAGGCCAAAGGTAGCATTCAAAAATTCGATACCCTTTTTTTCCAAAAGCTGAAAATAAAAAGGGAGCATTACACGGACTCGGATCGATTCATCAACGACCGTGAGTTTTTACAAGATGTTACAGCGCTGATATTCCAGAACTTTGAGTCAGATTACCCAAAAGCTCTTCCATACCTACTTACTCATCCCCTTTTCCCAAAACCACAGACCCAGGACATTTTGCTAAAGCTCAAAGCGCATCCACGGCTATTCAAGCAAGCGATAGTCACTTGTCCAAACCTCTCTTTGGATGAACTGCTTCAAGAGCTCTTCACTGTCATGAATGATGAATTATGTCTTGATCTCTCATTGCGTATTCTACAAGATTTCACCAAAGATACTATTAAAGATGCAATAAAGAGAAAAAGCAAACTTGAAGTTAACAACTTCGTTAATTTTGTTATGAACGACAGCATTGATGAGGACAGAATTAAAAATAAGCCTCGTCTTTTTCAACTACTAAGTCTGGTTTTAGATTCTGTCGGCTTACTCTCCTTAACAGATGACACACTTGCCAAAATATGCGACTACATTAACCTTCAACTCCATACCGTGAAGCAAAACGTTGAGCTTTTCAATTTGCTGGAAGATACCAGCTCAAGGAGTACAGTGGGTCCAAATCAAAATGACGCCTCAATAACAAATGAAACCAGCATTCCATTATATAGTGTGGAGAAGTTAGAACTGTAGATGTCGATCTTCAATTATGTAGTAGTAAACGGCTTCCTGAGCAGATAGAACCGAGTCCATAAAAAATGACATCAAAACTAATTAAGTTTCGTATTGAGGTCTACGAAGACCGGCACCATCAATTATGGGAATTGAGAAGTGCTTGATAGGGGGGCTACCAAGTTCGATTTTTCATTCAAGACCTATTGAAGATGGCCCTGAAAAATACCATTCGAAATTGTTCGTCTTTGTTGCTGGTAATCCTGGTCTCATAGAGTTTTACGAACCTTTCCTCAGTGGCATCCAACAAAATAATCCACAATGGGAAATCTTGGGGATATCACACGCAGGGATGAATACCTGCGATACATTTCATTGTCCGGTATATACCTTGCAAGAACAAATTAACCATAAAATCGAGGTCATCAACAACTACAGCGATAAAACCAGACACCTAATCATAATGGGCCATTCGGTTGGTGCCTATATGGTGCAAAAAATACTTTTGTCTCCACAGTTGAACGGTATGGTTTTACGAGTCGGTCTGCTTACTCCCACTGTTATTGACATTCATAAAAGCGAAAAGGGTACAAAACTCACTCGACTCAACCGGTGGATACCACACTTCCATGTTGTTGTAGCCACAGTAGCATATGTGATATTTGAGAAATTACTACCTACTTATATTACTTCTTTAATCGCCTCAACTATGGTCGACAATATTGACTCATCGGTGGGTATGGCAACTATGTCCCTCATCAGCAACTCTAGATTCGTCAAACAAGCCCTGGGACTAGCTGCCGAGGAGATGCAAGTGATTAGGTCTGATTGGGCCTTTCAAGATAGCTTTCTAAGCCATTGCCAGTCCCGGAATATTAAGATTTGGTTCCTATTCAGCCAGAAAGATCATTGGGTTAGCCCCGAAACTTGTAAGGATTTAATCAAATTCTTCAAAAGTCATAGTGATCCAAAAATGTTGGAGATTGATGTATCCCCGACGTTGGAGCATGCATTTGTGAGAAGGCATGCTGAGGTAGTAATCCGCGAATATTTCGGCCAAGTTTAGAGGGACTCAGTAAGGTCCATTGAAAATCTTAACTTGTTTTTTGGTTTAGTAGGAGAGAAAATCGCTGCGTCATCATCGGAATCGTGAAGTATTTGCTCGACGAAGGTTAATCGCCGAGTGTCTCGAGTGACCAAGACCACGATCTGTGAACGAGTTCCGTAAAATCTGCCTTTGGGAAGCGCATCTTTAACGTTCACCGAATTGGAGCTCGAACCTATTCTGGCGGGCTTGATGAAGATGTTGTTATTTGTAAGAGCCACGGTTTTGAGATTCAAGGATGCAGGTGAAATATCATCGCAAAGGGAAGCGATATGCAGGCACTTGGCGACTAGCTCTTCTTCCGAGGCGTCTTCCGACTCACTAATCATTTTTCGAAGCATATTTTCGGCTTTTTCAACCTTAGGCCACTTCGTGCCGGTATTGATGAAGTCGTTAGATAACACCAGGAATGGATTGCTTGGTGTCAACACAGGAACACTAAGACCAAACGAATCCATGGCCACATACCGCTGTTGTATACAATCACCGATAAATAGGTTGAGGTCTCCACCTTTAATCAGCGGGAACTGCCGCTCGAATTTGTCGTAATTATCCCATTCGTTGAAGCTATTTCTGCTGTTCAAAAAGCGCATGGGCACACTTCCTCGAGAAAATTCGGGGCCGTTGCGCGGATTAGCTAATAACTGTCTGTCATTTCTTAGATTTAGTACGGAAGAGATCCTCCCGTTTTTGTTTACTCCCAACCATGTGCCCCCTTTCGGACTTCCATCAATTCCAGGAGCCATGTCTACCGGGCACAGGACGAATCCATCCCCACTTAAAGTGGTATGTCGAGTTTCTCTAGAATAACACTCATCACGATTCGACACAACAATTAGAGAGTATTTAGGATGGGAAGTGGAAGCAAGCAAAATACACATTAAAAGCTGATTGTGTTGGCGCTCATCGGATCTACTTCGTCATAATGTACACGGTGAAATTTAAATAACTTACTGGTGTCGTGAAAAAACAAGCGATAAATAAGATGATGACACAGTGAGATGGATGAGCTAAATGAGCTAAATGAGCTAAATGAGAGGCATGTCGTTCTCCACCAAACTTTATCCAAACAACTTACTCAGCAGGCCCGTAATTCCTTTGCTTTTCTTGCGTTTTTGATATTTTTCCAACTGCTTTTGGTTCTTCTCCACAGCCCTACGCAATTTTTCCGGGTCTAAACTGGACGTTCCACTGCTCTTTAGACTCGTCGAGTCCGGCAGTTCCAAGGAAGCAATGGAGGACTTTACAGATCTTCTCTGGGAGGCACCACTGCGCATGGATGTCCTGCTCTCTAATCTGTTCAGTTGCTGCAAGGTAACTGCCTTGACCAGGCCCGTGTCCGTCTCAATGTTGTACTCCTCGGGAAACTCGCAGTTCATCCCATTAGTCATCGATCCAATGACATCAGCCGCTCCCTTTTTCTGCAAGTCCAACCCATCCTTTTGAAGACTTTCAAGCGTCTCAGACGGAAGTTCCTGGTTGGTTCTTCCTCCTACCACCAACGGCTTCTCATTTTCGGCGGGGGCCTGTTCCTTTATTGTCGGGTTACTGCTTACGCTGTCTAGAACTCGACGGGTAGTTTCAAACGACTCCTGTGTTTCCAGCCTTCTGATAGGTGACGGGCTTTTAAGTTCTACGGGACCTCCTTCAAAGGCTTGCGGCTCAAATGAATCTGATGACGAAAGTGACGAGAGCTCGAGATCCGAACCCGCCACGTCCTCCTCATGTCTTTTGGCATTCATGCACAGAGTTCCTTTTTTATTGTGATAGTTCTGATGGTGTTCAAGCTTAATGTGGTAGACGTTGTTGCGGCGACCTTATCTCTTTAATGTTGGTCGCTGTTAGGAAAAAGCTTAGGTTTCATAGCCCTTCTATCAAATGCAGAACTTGTCGAAAATGACCAGAATCCGCGCTTTTTAAGCTTGCGGAGAAAATATTCAGCTCACGTATCGCAGCAAATGGCGAGCCGAAAAAGATCAAATTTCCACTGAGGATGACAACTGCGCTTTCAAAGCGCAAATCTCTCTATAGGAGGTATCAAGACTGTGCTTCACTCTGCGCCATTTACGTCTGAACTTTTGTTAATTTTTCAAAGTTCTTTCCCACTATTAATTTAGACCATGGACACACGTCTGGGTCATAAATTCTGATAAATCAGACAAGCTCAGCTTTCAACTTACAAGTTACATACTTCGAAATATTCACCAGACGACAGCAATAACGACAACAACAACAAACGACGAACCTTCGAACTCCTGACAGAATTTTCCATATCAAAATTACGAGTTGCTTGATCAACTACTTACTAAACAGTAGCCTAACAATTCTTTCAACCGATCTTGATTAATGCACAAGGTTATTAGCAACACCTCTGTGAAAAGCTGGGGATTATCCTTCTTAAGCTTGTTCAAACCCTTGTCATCAATAATCCACAATGAACAGTCTGTTTCTGTAGAGACTTCAACGCAGGAGACCGGATTGGCTCTGAAACTGGAATTGTGAGCGCTCATTACCCCGTAACAAGTTTTCCCCGACATAACCTCGTACAACTGGCCCTGACGAAGATTGTAGGTTAGCTTTACCATTCCGCTTTCAATAACAAAGAATATGTTCTCGCGATGAGGAAGCACGGTCTGAGCTGCAAGCTTTGTTTTAACAAAATACTTACCGAGAGCAGACCACAGCTGCAACTCTGAGTCTTTCAGAGCACCATTGGAAGATGAATCTTGCGGCAGAAATCTCTGCAGGGAGGCAAATAACAAAGGGAGCACTGGCTGTTCCTCGCGATAGCTTTGTTTGAAGCTAGGCATAGATTGTTCATCGGTGAGGAGTTTCTGTGCGACAGACACAAATTGATTGTTCCGGGGTGTGTTGGCTGGTAGTAGTGCCCTACTCATGGCGCGATCTCTTTTCTTTTCGGCCTGGAGACGAGGCTTGGCGCGCAATTCTTTAAATTGGAGCAGAAGCTCATTCTCACACCACTCTAAAGCACTGTTCAGATCGCCAAAAAGTTCAACTCTGTCCAGTAAACCAACTTTGTTGAATGTGCTGTATATCCTATCAGTACTTTGGATGGAAGAAATGATTAGAGTGATTCTTTTGGTGGAAGTGAATCGTTTGATTCTATTAAACCCTTCTGCTGCAGAGTAGTCAATATTATCAGCATTGATATTCTTGAAGTCAAGAATCAAGAATTTGATGCGTTGTTTTGAAGAGTCGTTGTCACTGATTTCCAATAGTTTGTCGATTCTCTCCTCAATCGATAGAATTGTTCCAAAGAATAATATATTTTGGAGCTTCAGAACATGGATCTGTTCACCAATCTTGTTCAAAAATTGAGTTTGAATGTAATCTCTGTGCACAGTGCTGCGCGCCACCTGGCCATCAAATTCGCCATTGACTGTCTGCAATTTGGTGCTGTCCACCAAGAAAGAAAAACACGCAATCAATATCCCAACAATAATACCGAATACAAAATCGAAGACACCCATGGTTAATACGATAACAACAACTGTAGCGTACTCAAATTTGTTTAATTTCGACCAGGTATCGTAAAGCGATTCTTTCAACAGCTCATAGCCAAGAAGAAAAATCAAAGATCCCACAATGCAGATGGGGATATAAGATACTACCACAGGACCCGCTGCCATGACAGCAAAGGTGGCAGCAGCCAACATTAATCCTGCTAAGGTGCCGTCGGCACCCGCTCTAATGAATAACACGCTGTTGGTGTACACTAGATAATTCTGAACCGACCCAATCAACCCTGAAAGAAAGTTCGAGTAGCCATGCGCTATAAGCTCCCGATCGACGTCAAATTTATCCAGTCCGACAGACATTGCAAGAGCCGGGACATTTATCGGAACGTGCAAGATACCAAAGAAGGTGAGAGCCAACATTTTAGGAATCTGTTTGAAGATGATAGGCCAGCACACTAGTCGAATGTCATAAAGCTTGTAAAAATCGTACCAGCTCTCACTGGAGCCAGTGGCAGGGAAAATCCATCCAGAGTCCCGAAGGCTGTCCAACGAAAGATTAGGAACCAATGCCACGATAAAGTGGAAAAGTACCAAAGCAAGGATATAAAATGTAGGCAGAACTAGCGAGTTTTCAAATGCGTGCTGAATAATCAGAAGGGTAATTGTTAAGCCCGCAGATAAACCCCATTTGCCGAAAGTTGGCAAATCTGTGAATAGACTGGATAAAAACTCGAAGGAGTATTCGAACTTTGCTGCCCTTGTAGTCACTTCAAACCCTGTGGCAACGAGGAAGTAACCCACGCCTCCAATACATCCAATCAATATGTGACGAGGGAAGAAACTGACAATTTTACCCAATCTCATCTTTCCGAGAACATAAAATACTACACCAGTCATAATAGAGCTGATAGCGTAACAGAAAATGGTAGTGGTGATTATTCTGTCATTCTGGTCGCCCAATTGACTGGTAATAGATGCCGCCATGGCGTGGTAAAACGGTGTGATTTCGATCATTTCACTGCCGATAGCGTTCTTGAAGGCAGACAAGCCACAAGAGTAAGTGACTTGGGAAACGATACAAGAAACATAAAACATCGAAAGACCAGTTGATCCCAGATTAGCAAAAATGGGCTCCGTGATTGGGAATATAATCATACCGTAGGATAAACCGTCCAAAATGTTAAGCAAAAGTCCCAAAATAACCGAAGGAATGTAGGATATCGCTCTTTTTAAGGTGAAGGTGATCTTGTCGACAGTTGGTGCGTGGGGGCTGAGATAATCGGAGTCATCTGCAGATTGTAAGGACACATACTGATCGTTCGACCTGTCAACAGCACCATATTCAAGGTCCCCGCTGCGCTGTCTCGCCATTAATTCGGTTGATACGTCATCCTGTCCTTGGCCTTGGGAAAGAGCCCTATTCCTGAGTGACTCACTCACCAACAGATCTGTATCGTCGAGGCTTGATCTCAAATCCTTTGTCTCATCCATATCTTGTAAAGGGTCCAGTTGGTTTTCGAGTTCCAGCTCCCCATTGAACTCGTTGGAAAGAGCTGCCGTCTGTCGATGTAAATTCACCGGCTGGTGAATTGACTGGACCTGATCGTGTGGCCGGAACGACGATTGGGACTCGCTACTAATGATCCTTTCATCTGAAATAGGTGCAGGAGGGGAAAAGGTTCCCATGTAAGACCTTCCTAGATATTGGTGAGGTGAACTAGTAGAACCCTGAGCGAACTGATTTCCACGAGTAAACGGGGAGGTACCTGGATCTCCGTTGGGCTGCGACTGTAAGCCCAGCGATACAGAAATCGCTTCCGACAGCGAATGTCTCTTCTTCCACTGAGAAGCCATTTGTCTGCTGGTTGAAGCGGTGTGGTGTGTACCAGGGGACGTTCGTGGTGTTATCAAACTAACCTTTACTTTCCAATGACTTTGAAAGAAGAAACGACGACATGAAAAAAATACCCTTCCACGTGATGCTAATCTTTAGCGGTCGTTGTGTACGAAATCACACCTGCATGGATCTGCATGGAGGTGCATTGTTGTGCATGAGAGTGGGGCTGTGGGTCTTCTTGGCAAAAATCTGGAGGTGGCTAGGGAAAGTGCTAATGTCTCCTCTGGATCTTTGTTCGAGTGTCTGACATTGTCAGCTTGATAATAAGTACCTTCTTAGACGCTCCCGACCAACTGATATTATTTGAAGATATTTCAAGGCTCGCGATATCTTGTCGGCATTGATTTGGTAATTTTCCTATTCACAAAGTCACTCGAGAGAATCAACAAAAACCACACAATTTGGTATACGAAACAACAATCTTTTCTGGCAAAAACCATAGTGTGTTCAGTCCCTAGCTGCATATTGGAGATTTGCTAAATTTGTATTCAAGAAAGAACTATGAGAGCGAGTGGCCACTGGTAAAAACTGACTGGCCAAATTGTTACTTTTAACGTTTGATAGACGTCTATAATGGACGATAACCTTTTGAGAGTGATCCTTGCCCTGCAATTCCTAAGTTGCTCTCAGTGACTATTGGTTCTTATTGACACGTAAAGTCAGTGTTCATACAAAAATTCTGGAAGATTTGACATTCATGCAGTTAAAGCTGGATAATTCAGTTTTCAAAAACGACTGGAAACTGCTTACCAGAGCACTGCTATCTAATCGCTGCTCCTCTGGATCTCATCGGTTGACCATAAGCCTTGCACATCCTTGTTTTACTGACGCCTCGAATATCACCTCGTGACATTCTGACATTATCTTGGTGCTCCGTACTGTGCAATTCGACACTATTCGAACAGTAGTTGGCTACTACCAACCCCTTGTTCAAGTTATTAAAATGAAATAAATAGATTAGTCGAATTACGCTAAGTTCTTCCCATCTAAGACTAGCCAGCGGAGAAGACTTCCCTGGAACCGACAATAAAAATTGAAATCGGCTTATCAACTAGCACTAATAAGTAGATTGAGTATCTCAAACGACCTTGTAGCCACATAGCTTGTGAAGAGGTCCTCTTAATCTCGCTTACAAGGTGCAACTTTTTTGACGCCCTAAGAGAAATTCCAGAAATTCCAACTTCGTTTAAGCTCCTTAAGTCGACCTTCTCTGTACGGCATTCGTGCTCTGATGGCGAACCTACAATGTGATTCGTTTTGGAGCGTGTTCACCACGCTGAGTTTTTCTTCTAATACTCCATGTTCCCTGGCGCCATCGCTGATGTTCGTCTTTCTATTGTCAAAGCTATTGACGTACTTCATCGTACCGCTAATTTCGACATTCTGGCAGATTTACTCCAAGTCGCTCTATAATCACCAGTATGTTTCAATTGAATTTAGATTACCCAAAGTTTTTTATATGGCAATCAAAAAGAAAGCTCTCCATTGTTAGCTTTCAACCACCATGCTCCTTATCGCTACAATCAATAAGTAACTGATAGGCAAGTCTGGAAGAAGTTCCTCCGTATTTGGGAATGATTCCACGGTACTCAAAACCTCTCTTGTACACAAGTGCCTGCATCGCTTTATTATCGGTATGGGTATCAACTCTAACATCGTTTAAGCTCAGTTCCCTACACTTTTCCACCAAACTCGCCAGCATCAATTGGCCAAGCCGCTTTCCCCGAAATTTATTAGATACCGCAATTCGGTGCAGAGAAGCATATACCGGGCTATCATTTTCTATCCAACTTCCCTCTATAGCGGTGTAAGATGGGTCGGTTTCCGTGGTAATTGTTCCCACGGCAGCAACTTCCCCTTCGTAGATTAAAACATAAGATAAGCCCTTCTGAATATCTATCACTGCTTGCTCTTTGTTCGGGTAGCCGTTCTGCCATTGATCTATGCCTTGTCCCTTCAAGAGGGCCACGGCGGATTTAAAAATGTTCAGGATATCATCTATATCTTTGATAGTAGCGAGTCTGAGAGAAGCCATTGTGAGTTGCTATTGGACTTATGCATAATAATAAGACATTGCCCGCTTTCAAGAAATGGGTATTCGGTGCCCTCTTATAATCAGTAGTCAGTTCACGGTTGATTGATCAACCATAATGTTTATCTTCGGAAAATTACGGGATAACATGACACGCGCCCCGATATTATCCGCGATAACGATTTATCGGAAAATATCGGAGAGACCGGAGGAAAACGGAGATGGACAGCTCATCGGCAAATCAACGAAGTGATGCTCGAGCGTGCAGAAGATCCGGTGTCTATAAGAGCAGAGAGCTATCTCAATTCATTAGTACACAATTTCATCTTGCTTAGAGTAGCAAATGCGAAAACCTATAATCCTCCGTCTCGGAAAAGTAAATTATGCACATGATGCATGGGATAAGTTAAATAGGTTGGCACACGTCGTTACTATACCGGACAATACGACCCGATCAGAATTTCTGCATATGCTTAGCAGATCCGATAGCGTATTGTCAGAAGTACAAATCATAGCTCGGACTTATTTTAGTGTTGAACAAACCGGTTTGTTTGATAAAGAATTAATTGAATTGTTACCTGCTTCCACGAAAGCTATATGCCACGGCAGTGCAGGATACGACCAAATTGACACAGACGCCTTGAAATCCAGAAGGATTCAGTTATCTAATGTTCAAGGAATTGTAAATGAGGCTACAGCCGACACACACGTTTTTTTTGTTGCTGAGCGCCTTACGAAATTTCGAGCTCGGGCGACGTTTGCTTATGGAGGGTACCTGGCCAAGCCGTGGGAGAGCTGCAGGTGCTCCAATTGGGCACGATCCTAGGGGTCGAATTGTTGGTATCTTGGGCCTTGGGGGTATTGGATCCGAGATTGTCAAACGTCTCCGTCCGTTTGGATTTCGAAACATTATTTATCATAACAGGAATAGGCTGCCACCAGGTGAGGAGCATGGGTGCCAGTACTCTACCTTGGAGGAATTACTAGAAAAGTCCGATATCATATCTATCAATATCCCGCTTAACAAACTTACCCACCATTTTTTGACGAGAAGCTCATACGCAAAACCAAGCCTGGGGTTGTACTAGTCAACACAGCTCGTGGTGCGATCATTGACGAAGTGGCCCTAATGAAAGCACTAGACTCGGGACAAGTAGGCTCAGTAGGGTTGGATGTGTTCGAAAATGAACCTAATGTTTGTCGCGCCTTGCTGACATCTCCAAAAGTAACTAGCTTACCTCACATGGGAACATATACTTATGAAACTCAGAAAGAGATGGAAGAATCTGTTGTAAGAAATATCAGCAGTGTGATAAAAACTGGGAAGGTCGCCACCATAGTACCAGAGATGAGAGCTGAATTTTGGAGCTGAGTAGCACGGTTGAAGACCCTGATTTAGTCGTGAATTGTAAATTGGTCTTGGCGGCAGCCGCCATATATATCACATCATGTGATGCGCGCCAGAGCATCAGGTAGTAGTATAGCCAAACACTCCGTCAACTTCCGCTGTTCACAAATGAATCTGGCGTGAAGTGAGAAGCAAAGTTCATTAAATGCATTTCATCAAGTTTACTACTTAAAGACACACGCCCACTGTATCTCATAGCCTGAAGCTACCCAAAAATATTTTGGTTTGACATTGTGGCATTATTGTATCAAGTGATAACCGGATGTCAGTAAAGTCGGCAACGGAAAAACAAGATGAGCCTGCTAATAGCGGCCTGTGGGGGGCATACGATACTTCAAACAGATGGGTCATCTTTTTACATCTACTTCAAGCGCCATAATATCTAAATGTGCTGTAACATTCAAACTTGAAGAATCAAGGCTAGAGAGCTCGAAACAAGGTCACCTTAACTTTGGGCTATTCACAGTATTCGTATCAAATTTCAGCAAACACTTGGGGTTGGTGAAAAAGAAGATTGCCTGTTACGCCATTATCCTATATTTTGATTAGGGATTGAGGATTTGCTGAGAGGAGTGAGTTGTAAAGTTCCCAATATTGGTGTTCAATTTCGGAAGAGATTTACTACTTGAGCAATTCAAACCTTTTCTAAAATAATAGACTTATTTTATCAAAATCAAATTTTTCCACCCAGCTCCTTGTGTAGTACGTACCTGTGGGCTGCCCCTGTTATAAATTTTCGTTTTCGAAAACAAAAATCATTCTTTTGACCCTTGTACCAGCAGTCTGTCGTTCCTAAGATGTGTTAAAGGTACCTTATAAAATCGACAGCAGATGAGAGTGTAAGATGGACACAGTCAAGCTAGCCCATCGACTTAATTCTGAATAGTGTGACAAAGGTTTGGTTAGAAGGATATTATAATTGGACATCACTATCAGGCCACCATATGGCTGGATGCAGTATGTTGTAGGTACACCAATCTCATCAAATCCAAAAAATCTGAAAAAACGCTGCGTTGTTGAGCAAGATGTTTCCTCATGTGCTGGCTTTCATCAGCATGAATACTTTAAAGATTTGAAATATTATTTTACCAGACGGAAAGATTTGTACCCTTGAAGCGCAAATAGCCGCTTCAGAGAACATCGCTCGAATTTATAGATCCGGGCGAAGTCGCACCTCCCTGTTTGTGCTATCTAAATTGTTCGTTTGAGGACAATGAGTCCGAACTGTGACTTCAATGTGATCTAGTTTGATACTGACGTCTTCCATAGTAAATTCAAATAGGGCAGTGCAGCACCTATCGCAAGCATTTTTTTTCGTAAAGCCCAAAGATTCTGCTACAGGTTATTTCACATCCTTCTGCCGCTACAATTGATGAAGCCGTAATAACAACTTGTTTGAAAGAAGGAAACTGTAGTTCTGTGTGACTCTGTAAAATAAGGCTCGTACTTATATTGAACTCTGTGCTTCGTTTATTGTCTCCAAACAAATTTACTGCATATGATCCTTGATAAGCAAGCTTGACCTTACTAACTGCTTATTTGATCGAATGGCTAAGAACCGGCTTCCTTGCCGATTTTTAAAGGAATTTAAGATAAATTTGAAAATGGCAGGTGTGTAGTATTATCAAATATAATCAAATACATCTGTAACTCTGTCCCAACTTCTATATCCTCTTGGAGCTTGCAGCAGTTGACGCTGTCGAGAGTTTTACTAGATGAAAACATTGAAAAGTGGAGGGGAGAAGTCTTAAATTTATACTCAAAATCTCGAACTTATGCTCTTGTTCGATAGCCGAAGCTTCGGAGTGAAACTATTGCAGGTATTCAAGACATTATGTTGCAAACCCTCGTATCGTAAAGAGCAGAAAGTGAAATGGTTGATTTTTTTTCTCATCTTTTGGTGGTTTTCCCACACAATTCATCTTGCAAGGGAATCAAGAGGCAGCGTATTTCATGCCCAAAGATGCTTTTTCTAATGCACATATGCTACTCTGGCATGCACTTAAGTGCCCACATTCGAACCTTGGAACATTGAACATCTTGGTATGTCAAAACCTTCTCTTGGCTCATAAGGTGGTACTTAGTTAGATTACCTATCCTTGACCATTGGAACGAAACCAATTGTTGCGCATCATATCATTTCTAAAGTATATGTCAACGAGCAAAATGCGAGCACGCCCAAGTGCCGCGTCACAAGTTCTACAGAGATCTTAATTCAAAAAAGATGCAAGTAGTTTGTCTTTGCTAACCATTATTATAAACCGACCTAGTATTTGATCACGAGTACAGCGAATAGCTTAACTCGTGCTTCAAGGACCAAAACCATTACCACCATCAGAACCTGACGCTCTCTCGTATATTGTCCTGTCGAGTTTGACCTCGAACTTTAACTTTTATCCCCTCCCTAAACGCTGATTGCTATTTGTATGCTGTTGACTAATGAGTTACCATTGAAGATCCCACTGGATACTGCTCTGCCACCAGAACTTTCAGTTTTACGTCAAGACGCTGCACATGCCTGCGAAGGTGAGTCCAAGTTATCGTATCTGTATAAGGTCGATGTACTAGGGCAATTAGCTAACAAGTTGCTCAAATATCAATCTGAACTTCCTAGACCCGAGATAGAGGAGATTTTGTGCGTCACAATAATTGATATGGCGTTCTATTACCAGCAGGTTGCTGAGGATCTCATCCAAAAGGCTTACACTGACGACCTTAAGGAAGCTTGGAGCAATAGTAGCCTTTATAACAAAAGATCAATCGGTCTCTTGCAATACCTCGGTCAAACTGGTCTTTCTACTAATTCAACTCACTTGGGCTTGGTGCAAACTTATTCGAAATGCTGGGCATTGTCACAACAACTGAGCGTAGTCATGCTTTCGCTTTCAAAGCTCAAGTCTAGTATCTGCGGGAAAGGATCGAAGGATAGTCGCTACGACCGCTTGTTGGAGTTCCAAGAATCAGACCTCAAAGATTTAGCCAAATCAAGTTTACTCTATTCTCGCTTATGTATAGGTTGCAGAAACACCTGTTCACAGTTAAGCAAAAGCTCTATTGCTGCTTCCTCTCATCTTTTGGTGAAATACTTGGAGGCCCTTTCCTTTATTTTGCTTTCGCTTGATCGTTACAAGAACGATGACTGTGGTATGGCCATAGGCTTGCTTGAGAGCGCAACTAGCTGTCTCTCGGAGGGGCTCATAACCTCTAAGCAGTTGAAATCGATACAAGAGAGCCAGAAAGTGAAGGACAAACTTTCCGCTAAACTGAATGATATCAAAAAGGACAGTGCAAGTCTTCGAGATAAACTCAAGCTTTTTAACAAGCAGGAAAATGTGGGGAAGCCTCAACTACATCCATTTTTGCAATCTACTCTGCAAGATTTTATCGTCCCATTAATAATGCTCTTGAACTACCGCTATGTGAAAACCAATGACAAAGTTTTGTTCCAAACAGTCATTCGGGATCATGATGAACTGATGCGCACCTGGCCCCAAGGAAAGTCCCCCGACGTAATCGGAACAATATGGAGCTTTGACGGAGAGGCATTGCGAGAAGTGAGTGCGTCATCAAACGTGGAGTATTACTAGTAAAATAGGGATAGTATTTTGTATCTATATCAATTCCTGCGGTCACCAAACTCTTGTACGAACTTCCGTTTGGACTCAAGGTTCAAATCTCTGCCGACTAGTTTAAATTTGTCGCCACCAGCGAGTGAGGTGCGGATTTGGGCCAGGTCAGGCCCAACCGGCTCGCTTATCTTACACTTGTAGGTGACCCCTTGGGTAGAGGCCCTGACAAGATATCTCCAAAACCCTACTTTTAGTGGCGTAGTCAGAGAACCATTAATTTTCAAATGGATAGTCTGGACTCTAGCACTATTGGCTCCTTGACACTTGAACCCTGTGCTCGAAGAGCTCGAAACTCCAACCGAAGATGTGTACCGTCTGTTTATAAATTCGTCCCACGCCAGCTGGGTCAATGCAAACGGCAGAATACTTTTCCCATTGGATGTGGTGCCTTCAGCAAACACGTAGCATACGCGACCTTTTAAGTGCTTGGCAGGGTCGGTCACTTCTGGCAAAAGAGTACCGTTGTTATTCACTTGGCCATTGTTCAGGGTGAAGGTGATAAATTGCCAGAAGCTCAGTTGAACTATGTGGACGGCCTTTTCGCGTACTATCGGGATGCAAAATGAAACTGAGCCCCTTGCCAAAAACCATAGTGCTAGACAATCTAAAGGACTACTGTAGTTTACGACATAGATCTCGTCCGCACAGGGCAATTTGTCCTGCTGATCCCGCCTCTTGACGCCCTGAATTGCAACCTGTACATTCCACCCACAAACTATTTGCATGATAATTCTCCATAGTGGTTTTGATATTGAAGCAGGCGTGATCAAAGCCAGCAGCACGATTGGGATCGTACATACAAGCTTGATAATCAATCTGACATTGTTTCCAAAAGCTTCGAAGCCTTTCTCTTGCGACAAAGGCGGTGGTGTTGGTAAAAAGGGAGCAATTCCAGTTCCTTTATCCCTCCAATTGGTAAACTTTTCCATCGAATTGAGAAGCCCTTCAAGCTTGTAATTCTAGTGGGTGGTTGTCGTCTTAGATTTTGGTGTGATTTATGCTAAAAAATGTCAAATTTAGTGATCATCATCCACTTTCCGTCCACCTCATCACAATACAAACTACATCTATAAAAGCTGCCAAGAGGTAATAAGGAGTTGATTCCTGGTTTTCACGTCTGGACTTTGAATTTGGCATGTCACTTCCCGAAGTTTTGAGACGAGGTGATGAGTTTTTGGCAGAGTACCCGAGAACCAATGCATTGTGGCAAATGGGATCGCATGCTACCTGCTTGTTGACGGTAGGAATCTCAAAGTTGATTCTTAAAACCTGCTATAGTACTCGGTTGAACAACTTTGACAAACTGGAGAAAGCGATCGACCGGTCGGTGAGCGAGAACCGTGGGCTAATGACGGTGATGAATCACATGTCGGTAGTGGATGATCCATTTATATGGGGGGTGTTTCCGTGGAGGATGTATAAAGATCTGGATCACATTCGGTGGTGTCTTGGGGCCCATAATGTTTGCTTCCAAGGCAAATTTTTGGCAAATTTCTTCTCCTTGGGTAAAGTACTGTCAACGGAGAGGTTTGGAGGGGGCCCTTTCCAGGGATCGATAGATGCTTCTATTAGACTATTGTCACCAGACGATACACTGGACCTCGAATGGACTCCCGGCTGGGCACAGGAGCCTCCCAAGGGTCCACAGTCTTCTCGAGTGTCGTCGATATCGACCCTGGCGAAGAACTACACACCGCCAGTCAAGAGAACTAAGCCCTCGTGGGTCCATGTCTATCCTGAAGGCTTTGTTCTGCAATTGGAGTCCCCCTACGCAAACTCCATGAGATACTTTAAATGGGGTATCACCCGAATGATCTTAGAGAGCACGGTTGCACCCATCGTAGTGCCCATTTTTAGCACTGGCTTCGAGAAAATAGCACCAGAGTCTGCAGCGGGTACTAAGATTGAGCGCTACTTACCTCGCAACTTTGGGGCTGAAGTGAACGTGACCATCGGAGACCCTGTTGATGACAAGATTATCGACGCGTACCGTGAAGAGTGGCAAAGGTTGGTGGATAAATATCACGATCCTAAAAATCCAACTGATCTCACCACAGAACTAAAATTTGGAAAAGGTGCCCAAAGTTTGCGCAGTAGGCTGGCGTCCGAGCTACGAGCGCATGTAGCCGAGGTCCGTCATAACAGTCGCAACTTACCACTGGAAGACAAAAAGTTTCAGTCGCCTGAATGGTGGAAAGAGTACACTCAATCAGAGGGGGGCTCTGATCCTAGTGTTAAATTCATTGGAAAGAATTGGGCCATAAGGCGGCTTCAAAAGTTCCTCAAGGAACAAGAACCGGACGCCAGTTTAGAACTTCCTAAAGATGACTCTGATAAAAAATGATATATATAACCTGTAAAATATAGAAAATGCATGATCCCCGATATAGATCCTTTGCTATGACATGCGCTAAAGTGGGGAGCCGATGTCCATTTCATTTCGTCATCGTGGTAGAGTTGACCTTCGCGGCAAATCGTAAAGAATTCAACGTTTCTGGGCCATTTTTGAGACTTGGGGAGATATTAACGAACATTAGTGTTTTCGACTCCCCAGTCAGTGAATATTGTAATAAGTACGTTAGCTTGGAATTACGAAAAGGGATATGCCTTTTGCCAGAGTCTGTCGAACCCAGGGCGTGTATAACGTCCCCCAAGCAGCTCAAGGATTTGTTGATATTTTGGGTTTCACGGAGCCTGTCCGCGTGAGGTTGTCCAGAATTGACTCTTTCTGAGCCTGCCAAATCAACAAGATTCAATGTGCCAGTGGACTGCTCACCAGATAAAGTATTGTGACCATGAAGCTTAATGATAAACACACTATGAGATCTTGAGGAGCGTGAATTGACCATGGTTGCCGCAGTTGATCGCATCCTCAACGCTCGTGTCAATATGTCATTGACCATTTCCCGATTCTGAAACTTATGAGAGGTGGCATTTGTAAGCGTAGTAGTACGTGTCTCGTTATCATGCCTTATTTCAAGCTTTGCTCCGTCCCCACTTTCGTCAATAGAACTCTCGTGATCCTTTAAGAGATCTCTTATATTTTCGTTGTAGATTTCAACAAACTGGCCCCATATATCGTAGTTCCACCCTATGTGCTTGAGCTTTTCTATCCAATGAAAAATGTGGTTTAAAGTAGCGGGTATCACACCATCGTCAGGGTTTAGCATAGTGTAGGTTTTACCTGACCCAGTTTGGCCGAAGGCAAATATGCAGACATTGTACCCATCCAAAGAGCTTTGAACTAAAGGGCCTATCTCGTTAAATACATCATTATTAGACTCATAATGATCGAAGACCCTATCAAATGTGAACCTATGTGATTTACTATCACGCTGAATGATGATGTTCTGAGTCCCATTGTTGTCATTGAACTTTTCAATGTTTATATTGCACGCTTCTTGTTCTTCTCTCTTCAAGAGAGGTCGCAGTCTGCAAAATACTCTTATCTTTCCACGTAACTCCTGTAATTCGTTATTGAGCTTACGTCTCATAGTCTCTTCCTTAATCAAAATTTCCTCTATTTGTTCCAGTTCGGATCTTGAAGTAACAATATATTGTTCTAATTCGTCTCGTTTGGCTAACGATTTTATCGTATCAGAGCTCAAGGTTTTTACATGATCTTCTAGTTGAGATTTCTCAGATTGAATGGATTCTAACTTTTCCTTGCTCTTTTGCAGTTCCACCTCCAAGGCCCTCGTATGCTCAATTTTTTTGTGAAGGTCCGCATTCAGCGAAGTGGTTAAGTTATCCTTTAGTTGCTTCGACTCATCATTTAATTGCGAGTTTTCTTGAAAGAGGGCATTAAGCTCCTCCTGGTGTTTTCGCAGCCTCTCCTCTTTTTTCGCGCCATGGCGCAACTCACATTCACTCAGCATATCTCTTAAGGTTTCGTCATTATTAGTAAGTTGGGCTTTCAATTTTGAAACATCGCATGTCAAGTTCTCTCGCGATTCTTCCAATTTCTTAATCTTGGCGAAACGCAGTTCTTCAATTTTTTGTCGGTATTCATTCTCTAGCGTATTCATTTCTGCAACGTTCTTAGCCCGTAGTTGCTGAATCTCTAGTTCGTGTCCTTTGCGCAGGTATCTACCACGGATAGCATGTTCATCGGTCAGTTTCTTGATGTCGTTGACCTTGAGTTTCAGTTGCTGGGATTTGACGTGTTTCTCCTCCTTGTATGTTTCCAGCTTGAGTACAAGTGCCTTGTGCTCATCTTGGCTATCCATAAGTTCATCCTTCACAAGGTCCAATTTGGCCTTTTTTTGGAACATCACATCTTGAAGCTCATTTAGAACACGTATGTTTTCACGATAGAACGCTGTCATATGCGAAGAGCCCTCTGAGGAAGCTCTTCCATTGCCGACCGCACTATCTGCATGATTATCCTTTTTTGCTGATGACCCGTTGCTGCTATCTTGTTTTGTATGGGACACAATGCACCAGTGTTCCGATGGAGTAACAGGCAAATGTTTCTGGGTGGCACTTCTTTTGCGGTATTTTGGCGAGCCCGGTGCGCTTGGCGAAGGTATTCTAGATCCGTTTGACTCACCGCTACTACCAGTCGCCCTGTTTTTCGTTGGAGTACAAGGTCCATCAGAAGAAACCATATTCACGTTTCAATGCTTTTCAGACGTTCAGAAGCCACCTCGAAAATCATGAAAAGGTGTAAAATGAACAATCACCGGCACTTATATCTATTGTCGTGTGCAATAGTCTGCGGTTGGGTGCTCAACTACTCTTCCACTTATGGTTTCTTGTTCCCATAACTATGTTTCGTGTTTGTTTTCCTGCGCGCTAACTTCCTTTGGCACAATCATCCATCACGTGACATAAGTATCAACTTGAAGTCAACACAGTCAGTGGTTGGACAAAGCGGAGTGGTGTCACCTGGAGTTTTATTGGACTTACCAAATGGTATTGATCTAGTTGCGTTTGGTGAGCGTTGAGTAGCTATAGAGCACTTATAAGTGTCATAAAAGTGGAAATTTGGAGCACCGAAGTAAAGTAGAATGCACAAGGTGATTAATCAACCAACGAGATCCGTAATAGTGATTACATAGATAAGCCCTGGTCACCGACGTTTTAATTATCTATGCTCCGCATTGATCGCTATAACTGTACGATTTTCTAGTCCAGGTTTTTTGCCGATATTTTGTTCAGACGCCGAATCTTCGTCTCTAGATGGATGGAAATCTATAGTCCAAAGCATAACGGAAAGACAACTTAAGAGTCACTATATTTTTCTAGATCCTGTACCGTATATTCAGAAATTACGTTATCATGGCTATCCAATATTTGAGCGAGCAGCTTATCAGGTTAACTGCCGCAGATGCTGCCTCGCTGTTGAGTAACATGAAATATCATCTTTGACAACATATGAACCACAATCAAAAAGCTGAGATTAAAAGTCTCTTCAAGCATGGCCTAACTCTAGCTATTTTTTGTTATTCGTTGAGTGACAGTCGAAAGGCGTTCAGTGGCAGCTGTTACGACGCTTAGGTATAAAGTGATTTACAGTAATGCAGTCATCCTTGCAAGCTGGCGAGATCCCAGCGAAGCCACTTTTGATTCAGCATAAACCTTGATGTTTTCATCCTTGATGAGTAGTGCACCAAGTGCTTTTTATGCCCTCGAGTGGCGGGGACTGCCTTATTGCCCAGTGTTAAACATCTCATTCTACCTATTATATAGTTGTCAAAAGTTAATTGAAAAATTTTAGAACTAGCAGAGCTCATCGCTCTGACACACCACACCAAAAAGTAGACATCGAAAGAAATAATGGCAGGTCAGAGGGCTGCAAAGAAGACGGGTCGTGCTAGAAAAGGTACGCAAGTTGGTGGTAGGAAAAATGTAGGCAGAATCGCTGCAGAGAGATCAGAAAATGGCATTGTTTCCAAGGAGGAGGACAGGGCTCAAAGTGCTCCTAATGAGGAACTTGAAGTCGAGTCCGAGTCAGACAAGCGAAGCTCGAATGAAGAAGAGGTAATCAGTGATGATTTGAGTCAGAAGGAAGGACTGGAGGTGGAACAAGAAGTAGGAGAACAGTTGAGTGACAGCGGGGACAGTGACAGCGCGAGTGAAGATGATGATGAGAGTGAAGATGATGGTGAGAGTGAAGATGGGGACGATTTTCCTCGCAAGAAGAAGGCAAAACTCAGCAAGCATGATGATGGCTCCGCCGGATTTTCATCGGCTTTGAATGCGATCCTGGGATCGCATTTGAAGGCCCATGATCGGAAAGATCCAATCATGGCCAGGAAGAAGGTTACGGCAAAGAAGCTGGAGAACGATAAACTCGAGCAGAAAGCCAAGAGGGCCATGCTTGCGGAGAAGAAAAAACTTCTCAATAAGACGCGTACTAAAGACATTATACCCTCGGTGTCCGCCGAAAACGAATCCGGCACTGAAATAAGAGAGGTTTTGGAGAAAGAAAGACGATTGCGGAAGATTGCTCAAAAGGGTGTAGTTAAGCTATTCAATGCCATTTTATCAACACAAGTGAAGTCTGAAAGAGATGGAGCAGAAAGAATAGGCGATGTCAAAAACAGGACTGAGAAAAAAGAACTTCTGACAGAGATATCCAAAGAGAAGTTTCTGGATTTAGTGAAAGCTGCCGGCGATTCCTAATGTATGCATCTACACATTATATAATTCTTTGCATCTTGTATCATAATTCGAATCATCACTTGGAAGGTTTTTAAGCGGATCATTGGCTAATAAGGTCAAGAATAATATTGATGATATATACTACATTGCGATGATTACAAGATTATGCTAAAGTTTCAACTAGAGCCCTAGCCCCCCATTTGAGTAGGCCATGGGTTTAATAGCAGGATGACTAACGGCTCCGAAAGTTTCCACTACCAGATCCTCGTCGTCATTATCGTTTTGACCGATAACACCTGCCCCCGGAACAACATGAATAACTCCGCCCAAATTACCCTGAGAGTCACAGTAGTTAGGCGCACTAAACACTGTAACAAGCTTCTTATCGTGTTCAAATAATACACCACCCATTCTTACCTCGTGAGATCTGAAAATTTTGGACAACTTATTAGCGGCCAAAAACTTAGCAGTGATGTCCGGCCCAAATGAATGGCCCAAACCACGTTCCGAGGGACCAAGCCCGTTATTGGCTTGAGGATCTGACCACAGAAGTTCCATGAAGGGCCCGTCTCTTGGTGGTTGAGAAAACCTATCGATCTTCTTGTAATCTGCCAAAGTGACAGAGGGGTCGGCACTTAGACCACCATGCATAACGAGATATTTCTCATTTATAACCGTTGCCAGGGGTAAGGCTTCAAAACTCTGTGAAAACATTTCAAAGATCCTAGGAGAGTACTTGTGCTTGCACTCATCTTCGAAACCATAAATTTTATTCATATTGTCCGTCTCATGATTACCTCTGTTGATGAACATATTATTAGGAAATAGGATCTTCAGACAGTAAAACAAAATGGCCACCTCACAAGACCAAGATCCACGGTCAACGAAATCCCCATTGAATAGGTAGCTGTGTTTCGAGCCCACTTTGCCGAATTTGCGGAAGATGTTCAATACATCATAAAATTGACCATGAGTGTCACCACAGACCGAAATTTTGATATCAGTTTCGGTCAGGTTCTGCAGCTCAACAACTGACGGCTCTTGTCGGAATAACCGCTCCGCATGCGAGACTATGGCTGCTACATATTTCTTGGGGAGATTCTTACCTTTCAAAAACACATCATTCACCATGAAGGACACAAACTCTTGAGACATGTTGTTGATTAGCGCTCCACTAGCTTCTTGCTTGTCATCTTTCAACTGGGCAATGTCCAATTTGAGCCCACTGTAGCTGATGAGGTCAGCATTCCCGTCAAAGGACGAAAGCTGAACCTTGGAACAAAGGTTTACTTTGATTTCACCACCATCACCAGCAATAGCTTTTCTGAACCTCTCCTCACGAATGAACTTCTCACACGCTTCAAGCGCCTTCACCGCTGTTGGTTCGTTGGGTTTCATCAGTAAAAGTTTCTTAAAGTCTTTACGAGCTAAACTGAATTCTAAAAGGCCAACGTAGGACAGACCTCTTCTGTGCAAGGCCTTGATATTTTTTGGGTCGAGTTCGAGGGCCCTATTACAGTCTTCAAGGGCAGTGAGGAAATTGTCTAACTTCACTCTAGCAAAGGCCCGATTCGAATAGTATATCGATTGCGTATCATCCAACTCTAGTGCCTTGGAATAGCTTTCTACAGCCTCATTGAACTTCTTTTCCTTGATGAATACATTTCCTTGGTTTTTGAATTCTAGAGCCTGCTGAACGGCTGACTCATTGGGACTCATTTGTGCTCGCTGTCAAAATAGTCTTGTTGTTAGAGTTGTCAAGATCAATTGAATTTTTTTGATGGGTCAATGTCGAGATAAATGAGATGAGTAAATAAATGCAAATGAATGAATATACACAAGCTTACCAGAGCGAGAAGAAGGGCAAAGGTCACCCTGAATCACTGTAGTATAGAAATTGGCCACTATTATGTTAAGTGTGAGGTTTGTCAGTTACTTCTCACTAGACGTTATAATTGCCACAAGACGGAAGAAACCTTCAATTCGAGAGGAGACATCAACGTAGATCAATCATCCCAACCGCTACTGTCACTGAATTAGGAAAATTTGTGGCAAGTAGGCCTTGTATCACTTTGTGCATTTTTCTTCTTCCGTCAGCTTTTGTTATTGTCTAACATTTTCGCTTGTCAAGATTGAGCTCAATGTTGATAAGATCAGCCAAAGTTAACTTCTTGCACATAAACAAAAAAACTGGAATGATCCAATATAAGGTTGAGGGCTATGGATGACACACTTACGTTGGTCAACCATAATAAACCTTGAAAACCTGTCTTATTGCTTACCCGATAGAACAATTGTCAATGATCTCAGGTACGGTGAAAAGTTCTGAGCTCAACTAATATCCAAGCTCGTTGTAGGCAAGTACACAGTTCAAGACAGACAGAATCACTGTTGTTGAAGGTAGCTGAATTTTGAACTTTGACGAAGAAGATTAAAAGAAGAGTCCTCTGAGCTGGTGTCTTTTGCGGTCGGTAGGGGCTGCGTTTACGGCCGATGGGCTTTAAGACGTCAGTTGTCCTCGGCATGTGACGAACACATATAAACAGGACAGTAGGCGAGGTAGCGATGCCCAACGAAACTCCCGAAGACCCTTTACACAAGAGGAGACAATAAAACATAGTCAGATCTGCAAAGCAATGTCTGTCAGATCATTTTCGATAGACATTCCTCAAAGTGACATCGATGACCTGAACGAACGATTGAGGGACTCACGGCTCCCAAAAAATCTTGAAACTAATGACTGGGAGCGAGGAGTGAATGGCAAGCATTTACTGAGTGCAATAGGCTACTGGAAAAACAAGTACAACTGGAGAAAAGTTGAGAAAGAATTGAACGATTTCCACCACTTCAAAACCTGCATTTCAGGTGTTGATATACACTTCATACACGAGAAAGGGAAGGGACAAAACAGCATACCAATTATTTTCTCACATGGATGGCCCGACAGCTTCCTCAGATACACTCAACTGATACCCATTTTAACCGACCCAGAACGCTTTGGGAGAAATTCCAAGGATTCTTTTGACGTAGTCATACCATCACTTCCCGGTTTTGGATTTTCGGGTTACTCCACTGAATTTTCAATAAACAACGAGACTATCGCTGATATGTGGTTGGAGCTCATGGAAAGCAGGCTAGGATACGAGAAGTTCGTAGCGGGAGGAGGAGATATAGGGTCTGGCGTTTCTAGATACCTGGCATTCAAGCACCCTCAGCATATATTAGGAATACATCTTACAGATGTCGGGATTGTTCGTGAACTACTTGGAGCTCCGGCTGCCAAAGAATCACCAGTTGAATACCTTTCGTATACAAAAGCTGCAAACGAATGGCTTCGCAATGAAGCAGGATACATGAACATGCAGGCGACAAAACCGCAAACTTTAGCAGTTAGCCTGTCGGACTCGCCTGTTGGTTTGGCGGCGTGGATTTTGGAGAAATTTCACTCCTGGGGAGACCCAGCATCAAAGCTATCAATGGAAGAGTTATTAACAAATATCTCAATTTATTGGTTTAGCAACAATATTTCAAGCGCTGCTCGCATATATTATGAGAACAGCCATTTTTTGAATCCTCTTGGTAGGATTTTGGTGCCCACTGGTATTTGTTCATTTCAAGCCGACATTTTACCACCTCCAAGAAATTGGGTTGAATCTAATTTCAAAGTGATTGATTGGGCCACCGCATCAACTGGCGGGCACTTTTCGTCGATGGAAAATCCAGAAGCGTATGCCGATAGCTTATTCATTTTCCACACAAAGCTGCATCAACTTTGATGTTGGCAAAGCCAAAGAAAATACTCAACTCAAGGTAAATTATGTGGTGGACCAATAATCTACTGTGAAGGCGCTCTACTGAATTTTTTTTCTCTCGTAGCTTAGAAACAATTGACTACGCCATTAAACTTACGATGCTAGTCCAGCTGTAAGGATAAATAGGCACCAACATGAATACAATACGCACATTAATCAAAGGAAAGTTGCTATTTATTCCTCATTATCTTGTTACTTAGCCTGGTTCCAAGAGTTCGCAGCTCTTATACTGCTTTGCATTTACAGAAGTGGGTATAGAGATGCTCATGGACTTTTACATGCGTAGGATTCAGCTAATAACAAATGAAAAACGTCAACATATGAGAAGGCGGTTCGGAAAGTGCGAGGAATCAGCTGACTAATAATAAGTCTAGATATATTCTGAAATTAACCCTCCAGTAAATTGGTCTCTTGGCCCAGTTGGTTAAGGCACCGTGCTAATAACGCGGGGATCAGCGGTTCGATCCCGCTAGAGACCATTTATTTTTGCAGTTGCATCAGTCACTGCTGAAGTATTCGACAGTCTGCACCTGCAGCAACTTTAATTTGATTGAACAGTAGGATCTATTGAGTTACCATTCTACACACCTTACGTACTCTCCGAATATGGTACCTTGTTCCTCAAATTCCAGGGCAGGTAAAACTTTCAATTTCCGAGTCACTTCTGCTTGCAAGAGCGAATCATAAGACCAATCCAGAAAGTCTTCCAGGTTGTAGTTGTGCTTCCTAAAAGGTTGAGAAAAAATCTTTGCCAAGGTTGCCACATTAGGGTGGTAGTGGCTTGTCAGTGACTCAAGTTCCCAAAGCGAGCTGTTGATGGCATTTGTAAACTCTGGATTTTTTTCGTCAATCTTGAACGGGTCAGTGTACTGCTCTTTGCGCTCTTTCAAAGACGCTACTTGTTCTGGAGTTGCGAAAGGATCATCTATGTAATCCGGATCATGAAGCATGATCATGCACGTTGGATGTCTTTTAATCAAATTGTAGACTAGAGGGAATACCGAAACAATGGCAGATGGTGGCGAATCTAATGTCAATCGAGCCAACTTTTTTATGAATGAAGCAACCAAGTTTGCAGAAATATGAGTGGAGGAAAGAAACAAGTCTGTTAATCTCAGGAAACGGGACCTGTGTTTGACGTGCATCAGCCTTGGTGTAACCAGTAGATAAAGTTTTTGATAGAAATTGGGGTACTCGAGGTTATACCTTCTCATCAGTTCGAACAGACCATTCAAGGCTAGCAATGAAACAACATCGTCGCCTAGATTATAAGAATCGGTCAAAAAATCCATCAGTTTTGTGGGAGCCTGGAAATATGGAATAATTCTCTTGTGCAAAACTAGAAGAGTCGTCTTGTATTGGGTTATCGGAAGTCCATTTAGGTTCAAAAGAGCGAGCCAATTCTTTTCCAAATTGGACTTATATTGAGCCTCGTTTTCCATAGCTTGGGGAGGCTGTGGGACGTAAATTTCTAGATCTGCTTCTTCACTTAAGTAGTGGTTGTCGTGATTCATAATAGATAGCCACTTTGCAAATAACTGAGTAGCATCAAACGATTCCATCATTTCAGAGTCTGCAACCAACTGAGCAGTTTCTGCCTGAAAGTAGTACTGAATGTCCACGTATTTCTTGTAGTAGCTCGCCGAAAACTCAAGGATCACAGAATTTTTCGAATGACCGTCCGCTGCATCCACACTACCTTGGATATTGGACTTGAGCAGGGCCACTATAAGAGCTTTGAGAGTTTTGTTAGGGAAAAATGGCGCGCCGTCGTGGGAGGCCAGGTAAATGGCCTCCTGCTCCAGCAGTTGCATATACACGTCGAGGCAGTCGAGGGCAAGTGAGGTTTCAAATGATAGAGACGAAATGCATTGAAGCAGCTTAGCCTTATAAGAGTTGTAAACCTTGCGGCACCACTGTGAAAGGAATTTTTCTTTTTCTGAAGCGGCTTTGGAAGGGTTCAATTGTCCTCTGGCGAAGAGTTTGCCAAACACTGGCATCAAGGCCATCGTGAGGTATCTCAAAGTATGTTCATCTTCCTCAAAAGAGGATTCTTGTACCTTGGAGAAGTCTGGATATTGCGAGATAAGCTTGACGATATCATTGTAATTCCTTCTGTCGCTAGTCGATGCGATGCGCTTAGCACAAGTGGCAATTTCGCTTTTCGATAGGCCCATCTTAAATTATTGAGCGAAGTACGTTAAGTTCAGAACTGCTACCGACCGCCTGCTGCTCTCCTGTACTGCTGTAATTTTACTTCATCTCATCTCATCTCATCATCTCATGGCATCACCTAAAATTTTTCGACATATCAACACCAAGCGTCATTTATGTACAAAGCGACGAAAATTAGGACGATACAGAAAGAAGTTCGGCCTTGAGAGACGCGCGACCGGCAACCGTGGACTGCTAATTACCTGTGATCTACCTTGATTCGAACTGTTACTGTGAGAGAAGAAATACGAAATTGTCTCTTTGCGATTGGTGATTGACTCAACCACGTAAAAATTGCCCTTCCGTACATGGCGTTCTCACGACTTCTAGTCTTTGATTTTTCGCAAGCTCCCATTGTTCCAATACAATTATGGGATCAGGAGTATTTCTGAGGGCCCGACCCAGAGCGAACCATCCTGTTTATGGGGTAAAGCTCTACTTTGTTGCCCTAAAGTCCAAGAGCTCGTAAACACGTATACAATGACTCTATATTGGTATATAAGGCCAAGAAAATATGCCATGGGACTCGCTAGGTTAACTAACTTCTTCTCTTTTGGGTTTAAATCTGTATGACCTTCCAAGTTTTATAAAGAAGACGATGATGCTATTTGCGTTTATTTCAGTCGAACAATTCTACTTGGCCAGCGGTGTAAAAGCTGCCGATCGAGGTTTTTATGGAGAAAGTGGTTCCTGCGCAGCCTTTTAATCTTGTTACATTCTAAGAATGACAAGGACACTTCTAAAACATTCTGATTCTTATATTCAACATGAAGGTCATCCCATACACACAGGGTATTGTAGTTGTAGACCCTTTGCTTTTCTCTATCGTAAAGGCACACTGAGGTACGTCCAGCAGGCGCTGGACGAGAGGTTTTGGGACGACTCCAGCACAAGTTAGGGGCCGAGCTCGAAACATCTATCACACGCACTGCCCTCAAGAAAAGGTGGATCCCACCGTCAAGAACATAGGTGTGGATCTGTATGAGCGGAGCTCAGCTGACTGTTAGGAAGCTGCTCTATGGGGCTAGAGTAATCTTTGAGATATCAGAAACTCCGAGATTTCTCCAAAGGAAGACGAGGCTATCGGCTCGAAGATTCTCAAACAGTTCTGCGTCCACAGAGTCTCAGATGTAAACTCTAAAAACACCTATGTGTTGAGACCAAGGTGTTTTGACACTCCACGAGATTGTTTGTATTTATCGCGTAGTCTTGCCATCTGTCTACTTACACAAACAAAGAAGCCGTACTGATCACTACCGGCGCTGCTGAAGTAACAACGGCATCAGATTATGTCGTCGTCTCGTTTTCTGCAATCATATTTCGAGTTATACTGTCATTGAGTCGACAAACGACTCGTTTTCTAATCGCTAATCATGACTCACGCAGTGCTTGAAAAAAATCTTCAACCCGGGGAGGAAATTCAGTCACCAACTGGAAAGGCGTCGAATTTATTATAAAGTAGGCTTTACTATAGGGTCCTATCATTTGAGATTTCAGTTCTTGTAGCACCACTTACACTCTAATCGACAGATCATTCCAAGATGTGTGGTATTTTCGCTTGTCACAAGCACGAATCGGTAGACAAATTCAAGGCCGATGCTCTACAATTATCCAAAAGAATCAGACACCGTGGTCCTGACTGGTCAGGAAACTGCGTGAAAAACTCGACATTGTTGGCCCACGAAAGATTGGCTATTGTAGGACTTGATTCTGGTGCGCAACCAATCATCTCGCCAGATGGTCACTATTCGCTGGCCGTTAACGGTGAAATCTACAACCACATCCAACTGAGAGAGGAATTCTCTTCGTACCCATTTCAAACTTTGTCCGATTGCGAATCCATCATCCCGCTTTATGAAAAATATGGCATCGATGCCCCCAAGCACTTGGACGGTATGTTTGCATGGGTATTGTACGACTCCAAGAAGGACCTCATTGTCGCCGCTAGAGATCCAATTGGTATCACCACACTATACATGGGTCGCGATTCCAAGAGCCCCAAGACAGTTTACTTTGCCTCGGAACTGAAGTGTCTCACAGACAACTGTGATGATATCATCGCTTTTCCTCCAGGCCATGTCTACAACTCTGAGACCGACCAGATCACACGCTACTTCGCTCCAGAATGGCTTGATGAAAGTCGTGTTCCTTCTGAGCCCGTGGACTACCTGACGATCCGCCAATCGTTGGAGAAAGCTGTGAGAAAGAGACTTATGGCTGAGGTTCCTTACGGTGTGCTTTTGTCTGGTGGTTTAGACTCTTCGTTGATCGCCTCCATTGCTGCTAGAGAGACCGAAAAGGCTAACAAGAAATTGAACGCTGCCGAATACGACTCCGCAGAGAAGCATTTGGCTGGTGTCGACGATGCCGGAAACCTACACAGTGCCGGGTGGTCGCGTCTCCACTCTTTCGCCATTGGTCTACCAAATGCTCCAGATTTGCAAGCTGCCCGTAAGGTTGCCAAGTTTATCGGCTCTATTCACCACGAACACACTTTCACCCTGCAGGAAGGTTTGGATGCTTTAGACGACGTTATCCACCATCTGGAAACCTACGATGTTACTACCATCAGAGCCTCGACTCCAATGTTTTTGCTTTCTAGAAAGATTAAAGCACAAGGTGTTAAGATGGTGTTGTCCGGTGAAGGTTCCGACGAAATTTTCGGCGGGTACTTGTATTTCGCTCAGGCTCCTTCTGCTACCGAATTCCACTCAGAAACGGTCAAGCGTGTTCAGAACTTGCATTTGGCCGACTGTTTGAGGGCCAACAAGTCGACTATGGCTTGGGGGTTGGAGGCCCGTGTCCCATTCTTGGACAAGGAATTTTTGGACCTATGTATGAACTTGGATCCAAAGGAGAAGATGATTAAGTCTTCTGAGGGTCGTATTGAAAAATACATTCTAAGAAAAGCATTTGACACCAGCGATGAACCAGACGTGAAGCCATATTTGCCGGAAGAGATTCTATGGAGACAAAAGGAACAATTCTCGGATGGTGTTGGATACTCTTGGATCGATGGTCTCAAGGACGCCGCCGAGGCATCTATCTCCGATGAGCAGTTCAAGCAACCCAAGGCGGAATGGGGTGACGACATCCCAACTACCAAGGAAGCTTACTGGTACAGACTGAAGTTCGATGCTCTTTTCCCACAGAAAACCGCTGCCTCTACTGTGATGAGGTGGATTCCAAAGGCCGACTGGGGTTGTGCGGAGGATCCATCCGGGAGATTTGCCAAGATTCATGACCAGCACATCAAAAATTAAATGAGCGATGTATATATTATAGAGAAGCAGACCTCTGGTCTAAATGCTAAACCCAAAAACCATTTTTTGTTAATCTAATGCGTACATATAGTTTGAATTAAAATTATTAGCCGGAGTACGGTACGGTGATGATGAAGGGGTCCTGGATTATTTGTGTATCGAGAGCGCTCGACGAGGCGCGCGAATGGCGACGACGTGCTGGACGAGCTGGGGAGGCCGAAGCGAAGGAGAACGATCCGCTGCCTTCGCCATTGGGATGCAAGAGGCCGTCGTGCCGGCTTACCATATAGCTGTTCCCCGCCAACTGGAATGCTGGGGGAACACCGGCTGGAGACTTGGCCATGCTACTGGCCCGTCGCACTTGCTGGGCCAGTTTCCCCGAAGATTTGACCACCTTCAGAGCCCCGTTCATGTACCTCCACGTCTTTTCCATGACCACTTTTGAATTTGCAGCTACGTAGAACCCTACTTTCCCCACCATTCTTCTAAGATAGACAGTTTCAGTGATTCTAGCGTCAGGACCCGGCCTTGATATGCCTGTGTCAGCGCAATCAAGTTTATAATCTGTTACGTAACACCGGCGTCACCTTATAACGTCTAGACCGCTCTTGTCGGTATATAGCACGCGATGCTTGAATACCACTTTGGCTAGTATCGTAGACTAGTTCGGTGTACCAGACGTATATCGCTAAAGGTGTTTACAGACCAACGGTTGCGACACACTGAGCCAATTTTTCGTGGCGTACGTACGCTCTCGTTATATATACGTATTTCGTCTGTTTACTTACTCATCATAGTATTTTCTAGCAACGGTACGTCCTGTACACAGTGTTAATGCCTTAGTGAGCACTTGACCCTTCGCTTCGGATGTTCACCGTCCAAGACGGCCTTAGTAATTTTCTAATTTCCGTGGAATGGCCGTGACGGAACCCAAACTGAGTTGAAATTCACAACATGGACGGAATTATCAAATATATCACATCCACGGAAGGAGACCACCTCAGCGGGTGGTCCTAAGCAACAGCGAATATGGATGAACAGGGTCCTTCACCTGATTCTCCATCTCAAAAAATTTTTTGTCCGTTGCCAGCACTTCCGCCGTCCGGGAAGCCAAAAAGTAGGCAGACAACGCTGGGTTGAACGAATCAAATGGAAGCGATGTGATTAGAAATTGTTTTCCTTGCATTTTCTATGGGTCGCTTTGATCCCACCGCTTCCACCGGCGTAAGTGCTGCTGCCCATTGTTGATGGCCAGGAGTACCTTAAGACTTGGCATCAGCAGGATGCTATTTACGTGCGTAGCGTTCCAAGAGCGACTGTGGTGATAGGTAATTTTGCGAGGTAGGCTCCAGTAGACTTGTCTTGGCCGGTGCTCCTTAGACGATATTTTCGGTCGCAGTTGTTCATGAGTGTCATTAAATACTGTGACAGAGTAAGACAAAGTGACAGAAAAAATACGTGAGAAAACCGAGTTGAGATCGGTGTTCTGGGCCGGCGCAGGCGCTCGGTATAGAGCGGGGTGGTTATTGAAACTACTGTTACGGAAGCTTGAGGGTGAGGGAACGACAAATTGAGCCTCCCAGGATGTAGTTCATTTTTGAACTGGCTCACGACGCCCTTTCCACTAGTCGAATGCCAATTAAACTCCGAAAACCAAGTGAAAGAACGTGAAAGCACTCGAAAAGTGCTTCTTAATTTGCCACAATGTACCGGAGACCGAACTGACATCTGGAAATGCATATTGAACCTGATTGTCGACGATTGGATGTTGGTTTCGTAAATAAAGACACCAATCACTTGCGCCCAAAAAATAAGCGCCCAGCCTCCTCCTTAGTCTGCTACCACACTGTAAGAAGCTACTTGTGTCGAGGGCCGCTCTGCCAGTCGTGAAAGCCATATACAAGACAGAGTTGTCAGATACTCTGACCAACGCTACAGATGCTCGCAACCAAGAGACGCATCCTAGACGTGAAAATGGCACCGCCCCATGCCGACACACAGTGTTCGTGAAGAAGCTTGGAAACCGGGGAAAAAGTCCGCTGGAACTATAGTCATTTCTACTGCTACCAGATCCTGCAGTTTAAGCGCTTTCCTCCAAGCGAGCCCAGTTCTGGAGAAGGAACACTTTACTCCAGTTTAGGAGGCCAACCTGTAAACCATTCACGTGGCTCAAGATTATCACATGACCGCGATGCGATACCACGTGACTATTACAGCGTGGTCGCCAACGGTTGTCCTTTAAGCGAGCTTCCAATCAAACTCTACTTGCTGCGCCATAAGTTTTGCGGGAAGGAAAGTTGCGAAATCCGGTAGCGCAGAAATGGCGTCCCAGCGAAACTCGTTGGCGTTGGTTGCTCACTGCTGGAACCTATCGTGCGGCTGGGGTAAGGGCAAAAAAGAGCGTCGAGAAAAAAAAATTTGTTAAAATTTGAGCATCTGGGTCATGGATGCCGCCCTGGCGTGATGCCGTGGAAACATTTCGCTGGGCCAGAGTCACGATTGCATAAAATGTTCACGTTTTTATGAGTTTTCTGATTGGCTCAAGCAGTTCTTATCAGAGAGCAGCTGTTTTCGATTTCTTTTAACCCATCGGGAAGGGGTTCAATGACAACAACTCTCATCTTGCTTATGGCTATGTTGCAGGACATACTTATCGCTCAGCCCAATGTGGTCGCCGATTGTAAAGTGCTGTGGAGAACTTGAAGTGCAGTGGAAAAAATAATGCTCGGGAGATGCAGGTTGGGACTATAAGTTGAAAGCTAGTATCGCCTGGTTTTCATCTTAAGAGAAACACGACTGGGACCCGACTGGGAGCAAGTAGCAGAGTTTTCGAAACATACACTGTAATATGGGTTATGTTTGGGACGAGACGTATGAGCCCGCTACTGTAGCGTTCATCCTGCTCGGGGCAGCGCTGGTATTCATCATGGTGCCGGGGCTGGGTTTCCTGTACTCCGGACTGACGCGCAGAAAGTCAGCACTTGCTCAGATATGGATTGTCCTGATGGCAACACTTGTAGGCATGGTCCAATGGTATTTCTGGGGGTACTCACTAGCGTTCTCAAAAACGTCACTTAATCATAAATTCATTGGAAACCTGGACTCGTTCGGGTTTCGAAACGTCTACGGGAAAATCGACGATGACAGCGAGTACCCGGAAATCGCATTTGCTGCTTTCCAAGGGCTGTTCTTGTGCGTCACCCTCAGTATAATCGCTGGGTGTACAGCGGAAAGAGGCAGGCTACTGCCACATACAGTGTTCCTGTTCTGCTTTGCTACATTGGTTTACTGTCCCGTTACGTATTGGGTTTGGGCCGCGGATGGCTGGGCCTATAGATGGGGCGTCCTGGACTGGGCTGGAGGCGGCCCTGTGGAAGCCTTGTCAAGTGTTGGCGGCTTTGTCTACTCGGCCTTCTTGGGCAAGCGCAAAGAAAATCTTTTGATTAATTTTAGACCCCATAATGTGTCCATGGTGACCCTAGGAACATCTCTACTGTGGTTCGGTTGGCTGGGTTTCAACGCATGCACGTCTCTGACTCCGAACTTGAAGTCCGCGTACGCCTTCATGAACACCAATTTGAGTGCTGCCGTCGGGGGTATGACCTGGTGCTTACTGGATTACAGACTCGAGAAAAAATGGTCAACTGTTGGTCTATGTTCGGGGATCATCTGTGGGCTAGTTGCTGCTACTCCTAGTTCCGGCTGCATCACCCTTTATGGTTCCATCATCCAAGGCATTGCGGCAGGTGTTGTCTGTAACTTTGCCACTAAGATCAAGTACTATCTCAAAGTCGATGACTCCATGGATATCTTAGCAGAGCACGGGATTGCTGGTGTCGTGGGTCTTTTTTTCAACGGCTTGTTTGCTGCTGACTGGGTAGTGGGTATGGATGGTGTAACTGACCATGACGGTGGCTGGGTCACCCACAACTACAAACAAATGTACAAACAAATTGCTTACATCGCTGCTGTTTACGGATACGGTATTGTAGTCACGGCGCTCATTTGCTTTGTTATTGACAAGATCCCTGGCCTCGCACTGAGGGCCACGGAAGAGGCAGAACAGCAAGGTTTGGATGAGGACCAAATCGGCGAGTTTGCATACGATTACGTCGAAGTTAGAAGAGACTACTTTTCATGGGGGGTGAACAACCCGGATAGTTTGACAGAGGACAACGAGTCGCATCCACAAGAGGAAAAGCATTGAATGCGAAATGTCATAGCATACCGTGATTCAGAGAGTCACTCATATAAAAATATTGCATTTACAAATAAACGGGTTAGATAAAAGGAACTCCAGAGAGCCGAACTTGTTGACGGGTTGGCAATCAAGAGCTTCATGCTCAGGAAGCTCACCGCCGTAGAAGGGATGGTGAGCCAAAAAATTCGACCTCGGTGAGGATTGAACTCACGATCTTGCGATTAACAGTCGCACGCCTTAACCAGCTTGGCCACGAAGTCTAATGCGTTGAGAAAAAAGAAATAATGAGCCAACCATACAGGCAGCTAGAAATCACGTATACTCTCGTGAGTAGTTATTACAGAGTCGACTCGTAGAATCAAAGTTGCTTGACCGCTACTAGAACCAGTAGATTTCGTTAGTATTCCATATTCACTTTTCTTCCCACATCTGATCTTCCTGATTGCTCTGATCCACTAGCTTCTTTTTGTATGGCTGTCGAGCTTCTGACTCAACCGTAAGGAAGGTCATACTGAGGTACAAATCTTGGGTCATCTTGTAATCTTGAGCAACGCTAGTGGGCGTTGTCTCAAGCTGTCTTTCCACCTCTCATAGCCATGTGGATTCATTGGCTAAGTTCTGGCCTATGGCCTGCCATACTTATGATTCCTGTCATCCCACGACACAATGATAGATTGCGCGGGGATCGCAGCAAACGCGATCCAACTGGTCCACGCAGCTATAAGCACTGATAAAGTTATCGTGGGCGAGTCGCTGCAGTATTACCGAGGGTATCGGGACGGATCAAACTATGTACATCGATATGGCGTTCTCGCTTTTAGGCCAGAGTGAGGGAAAATATATAGGCAGAGGCTGATTTCGAAGACAGAGAACGAGACTGTATCAAAAAGAGTAAGTCTTCAGTCAAATAGAAGGAAACTCACGAGCTCAGCGCCTAATCAACTTCGATGTAAATCAAACTCCGTTAAGGGTATGACATCTCCTGGCTAATTTATATAATTTGATACGCATTTATCTTTAAATTCCGCCACTTTAGTATAGTGGTTAGTACACATCGTTGTGGCCGATGAAACCCTGGTTCGATTCTAGGAAGTGGCATTATTTTTGGAAGTTTTAAAGGTTTATTTACCAAATATCCAGAAGAGGAATAATGTAAACAATCACGGCGACTGTTTATGGAAAATTGATCCAGTGCAAGTGAACTTCAGAGTGCCGTGCCCTTGCCAAAAACTTCACGTAAACATAGTGTTGTGGCTCAATGCGGCATATCTGGCACTCCAAGTGCGTTGGTCGCGGGTGCGAAATCTTGAATGGTATGATAAAACTTCACTTAATACTCGTTCAATTTCTTATATGATCGTCAAACTGTTGACCCTTTTGTTTTTACCTTATGAGCGGTCCCTGTTTATGTGATCTACTTTCATAACAGAAGCCCCAACATCCTACAGGTCCATCACACAAAGCAAGCAGTACTTTAAGTACGAACTCTCACCCCCAGTCCTTCCTTTTCAATCATTTCGTGTGGCTTTTGTTTTTGGCACTCGGCTCAGCAAATAACTCCCATCGTTTCCCGTCCATCCAATGCAGCGTCAAAATTGGCTTAAAGCGGTTGCAGCTTCAACTGTGTTTGGATCTGTACTTGTTAATGGCTTGTCGTCCGACAACGTTGATGCAACTACCACGTATACTTCCACTGTTGTGATCTACACAACAAAATTAAGTTCCGACGAAGCAGCATCCAGTATAAGCGCTCAATCTGCGTCGGCAGCAAGTGCAGCATCTGTCAGTTCAGTAGAGCTAGCTAGATCACTGTCTTCTGCGTCCGCTGCATCCTTTTCTTCCGAGGAGGCCTTACTTTCCTCGGAATCCGCTGCAAGTGCAGCCAGTGTAGCCAGTGCCACCAGCGTAGCGAGTGTTTTATCAACGGCCTCCGTGCATGCTGCCTACCTGGCTTCCATTTCCCAGAGAGAGGCATCTCAAGCCTCCGCATCTCAAGCCTCCGCGTCTCAAGCCTCCGCGTCCGAGGCTTCTGCGTCTATCGCGTCGGCGGTATCAGCTCAAGCGTCTATTTCAGATGCCTATAATTCCTCCAACGCTTCTCAAGCTTCTATCTCTCCAATGTATCCATCGGACCGGGCTGATTCTCAGATGTCATCTTCTTCAGTGTCTTCTTTGACTACCATTAAGTCATCGACTACCAAAGTTCCGGCTCTTGAAAAACAGCTCAAGACTCAATCAGCCATGAATGGTTCGGAACCAATATCGACAGCTGCGACAAACAGTACTTCTTCCCGAATTACTTCATCTTCGGCTTTTCTGTCGACTGGCAATTCTTTAACGGTTAGCTCGTCTTCAGCCTCGGTTTCTCACTCTATGTCATCTACAACCGCTAGCAGTGAAGGTGCTGGCATCTCGCTGGGCACTAATGGCTTACTCTTGGGAGTTGCTGGTGGAATAATTATGGGACTAATCTGAGTATATAGGTGGTGCAGATTGCAAGCCCAGCCGAATCTCGTGACATTTGGATTTTCTAATGTAATGAAATCATCCAAATATCTACGAAGTTGTACTATCACAAATCATTTGTATTATTGAATTATTACCTGTCCAATCTTTCTGATCTCCTATCTTCTTTGCTATCAATCTTGTAACTATCTTACATGCTGTCTCATTATGCTAATATACTGGCTCCGGTTAAAATCCAGTTTGTTCAATAGTTGCAGAAAATACACCATTCCTGGCCCCAGGAAGGTGACTCATCCACCTCCCTAGCCTGTGTTCTTTACTAACACTTGCCAGTACGCGGAATGTTTCTCTACCATGTTTTCCGCTTTCTACGACTTGAATGTTCGTCACTACACCATTGCACCCAGATAGTTCACCTATCAGTTCGACCTCCCTCAAGTTTTCTGTAAGTTTCCACACCTTCAACTTCCCGTCCCAGGAACCCGAAATGAAAGTATTTGAGTAAGGAATTGCATGCAGAGCTGTAATCCAGTATGGTTTTGTTATCTTCTTATCTTGAAATTGCCTTTGACGCTTGTCGTCATCAACCTCCGCCGAGATTTTAGTAGACTCGGGAAGAGGAATTACTCCGTGTGCACAGCGCTGAGTAAACACTGGTTTTTTCTTGGATAATGACCACAACGAGATATTTCCATTATCTGAGCCCGTTACAAAGTGCGAATCATCGATCATAGACACACAATCAATACTTCCTTCTCCGTAAAATACAGGTTCTTGGTCTGATGGAGGCAATATTTCCTCGCCGTCGTCCGTCCTTTGAGAGTTTTGTTTTATCCATTTCTTCAACAGTCTCTGCGGATCATCACCGCCTCTAAATGTAAGTCTTGTCTCATCTGCAATCTTCCAAAGCATCGCAGTACGGTCGCGGGAACCAACTGTGACGCATCGTTCCATGCCAAGAGCAGATATGTCTACGACAAGGTCCTGATGACCATAAAGGATCTCAAGTTGAGAGAACTGGTTGATAGAGTATGTCCTAATCTTGAAATCTCCACATGCAGCATAAAGCTGGTCGGAGTTTTTGCGGAATGCCAAGGAAAAAACCTCACCTCTTCTATCTTTGGTTGGAATGACCTTAACAGGTGCTAATGATTCTGCACTCCAAACAATCAGCTTTCTATCCCTCCCGCCGGTAATGACGTATTTTCCGTCTGGAGAAGCCGCAAGGGTTAAAATCTCATCGTAATGACCTTCCGTGGTATTCTCGTACTCGAACTTGCTTTCAGGTATGTATCGACGGCCACCTTTGGTGAACTTTAATTTTTTGGGCCTGGCATTGAAGTCTGTAATATCATACTTGGTCAAACACATGTCTTTGCTAACGGTGTATGCGAAAAGTTTCCCGCTATTCTTATTCTGAGAAACATCATGGGAAAATTTGTTGATTACGGGTTGAAAGCAACTTATGGAGGTCAAACTTTTTTCACCAACCCTACTGAAAGAAGTCTTCGCCTCTGAAACAAGTAGTTTTTCGCCGATGAACCTGTAGATCCGCCCGTGTTGCTCTGCAACATCTTGCTTCAATCTAGAGGCTATAATCTCGCGATCTAAATCACGAGCATCGAAGTTATTATAGTCTGCCTCCGCATCTACACCAGCGTATTGTGCTTGCCTTTCTTGAGCTTCTTGTGCAATCTCATTAGCGTCCGTTTGCAGGTTTTCTAAGTACTGCTTGGCCAAACGACGTCTTTTATCCGTAGCATTTTCCTGTAGAAATTCCTCATCTGAATCTATTTCTTCGTCCTCGTCCACACCCTCCAGTCCTTTTTCGGCATCACTGCCCTCATCATTGGAAGATGGATCCGTTATCTCCTCATCCTCGACGTTGGTACGTTTCTCGGAGACTGTAGATCTCTTCCGCTTCTTATGGTCAAGCTTGGCCGGCGCCATTATGGTTATCAAAAGTGGGTTTTGTGAGTCCTTTCTATTCTTTATTTGAATTGCTCATCGCTTCAACTTGTAGTTTTCAAATTTTTTTTCACCAGTGTTGACGACGTGAAAAAAGTTGCAAGGCCATCGCGTAAACCGAATCACGAGAAATATTACAGAGTAAAATCGGGCTGTCCTAGCGAATTGGTTCAGTTCTATAAAATCTTAAAGCTCCAGAAGTCAGAGAAGAGCTATAGTTCCACCATTAATTACCATCGAGCTGCTGCTCGAACCTGGCTTCACGCATTTCATTAATTTTGCTAACCAAACTCATGAGTTCAGCTCTTTCAGCAATCTTGGCAGCAGCATTCAAAGCTTTATCTTGTTTCAACTCTTGCGTCAGTGAGACTGCCTTGCCAATTTCCTGGTTCGAGCAGGCTGTGGCGAACAAACGCAAGAGTGATTTATCGTAGGCTCCGTTGATGGTTGCTAAAACTTGAAGTTCATTCCCGTATATTTCTCCTTCATGCGCCAATGTTTCGTTCAATAATTCACTTAAAAACTTGGAGCGAACTAGTTCCTCTTCCGCGGCCATCGGAGGGGGAACATGTATTTCCTGTTCGTTATCGGCGTCGCGATCAACTTCTATTTCGTCTTTGACAAGCAGAGGAACCCTAACTTCCATCTCGGAGGGCAAGGGCATTGGAAATTCCGGCCAAATGTGGTGGCCCTTGACCAATATATGGTTCAAAACATTGAATGTCAGCCCTAAGGGCCATATGTGGAGGTCACTAATCTCTCTTCCGTTGGAGCTCTTCCACAACTCCAAGTTGGTATCCAGAAGAGGTACCCATCTAGTCTCCGCAGGCGTTCTCCACTTTGAAAGTACTAGCAAAACATCATCTACGCCAAAAATACATGGATCGCCATGAGCCGAAAAGAATAGAGATTTTATCCCTAGTGGACTGAAGGCCGCGAATGTTTCACTAAATTCCTCATCCTCATCGAGGTTGGCGGGGAGCTTAACGGGCAGGGAACATTCTCTTTGGAAGTATTTGCACCCGGTTTGCGGGTTCTGCTCGAATAAAGTGTACGTTAAGCCATGAAAGGGAGAAAAATGCGCTACAAAAACTCTGTAGTCTTGGGCAATAACGGCAACCACTGGTGCAACCTTCTCGACCTCCAATGGAACTCCGAATTGGTTGAAAGTCCGTACATATCCAAATGACGTTCCAACCACAATCCGTTTAGGCGTTGCCGCCACTGACGTAATCTTTTCGGACTTGTGTAGAGGTACTCGCTTAGTCCAAGTAGATTGAAAATTACTATGACCACGATAGTGAAGACGGCCCATTTTTGATTGAGCAAACAAAGTTCCTTCTTCTGTTAGTGAACAAATATCATAACCATAAAGGTCTTCGAAGTGGTACTCCTTGAATCGACCTAAATCAAAGAAAGAGGTAGTGATAGTGCAACGCGTAGAAGAGCCTTCGCCATTTTTTACAGTGAAAGCATACCCTATGTTATTCATGGTTAGGTATCGCCTATCAGACGTGCCAAAGGGGGTACTCCCGGGTGAAAATGGACGATAACGGAATTTTTGAACTTTAGGTTCCGCAGTTGATGGCATAATATGGGACCTGCCTGATCCTAAAGTTTTGGGTTTTTTCAAAACATAACCAGCGCCGTCATCGTCATCGATGAAATCATTTTCGTCGTCTGCGAGGTATCGTTTGTTAGCTCCCCCCGATTCTTCGTCGGTGAATATTCCTTGTGATTCCTGCATGTCATTGTCCTTATGAGGGAGATCCGGATGGCCATTTTTACCCGCGCCAGAATAACTACCACCCTGGATATCTTCAATTCCGTCACCGTCATCATCATCCTCAGAGCTCACGAAAAGGTTATTTGTCGCCGTCCCAGTGTTTTCACTTAAAGTCGGTATATTTGTCGCTTTTTCAGCAACGCCCTTGATTGTTACAATATCACCCGTCCAGGTACCAAGGTGTAAGTCGAAGCCATTATTCGTGTTTGGTCCCCAACAAAGGTTCGTAATCTTGTGCCTCAATTCTCTTGTGCTGTGAATTTCACCCGTGGCGGCATTCCATATCGTGAGTCTATTATCCAAATCAACAGCAGCAAGATAGGTGCCTGATTGGGGGCTGTATTTCAGGTCAACAAATTCACGTTTCACTTGAGAGTAACGTAAAGTTTTCGCCTTTGAGTAATCCTTGACGTTAAATATGCTGATTGATCGATCCTGACAAGGAACAGCGAATTGTATACCATGGGGATGCCATTCAACACGCGCGCAAACCCTATTTTCACTGCAGTATTCAGGTTCGTTAAACTCGCCATCTAAATCGTCGTTTGCCTCCGACGGATCCACTGCTTGTAATAGTTTATCTTGGAAGTCATCATTGAAGAAGTGTGATCCAATACAATTTTCGAGTTTGTAGACGTGACGGGGAGAAGCAGAGGTCATAGAATAGAAGTGGATACTGCCATTAACTTGTGAAACAGCGAGGATGCTCATTTGAGGGTTGTAAGATAGACTGCGAAGTTGGTCATCAAGACCCAGCGTTGTCTTACTTTGCTCACTATCTTCCACAAGCGAGTATAAAGTAACTTCTAGGTCATCACCACCTACAGCCACAGTCTTGCCATTATGAATGAGAGCGACGTCGCGTACAGGCAACGCACACCTGAGTAAAAGTTGGCTCTCCGCTTCTTGCGCACTGCAAATCCGGACATCACCCTTCAGAGAAGCTACAATGCACTTCGAGTTAGTCAAAATGGTCAATGCAGTGGGATTTGAATAAGTCTCAAACACATCAGGTTCTTCTTCTGGCTGGTTCAGTGGTAGTATCTTGGTAGATCCATTCTTGTTCGTTGCGAAGAGACGAGATCCATCCGAAGAACAGCTTATCAAGGTTTTACCTCCGGAGCTGAAGATCGACTTGTCGATGAGAGAAGCCATTTTCAAAGCTGAGGGAAGCTGTTTCAGCGCTTTTGGTGCTGAGGCCTTAGAAATGCGACGCGTTAACGATCAAAGTATTAAATTTCGCGAACATAATTTTAACAATCGTCGGATATTAAAAACCTGGAACTACAGCCAATCCAAATCTTGCTAGCCTGACTGGCGTCGGTGATACTACGGGACCAGCGATACTGTACTTGTGTATGTAGATGTAAAACTAGGTTATTAGTTCGAGAAAATGGCTCTCCAGAAAGATCAAAATTCGTGATGACAGCGCGCCCGCTTTCCAGGTCTGGCTACTCGTTCGAAATTTGATGTTACAAACATGAAGCTGCTTTCAAACTTGTTCTGATCCGAACGGACGCATGAAAGAGTAGCCAGGCTTCTGCTCAGGCATCTTTAGGGAGAATGTCAATGTCGTTGTTGTGCACATAACACTACGACGGCGTTGGTGACGATCCCTTAGACTTTTGCTTAAGTGAAAATCCAAAACAGCGAGATGCCCAGTTCCAATAGCTGAAGTGTCTTGGACGGAATGGCATTTGGTTCTATTTTATAGTATGCTCGTTCAGGGTGTCGTGAAAAATCATTTTAGAAAGGCTTCCTTTTCCTAGCAGTTATCCCACCGACCAAGACAGCCAAAAAATGGATAACCTCGACGATGACTGGGATCTGCCGGTCTCAAAGAATATCAGCAGAGAGCTGTTCGCCACATATGCTGAAAATGAGGCCTTTGATGTCGACAATTTTTTGCTAGAAAACAACTTTCATTATGTTCCGCTAGATACATTGTCAAAAGACCTGACGCTATTGACACAAGAAGTGGATCGGGCCCTATTGGACGCTTCCAGCCAAAGTTACGATGATTTCGTCAAGTTATGTGATCAATTCTCGGACAACGCGGAGACAAGACCAGAGCTACAAAACGTGAGAGTTGATCTCAGACAGTTTTCTAGTCAGTTGGGTAATTTATCCCAGGTTGAAATGACCAACACTAAGGAAATTGTAGCTGATACGGTAGACTACCTGAAGTCTCTAGATAAGTTGTCAACACTATTACAAGGCACTATGGCTCTCACGACGAATCTTCAATTAGCTGGAAAGCTATGTGACGCCTTGGACGCCCTTTGCGCGGAAGACGACGAACATTTGGAACAGACATTGTGTAGTGATCTGGTCACACACCTTCACAAAATCACCACTGAAGCACACTCGTCGCTACTGCCATTGCAGCATATAGACGCTCCCTTGATACTGCAACTCAGATCAGAATATCAAGGTATCCTATCTCAGTTCCAGGCTTGTCTGCATGTCTTGAGCAATAGATGCCTTACGAATCCCGCTGCATTTGAAATTTTAGCAATCAACCTCAAAAGCTTGATACCCAAAGCCGGGGCACAATCAACCACCAATCAATGAGCGTTTGAAAGCCGACTTCAATGACCACGGGCTCCACCGTCTACAGAGAAATCACTTCCAACGAAGGATTCTCGGTAGGTGGTTTTCGAAAACTTTTCCCAAAATTAAGTGTTGATATCGTTATGTGAGCGAGCAGACTACAATAAACAATTGCGGGCAGATGTTCAACTTTGGTAACTCTGGGGCCAATGCGAACAGCACCACAAACAGTGGCTCGCTATTTGGCAACAAGCCCCCAAGCTCGTCATCAACATTTTCGAATAGCCTAAACAGTGGGGCTGGCCAAGGTCAAGCTACCGGAGGTCTTTTCGGTCAAGGGAACAACCAGCAGCAAAACCAAACATCAAATGGGCTTTTCGGGCAGTCAAATACCGCATCTAACGGATCTGGAGGTGTTTTTGGCAGCAAGCCCACTGGTGGATTAAGTTTTGGGCAGAGCTCAAATCAAGCACAACAACCTGCTTCTCAGAAGCCATCTCAATCGGGGTCTTTATTTGGAAACAGCGGCCAACAAATGCCAAGCTCTAGCCAACAGCCGGCTGGCAGTAGCGGTACTGGCGGTCTTTTCGGAAACAGCGGTCAGCAGCAGACCAACAATACGCCGGGCGGCCTGTTTGGCAACAAGCCGGCCGTGGGAACTTCAGGCGGTCTTTTTGGTACTGGCAGTCAGCCACAAACACAGCAAAATCCCACCACTGGATCTTTGTTTGGCACACAACCTCAACAACAACAACAACAACAACAGCAACAACAGGGTGGCTCATTGTTTGGAAGCGCGCGGGCTATCAACTCAACACAACCTTCCTTCGGCTGGTCGCAACCTGGCGCCAATCAGCAAACGAATCAACAACCTAACCAATCACAGTTTCAACTTCAACAGCAGCAACAGCAGCAGCAAATTCAACAGCAACAGCAGCAGATGCAGTTACAACAGCAATCCAACTACCCTCAGCAAATTCAAGAGCAGATTACTAAGTGTAAGGAGTCATGGAATCCGCAATCCTCCAGGAGCAAGTTGAGAACCTTCTTTCACAACAAAGTGAATGAAACCGAGGCGATGTTGTACAACAAACCACCAGAGGTTTCTCAAGAGGAGTGGGATGAAGCTTTATTACAGAAGCCTTCTCCGAACGTAATTCCTGTACAGGCTTTTGGATTTGATGATTTAAACCAGCGCAACATCCTTCAAAGAGAAAATGTTGCACAAGCACGCATGATTCTGAGCCAAACCCTGGAAAAGCTTACTCAGCTCTCTCAAAAACATGATTTAGAGACTGCTTCGAGGATTTTAAAGGCTCAAAGTAGGAACGTTAAGATTCAACAAAGAATAATCAAGCTTGGGTCGAGCTTGGCAATTCTGAAAAGCAAGGGCTTACCGCTCTCAGTTGGTGAAGAGAATATGTGGTCCAAATACGAAAAGCTTCTCAAGCGCAGCAACGACCCTGCCGGTCTCGGCAAGAATAACGAATTATGGGCAAGACTGTCGGTCTTGAAAGAGAGGTCGAAAACCATTTCGGATCAGCTGGATAGTACGCTGGTAGTAATAAGTGAAAACAGTGGATCTGATAAAAACTTGAAAAACTCCGGTAAGCATAGTGACAGAAGAATTGATGAAGAGGCAGAGAATAGAGTGAACAAAATTGCAGAGATATTAAGCAATCAACAGCGCGGATTGTGTTATCTACAAGACGTTCTTGATAAAGACGAAGAGCTTATCAACAAATATATAAGTTAGCGATTAACTTACACCCAAAATGCATAGTCTAATTAATCATTACCGAATCCCTTCAGCCCGTGTAGGAGAAATTCAAGCCTCTTGCCTTCCTTCTTCGTCAATTCCAAGCCGGAGTCCGATTTATCAGTCGAACCACTTAGCCAACTTCGTAGATCTGGCGTTAGCGCTTCTGGGTTAGGGAACAGTGTCGGCTCTAGATAAACGTGTCGCCGAGGACCTAACTTCTCCGCAGCGAAACGAAAGAACTGATCTCGCTCTCCACTTTCCTGTCTGATTCGTTGCGTTGCGTCTTCGATACCACCATCACCGCTCGTGCGAGAGTTACCATCCCAATCAAAAAATCGGCTTTCTCGCAAATTATGACGGCTATTCAGAGGCCAAAGAGATTTAGCTTCATAGTCCGAGGGAGCGTGAACCGGAACCTTCACAGTGTCCGATTGTTTGTTCTCGAAGGTCCAGGGGCCAAGTGCTACAAAAGGGCTCAGTCCTCTTTGTGGAGCCTGACTGTTGCGGTGCCAATGCTGTTGTAGCTCTTTATGTAATCCCTCGAGCGCTGTAGAGTCGTTGAGAGAGAAGAAAGCCCCGGGCACCTTGTAATCGTCATCTGGATCAGGGACAGTGAAACCACGTACGTTGAACAGAACAGTGGCTAGGGCAGCTAAATTACTGCTGGACATAACTAGGTCAATTTTGGGAGAGGAACGATTTAAAGTGCGCCGCCAGTTTACGGCGTTCCCCTTGGCGTACAGGACGTTCCCGAGTTTTCGAAGCTCCGAAGTGATTGCCAAATGAACCGCGGCCTCGTTAGGTGCTGACACCCCCGTGTACATGAGCTTAAACTGCAGGAAGATACAGCGGGACTGGATAAAGCTTTGGAAGGACATTAGATGCGTCTATTCGTTAGACCTGCAATGCTTAAAATATGTACAAATAGTTTTGATCTTTCATTAAATACCGGTTGATGGTGATTGTGAGGGTGAATGTGGTCGAGATTTTGAATTTAATTTTGCATGGCACAATACCCACCTATGGTCTCCATCAATTTATTTCCATTGTCTCTTGACGAAATGCCACACGATTGGCGAAACCCACAGAAGAGCAGCAGCGTACCCAGCAGTGATCAGGGTTTGGTTCGATTGCTGTTGGTGGACCTTTTTTTCTTCTTCCGAAGGTGCTTGCTGAGGTAGTCCGAACATGGTAGAAAATGGCTAATTTATGAAAAAAAGAAGGGAGTTAGCTATAGTTTTGTTGTAAAAACACTATGACTGTTTTGTAGATGCCAAAATTTACGAAGTTATTGACAAAACTGTGGGACCTTGTGCCAAATGTCAACGAGCTTGGTTTACCAATTTTCAGTGCATTGTAAAATTCTGAAAATTTTCCAGTGCCCTTTATCGTTGTGCACGAAAGATGAAATAAATGAAATCAATGTTGAATTATCTATAACTACAGCTATAGCGAATAAAGGTTTGCTGGGAGGAGAATAGCACTTACCAGCGAGGCTAATTGTTGAACCAATTTATCGTGAGCTTATCGACGGATAGAAAGGGTGAACATCTAAAAACACGCATAGTAAGCCGAAGCCTGTGACGGAATGAGCAGTGAAGAACCAGGGTTTGACACCACGCCAGCTGCTACGGACAATGTTCAAGATATAGCCGAACAGGCTGTGAATAGATCTTCAGAGCCAGACACACAGAATGAGAGGCAGCGGAAACGCATTGACACCGAAGACTCCGATGAGGAAGACGGGCTACCCACAGAACAGCGTCTCGAGTCTCAGCGTATTATAAACAGCAATAGTGCTACCGAGGACGTTGGCTTAGATCAAAGCTCCCGGAGACGTCAGGAGCTGGAGGACCGTCTGGACCGGCTAATGAAAAAACCAAAGTCTCGCAGAACGAGAAGAGACGAGGACGACCTGGAACAGTTTCTGGATGAGAGGATTTTGAGGCTCAAGGATGAGATGAATTTGGCGGCACAAAAGGACATCGAGACCCTGAATCGGCGGTTGGATGGTGTGGATGAATCGGCGGTTGCAATGGAAAAGGTCAAACTACTGCCCAAGGTTGTGGGAACGTTGTCGAAGGCGCATTTGGCCGATACTATTCTGGACAACAATCTGCTACAAAGCGTTCGCATCTGGCTAGAGCCGCTACCTGATGGGTCTCTACCGTCTTTTGAGATCCAAAAATCGCTGTTTGCTGCTTTGGAGACCTTACCTATCAAAACGGACCATCTAAAAGAGAGCGGATTGGGTAAAGTAGTCATATTTTACACCAAGTCGAAGAGGGTTGAGCCAAAACTAGCACGATTAGCAGACCGGCTGGTCGCAGAATGGACCAGGCCCATCATTGGTGCGTCCGATAACTACCGTGACAAGCGGGTAATGAAATTAGAATTTGACGTGGAACAACATAGGAAGAAGGCTATGCTGGACAGTGCCAAGAGTAAGAAGTCGAAAAAGAGAAGATCTGACGTGGATGACACCAAGGGCAAATCCGCCTATGAGTTGGCAGCGGCAAGAAGAAACAGAGCTGCTGCTCCATCTCAAACCACTACAGACTACAAATTCGCACCGGTGAGTAATTTGAACTCTGTTCCTTCAAGTGCACGTACTACCGGTGTAGGGGCCTCGTTGAACAATAGCGAAATGTACAAGAGGTTGAATTCCAGACTCACGAAGAGGGGTAAAAGAAGCAAGTAGATTAGTTTTCGTTTAGTGAAGTGTAAAATTTGGCTGGCTGGTTAAGACTTTAGATTGGATTTTGTCCGACGAGCTCCACTAACAATCAGACTGAGACTGTTCGCCGTCGAAGCTTCATTCATGGCCAAGTTCCACTTTGTGAGAGCACGTGATACCAAAATATGTGCTGGTAAACTGTAAGCGTTATTTAAAACGTGCAATTATAGATTGAAGTACATAGCAATTGTACAGTGTGAGGGTTTGGTGTATTGTTTTATTCGTTTGACTTCTAAAATGTGACAGGAAATATACAAAAGATCCGCAATAACATTGTAGTTTCGCTTAAGATCTTGGCTTTTCCTTCTTCTCCTTCCACAAAGCGAGCAAGGAGACACCGGAGACCTTGACGACCTTGAATCTGACACCTGGGATATCACCCTTAGCCTTACCCTTTCTACCGAAACCGGCTAGCAAGACTTCGTCGTTTTCGTCGACAAAGTTCAAACAACCATCGTTAGGAACGAAAGCAGTAACTCTCTTACCGTTCTTGATCAATTGGACTCTGACACACTTTCTGATAGCAGAGTTTGGTTGCTTGGATTCAACACCAATCTTTTCCAACACAATACCCTTGGCGTGAGAAGAACCACCGAATGGAGAAGACTTGAAGGCAGTACCTAGCAATCTCTTCTTGTAAGATTGTTCGGCCCAACGGCTGTAACGGAACGTTAGTATAATGAAAGGGAACAAAACTGAGAGGAGGGCCGCAAAGACACCCGAAACGACCAGCCAGGGACGGTCCGTATTCTGTTTCAACATTGTGAGACCATCTCATCCCATGTGTAATTCATTCCATCATAAGCCAGGTTTCAGTGGCTTCTTCTATTTAACACCATCATGCCTTCCTTGCAATTAAAGGCTGCAGATTCTTTGCAAGCTGTATGGGTCTATTCAGTTTTCGAGGCCTCCTCCCTTCTGCTGATATTGCAGCGTTCTTCAACATACTTGTTTCTTCTGTGGACACGCAACTTTCTAGCGGCGTTCAAACCTCTTGGCTTACCCTTACCCATTGTTGATTGTTGATATGTGGTTTTCTTGTATCAAGAAGGAGTAGTCTAAACGTCTCTAGTATAATGAATCTTGTAGTTTTTTCAGTATACGTCAAGGCGATGGTGGATCTCCTGCGAGCGCACTCCTCCACACTGGGCGGAGCGCAGAATGGACTCTGCCGAGGAACGCTGGAGTGCGTGACTGAAGCGAGGCGCTGCTAGGCGGACGCCGGGGGACGCTGCTGGGCTGGCTCCCGGTGGTGCTCCCACCAGGTTGACAGCCCTAGGCTGAGCTTCCCTGCTGGGGCCAGGCCGAAAGCTTCCCCCAGCTCGTGGCACGGGGGACTGTATTTTTTCTCGCAACCCACGCAAAAATTTCCAAATTTATTTCCAATTATGATTTCAAAAAATGTCAGGGAGTAAGGGTGTAAGGGTGTAGATAGCAGTCACACGACAGACGAGACTGTTATCATTTTGTACCATAATGTCGCAGTCTCGTGAAACATGCATGTGCTGTGTTATGCAATACGCAGTAGGAACTGGACTAAGTTTGAGCCCTCAACCAAATTTGATTGGGGCGCTTCACACATAGGCGTGCTGTCACAGAAGGAAAGGTCGTCGGACGCTTGAAGAAAGAGCCGCATTTCAGTACCTTGCTGGCCGTTCAATCGCCAAGTTTGGTTTCACGGTTTACTTCAATTGGGCAACATGTCGTCAGCAATTGCGGAGAGACTTACCAAGGTTCTAATCGCACAGTACTTGAGCAAAAAGAATTACGATGGTACGTTGCAGCATTTTTTAAAAGAGGCGGGCCTAGGGAGATCAGTTTTGGAGTTGGGACGTGAGGTTTTTGAAGATATCGAGACAATTGTGAGCGAAAGGATTGAGTTTAACGAACACCAAATAACCGCCAGGCTGGCACAGACGTCCCTCAACGACTCCATTGATGCGGTGGGACAGAGGTTCTACCTTCCTTCTTGGGACCATACTCTGCAACTCCAGGCCCTTCAGTTTTCGCTCAGACCCAGGGCCCTGGCGGTCGACCTGCAGCTGAGCGAAGACTCCCGTTTGACTATCAGCACTGCAGACAAACATGTGTATTTCTATAACGGCGACCAAGATTTGCAACGCGAAATGACTTTGAAAAGTGGTGTGGTGAGAAGATGTGGGGCTCTTCCCAACAGAGCGGCTACGTTGTACTATTACACCTGTGGGATGGACGGTACTTTAACAATCTACAATGATGCTTTTCAGGTCCGCTTACAGCACAAGATTCATTCCCGAATTGTGAAAAACATTGAATTTTTCCAAATGGGCCCAAAACCGCAGTACTTGTGTTTTAGCGTTGGTCTCGACAATTACCTCAAGGTTCATTTTATCGATATTGAGAGCTTCGAAGTATCCTTCCAAGATGAGAGAAAATTCCAATCTGCATGCACGTCGTTCCAGCTTGCCAAAAATGTCGAGCAGCAACCGGTGCTGCTTTTCACTCAACAAGACCACTCCTTGCTCTATGCAGTAGTGTGGCATGAGGGAGCTCTCGTCGAATATTGCAAATTGGCACTGAACAGCGCCAAGTTCAGTTCACACGCGTTCAACGTATTGTCTTCGTGTCTCTTGGACCTCAAACCACCTACGGATAACAGCTCCAATGCTAGCAACCATCATTTAGTTACACTACAGGAAGGCTCCATCGTGGCAATAGCCACCTCGCATACTCCTTACATGCGACTCGTTCTGCTAGAGGTGCCCGAAATTTCGATTACTGACTTCCAAACTGGCTCAGGTACGAAGATACACTACGATAAGATAATTCGCAATATAGCGACCAGTGTACCACAGGATTCTTTTTCACAGTCCATAATCAAATCCTGTCACCGATCCAGAGGGGTTCTGGTTGGTAGCGATTCGGGAATTTATGCAATCGATGTATCGAACTGTGACTCTTGGCCCCTGTTGAAAAACACGCAGAGGGTCAAGGCTCTCGACAGCTTACACGATCGAATAGCCGTTGGATTCGCTGATAGAACTATCGAGCTTTTACAATGGTATCCGAGCACCTAACTTTCCACGAAATTTGGCAGAGGTTCCAAATTATAGATCGTGATATTACCAAGGCATCCGTCACTCAGCATAAAGGTAGCTTCAAGAATGACCACAATACAGCCATTTGAAGCCACTGATTTACTTCAATTGAACAATGTCAACTTAGACATTTTGACGGAAAATTTTCCATTAGAGTTCTATATGGAATATCTTATATTGTGGCCGGAGTTGTTTTTCGCGAGCCATGAAGTTACCAAGACGAAGGCCAATGGGCACACCGAAATATCAGGCTACATGATGGCCAAGACAGAAGGAAAGGGCGCAGACTGGCACTCACACATTACTGCTGTTACCATTGCTCCCGAGTTTCGCCGAATTTCGCTAGCTTCAGGCCTGTGTAATACGCTGGAGACAATCACGGATAATAAACCCCACAACGTCAATTTCATTGATCTTTTTGTCAAGTGTAATAACACCTTAGCACTGAAGCTGTACGAGAAGTTAGGCTACTCTGTTTTCCGAAGGGTGGTGGGATATTATAATTCTTCACAAGACAAGTACCCAAGCAACTTGAACAAAGTTCACGACGACAAAGATGCGTTCGATATGCGTAAGGGCATGGAAAGAAGCTGCGGGCGCAGCATACGAAGTGACGGTAGGAAAAATCGATGCTTCCCACATGACGTGCGATTTTAATTTAAATTAATAGAGGGGAACGACGCGAGGATTATCGAGTATTGTCTAAGTATAAGTATATTATGTCATGGAAAAGCTTCTTTCCCTTAGAACTCAATTTTTTCTGTGGCAGAGTCGCCACCGTATTGATTTGTGTTCTTTCTGAACCCACCACGGTTCCCTCCCCTTTGACCACCGCGACCGCGGTAGGACCCGCGTCCCCCGCGAGCACCGCCACGCCCGCGTCTGTTCCCAGCGCTGGCTTGTCCGAACGTATCCATATTAAGTTGGCGTTCTTCTTGCCATCTCATGTTGGTGTTTGTCTCAGTGGATGTCGAGATAGTATCAAAAAACGAAGATTTGCGGTTATAGAAATTTCCCTCTGTATCCGCTGCCTCACCTTGAACAGTTGGTTGAGGGCGAGAGGTGGTGTGGTCCCTTTCGAGCTTGGAATTGTTTGATAGAAAATCGAAATCTTCAGTTGGAATTTCAACCCTCTGCGGTGTTTCCTGTCTACCTTGCTGGGACTTACCAGATGGCTTTGGTTGTCTGTTGCCATCTCTCTGGTTGCGCTGTTGCTGCAGTGGTGGTGAAGGAAGCACCTTAGTGGCCTGTTCTTGTGTTTCAGGTGCAGAAGCCGATGGAGCGTAAACTCCATATCCAGCCATAGCTGCTGGAACTGCCGCAGCCGGCAACTGTTGAGAAGTCTGTGGGGGATCTTGTACTTCTTGAGTGGCTACGGTCTGTGGAGCCTGTGCTGATGGAGGGGCCTCAGAAGCGCTGTTTGAGCGTGGCTGTCGTTGTTGTTGCGTGGCTACACTTTGTGGGGGAAGCACCGGCTGAACCTCCTCTAGCGCTACATCCAGGATGCTGAGATCCTTCACATCATTACCATTGAAGGTAACGGTATCGTACACCGTTGGATTCGGGTATATCTCCTGTGGGCCCCAATGCTTCCGGCCTTCTGTTCCAAAACAACGTACTTTGTTAAGGGTCACCACTCCTCGCTCGGAGTCGATACCTTCCAAAAGACCCACATATCGATTGTCCGTTACGGAGATCAAAGAAATAGTCTTTCCAATATACTGAGCCATTGAATTATCGTGTGGGGATCCTCTTGCTTGGTTTTACCTGTAGCATATAAACTTACACAATTTTTGAATAGTTTAGGTCAAGATAGACCATATGACTTGAAGGTCGACAAAATAATATGATCAGGCGGGTAGAAAACTAGGTAGCTGACGCCACAAGACCTAATAATTGGCGCTAAACAACAAGCTTGGGGTCTGCTATATCTCAGATTATGTTCAATCACTCGAGCCAAGCACAAACTCTCACTCGAGGTGTCCTTGTGCTTAGGAGAGACTACCTGGTCCAATATTTATGAATTGCAGACTACTCAGAGTGGGTTACTTTGAAAAGGAGGCCGCCGATACTGTTTGTGGGTATAAAAAGAGCTGGTAAATGACGGCTAGCAACAACGCTCGCTTGACGTTTAGACAGTGTTTCTGGTATGACCCTGAAAAATCATCTGTCACGGACTTTTGGGTCTCTTCTCATCTCGAGAGTTTGAATATCATCGGCCAACACCTTGCTCGGGAGAACACAACGCATCGCACTACCTTAATATATCGAGACGGTGTAATCCCTTCTGCGATATGGGGCCTTTAGAAAGTGCCATTACAGGAGCGGTAGCGTCCACTCTTGCAGACACTATCGTGTACCCACTAGATGTGGCCAAAACCTTGATCCAAACCCAGAAGAAGCGAGATATCGAAACAGATGACAAAGACCAGCATCATGAAGTATATTACAAGAATACTCTGGATGCATTATTGAGAGTAGTGAATGCAAAAGGGGTTTGTGGCCTGTACCAAGGTCTCATGGCGTCCACTATTGCCGGGTTCTTACAAAGTTTCTCGTACTTTTTCTGGTATAGCATCGTGCGGAAGACCTTCTTCAGATTCAAGCTCCTCAGAGGCAAGGGGGTCCAATTCTCTACGCCAGAAGAATTACTTTTGGGTGTCATGGCTGCTGCCATTTCGCAGTTGTTCACCAGTCCTATGGGCGTAATCTCGAAGCGACAGCAAACAGCCATGTCCAAGAACGGCAAAGTTGGATTCAAGGACGTTCTGAAGCAAATATATGATGACCAAAATAGTATCACTGGATTTTGGAGAGGTTTGAAAGTGTCTTTGATATTAACTATAAACCCCTCAATAACCTATGCATCGTATGAGAAATTAACGCAACTGTTCATCTCGGCGTCCAGTGCGCGTGGCAGAACAGAGCTAAAAGATACCGCGGCCCAACTGTCGCCGCGCCAAAATTTCATTCTAGGGGTAGCATCGAAAATGATCTCCACCATCATCACTCAACCGTTGATTCTTTCCAAGGCCTGGTTGCAGCGCACAGGCTCTCAATTCCACTCATTTCAGGAAGTTCTGATTTACCTGTATACCCATGAGGGCGTTTTATCTCTCTGGAAAGGGCTGGCTCCACAACTTTCGAAGGGCCTGCTAGTGCAAGGTCTTCTGCTCATGTTCAAAGGTGAGCTCATTAAGTTGATGCAAAGACTATTCTTTCGCTTACGACTGCTTCGAAATGCACAACCTAGGGTGCGTATTAGCTAGGCCCTTCATGTGTTTGTTGTATCGTGTTACAGCGTCTCCCGACAACTGTGTGAAATTTGAAAGGCTCCGGAAGCGCGCAAATTGCATATCACTAAGTTTTCCATTTATATACAGGAATGTATTTTGTTACTCTCATTTGCTTCTTTTATCTGTCGGTCTTTCTTGCGCATCGATATCGTCCAAGCTCAATTCATCTCTAATTCTGACCAGCGCGTCTTTTTCTTGAGACTCTTCTTCTCTCATAATTTCCTCTTGCTCTTTAATTTGTGCCATTTTGGACTTATTGGTGGCATCGTTCTCTTCCACTACGTTGACTTTGACTTCGTGGTACAACTCATCTGGAATACCGCTTAAAACATCACATAACGCGTCATACAGGGTTTTTTTGGAGCTAACATCACCATAAGTGTAAGCCGTCGCCATAATAAGCAGTGTGGATGGAATTTTGTCCTTTAGTCGCATGTTTAACCAAATACTGAGGTTGTTGCGGAGCACAGAGTCCTCGACGTTCAAGTTTCGGATACCACGCGAGGCACATGCGGTGCGCAATTCTACAGCATCAAGAGAATTGACTCCCTCGTAATATAGTGAAAAGTCGTCCTTCTTTAGCTCCAACATCTTATAACGAATGCGGTACCGAAGCATGACATCTGTCCCGAATGGCTGCAAGTTGACATACTTAGCCAAGGCAACGAGATAAGGCCTCGTTACATTATCCAAAACTGTATCATCAGTGAACAAACGAGCAACTTGGATAAGTTGTTGGCGAGACTCGGGCTCACCCGTTGCACGAACGTGCTTGTAGAATTGATTGAAAACCTGTTTCTGCTCTGTGGTAATATTTCCAGGCTTGAAGTGAGTTCCTTGCTCCTTTATTATGCCCGAGACCAAACCTCTAGTTTCACGAAGGTTCTTCAATTTCGAAATCTTGTCTGTTTTGGACTCATAGGTAGACGGTAGCATATTAGGGAATAGCTTCAATGCTACCGGCAGCAGTAGCTCAGCAAATGGGACTAGCAAAAACGCCGAGAAAGGAACTAACCTCACCACGTCTTGTGTCGTTCTTTTGAGTTGCAGGCTTTCGCGACGACTGAGTTGATGGCCGGCAGCGGTTTTCATGAGAAGTCTAGAGGAAATTTTCATTTCCAAGCCCAACAACTTGGTACCATCCCAGTAGTGATGCGCCTCATTCTTTATTCTGGTCCAAAGGGGTTCCTTGCTTTTAGCCTTATCGATTTTCTTTATTTCCGCGGGATCACTGGAATTGTTGTTGCTTGGCACTTGTGAGGCATAAGTTCTACAGCTGCCGCTCAAACTCCTGAGCTGTGAGCCGTGGTTTATTCTTGGAATGATTTGAGGTCTGTGCTTCAGTAAAACCATCTTTGTAGCCTGAAGTTTCGACAGGTATTTCCAAGCGAGAGAGGTAAGAAGTTGAAACGTGGAAATTTTCAATATTTATTGAATATCTTAAAGCATAAAGAATTATATAAGGCAGGTGGCCAAATCCACCAAACCGGTCATACTAAATACAGGCAAGAATATCTTACAAATTAACACCAGCTTGAATCTTCGTTATGATTACCCCATCTTATTACCGTTTTCATCATCATCTTCGTCATTATCATCATTATTATTATTATTATCATCATGTTTAACATCGTGTTCATCATCATAACCGTTCGACATCCTCAGCATCATCGTCGTATTGTCAGTATGATCGTGATTTGCATAACATTGGCAGTACCATCGTTAATGAAAGTCAGTAGGACAATTCGGAATTATCAATGTAGTACCAAATTTAAGAAGTTAACTTTCGACAGTCTTGGAAGTCGAAACGTAAACCCTTCGACTAAGTTTCTGCAGCTCCTTCTGCTCGAACTCTGCCTCTTCACGATGCTCATCGACCTTCTCTAGTTCTAGTGCGTGAACACTATGCGATGGGTCAGGCATTGAGAAGAGGGAAGAGGAGCTTGAAGAGCAAGAGGAATGGGCCTTTGTAATCGAATCCAAAGCACGGGGCAAGGAATCTGAAGGCCGAAGAGAGTTGTTGTAAACTTCATGCAACAGCCTCATTAGAGCACTCTCATGGAGCAAAGATGCGTGCCCCCGTAAAGGTAGGCTTGATCCTTGGTCAATTACTCGTATCTGACATATAAAGGATTCTTCCGGAAACTCCTTTTCGATGTCGCAAGGTTCGTAGACCCGCTCATAATTCTCTAATCTAGCTTCGAAATCGCGAAAACACCACTCCTTATCCACTTTATCCATATAATCTGGGGAATGGTTCACCTTGTGGACGATGTTTTTATGGATGATAGCGGCATCATTGCAAATACTCTCAATGAAAATGATCGGGGTTGTTGACGACGTGTGCGAACGAACAGTATCAACAATCATGGAGCGACGGTCAACTGTCGTGTTAGTGGCATCGAATATAGCAACGCGATGAGAAATTTCTGTCTCCAGCCATATACACATTTTCAGTAGCGTCGCAAGTGCGATCTCTTGCCGAGCACTAACAGCCATATTATTTTCCGTGTCGAACAGCATTTCTGGCGGTACAGGGTTGCGCGTCAACAAAGAGAGGTTGGACTGTAGCTTATCAGCCAAGTGCCCAACTTCTCCATCCCCCTCCTCGGCATCGTCGTCGCCATCAGAGTCCTCAGGACTGCTATGTAGCATGTGGTCGTGGTGCACACGCTCGTCATCAAGCCTGCGAGGTTGTCTTGTAATTGTGCGATACAGCTTTGACACAGGTGCCAAATTCAAGGAGTTGATTGCCATAGACCGGCGTTCTTTGCCGGCGTTGAAAAGGCGGCAGCTCGACGAGTCACTGAACGCATCTTGATAATAGGAAACAATTTGTTGAGCAATGTAGGACTTCCCGCGAGCTGGGAGCCCTACCATGACAATAACAAGCTTATCCGGCATGTTCAATGACGTTGGTTCTTGTATTCGTATATGAACCTTCCTTTCCTGCATTCGGTTGTAATTTAAGCTTGATATAGTTAAATTCAAGTGTGCCTTGCTCTATATCACTCACTTTGAAACTTTTGTCGATGATGTATCAACCAAGTTTCGCTTACACTTTGTCTTTGTCTTTGACGTCCGTTTTAGTATAATATATAGGAACCGTTAGCCGAGCGACAACAATCCACGTTTTTCAATTGAAATAAATGGCATTAAATTTCAAAATATGTTTCACTGCCTGCTCATGCGCCATGCTCGGCGCTGTTCGATCTTATAACCTGACGTTGGGGCCATGAAGCAATAAAATGAAATAAAAGGAACGGGGCCTTTGTTTAACTCACCACTTGGTGTAGAAAATCAGCCCCGCTGACTATGATCTACTTTATGGCAAAACGGAAAAGTATCAACTCTATTTTGACGGGCCCGTAGAAAAGACAATGTTGGAAAATCCTGCTGCCGACATCCGGAGGCTGGAGAAGTGGCTCCCGTCAACGAGCGGGGAAATAGTTTCCCCGTGGGGACAGATCTGGGCGAAAAAAAGAATCCAAAGAATTTTGTGGGGGGAAACACGCAGAGCTGTGAGTGGGAGAGAACAACCGGAAAAACAGATCTATCCGCAATAACAGATAAAGGAACACTAAGTGGTTGTCCGGAGAAAGCGGCATTACAATGACGGCCGTCTGTCTGCCGACTGGCAAAATAGGACATATCACGTTAAAGGGCCAAGCCATGCTCACGTGGCGCGGACGTCGCTGTGTACGTAATGAGAATGCCAGGAGGTAATCACTATTTTTGCCGCCGAAGTCTGCTGTCGACGATGCTGCATTCATATCCTAACATGAAGCTGTGCGAAGAGAGGATTGGCTTGAAGTAATTATTGAAACCCACGAGGATGCAAGCTGCTTTGTTTTTCCTCGAAATTGAGCGGTTATCTGTGCCCGGTGTGGTTTCCGAAAGATGAAGTAGCAGACATATTTACTAAATTTATATAGTACATCTAATGCGTACCACGTGACCGCAGAACTGCCGATATCCAGACCATGCTAATATATACATTGTTATACCGGTCTCTCAATACCCGTAATAGCCTCCCGCAGCACCAGAAGCGGCCGCTGGAGCACTGGTCATGCCACCGGTGGCCGGCCTTTGATTCCTGGTGCTTGTTTTCAGAAGTGTCTTGAAGCCGTTGCAGAGTTGAATTACGGTTGGGTAATTGTAGTTGACCAAAAAAAAGCCTGTGTGCATAAGTCTCACATTCCAAGTGTAGAGTTTACTTTGGGCGTTAATCTTGAACATGAGATAGAACCACCCAGGTTGCTCGTAGTTAAAGCTGAAATAATAGACTGACCTGTTAGGGTTGACTTTAGAATAGTCCTCGATGAACTTTGTCACCTCTCTCTTTGTACCCTTCTTGAATTTTTCATTTGAAGTTATCTCATTCAGCAGTCTGACCTTGTTTTGAAGGTACTCGACCACGATTTGATCTAAATCATGATAAGTTTGGCCCTCAACCACCAGGATTCTCCCAAGCGCAAGCGGGTTCTCTTTTTCTTGTTCGATAATGTCAACGTGTTGGAACAGATCCTTATCTAACTTCCAGGTGATCGAGAGGTGGTCGTCACCGCGCGATGATTGTCTGATGACAAAATCACCACGTTCTTTGCTTCGTAGGTAATCCTCGGCTTGCTTACCATTAAAAGGGAAATAATATGGATGGTTGATCACCCTGTGAGTGCGCTTAGCACGAGCCTCACGCATGGCTATCTGTTTCTCTTCTTCTGCATCCTCTAGCTCCTGCTTCAAGTCCCAAATCGAAGGATCCTTACTATAATGGACAGGGACATATTGATGCTTAACATCATGCTCCAGCAGGGAAACCTCCGCCGTGATGTTTTCGTAGTCGATGAAGATAACCTTGGCTGGGTATGTCATACCAATTTCGTAAAGTTCCGAGGCGGGGCGCTTCAATTGAGCACCTAAATGACGTTGAGCGCTGACAACACACTCCACCAAAGAGTTTGTGACGCAAATAATATCGCTATGCCTAAACCTTTCTGCTTTAACAGGGACAATACATCCCTTGAAAAATGTCTTATCGGTCTCACCGGTAAGAGAGCTGAAAATTTCTTCTCCATGCAATGGATGGAAGTCGTTTCTCAGCTCTTCAAACCCATTTAATAACTCCAGAACAATGGTATTCAAACTGTTCAGCTTCTTCTGACCGGTGTTCTTTTCTAACTCTTCCGCATAGGCATCCAAGTTAAGAGACTCCAACTTGGCCTTACAATCAGCATCATCTCTCAAAATTTCAATGAATTCACTCATGGCATCCTGTTCTTCTTTTTCGGCAATGGCGTCGGGGTCATATTCCAGAGCATCAGCTGCCACCTTAGTAGCCAAATGATAGTCCTCAGGATGGATTCTTGTGCTATCCAACTGATCATGTTCAAGGTCCTCATACCTCTGATTTTTTTGGTTCCAGGAGATGTACAAGAAACCTGCAGAGTTCATGAAAATTGTTTTGTGCAGAATGTTGTGGGTAATCAATTGTTGACGTGCCAAGAGTGGCTCGTTGAGTCTCTGCAAGGATTCCAAAAAATCAGTAGCTTTACGCTTACCGAGGCCCGATATGTACTGCAGACAGCGTGCATAATACCCATTGTCTGTTGCCTTATTCACTTCCACTCCAACCAAGTTCACTAAATCAACAAATGAGGTTTCTAATGCTTTTATGAAGTTTTCCTTAGGAAGAAGAGATTGGCTGGGGTGAATCGAGAGCGACATAAGCTCATCTGGTGTTAGATTGACATATTCCAATAATGGAGAATGCATGTATCTGGCCAAAGCGATACAATACTTGACCAACGGAGGCTTATTGGGAAACTCTTGGATACCTCTTTCTGACGACTGGTAGCGTGTGGCTAGTTCGTCATCCACATAAATGACGGGAATGTTATGGCCTCTATTGTCTACAATTTGCTTTTTTTGAATAACTTCCTGGATCTTACGAAGCAGGCGTTGAGTCTTAGGATTTGGACCATTAATACCGATAGCGTTCGGTTGACAGGATTGAATGATATTATCCAAGGTCTCCTCAAACTTTTCGGGGTTGTTCCTGTCAAAGGGATTATCAACTATTTTATAATCCCTGACATAATCCGATTTTCTGTTAACGTAAACCGCTATAATCGCATCTGCACCAAAGCGACCCTGACCGCAGGTAATAGACAATACTCTTGGAATCTTTGGGTCGCGAGGATTTGGGATAAAGGGCGCCTGATCTAGTTTGGTCATAAATTTGTGACGAATACTCTTGGCAACGAGCTTCTGACATGTCTTTCTCAGATCATCCTTTATTTCTTGACTTATTTCCAGGAAAATTCGGTCAAGTGCAGAAAGGAAAGCTGTTTTTCTAAAATTATTCCATTCCACAGCTACTTCGGAGGTATTAGTAGTTTCCAGAGCAGTTTGGAATAGATGTTCACAATATTGGGCTTGGGAAGACATATGAATCCTCACCGTCATCAAGTGCAAAGATTCAGCTTCCAACATCCTTAAGAAAACTTCAGGCTCTTTCCTGAAATGTGCGGGTGTTCTGTTAATCGCATACTTGATATCTTCATAAGGTGAGCCCCTTTGAATCTCTTTTTTACCTTTCACTGACAACACAGCATCTGCAATGTAGTACTTGTAGAAATCAGTCCTGATTTTCTCTCTGACCTTGGGATTATTCGCGATTTCCAAGGAGTAATACTTCTGAACAGTTTCAGTGGCCAATTTGTGATTTGTGGTAAATACTTGTAGGTCGGCACTCGATTGCTCCAATATTCTCTGGATGATGGCTTGGGGTTTAGAGTCCAGCTGGTCTTTCACAGGGAAAATCTGATGCTCGGAATGAATGTTTTCACCGACCGCATCTGACGTTATCCCAATGTCATTGATCGCACTGTACAAGGGACTAGACTTGAACTTTTCGTAACTCGAATTCTTCATATGCTTCTTCGTGGAGCCGTTGGATTGGCTGGATAGGGCACCATTTATCTCACGAGCAAATTTAAACTCCAAGTAATTATAGATATCTTGGAGTGAGGTTAACTCTGTTATGGAGGAAGCTTCGCTCATGAAATATTCATCCACGATCGAGTCTTTCACGCCAAGCTGCTCATAAAATTTTTTGACATAGTCTCTTTTGTAGATGATACTATGAAATTCACAATCCATGTAGACAATTTCCCAAAGGTCATCTTCATTCAGAACGAAGCCATCTTTGTCCTTAGACGAAATGTAGTCACGGCGGTAGGCGTAAATAAAAGGGACCTCTAAGTTATCTTTGCCAACAAATTTGACAGCGTTGCCTACTGCTTCTTTAAATTCCGTGAGGTCATAGTCCGGTTCGAAGTTTTTGTCAAGACAAAGTTTGTCACTAATCCAATTTTTCTCCAGTTCTTGGTCTTCGGCAATCAACTCGCCGTAATTCTTTAAGCCAGCTCTAAGTTCCTGGTACCTTTCGGGTATATCAGCTCGTCTGATCACCATATCTTCTTCTGTTAAAAGATTCTTTCTCAGGTCTTGAAGATCATAAATATCTTGAAGAGTGATCTTGGGCTTACGGAATTCGCGCGAGGCTTCGGTATCAGTTTCATCACTTTTGTCAACCCCTTCACCATTATCTGCTTGGTCAAAATCTTCGTTTTCAACTTCCAGCGCCCAGTCGTAGTCGTGACCGTCCCCAAAAATGTCGTACATCTCGTCGATCTTCTCAGATGACAGTCCTGTAATCTGTACGGGCTGATTCATCCTTTGCTCACGAAGCATTTTGCGCTCCAACAACCGCTGCTGGCGGCTTTCTTCATCTTCGTCGGAAAATTCGTCTTCTTCAATAAAATCGTCAAGTTCATCAATCGTGCCAACTTCCGCTCCTCTTCTACTGGGGGCAACTTCTTCCCCACCAGTGGGTGATCCAACTCTCTCTGCTTGTAAATCCTCATCGTCGGAGAAGAAGTCGTCGAATTTGGAAGCGGCCGACGCGCTTGGGGGTGCTGAATCGCTAGGTTCTTCTTCTCCCTTGTCGCCAGCACGTTTCAAACGTTTAAACTTGGCCTTGTTGGAATCCGTGCTCGTTGGTCTCTTAACGCCTGCGTTCTCCATCAATAGATCCAAATCGTCCTCCGATAGTTTATCATCTTCATCTTCTTTGGCTCGTTTCTTGTGCTTCTTGGATCTTTTACGGCCCACAGAAGCACGTCCTTCTTCTTCGTCATCGACAATGAAGCCCTCACGAACTTTTCTGGCCTCCTCTTCGTCGTCGTCCAAGTCTTCACCTTCTTCCGAGGAATCAAACACATCTTCGCCTTCTTCTTCGTCGCTGGGTGCTTGGCCACCTTCGACATTATCGTCAACCACTGGATCCTCAGTGGGCCTTCCCAACTCGCTGGACATAGTGCTGTTCAGTTGAATTAGACCTCTGATCTCAGTACTGATGTGTTATTCAGCTGTGTTTTGGTTGTGGTGTTTAGCTTCCTTTAAAACGGAAAATTTTTGGCAAGTTCATCTATAAGATACAAAAATGATAAAACATACAAGGAATCCAAAGACAATCAATCCAAGGAAGAGCGGCCGATTTCGTTTGAATCATAGACATTTGTAGGTTATTTACAGGAGCTAGAAATTTACTTAGGAGAACTTGTCTGCTGGAATTAAGGTTACATCCATCGTACCACTTTGTTCATTACTGCTTGAAAGTTCACGTGCCTGACGTTCTTTGATGGCTTCATTTTTAGCTTCCGTGCCATCACAACAACAAGCTTCAGCAGTATCGACATTCGCCGACGATGCTTCTTCCGGAGCACAGCAGCATGATGGAGTATTAGCGATCTCGCAGCTGTTGATATTGTTCTCTGGCTTCTCCAAAATGCTGGAAGAGCCACTTGACTCGTCACCTGCCGTGACGCCACTTGCATTTTTTGCAGGATCGCTTCCGTCGCAAGGACAGATGTCGCCACCATTGCAGTTGCGCTTTTTTTCCAATTCTCGTTGAAGTTCCCATCTGGCGAGCAAACAGATCTTCCATCTGTTAAAAAAGATTTCGGCCAAAGAAATCCCCAAAACCACTGCAAACACATAAGTCAACACGAAAGTCATGGTCACTAGCATGAGCATATAGATCAGCATTGTAGAACAAAAGGTTATGAGTAGGCGTACTACATCATGACAAAGCTCTTTGACTGACGGTGAAACTACATGAACCAGCAGGTTAGGAACTTTTGGAAGGTATTGTGTTTGGAATTCCAAGTCTTGGATGTAATTTTGAGTGCTGGCCAATGATGAGTTGTCCGGGTCCTCTGGCGCGGCGACGGCAGAGAGCCCACTACCGCTCTTTATTGCCGTGGGATTCCATTGTTTGAACCATTTTACCTCCAGACACCAGCTCGTGAATAACAAAAATTTGTAGGCAAATGCGGCGGCAATTACCAGCACAAAAATGCCAAACGCTTGCGCTTTGGTATTGGCATTAAGGTGGTTGAATAGCACTGGATAGCCTTTGAACTGCGGAGTCAAATACGTATTCATCTGCATGTCACCGGACATGTCCATGGCACTGGCAGACGACATGGACATTGACATGGATGCAGATGAAGACATAGACATTGACTTGGATGCAGACGAAGACGACATGGGCATTGACATGGATGCAGATGAAGACGACATGGGCATTGACATGGATGCAGATGAAGACATAGACATTGACATGGATGTAGACGACGACATCGGCATTGACCCAGACATCGACACAGACGACATGCCACTTGAGCTGTCTTGCGCGTTAACTTCCAGAGCTAAACAGCATCCCACAAGTCCTTGCGCCAAATTTCTCCCGATACGCATTTCCCTGAACTCCACGATCTCACCGGCCAAAAACTCTGTCGAACAGTTCGTAGTTATTCTCGAGAGAGTGAGTCGCGGACATTGTACCTTTTATACAAAGTGTAGCATCCTATTTGCTCGCCTGGAGCACGGTATTTGCTCATTTTTCTTGTGTCAACTGTATGCACCTCGATTTTTCCTCTCCGATCGCCGTGAGAGTTGACCTGAAGGCTGGCTCGAGCAACGTCAGTCAGGTAAAAAGTGACAATGCTTAACTTGAACTGGCCATGGAGCTATGGTTAAGCCAATATCGTCGACACCTTCTCATAAAACAATCCTAGGAGTTGATTCGGCTTCTCGTGAAGCATGGTCTAGTAGAATGTGCGATCACGGGGACCAGCCCAGCGAAACTTCACACATATACAACCACGCCCAAACAGGCAGATTTACTGGTTGACAGAATATAATGGTCTCTACCGGAAAGGGGGCCTTTCTTTACTTCTAGGCCATTGCGGGGAAGGAAATTTCTTGTGATCATGCAGAGCAGCATTCCTAGCAGGCCCAGTAATAGCCTGACGTGAAGGTGGCTTTACAATGCGCGAGGCACTCACGGCTAATGACCTGCGTTTTCCAGGGTCTGTGATCTCGTGGGTACCTGCCACGCTGCTGCGCATCGTGTGAAGAATTGACTTACGACGCATCCGACGCGAACGTTCAGCTATGGCCAAGGGCGCTGAGGGTGGCAGATTGTCGGCCACAGGGTTTGAAACAAATGAAGCGTCCGTATTGTCATCTTCGTTGAAGTCGACACCACCGTCAGCAACAACAGGGGTATCCCAATTCCTCTGTGGTGAAGCCCGCAGGCCGAAAGAGGCGTTAGGAGGTTTCAAGGTTGGAGCAGAGCTGCCTTTGTGAGCCTCCTTAGGCTCATGGTTTGTTTCTTGCCCTTCAACCAAAGCTGTAAGTCTTTTTCTTTCTTCCTCCAGGGCACCCAGATTCTGCATGAGCTTGATCTCAGCAGCGGTGTCGTGCGGCATGTTTGGAAAGTCCACACACCACGAATTGCACATCAAGCCGTACAGAAGCGCGCTTATAGATTCATTTAGGTCAACTAGACTCTCGTGTATAAAGTTCATCTGCGTAAAGTTGCTATCCAGAGTAATCATGGCATCTGATAATTCCCGAATTTGCGGCAGAAGGTATGTGTTCACGACCCCGTCCGGCTCTGAACCATCGTTATTGTTGGCAGTACCTAATGACGATCGTCTCGAACCCGGGTTGCTCGATATCGAGAGCCTGTACTCTGTCGCAGTACGGTGATCCTTCACAGGCGTATTTGAACGAGGCTGATTCTTTCCATTCTGCATTTTAAAACGTCGCCAACTGGTGCTCGATAATCATGAACGTCAACAGCTATGTCATCGTAAACTACTAGATTTCAATGTTTTCATTAAGATGACTCCTTAGTACATAGTGATTAGCAAGGGTAGGCCATTTACAAGTTTCGCAAAATCGAAGGATCCCGTGTCTTTGAGAGGATTCGCCATTGCCTACATGTACTTTTTAGCATGTTTGAGTTTGTCGCGTTTCAATTGTGCTTGAGAAACGGCACCTCCACGATTGCGTCTTAGCGCTACGATTAAGAATATGGTGCTGAGGAATGAAAGACCATACCAAGTCACCAAGTATTGAAGATGATTATTCTTCAAATCGATCTTAGGAACTTTTCCTATTGGAACACCCGACTTGATTAGCTGCCATTCGTTGAACTCCGTATCCTCTGATATTGGAGGAATGATGGAACTTGATGTCAAATCAGTGGAGCCCACAGATTCAGATTTGCGCCAAAATTTCCACCATGAATTTGCTGGAGGAGGAGATGCCTTGGTGTTGAGTTTCGAGGCGTTGTGCGTCCAATCGTGGTCTTTCAAATCATACAAGGCCTGCAGGTGAAGAGGAACAGTTCTACTCGCGGCACACATCTCCGAGATATCAATGACCTGCCATAACCTGCTATCTGAGTCTTCTTTGTCCCACTGAAAGGTCCCTTTGTCCTTTGCGACACGTACGAGACATTCAATTTCGATGTTTCCCGTGGGCAACGAAAGGTGGTGCAGACTTCTGTTCGTGGGAACAACATTATCATCACTTATCCATCCTCTCTCTATCAAGAGTCGCTCTCCTGTGTCTTTCCTCACAAATGGGGTGAAAAGTAAGTATCCCTTGATGCCGTTCTTCACTCGGGGACCCACAAACAATTCCTGATCGTGTTGAAATTCGCCTTCAAGCCTGACCTTGCGATACTCCCAATTCTCAGCCTCATCGGGTGGGAATGACTTCGGTAAGGGCGATGCAGGATAGGTCAACCTGTCCTCACAAGTGGCTAAAAGGTTGGTCTTCCATTTGAGACGGCGCAGTTGCCAAGAACCCAGGTAGAATGAAACGACAGGCATTGCTATCATGAGCCCCAAGAAAATCATCCTCGTGAAGCTATTACTATGAGCTTTGTCGTTTGGGGTCTTGGAGGTCTTCATGGGCTTCCAATCTACACTCGATGTCACCCATCTTTTTGTCGACCCCACACCTGCCTGGGATCGAAGTCTCAACACAGAGCGTGCTAAATTATCTGATCTGGGCCTGAGGAGAAACATACCAGGAGCTTGCAGGCTGGCTTATGGTGGTTACAGACTGCTTAGCTGTGTGTATCACTGACAGAGTCAATGAGCTCGACATAGTTCTTTAGATGCAACCACGTCAATAGTGATGATGATCGTCTAGTTTTATATTCGATTACGATTCAACAGCGCTGTCCACCGAGACCTACAGGGCTTGGCATAGCTTTTCAATGCAAGTTTAATCTGCTCTCAGCAAGCCGGTGGACATAGTACACAACAGTTGAAGTGATTCAAATGAAAGTTCGAAAAAAAACGATTACTTTTACGATATGTACAGGTCATGTCAGGTTCGTGAGGTGCCAGAGACGCCAGATTTTATCAACTGGAATAGTAAACCTTCCTAACGTCAACCACTTTCTTGCCTCTCCCCAGTGCTATTTCGTCCAAGGTTTTCTGAGACTGAGTGAGGGCCTCGATGGTTCCCTTGGCTATGTTCATTTCATTTCTACTTTTGTAAACTTTGCCACTCAAGTCTTTGATACCAGCACATTCACATATTTCGAAGATGATGTGGTTCACTCTCAGACCAAAACCAGGCTTGACGGATCTTAGAAAGAGCTTGACACCGTGGTAGCGGTGATCGATATCACCATAAATGGTTCTTTTCTCGTAGCGTGGGATCTCTTTGAGATTACGCACGGCATCCCAATGTGCTTTGGAGACTGCTTTCGACATTTCGTCCCTGGACTTTCCTTCACCTAAACCGACCATACCGTTTTTGTCACCAACGACCACCAAAGCGTAAAAGCTGGGGATCTTACCCTTGCCCGTTTGGTTCGATACCCTCTTCATCACCAGCGGGCGCATGGTGAGCTTGCGAGTGACATACTCAGGGTCGATCCCGGTTTGTCTTTGTAGACCTCTAGCGATGTCTGCAGCCGCAGAGGCCCTAGAGTTTTCGGTTCGGGGGAGCGAGGCCCCTGGCGCAATTTCTCGGCCGTTGGGCAGGGGCTGGCTCACATTGTCGAATGTGTGTTGTGTAGAGGCGCCGAAAGAGTGCACATGTGCCGTGCCTGGCTTGTAATCCCAGTAGGCGTCTAGCTTGGAGAAATCCTCGAGATACGAAGGTGCGAATTCGACATTGTCGGAGACCTGGAATTTGGTGTCGGCCGGGATCACGGACTCGGCCAGTTGGATGGGTTTGATGAGTTCTCGTGGGTAGTACTTGGCCAGAAACTCGGCATGGGAAGCCGCAGGCGGCTTGGGCGCAAGTTGCAGCACCTTGAGACTAGTGCTGAAGGTACGCTTGAACATGTGTGAGGGCAACACAGGAGGAAACAGCACCGCGGGTTGAGACACTCCACAGATGGGTGCTGCCGTGGAGCATTGTCCACTGGGTGTTAAATTTTCATACTGACAGCTGCAAGCACGTGGCACGTGACGAGAGCGCGTGACATAGGCGTGACACCGCGAGGCGAGGCACACACGTGACCCGCACGTGCCGGGGCGGCCGTTGCAACATTTTCCGGCGGCTGGTCGGTGCCCAACGTGCCCCTGCCAGCCGACCCGGCACAGGCAATGGTGTAGGCGCTTCTTGCCGTTTCCCAGACTGCGTATTCGTCCATCATTTTTTGTGGTCTTATTCGCTGGCCGCCGGGTTGAGCTCCTGAGCTGGACCGGTCTCGGTGTTAGGCCCCGCGCTCAAACCACCAAGAGTCGCGTGATCGCGCTGTGGCCCAAGCTAAACGCCGCTCGGCCTGGCCGGTGGTTCACCGCACTCGCGGAAAACGCCGTACGGACTCAGCGGGTGCTCCAGTGCTTAACTCCGAAAGTCCCCGAGGAAAATTGCCAGCATTTTTCCATTGTACGCACAGCGTATGTAAGCAGGCATGGCAGAAACGCAAGGAAGCGACGGCATGCGTAGACCGTGAAACATTCTTTATTGTGGTGGTGGGTTATGCGAGCTGGCAAGGTTGTTGTGTATGCGTTGCAGCTTGCCAGTAACGCCACGGCCGGCCCATACCGTGGTGATTGTCTTGCTCTCCATGTGCCCTGTGGGATATACGGCGATTAGATAGATACACAGGTAGGTGGGCATTTCGATATATGTGAACATGAAGTATGTGAGCTAGATAATAAATAATATATATATATATATATATATATATATAGTGTATGTACATATCAGGGCAATCTCCGTCCGCTCGGTACTGGTCGTTCATCAGCCCCAGACGCAAAATCCCACAGCTTGCCACGGCCACCGTTCCAGTGCAAGTGTTCTTCATCGCAGCTCACACCGCCACCCATCCAGTCCAGGACACTCGGCTCAGGCAGCACGGGATCTCAGACTCACGCACGGTGCCAGCACCTAGTTCCGACTCCGATCGACACAAGCACGCTCCAGATCAGGGTCCGTGTACAACGACATCAACGCCCACAACGCCTTTTTCGTTTTCCGCCGGAGTTCCCACACCCATGCACCACACGGCGACGCCACGCCTGCCCTCGATCGGCGCGATGCTGGGCACCGTACTCAACGACACCGACGCGGAGCCGCGCGCGGACGCAGCTCGCGCGTGGCCGCCGGTGCCGGCCTACTATCCCTTCCACCCGGTGGCAGCCGGCCTGCCTACTCCACGTGCCAGCACCGCGGACATCCGCGGCATCGGATGCTTTACTCCCCTGGCGCCGCTGCTAGCTCCGCTCACATACAATCACGTGCCCGCGGCCTCCAAGAAGCGTCTGTCTGCCTCGGCCACAGGGCACACTCCCTCGCCCCAGTCCACGTCTCCGTCCAGTCCTTCCAGCGACTTTGGCGGGCGTCACGAGGCCGCGTTAAGCTCTGGTTCGCTGGGCGCCGCCCACGCCACTTCGGCCGCGGGCAACCCGTCTGGCCCGTTGAAATGCGTGTGCCGGAACAACACCAAGGTGGGACACCACATCCCAAGACCGCGCAACGCGTTCATTCTGTTCCGACAGCACACGCACCAGCGGCTCTTTGCCAAGGGCGCCGGTGACGGCCCGCCGGCCGTGGCGAGTACGCCCTCCGCGAGTACACCGCCCTCCAGCGAGTCTCCGGCAGCGGAAGTGTCCTTCAAGACCAACTCCCAAATATCACGTGAAATTGGCCAGCGCTGGCGGGAACTGGGGGACGAAGACCGCAAGTACTGGCACGGCCTCGCGCTCCAGGAGAAAGAGCTACATCGCCAGCGCTACCCAGACTACAAGTACATTCCACGCAAGAGTCGCACCGGCAGGAGACAGCGTAAGGATGGCTGCGAGTTCTGCAAGCAGCACCGCCAGGCGTAACAACGGAGCGCGCCAGGGCTCAGGTACTACACAAGCTGGCTTTGTGGTACCTGAAGGCGCAGCAGGGTTGCCCTACACGATGCACTCAGAGCACAACGATTTACAAGCACGGCTTCTTCCGAGCCTCGACACAATGGGATGAATTAATAGTTAATAGTATCAGTAAGCCTAATAATGTACCACGCCATATATCGTCATTGCCAAGGCCCCTCTCGAAGCCTGAAACACCGGACCAATTTGATGCGCTTAGAGGCGAGCTTAGACTATCAATCAACCCTATTCTAAGCATTACCTCGGAGAGACGTGGAGTCCCAGATAGAGCTATGCAGCGGCATTCTCCGAACGTGAAACTTTTTGATTTTCCTGCTCCCTGTTATCTGCGAGGTATGCTTTTCCATTGTGACCACAAAAACCTTAAGTCCGCACCTTGCCGCGTGCATATGCATGACGCCATACGGGGCGCGTTGCATGATGCACCGAAAATCGTTGCTAGGTCCGGTGCCGGCGGCCCGCCGACAATCGCGGAAACCGACACCCGTTCTTCGCATGACTCGTCAGTCATGCGAAGATGACTCGGATGGGCAGCGGATACAAACCAAAAGCACGTGACGAGTCCGGCGTCACAGACGTATACAGTGCGAGAGGGAAGCTTACAGTGGCCACCTTGGGCGACAGGCACACGCTGCCCTCGCGGTGTGCCCCTGCTGTAGTAGGAGAGCTGGCCGGTCGTGGTGGGAGACACATAGCAGAAATACTCTCAAGTGTACGGCTTGGCGCGGGTTTGCACGCGGCCAGCGGCGCCTCCGCTGTAGTTCGCTCGACTACGGCTGGGACGCTCGCCCGGCGCGGCTTATCGGGGCAAGGTCTGATGCTGCAGCGGTGATCCGCTATTTGACAGTGGTCTCGTCTCGTGCGGAGCTCGCGCTGTCGTCGACGTCTCGTATATCGCTACATCAGGTGGCGAAAATAGTGCATGGTAAATTGGAGCCAGGACAGCCGACCCACAGAGCCTCCCACTTGAGAGAGGGCACACGACTCGCGACGTTGGCCCAACCCTGAAATCCCTGTTCCAAGATGCTTCGGAGTCTGCTGTTTTCCGGCCCCGGCAGGGCCCGGTCGTTGGCGGCTTCAAATAGAACGGCTCTACGTTCCCTGAAGCAGTCACCGGCGTACCGCCTCACTCCCTTAGCAGCGAGAAGATTCCAGCATTCCGGCCCGCAAAACGACGGCCCCGACAACAACCACAATAAAGACAAGGAAAAGGACGGCAAAAAGTCCAAAAACGATCGCAATCGGGAGGAGTTCAAAACACTCGGCGAGTATCTCAAGTCCAAGCAATTCGCCAAAACCGTTTATCTAACCGTTGGATTTACCTTCATCTTCAACCTGCTGACGTCCCCGACGTCCGACACCCACGAGGGGCCTACCTTGACTTTCCAGGAGTTTAAAACCAAATACCTGGAAAAGGGCCTGGTCAAGAAAATTTATGTTATCAACAAACAATTTGTCGAAGCGGAGCTCTTACCACAAGCGGCGAATGCGCTCGGTTCGGGCAACGGATTTTTCGCAAGGCCGAATAATGCTCCCGTTGTCGGGTTTTCCATAGGTTCTGTGGACGTTTTCGAGCAGCAGATCGATGAAGTGCAAGACAAGCTGCAGATCTCACCGGATGAACGCATCCCCGTGATGTACGTCGAAAAGGCATCTATCTTGCAATACCTATTTCCATTCATCCCAACAATCATCCTGTTAGGTGGCTTGTATTTCATCACGCGCCGTGCTTCAGGTTCCATGGGTGGTGCTGGTGGCGGTGGTCCCATGGGCGGTATGTTCGGAGTCGGAAAGTCTAAGGCAAAGCTTTTCAACAAGGAAACAGATATTAAGGTCAAATTTAAAGATGTTGCCGGTTGTAACGAAGCTAAATCGGAAATCATGGAGTTTGTCCACTTTTTACAAAAACCGGACAAGTATCGGGCCCTTGGAGCCAAGATTCCTCGTGGGGCCATTCTCTCTGGTCCACCAGGTACAGGTAAGACTTTATTAGCCAAAGCTACTGCAGGTGAGGCCGGTGTGCCATTTCTATCTGTTTCAGGTTCTGAATTTGTAGAGATGTTTGTCGGCGTTGGGGCATCCCGTGTCAGAGATTTATTTGAGAACGCAAGAAAGATGGCTCCAGCCATCATTTTTGTCGACGAAATCGATGCGATTGGCAAAGAAAGGGGCAAAGGTGGTGCCATGGGCGGGTCTAACGATGAACGTGAGGCTACGCTTAACCAACTCTTAGTTGAGATGGATGGTTTTAGTACCAACGATCAGGTTGTCGTCTTAGCAGGTACCAATAGACCCGATGTATTGGACCCTGCGCTTTTGAGGCCTGGTCGATTTGATCGCCACATTCAAATTGATGCACCTGATGTCGAGGGCAGAAAGGCCATATATCAAGTTCATTTGAAAAAACTGAATTTGAGCCCAAAATTTGGCAATCCATCTGAGAAAGAACTACTAGCAGGAAAGCTTGCCGCCCTCACGCCTGGTTTCGCAGGTGCTGACATTGCAAATGCCTGTAACGAAGCAGCTTTGATTGCGGCAAGGCACCAGGACCCATTTGTTAAACTATCACACTTTGAACAGGCCATCGAACGAGTTATTGCCGGCTTAGAAAAGAAGTCCCGTGTGCTCTCTCCTGAAGAAAAGAAAACTGTGGCTTATCATGAAGCTGGACATGCTGTTTGCGGATGGTACTTACAACACGCCGACCCACTGTTAAAAGTCAGCATCATCCCGCGCGGCCAGGGGGCTTTGGGATATGCTCAGTACTTACCCCCTGATCAGTACCTCATCACACAAGAACAGTTTCAGCACAGAATGGTGATGGCACTTGGTGGAAGAGTTTCGGAAGAACTTCACTTTCCTTTTGTAACGAGCGGGGCACATGACGATTTCAAGAAAGTAACTAACATGGCACAATCCATGGTCACTAGGTTAGGTATGTCTCCGTCGATTGGTTACGTTGCATACGATCAAGGTGCCGATGGTGTCCAGGTCAACAAACCTTTCAGCGAGAAAACCGCACGCAAAATTGACCTCGAGGTTAAAAGCATTGTAGATCGAGCACATCAACAATGTAAGGAACTTTTGACAGAACACCTACAAAAGGTAGATGATGTTGCTCAAGAACTACTGCGTAAAGAGGTTATAACAAGGGAAGACATGATAAGGCTGCTAGGCCCAAGGCCATTCCCAGAACGCAATGAGGCATTTGAGAAGTACCTCAACCCCAAGAACGACAATGACACGATTGTTAATGCATGAAGGCTTGATGAAAGAATATACTTATCCTGTAAATAATATCCAAATCTAATCCTATCAACGGAACTCATTCCATCTATGCCAAATTACAGACGACCCTCGCCGCGAGATTCAGACTTCCGGGCTAGAAAGTTTCCTCGTCGGTAATTAAGTTATGTGTAGGCTGATGCTTTGTATCTATTACTTCTCCTGATACGTTGTCGTTCCTCTTATCAAGAGGTACCTCACGGTCGTCGAGATTCTTATCATCGTCAGCAACTTCGAAACCTTCTTCCGTCGCATACAACACTTGCTGTATTTTGTCCAAAAACCGGACCAGCTCATTAGGGTCGTTCGAATAGATGCCTTCTTTACACAAATCCTTAGTGGATTGTGATAGAATCTCAATGTCCCTAAGTTTGCCAAAATAAAAGTCACGTTCCCGCTCCATGATAAGCATTGCCTCCTTGTACTGGCCCACTTCTTTCTGCAGGTTTTCCATATTCAGTTGTGTCTGTGAAAGCTTAGTTTGAACACTCAATAACTGCTGCTCGCTAGATGACTTACGAGAAGTGAGCGAGGTCGCTGTACGCGATGAGCTTGTTGCCGAGTTTCGCAAAGGACCACTAACGCGTCTTTTAGTCACACTTGGAGGGACAGAATTGGAGCTGCCATGCATAGATGATGTGTGAGATCCTGGATACCCGCTGTTTGACGTGACAGGAGCAACGGGAGCGCGATATTTACGCCTAGACTCGGGATCATAGGTGCTCTCGTCCTTATTTTGGGTCCAAAATCTTTTCAACCACTGTAGGAACTCAAGATTATCTTGGAACCTGCATTTGACGAGCTTCTCTACCAATATAGTCTTCTCGAGACGATGTTTGGTGAAACAACTTTGCAAAATCTTGAAATTTGTAAGAAACTCATACTCTGCCGTAGCATTGAATCTCACACGATGCATTGGAACGTCCCGGTATATGGAGTCCATGATCTGACAGTATGCGGCGCCAGTACCACACTGCTCAATTTTCGCGTAATTTAACCGCAAAAGCTCGTTTAACCATCCTAGCAGTTCCGATCTTGACTCCCCTATTCCGCTCATCAGATTCAAGGATGACTAGGCCCGAAGATTATTCACTTCTTGTCCCCCTTTCGCCCAGCCAATTCTCCTGCTGATTTTCTTCGAGACGATGCCAATATCGAACACTATGATGAAGGTGATGTTTATTCACCTTCAAACAGGTGTATATCATTGTATACGCATTCGCAGTTTCGTTGACAACGGCGATCGGACATCGCGTACAAAAATTCAAGAGCCATCTCCTTTGTTCAGCGGTTCTGAGATGACACACAGGAGTTGTTTAGTCCAACTAGTTGTTTGGCAGTGTTTCCGAAGCTCTGGACAGCGCGACTCTTTTCTTAGAGTTTGTCGATGTGATCGATAATTGAAGGACAGCCCCGTTGATGAAGAACTATGTTAGAAGCTTCAGAACAATATGACTTCGTGGAGGTAGAAGGCAAGAATTGCTCCGTTGAGGGCTGAGAGCACGCTTGAGCTGCGATGACGACAAATTATTGCTTTACCTCAGGAGCCATGGTTGAGACATTAGACCAGAAGCCCTCTATGTTCAAATAGCAGACTTCTCAAACCACGAACTGAATTCTGAATTGAGCTAATCCTTCCAATTTGTGCGGCGCCCATGGTGTGCTCCCACGAATATAAAGTTTCGTTCCATTCCTTGAGAGAATAACTTTTAGTCTTTTCCTTCACAGAAACCTCGGTATATTTGACGGCTTCAACCGACTTCGAAAAGGCTTCCTCCTCTTCTCCTCAAATATAGGCGCATTGAGGTTAGCCGCCAAATTTTGGGTTTCCGGCAGATACCCTTCATAAACCTGTTTTCAATGGTGCAGCAAAGCTCCACTCCCTCAAAGCTAGTTCTAACGAGTATATCTACTCGACGGCGCAGTAGTAGAGCTTCTAAATCGGAGACGAATGTATTCCAACACCGTGGAACCTTTCCAAAAACACACAGTGCATCATAAAAATTAGCATGAAATGCCATGGTTAAAGCCAGCAACCTTGGACTTCGTCACAATACTGAATGCGATCAGCTCCATGGCTCTTTGAAGGATGTCCGCCTTGAAGTAAAGGTGTGGGGACTAAGCTTGGGTGAATTTAATTAAACTCTTAAACATGTCACGAGTTACGACTTTTAAATTCTGGAATAATTTTATATCGAACTACCGTTGTCATACAAACAAGACCAGTCCACAAATAGAACTTTTGACTGGTTTTTGACGGCTGTTAGGCCATTTCGTACCAAACAGCTGGCTCTCGGAATAACAGCTTGGCGGTATCACTATTTGGCTAGAAAAAATTCTATTCAACCAACGCATCTTGCTCGACTTCTTGTTTGTTGACGAACGAGGAACGATCAGCGTCGAGATATAAGGGGAACGCACCCATTCGTGCGAATTAGAGAAGCAGAAGACAGGGTCTGGTTAAAGGGCTCAGTGTCGTACCCGATCTGAATAGCTGTGCTATTGTCATTGGGGCCATTGTTTAAACAAAAGTGGATACATTTCGTGACTCCGGTCATTAAGATAGACTTTCAGACGCTCACAACGTTAAAGCTTTTACTTCTTTGCAGCCAAAACTGTGTCTACTTCTTTCAAACCGCGTGGTTGGCGTTGAATTGTACAACCTGTCATAAGGCTATTTTGGACGTTACATTTAAAGGGAATAGAGCTGATGACTCGCGTTTCCAACTAAGGACAAGTAAATAAATTGGTAAAGGAGCTCTGGACAATCTTCTCACATCTTACCTTGACTAAAACCCAGCATTCGGTGGTAAATTTCGGTTGTGGTTTTTGATAAGCATGACTAGCGGGCTCTCGACATCAGGTAGGGGAGATGAAGGTCTCCAGGCCATGGAGGCAATGCGATCCCAAATGGCAAGTTTACGGCGTGATGTGGAAACGCTGCAGTTGCAACTGCAGCACGAGAGAGCAGAGCGGGAAACTTTTGAGAGACTCGTCAGAAGACGACTACGAAGTGCTCCAGCAGCGGAAATCCCCACCTCCAACGCAGAACATGTTCTTCTAGATGAAGACCAGATGCGCAATTTTGACGAGGTCAGTGCCCTGTTGGACGCTGCCAATAGCACATCCAACTCGGTTTCGACAACTTCACAACACACCCCAGCAACAACGACTCCCAAAGACGCCAACCCCTATTTAGAGGATTCGTTGGATAATGCACATAAATTGAACTTTGCTGGTTTGGCCGATTTATCTACAGACGGGGCAAATCATGCTATGAACTCAAACATGGCTGCTAGGGTTACTACACCTTATCCACAAGGTGTCTTGCCGTCATTAATTTCGAAAGACTATGAACAAAATTCCAATGGAGAAGACATCACTTCTCTCATTAACGATGCTATGGCACAAAATTTGAGAAAACGAACATTTTCCAACGATTTTCCCTTGGCTCAGCCTCAAAGAGTTCGAGGTGGTAGCGCCGCTGACGCTAGCCAGTCCTTTGGTTTCACGCCGAACCCGTCAATTCGTCAGTTCCCCGTCTTACCGCTCAGAATGAATACACCTGCGACTCCCAATTTGATTCACTGGAATGGTCCCCCCACACCATCGTCACAACTCGGGGAACGGGACATTTTAGAAAAATGGGGAATCCGTTTTTCCGAAAAATATACCACAATCAGCGAAGTCTGGAATGAGTACCACAGAGTCGGCACCAAGGGTGTGTCGATAAAATCATTAGAAGCGTCTTTCTCAACACGATGGAGGGCTAATCTCAAAAAGAACGTTAAAAAGAAATATAGCAGACGATTAATCATTATCAGGGCCATCGAGACGGGCATGAAGAGAGGTAAAACGCTGGAAGAATGCATTTCAATCCTGGAGACATTTCTTACCGAGGCAAAGAAGCCCGTTTCGCACTTATATAGGAAGGCAAATTTGCCCACGGAGCTGACTTAATTAACTTCGATATTTAGCATCACAATGGAAGGGAGAGAAGTGCAGATTTAATAGGAACTCACAACTTTTCTGCTTTGATGAGAGATCCTTCTTCGTATAGAGCCTTCAAAACGTTCTCATATTTTTTTGTAGCCTTCGCCCTCTTGACCTTTAACGTGGGTGTGATCGTGTCATCACTGACTTTAAGTGGCTCAACACCTACGTAGATATTGTTGACCCTTTCAAATCCTTGAAGACCGCGAACGAAACTGTTCATCATTTTCAAAAGCTCCTTTCTGTACTCAGGTTTGTCATTTAATGCATTTATAAGATTTTCGCCATGAAATATTCTCAAACCTGGAACCGCCTGGTGAAGGAATGATGTTATCGCCTCCAGATCCAAACCCACAATTGCTACTAGAAACGTTTTCAATGGGTCTCCATAAACACATATCTGGGTAAGGTAGGGACATGACGATATGTATATGTTCTCAATTTTCTCGGGAGCAATGTATTCGCCTTGAGCAAGCTTGAAGAAGTTTTTCACTCTGTCAATAATACTCAAGCGGCCCCTTGAGTCGATATATCCGATGTCCCCCGTTGAGAACCAACCTTCACCGTCCAAAACTTCTTTAGTTGTGTCGGGATTTTTGAAATACCCTGCAAAAACCTGGGACCCGCGAACTTGTACCTCGCCTCTCAAGTCATGTTCGGCATCGTACCCCATCTCAGGCACTGACCTCAGTCTACATTCTGTAGTAATGGCGATTGCACCACATGTTCCCGAGTCCCGCTCATGTGGTTCAGAAAGACAAACACCTGCGAACGTCTCGGTCAACCCATAACCCTGTCTCACCCCACAATCTAGGGCACTTTTCATGAACATGAGTGTGTCGCTAGATATGGGAGCAGATCCAATGACAATGAAGGAGGCCTCACTGAGGCCAACGGAAGCTCGGATCTTGTCGATGAGGATTTTGCGATAAACCAAGTGATTCAAAATTGAATTGTCCGGGCCCTCACGACTCTGAATGGTCACAAGCCTTTTGTCAAGAACCTTTCGTGCAACTAGCTTTGTAAAATTCGGCACTGTGGCACCTTGAACAGCATTTTTTATACCTGCTTCGAGTTTCGTGAGTACGCGCGGTACCACACAAAAAAAGTCAGGCTTCAATACCCTCAAATCTTCGATTAGAACAGCGGGGTCCGCTACGTGCAAAAACCCAAGAGCCGCACCTACCGCTAATTCATAAGCAGCAATCATGCGTTCAAAAATATGTGCGAGTGGCAAGAAACACATATCGTATGGCTGTTTCCCATTCTTAGTAGGCGGAATTCCGATATTGGACAGTAAAAATGTGACTCCAGCCATAAGATGACTCTGGTTTAGCAAAACTCCTTTAGGAGTACCAGTAGTACCGGATGTGAAGGATATAGTGTACAGAGAGTCGGCAGTCGGTGGAATGATTGGCACTTGGTTGTCGAAGCCAATCTCCTCTACTTGTTTGAAGGTCAAAACCGATACGCGCTCTCCCCGCTGATTTATTGATCCCGCTAGCAATGGCCCATTTAGATGAGCAAGTTCATCCGAGCTCAAATCATCCATGCAAATAAGCGTACTCAAGTCATTGAGGTTGGAAAGAATCGCCAGTACCTTGTACAAATTGCTCTTGGATAAAATAAGAACAGGGGAGTTGGTAATATTCAGGATGTATTGCGATGTATCTGGCCCTAAAGTCTCGTAAAGAGCAGTGTTAGGCAGCGAATATGCTTGGCATGCCAAATCTGAAATGATCCACTCTTTACGATTTGTAGAGAGTAAACTTACAATGAAATCATTGCAATTGGCTGCTTGCTTGCGCTTGAAATTGACAAGGGTCATGATACCGCTACCCAGATTACGACTGCGCTCCTGTATTGCGCTATACGTTTCGAACACATACTTTGAGCCCCACTTTGCAGTCTCATCAAGTTTGACCCTTGCGCCGAGACAATCGTTCTCCGGACACCGCTCTGTCGTAAAGTTAAATATATCAAAGAAGGTTGCTAATCGTGGGCTGATAGACGAGACCAAGTGGTCGGGACTCAGCGCGTTCCTATAGGTGGGACTATATCCGGGCCGTCTCGATCCGGGAACTGGAACAGCCTGTTGCTCCAAAAACACGGGGTAATCGACATGGCCACTTAAGGGCATCGCATTGTACAAAGCTGTGAGGTATTCTTTTGAGTTCTGGTTGTGCTCCGATAGCTTCTCTTTCAGCTTGTGGAATCGTAAATCTCTGTCGATCAGATCGGTCAGACTAAAATTGGGATTTGAGTCAACAGAGCTCATGGTTGTGTCGCATTCGATACCTTATAGTCGATTTGAATCACTTTCGCCCTTCTTTTGTTGTCCCAGACTTCCGTTTATATAGTTGCGACGGTCCACAAGAAGTGGAGTGTATGCTCGCCTGTTTCATCTTCTCCATACCTCACAACAGCAGAAATACTCGAAAAGGTGTGATAGATTACACTAGATGTCACAACCCTTCGAGTGTTCCCCCAATTTGCATGGCTCTACCGGAAATAGGGAACGGAGTATTGGCCGTACGACGAAATGTAGCTTCAATAGGCAAAAGCCGAGGTTCGAACCTTGTGTTTCGATCTCCCAGCTGGCTTGGATCATGATTACTCACGTCAAAATGTGGGACTCGTTATGAGCAAATTGAATCCTAAGTGGTTTTCCAAAAAATGTTTCCTGCTGTAGTGAGATCATGGCCAAATTGGCCTCGTCCAAGGTCTTCAATACGATAAAAGCCTGACCACGGGTCGACTTGGACACTTTAACTTGAAGGACTTCACCAAACGTGGAGAAGAGCAGATAAAGATTTTCTCGTAGTTTGGAAAGCTTAATCTGATCATTCAAGTTATTCACGTACAATGACTGTTTGGGATCTAGCCTGGGCGGCTCATCGAGTTTTGCTCGTTTGGCTTTTAACTCAGCTGTTGAGTGGGGCTGTTTTCTTTTAGCCTGCAAATTCGACATTAAGAGCCACCTTGTTGTAAGAAAATGACTGATTGTACGCTCGTTATTTTGCAAATCCTAGTATCAGACACCTTCTCTTTACCAATAGCATTGTAGGTCTGCCTATAAACAAGTTAATCATCTATTTGTATATCATCAAAATTCGTGGGAAGTGATTATTATTAATGGGTCAACGCTAGCGATTGGGCGTCCTCGAAGCCATCCATAACCACGTCCGGTACACCTGGTCCTTTGCTGAAAGCCATTCCACCCAGTGAGATAGCCCCTTCATATTTTTTGGCAAGATCAGCACTCGTTTGAGCCATCCATTTGTCATAACCGACAAAAAATTGTGGAAGACAGTCACGGGCGAACGTTACCTGCCACTCTCCACATTCCAACTCTGCTTCGGGTATCGACAAGTGTCTCATAAGTGCTTTTTTCACCTGTTCCGTGTAATAACTCGAATCCTGAATCTTCTTTTCCTGGCCGTGGTTCAAGTAGTGTCCGCCCACCATCGCGGTTAGTTTAGTGTAGGTAAGCTTCCTTCCCGACTGTTTTTGATACGGCTTATCTCCTAGTAGGGGCTTGAAATTATTTTCTATCACGGAATCGAATATTACGCCCAGTAATTGCTCCCTATTTTTGTTGGACTGTGGCACAAGGTACCCAAATGAATGATGTTTGCTTATTAAATCTTTATTAGGATGATAAAAGTTAAGCAGCACAACTGTATTAGATTTCACCCGTTGAAGGCATTTTTGCAAATTGCTGTAACCTATAATTTGAGAGATGGCTTGCGGCGTGTTAGTGAGCCTGATATGATCCAGTCCCTTGATAACCCGTCCGTCAGTCAATGAGATGCACATTTTGCCTTCTTGTTCCGCTTCGATTTGGGATACTCCATTCCCCATCAAAAAATGCACTTTGGGATTCTCTAGTAAAGCTGCAGAAAGGGCCCGGGGAAAGGTCTCCAAACCCTTCCGTAAACCCAGCAATGGAAGCTTGCGCAGGTTACTGTAAAGGTCGCTAAGTTCTTGAGGATCTCTACCGAAAAGCTTCTGGTATTTGAGCAGCGATTGAGGCAAAATTGGACGCCCTTTCCCTCCTGGGCTCGACTTGAGCGCTCCTTTGATAATAGAACCATAGTCTTGTTCCCATTTGTAAATAGCAGCCAGCGTCCTCTTGGCGCTCAGCTGCTTGATGTCCCCCGCATAAATACCATGAAATATCGCGCTAAATATGTTGTCACTCACAGTGGTACTTCCAAACCTACGCGTTATCAAACTGTGAGCACTTTCATCTTCAGTTGTAATCAAATTTCTTTTCCTGAAGGGTTCTCCCAGCAAACCGCCAAGAAGACCTTTTCCCAGTGAACTAGCTAAAAATCTTCGGAGTGAGCTTAAAGAGTTGGGCACTTGTACTAGCAAATCAGAGGTATCCAATAAGAACTTGCGATTGGCATCAGAGTCTGGTTCGATGTAGTACACTGAATCAGAATGGTTCAAAGTGCGCAGTGTATCGACTATTAGGGTTGTTCCCTCAGATTTTCCACGCAGCGTCCTGGGACCCTTTTCAAGCACTACTGCAGTGTTGTCAATGCCTCTATCAAGCACAGCAGAATTAATCCACCCGCCTGTTCTTTCCGCAGCGTCTATAATAGTGATCTTAACGTCTGATCTTAATTTGCTCAGAAAATAGGCAAAAGTTAAGCCTCCAACACCAGCACCAACAACAGCAACGTGTGCATTAGCAGCAAGTTTGTTGCAGTGTAGCAGCATCTATTTGACTCTAGTTTGTGTAGATTGTTGCAGCATTATTGGCTTTGATATTCGAATATTCACTCTTCGTATATTGAACTGAGCTACAATAAATTGAAAAAATGTGTCACTTCAGAAGTCAAACCATTGAAATTATAAATCCGCTTCGTATGTACTACTAAATCCAAATCTGGTGGCAGATTTGCAGGGCCAATCTTGCTAATATGGACAACCTTTTCGATAACAAACTAAAGTTTACATAAAACGTCGTTAAAGTAGAGGTAATTAACCGCTTCCAGGGCAAAGCCAATTTTTATCTGTCTCCTCACCCAAAAATCCGGTTGAACCTCTGTTAGAGGCAAACTCATGGACACATATCATCAAACCATGAATGGTACTTTTTCGTTATTATCGCTTGATCCCTAGGGCCCTCTCTTTAGTCTGCCGAATGGAGCTGAGTCTCCACGAGTCTTGGTTCTGGGAAAACTTATTGAACAGAGGAACAATTTTCGCTTTTTTTCGAGATTCGCTTTCTGCTCCAGCGACTTTATAAAAGTGTGGTGCACTTTCGACTAGCCATTGTGGAGAAATCGCGGTGACATGCGACATATATTCTCGAGTTGTTAGAACCAAACTATGGTAGATAACGTAATCATAGTCTTTGCCATAGAGGGAACTAGAGGGATGCACGGTAACGGAGGTACCGTCCGTGATCGTTTTATATCCCGATTCTGAGTCCCGTTTAGCAGCATTTCTGAAAAACCCTGACACGAGCGTTCGCCGTATCAGGTCGATGTTCCCGTTGCAGTTATTGAGAGGTAATCTCAGCTTACTGAAAATGCTTTCAAGTTGCAACTTTACGTCTTTGGCTCTTTTTAAATGTCGCTCGTGGAGGAAGTTGTTCACGCAGAAACTCTTTGAGTAATTGTTTGCCTTCCAACGATTATAAACATTGAGGAGCGTGAGATGATCTCCATATGGATGGTGAAACTGAACTTTCTTATTGTCAGCTTCTTGTTGCTTATCGCGGGGCCTATAAAAAACGTTTTGCACGGAGAGCATCGAAATAATGGTAGTCATCTCATCTGAGCAACCCTGAACTGTCGATTCAATGAGAGCTTTGGACAAAGCAGGTTCCATTGGGAATTGTGACATCAAGCGGCCAAGCTTCGAGAGTCTACCATCGTCATCCAACGCTTGCAAATTATACAAGTCTTCTAAGGCGCTTGTCATAGAAGACCTGGGCGGCGCGTCCATAAACTCAAAGTTTAATAGGTCATTAATTCCCATTGCTTTGAGCATCAAAATGGTGTATGATAGGTTTTGCCTTTGTATTTCGGGAATAGTATTCGGAGTCATTTCATTCAAGAATGCCGATTCAGTATATAATCGATAGCATTTTCCTGCCCCTGTCCGACCCGCACGGCCTTTTCTTTGATTGGCTTGAGCCTGTGAAATTGGAGAAACGACCAGCTGTTCCATTCCAACTCGAGGGTTGTATGTGTTGATTTTTGAAAAGCCCGGATCAACGACGAAATATATACCATCGATCGTGATCGAGGTTTCCGCTATGTTAGTAGCGAAAATTACTTTTCTACAGTTTGCAGGGGTCGGTTCAAAAATCTTTGATTGAACTTCACTAGGGAGAGCAGAGTAGACAGGTAATATAAGAAGCTCCTGTATTGTATCTCCTAACGTTTTAACTCGTTCATATAAGACTTCGCAACAAGTATCAATCTCTTCCTGGCCTGTTAAGAAGACCAAAATGTCACCTTTCCCCTCATTAATGTGAATTTCCATGACAGTGTCCAAAGTACTCTCGATGTAATCCATTTGAGGGGTTTGTGAAAACAGTACATCAACAGGGAAGGTCTTACCGGGTATTTTAATAATTGGGCAGTTCAAAAAGTATGCTGAAAACTTTTCTGCATCCAAGGTCGCAGATGTAACAATAATTCTGAGATCTGGTCTTCTTGAGGCGGCTTTCTTTAACAATCCAAACAGGACATCTGTAGCCACCGTACGTTCGTGGGCTTCATCAAGGAGAATCACTGAGTATTTTTTCATCTCCGGGTCTTTGAGCGCTTCTACTTGGAGCATACCATCGGTCATATACTTTATTCTTGTTCTAGGTGAGGTCACATCCTCGAATCTGATCGTATAGCCAACATCATCACCAAGCCGACAGCCCATCTCCTCAGAAACACGTTTAGCGACGGATACCGCCGCCACTCTCCTTGGCTGAGTGCACCCTATCATTCCTTTACTACTGAATCCATCTTCATCCAAATATTGTGTAATTTGAGTAGTCTTTCCGGATCCGGTCTCCCCTACGATTACCATAAACTGATTATCTCGAATTGCATCCACCAGTTGCTGGCGCATTTGAAACACGGGCAATGACTCTCGCTGAGCCCTAATGGGCAAATCAGTCCTTTTTCCGTACTCTATAGGCTCTCTATTTCTACTCCGTTCCCATGCCGTCATAACGAGCTGTCTGTTTTGAAATTCTGTTTCCGCCATATTCGACGCATGTGCACTTTTTGCCTGTCGCGCTTCGAGTTCGCGATCTTTTCTTTGTTGTATTTTCTCGGTTCTATGCTCATTCATCATGTTTGATCCACTTAGTGCTGTTCTGGCAAGGGACCCTTGGGGAACCTTGCTAAGCTGGGGCATCTCATATTTCTGAGAACGATCTATCTCTCCTTTTAGAAATTGAGGTTCGTCGTCGGTTTGAAGTTCAATGTCCACCTCTGCAGTATCTGCGGTATCTCTTTTTGAAGAGTTTCCATCATGTTCAAACGATTCCTGAAGCTCTGGGTAATCATCAAGTGAAGCCGCTCCACTAGCGATCAATTGACGTATTTCCCATCTTTCCGGTGACGTGAATTTTCTCTTGATCAGAGATTGATTGCTCTTCTCGAAAGATCTACCACGATTTTGCTCTTGCGACTGCTCCATGCCAGTTTCTTGGTCGATTTCTCTCATCCTTAGCGAGATCTTACCATTTTGATGTATTCTTATCACTTTCACAAAAACGTTCTGATTGACAGAAACAGCTTCAGTGGGGTCTCGAAGCCTTCTATTGGCAATCTCGGAGATGTGAACCAAACCGTCGCACCGCGAGTCGCGGGTTCCTAAAATTCGAACAAAACATCCAAATGGCACGATTTTCTTCACGACCCCACTGTATATCTTATCTATGATGGGTGATTCGTCCAAAAGTGGAGGAGGATCATGTATCTTTTGTTTGTCCGTGATGTAAGGATCCTCCCATTTTACGTCCTCATTTGGCATATTAAGTGCTCCAAACCCCTTTCCATTGAGAGAACGATCAGAGTTTTTGGATGCGTGATATATTGACCTTGCTGTACTTGCATTGATCCCACAGTTCAGGGCTTCTAACTGTGACTCAAGTTCAGCACAGGAATTGGACTTGGAACAGATTTCAAAAATGAATTCTACGACCGCGGGGTCACTCAACCCTATCTCATCATTTAACACCTTTGCAACCTTGGCTTTGGATGACTTATCATTTACCTCGTGTACTAAGTGGTAAACTTCGGCCGCTGCATTCGACCCTATACCCACATCCAACTCATCGATTTTAGACTGAAATGCTTGTAGACTGGAGCTCTTTTTACAAACGTCGTGTACAAACTCTGAAATGGTCCTATCTTCAATGTTAAGCGTCTTTCCAATCTGTTCTAAAGTAGACTCCATGTGCACCTTCCCACTATATGACCCTTCGGTTTAAGGCTTGGTCTAACATGCTCTGCGATGAGCCCAAGTCGCTTTATCGTTTATGTAATAATTCGTCGTTAGGCAGGATACTAATTATCAAATAAAACCTTACCAGCTGAGTAAAGAACGACACGGGATTGCACTTGGGAAACCCACGGTTTCGTCGGCCCATATATATATATATATATATATATATATATAT